TTGTGATCCCCATCCATATTTCTGTCTCCCGAATTTGATAGATGGGCAGTCGACCACAACTCTAGAAAAATGCCTTCCGCCCAGGACAGGCTAGCTGAGCTGAGGGCCCTTCGTGCCTCAGGAAAAAAACGAATTTCAACCTACGAAATCGAAGACCAGGGCGACATTTACGATGAAGTCGATGATGATGGATACAAAAAGGTCATCCGTAACCGCCTCGACCAGGATGATTTTGTCGTCGACGATAATGGTGCTGGATATGCAGATGATGGCCGCGAAGTCTGGAATGAACAAACAGTGGACTATGCCAGCGATGAGAGCGAAGAATTACCGGCACGAGGCAAAGCCGCTAAGCGAAAGCGTGAGGAGGAGCAACAGAGAAAGGAAAAAATGAACAATGGCATATCCAGGTATTTCAACAGTGGACAGGGTGCTTCTTCCGCACCCAAGCCTAAGGTGAGTACGCGTTCCACTTTGACTGCAGAACACTTGTCCTGACAGTACATTTAGCCTGTTGCCACTGCCGAGGACGATGCATTTATGGCCGATCTACTTGGAGAGGTTGACACCAACGTCATATCGAACAAAGCCCCCACTCGAAGCATTGTGAAATCAGAGGCTCGTCGCAAAGTTCGCGTTCTATCCCCACCCTTGTCCGAAAAGCGTCGCCGGGAGAAGGCTCATCCACGAGACGAAAACGACATGCCAAGTTCACCAATAAAGGGCCAGACACTACACTCCGATGACCTCGATGACGGGCAGCTCCCGATGCTAGACGACGACGATGTTCCTATGAGTGATATTCTACCCTCATCACCAATTACCAAGGCAGTAGAGCGCAGGAACATTGTGCCAGTTAAGGCCGAACAGCCCGAAGATGATGATATCGACCTCATGGACGTCGCAGAAGTCACAGGTGACTCCGGCGTCAAGACAGAAACCATCAATATGACTGCAAGCCGGCCACCCCCAAAGATCAAAAACGAAGTTATCGCGGAGCCGGCTAGTTCATCTCCGGTCAAGTCTATGCCGCAAGTTATGGATCCTTCTTGGAATGACGTGCGAAGCAAGTTGAATGTGCTCAGCAGCCCAGCCCCAGAAATGCGTTCCTTCGGAAAATTGCGTGCCCAAGACGTCGTGGAAGAGGATGGTAGCCTGCGCATCTTCTGGCTGGACTACACTGAAGTCAACGGAAGTCTGTGCCTTTTTGGAAAGGTGAAGAATAAGCAGAATGGATCTTACACCAGTGCTTTTGTCAAGGTCGACAATATCCTGCGAAAACTTTACTTTCTTCCTCGGGAACATAGACATAAGCATGGACGCGCGACAGAAGAGGAGGTTGATATGCAAGACGTCTATACTGAAGTCGACGAAATGATGTCCAAGCTCAAAGTCGGCATGCATAAGATCAAAGAATGCACGCGAAAGTACGCATTTGAAATGCCTGGTGTTCCAAAGGAGGCTCAGTACCTGAAATTACTTTACCCTTACGACAAAACTGCATTGCCGATGGAAACCAAAGGTGAAACATTTTCCAACGTCTTCGGTACCAACACCTCCCTTTTTGAACAATTTGTTCTCTGGAAGAATATCATGGGCCCGTGCTGGCTCAAAATTGAGGAGGCCGACTTTTCCGCAGTCACCAATGCGTCGTGGTGCAAGTTTGAATGCCAGGCTACCAAGCCAGCACTCATCAGCCCCGTTCCAGATTCCGAGAATATGGACACCCCGCCTTTGACATTCATGAGTCTCGCTTTCCGTACGCAGCTCAATGTCAAAGAGAACAAACAGGAGATTCTGGTGGCGAGTGCCAGAGTGTACGAGGACATCTCTCTCACTGATACTACTGCCCCAGAAAAACTTCCCTGTAAGACATTCACTGTTATGCGGCCTGCTGGTAGTTCGTATCCAATGCACTTCGAAGCTGAAGCGCGGCAACAACGCGGCACGGTGATTATGGAAAAGTCCGAGCAGTTCTTGCTCAGTAAGTTCCTAGCCTTGTTTGAGAAGATGGATCCCGACGTTATCATGGGTCATCAGCTCCAGGATGTTGACTTGGGTATTCTGCTAAGCCGAATGCGCGAGAAGAAAACACCAGGTTGGCACCGTATTGGTCGACTCAGACGTGGAGATTGGCCTAAGAACTTCAACAAGGGCGGAAACTTCTTTGCGGAGAGGCAGTTGATTGCCGGAAGATTGATGTGTGACATAGCCAACGATATGGGCAAGGTAATAGCTCTCTTCTACTGATTCGATGAAACCACTAACATGAGACAGTCCCTCATGACGAAATGCCAATCGTGGAGTCTAACTGAAATGTGTCAACTCTATCTGGGTCAAGGCAACGTCCGACAAGAATTGGATACTGAGGCAGCATTGAAGACTTGGGCAACCACGAAAGAAGGCCTTATGAATTTTGTCAATCATTGTGATACAGATACATACTTTATTGCGGCACTGGTTCTGCGTCTTCAAATGCTGCCGCTCACAAAGGTCCTGACCAACATCGCTGGTAACTCATGGGCACGAACACTTAGCGGTACCCGCGCAGAAAGAAATGAGTACATCTTGCTCCATGAGTTCCATCGGAACAAGTACATTTGCCCCGACAAGTATTCTTCCCGTCTCCAGAAGGCAGAGGAGAAGATGATGCAGGATGGCGAGGAGGACGAGGCAGTCGACAAGAAAAAGAAAGACAAATTCAAGGGTGGTCTAGTATTTGAGCCCGAAAAGGGTCTCTATGACAAATTCGTTTTGGTCATGGATTTCAACAGTCTGTATCCCAGTATCATCCAAGAGTACAACATTTGTTTCACTACAGTGGACAGAACAGCCTCGGTAAGCTTGACCCGTCCTCATCTCGTTTCATTCACGCTAACCCAACAAACAGGCCGAAAATGAAAATGAAGAAAAAGTACCCGATGTTCCCTCTTCGGACCAGGACCAAGGTGTGCTACCACGTCTGATCGCAACTTTGGTCGGTCGTCGACGCGAAGTGAAGAAATTGATGAAAGACAAGCGAGCCACACCTGATCAATTGGCTTTATGGGACACAAAACAGATGGCATTTAAGCTGACTGCAAACTCCATGTACGGATGCTTGGGATACACGCAGAGTCGCTTCTATGCTCGCCCGCTAGCTATGCTCACCACTTTCAAGGGGCGTGAGATTCTGAGGAACACCAAAGAATTAGCCGAAAGTCAGCAATTGCGAGTCATTTACGGTGACACCGATTCAGTCATGATCAACACCAACATGGACAATATGAGTGATGCTCTCAAGGTTGGAGACGAATTCAAGAAATCAGTCAACGAGCGCTACCGCCTACTGGAGATCGACGTCGATAATGTTTTCCGTCGTCTTCTGCTCCACGCCAAGAAGAAGTACGCTGCTGTCAACTTGACTGAGGTAGATGGCAAGTATGTCGAAAAACTTGAAGTCAAGGGCCTTGATATGAAGCGACGTGAATACTGCGCCCTTTCGAAGGAGGTTTCATCGAAGCTTCTGAATGAGATATTGTCTGGTGAGGATCAGGAAGTTGTCCTCAATAAGGTTCACGAGTACCTGCGCGACCTTGCGGACAGAATGAAAGAGTACACCATTCCTGTCCAGAAATACGTGATCTACACGGTTCGTGATGAAACCCATGATTCCCTAGCTCACTTTGCTAACCTCTTAAACAGAAACTTTCGAAGCGTCCCCAGGAGTACCCTAACAAGGAGAGTATGCCTCCAGCCCAGGTCGCCCTTCGCGACATTGCCCGTGGCAAGAATGTTCGGCCCAACGACGTCATATCATACATTGTGACCAACGGAAACTCGGAAACCTCGTCTCTGCCACCTGCTAAGCGATCATATAGCCCGCAGGATGTGCTGAAGGCAGACTCGGGCCTCAAGCCAGACGTCGAGTTCTACATCCTCAAGCAGATCTTCCCTCCTATTGAGCGTCTCTGCGCCCCAATTCCTGGAACCGATGCCGTCCGCCTCGCTGAATGTTTAGGTCTTGATACTCGCAAGTACCAGATACACAGCTCCAGTTCGAACAACCAGCAAAATGCCGAGATCTTCCCACTGGAATCTCAAATTCCAGACTCCGTCCGTTTTGCCGATTCTACACGACTCAACTTGAAATGTCGGGTTTGCAAAGAACAGTCTGTATTTGAGGGTCTGGCAGCTTCATCGCATATGTGCACCTCACAGGGGATTGTTTGCCCCAACCAGAGCTGCCAAAAACCCTTTTCAGTATTGACCATTGTCGCTCAGCTCGAGCACCAGATCCGAGAACAAACCTCACGATACTACGAAGGGTGGTTAGCATGCGATGATTCATCGTGTGGGAACCGCACACGCCAGATCAGCGTGTATGGACATCGCTGTCTCGGTCCTCGTGGTCGCGCGGAAGGCTGTCTAGGCCGCATGACTTATGAGTACTCGGAGAAAGAGATCTACAACCAGCTCCTCTACTTTGCAGGTCTTTGGGATGTCGACAAAGCTAAGAGTGTGGCGGAGAAGGAGACAGGAGAGAAGAAAGACAGCATTGCCGCTCTAGTGGAGTTCAATCGGATTCGATTCGGTACGATCAAGGGTGTGGTCGACAGCTACTTGAAGAAGTGTGGACGGCAATGGGTTGAGATGGATGGTCTCTTCCGCTTCATGTTACAATAAAATGCTTCACTTATGATTAGGATGTAAATAGGAATGGGGTTTGGGCAAGCATTACGACAAATTCGCATAATTCACTTTTTCTCTGTTTCAATACTCAGTTCTCCTCGCTATTTTTTTTTACCACAGCTGGGCTGGGCAAAGAGCTCGGCTTGACTATGTGAAGATATCCCTTTGAATTTCACCTAGTTATAATAAGTCGTATTTACTATAGCTATATCAAATTAAGGCTTCATTGGGGCCTACTGAGCTAAGTTCTAGTATGTCTGACTAGTTAAGCTCATGATTTCGTAACAAGTTGAGCTAATGGTTTCGTAACAAATGAAATCGTAAAAATACTATTCGGTTTTCTCTTGTCCGGTAGCTTGCCGATTTTCCTTGCGGTTTTCATTTCTGCCGCGGGTAGGGATCTCGGCGAGTTCTCTGTGAACTAATGACGGTCCGTGGATCACTCCTACCAGTTCCACATCAAGCACTGTAGACCAGTAACACAGACACTCCCAAGTCATTTTTAATAGCACAAAAAATGAATGGTCGGTGTCGTAAGCATCCAATACGTCCACTGAGAGGACGTCTGGAAGTCCAGTAATTGCTTCTTTAAATGTAGAAAACGCATGGTGACCATCTCCCTTCATAGTTAACTTGACTAGCACATTCTTACTTGCTGCCAAGCGCGGAATTCTCGATGGCGATGAGGATAGCGACTGTGAACCGGCGGGGCTGAACAGAAGCTTGATGGGCTGAGCGCCGCCGCCAAGGGTCTTAAACACGGCATTAGGGGCAAGCTTTGGTTTTTGTCGTTGTATTTCGGCGAAAAGCTCTGCTGTGGTTGTATGTGTAGCTGAACGGAGGTGCTGCACCGCCCGGAAAATTCTTTGGGTGAATGAGATAGACCAGCCTCGTGCAGTGGTACTCTCATTGTAGCCGCACGCTGCTATGATATGACACACCCGCCGGGAGCTGCTTCTCGTGGCTAAACCAGAAAAACAACAGTCCAACACCGTAAACACGTCGATCTTCGTCAAGTGCTCATCAGACAAAGTAGCAGAAACCCGTGACCACTCCACCGAAGATTGGCTGGAGACTCCTTCAATCGGAGCAAAATGCAGGCTGCCTTCTTCGATGGACCCGTGGCCGGCGTAATAGAAAACGAACAGACAATTTTCGTCGGTTGCGTGGCATTCCCCGAGCATCTTTTGGATCCGAGAGAGCAAGTTCCATATAGTGGCCGGCCCTTTTTGACGAAGTGTATGCACGATGGACTGAATACCAAAGGTTTTCATGATAGCTTCCATCGTGTTGATATCCTCCTTAGCGTTGCTCTCGTCCTCTTCCCAGTGGACAAGAATGGCTAGCTTTCGGGCATAAGAATTTGGACGGGCATTGGCAACTCGTTGAAGTTGTTTTTTGAGAAAAGGGAGTGGAGTTGTTATGGCAGCTGAAGAGCAGCTTGGGAGGGAAGAGTGTGTAGTTTGCATGGCGACAGAAGAACTGCTTGATATGGAAGAGTGCAAAGCTGGTGTGACGGCGGAAGAACTGCTTGGGATGGAAGGGTGTGAAGTTGTTATGGCGACAGAAGAACTGCTTGGAAGGGAGAAATCACTCAGTTTGCTGAGTATGTAAGAGTCAGCCCTTTAGGTGTTGAGTCATTTCGTATGTGGCCGACAAACTTCTGGTCATTAGCTTAGAACCTTGTTGTAGGGGAAAGGACAACGTACCGTGGGTGAATTCAAAGTCGAACGATCAAAGTTTAGGGAGGCCCGAAGTAAAGTTGACAGAAGAGACAATACGAGCAAGTGGCTGGTCAAAGTAGAAGAAATGGACTGAAGAGTCGAGAAAAGGAGAGTCGCGTAGAGGAGGAGAGGAAAGGAGAGTTACGACGAGGAGGAGAGGGTATCGACGTTGATGTACGTAGCTTTTCATTTAGACAAGTGCTTGGGTAACGAATGAATGAATATTGCCAGGCATCTTATGAAAAATGGCAATCAGTGACAAGAGCTGTAACTTATAGGAATAGCAAGGATTTGATCAACTTTCGTCTGAATTCTTTTCTTCTTTCCGTAAAGTCCGTACTTCCATCCATGCGATTTTCCGTATAGCCTCAGGTTATGGCCGCCGCCTCGAAGGAATACAACAAGTTTCCTTCCTTCTCTCCTTCGGGCTTTTAGGCTACATAGCCGCTTTCACGTCGAGTTCCTAAACGGTAGCTAATCCTTTAGGGTTTCATGCCACTAAATCCGTTAATTTATAAGTCATCGGCTCAGATTCCATACATACGGCAGTCTGTTGAGGCCTTGAGCTCAGTATGATTTTTTGGCCCATGATTGATTAGGAGCACTGCCATTTCTGATCAATACTCAGTTCTCCTCCTTATTTTTTGTTACTACAGCTGGGCTAGGCAAAAAGCTCGGCTTAACTGTGTGTAGATATCCCTTATCTTATCGGCAATTCTTCCACCCCCACCCCAACGTGCTTCACCTCTCTCTCTGTAACTTCTCCCTCTTCTTTGATTGGTTACTTGCATCATGTCGGTCAATCGGGTTCTGGTCATTGCTGGATCGGACAGCTCTGGTGGCGCGTAGGTTTACCCTTTACCCTCGCAAAGTCTCCAAAGGGGGAGGGGAGAAAAAAAGTCTCCCATTATGTCACCCCAACCCGCTGATTGATCTTGTACTCCATCTTTTTTTGCGTTCTAGAAGATATATCTAACGTCGTATAGTGGCCTCGAAGCAGACCAAAGGGTACTTGCAGCTCATGGGGTATATGCGCTCACTGCCACAACTGGGTTGACTGCACAAAACACTCTAGGTGTGCAAGATATTTTCGTCGTCCCCTCGGAATTTGTCAGGAAGCAGATCAATGCTGGCCTAGAAGATGTTGGTGCTGATGTTGTGAAATTGGGTAAGTCAAGCTGAAATCATACTTTATAAAGCAACCCTGATGACTTGGCTAGGCATGCTTTCATCTGCGGAGACAATTGGTGTCATCGCGCAAACATTACAGACACATAGAGTCCCGATCATTGTTCTCGATCCGGTATGCTTGAATGTTTTGTTCCAAATCTCACGTCGGGGTAGACTGACCACGATTGATAGGTCATGATTTCTACCAGTGGGTCACAACTGCTGCCAGAGAAAGCCATCAAAGAGTTGCGCACAAAGCTGCTTCCCTTGACAACAATTTTAACCCCAAACATTCCCGAAGCCCTGTTCCTATTGAAGGATGCAGGTATGGAAATCCCCGAGCCAACAGATCTAGGGGAGCTGATTGAGCTCGCCAAGAAGATCTGCCTTTTGGGTCCTAAAGCAGTCCTTCTCAAGGGTGGACATCTTCCTCTCACCAAAGATAAGAAGATCTCTCGAGACCCAAAGGAGGCGTCTATTGTCGTTGATATTCTCTTTGATGGAACCACAGCCACCTTGTTTGAGACCGAGTTCTTGATCTCCAAAAACACACATGGCACAGGTTGCTCACTTGCATCGGCCATCGCTGCAAACCTAGCGTCAGGAAAGGACATGATCCGAGCTGTTCGCAGTGCTGTTCGTTTTGTGGAGGTTGGTATCAAAACCAGCACTGACCTGGGTAAAGGAAGTGGTCCGATTAACCATTTCCACTCTGTTTATACTATGCCATTTGCACCGTATGTGACTGCCATTTTCAACGATTGATACTAGATTCTGACAAGCTAATCATCTAGTGGCCGGTTCCTTGAGTACATCCTTGATCGCCCTGATGTACAACAAGTATGGGAGAAATTTACTCTTCACGAATTTGTGGAGGGCCTGGGTCAGGGTACCCTACCTATCGAGCGGTTCAAGGCATACCTTGTCCAGGATTATCTTTACCTGGTAAGATCGCACTATGTATACGCTTTTGAAGAGTCCCGTTGTTAATCAAGCTCCACTCTGCAGGTTCAATTTGCCCGCAGTAATGCACTGGCCTCATACAAAGCCAAGACCATGGACTCAATAGCAGCGGTATGTAATTCAGCACATCTTGTGGTCTCAGTCTAATTTGGTTACCAGTCTGCCCAAATTGTCCTCCATATCCAGCGGGAAATGGCCTTGCACATCGATTACTGTGCCTCCTTCGGCCTATCAAAGCAGGAGATGGAAAGTCACCCTGAAACCATTGGTAAACTTTCTTTTCCCCTTTTATTCATGTCAGACAATTAACTCTTGCAACAATAGCCTGCACTGCTTACAGCCGCTACATTCTTGATGTCGGTCAATCCGAGGACTGGTTAGCCCTCCAGATGGCACTCGCGCCCTGTTTAATCGGATATGGTGCTATTGCACGGAGACTCTACACAGAAGAAGGCACCATCCGAGATGGTAATCAGTACTGGAAATGGATTGAAAACTACGTAGCCGAGGACTACACTGAGGCTGTACGATTGGGTTCTGGTAAGTTGAATTATGACTGGAGAGTGACGGCTTGGCTAAATCATTTTTTATTTTCTAGCACTACTGGAGGAGCATATGAAACTAGTGTCACCTAGTCGCATGGAAGAGCTCATCCAGATCTTCATCCGGGCTACAGAGTTAGAGATTCAATTCTGGAACATGGGTCTTGGAGGTAAAGAGTAGATAGACAATGTATACTTTTATCTGAGGCTGCAACCTGGATTTCAGTTTTACCTGTTACGATTTGGTGAGTCTGCCAGCACAGAGTGCTGCTTCTTCTCAGGTTCAAATGTTGTTCGACAGTGATTATTTACACTACGTGTTTCGTTTGCCTACAAGGTCAGTTCGCCACTATGTCTTGTTGGGGTCTTGAAATCGTGATCTTCCCATCCGCTTCCACCAAGCTTCCCCACGGCTTCTTAAAGGCTTCCGAACGCGTCTTATCCCGGTTTTTTATCTACGTTATCCGCTCGACTGGTAGAACTTTGCATATTATCCTGCTGTACACCCTTCACTTTTAGCCATGTCATCTTGTATGTAAATCTTGTCGGCAATCGACCAGAAATACTCCAAATCTTACTTTACGATCCTATTTGCCATCTCGAATTTTGCCTCTTTGCCCCCTTCCAATCCATGGATGATTCTACCGTATTTCACCGCACCAATCGGCCGCCAATACACAGCCAATCAAATTCTTCTGAGGTAATTATCAGTCCCGATTTGGCAGGCGGTCAGGGCCCGATCCAGACCTGTCACGTGAAATGGCAGGCGCAAAAAAAATGGAAAAAAAAGCAAGCACGCTAGGCCCCTTTCGTCGCCGATAACAACTTTTCTCGCGCCTTCTCCCCTGGCAGTTTCTTTTCTCCTCCATCCTTCTTTTTCTTCATCCTCTTCCCCTTGCGAACTTGATCTTCTTTTTTGAGATCAACTTCTTCTTTCTTTACTTCAAACAGTCCATCCTCAGAGATCTCATCATGTCGTACGGTGGTGGCGGCTACTCGCGCGATAACTCCTACCGGTAAGTTTTTCCATCAGACTGTTATGGGCTTGTTTCTTCATATACTCTTTCCATATTCTTTGAGCTGTGGACAAGCGATTTGGCTTTGAACCAAACCTTGCAACTGGCGGCTTTGAGAGTCGAACTTGAGTGTTCCTGTTACTGGCCATCTTGTGGTCCCGGCTGTCCGGGTTGAATCCTATGCACAATAGGCACTACATGACATTCAAACGAAGGCGAGAACAACCTTACTGACTCATTTCACAGCTCTCGCGGAGGTGACAATGGCTACTCCGGCGGCGGCGGTGGTGGTTACGGTGGCGGCGGTGGTGGTGGCCGCGGAGGTGGCTACGGCGGCGGTGGTGGTGGTGGTGGTTACGGCGGCGGCGGCGGTGGTTTCGGCGGCGGTGCCGGTGGTGACCGCATGTCCAACCTCGGCGCTGGCTTGAAGACACAGGACTGGGGTAAGCTCTCACTTCGTTCTCACTTTCGTTTAGTCCATTGCTAACTTTTCAGACCTGAGCTCTCTCCCCAAGTTCGAGAAGTCTTTCTACAAGGAACACCCCGATGTTACCGAGCGCTCTGAAGAAGACGTCCAAGCTTTCCGCAAGGAGAAGAACATGGCTGTCCATGGTACCGACATTCCCCGTCCCGTTGAGACTTTCGACGAGGCTGGTTTCCCCCAGTACGTCATCTCTGAGGTCAAGGCCCAGGGCTTTGACAAGCCAACTGCTATCCAGTCCCAGGGCTGGCCCATGGCCCTTACCGGTCGTGATGTTGTCGGTATTGCCGAGACTGGTTCCGGCAAGACTCTGAGCTACTGTCTTCCCGCCATTGTGCACATCAACGCCCAGCCCCTCCTTGCCCCCGGTGACGGTCCCATCGTCCTCGTTCTTGCCCCCACTCGTGAATTGGCTGTCCAGATTCAGGCCGAAATCACCAAATTTGGAAAGTCCTCTCGCATTCGCAACACCTGTGTTTACGGTGGTGTTCCCAAGGGTCCTCAGATTCGTGACCTCTCCCGCGGTGTTGAGGTCTGCATTGCCACCCCCGGTCGTCTCATCGATATGCTCGAGGCTGGCCGTACCAACCTCCGCCGTGTGACTTACCTCGTTCTCGACGAGGCTGATCGCATGCTTGACATGGGTTTCGAGCCCCAAATTCGCAAGATCATCGGCCAGATTCGCCCTGACCGTCAGACTTGCATGTGGTCCGCTACCTGGCCCAAGGAGGTCCGCCAGTTGGCCTCTGACTTCCTGAACGACTACATTCAGGTTAACGTTGGTTCCCTGGACCTCTCCGCTAACCACCGCATCACCCAAATTGTTGAGGTCGTTTCCGACTTCGAGAAGCGTGACAAGATGATCAAGCACCTTGAGAAGATCATGGAGAACCGCGCCAACAAGTGTCTCATCTTCACTGGTACCAAGCGTATCGCTGATGAGATTACTCGTTTCCTTCGCCAGGACGGATGGCCCGCGCTTTGTAAGTCTTTCTGCGCAACCTGTGCATTCTTCCAGTACTAATTATATCCCTAGCCATCCACGGTGACAAGCAGCAGAACGAGCGTGATTGGGTCCTGAACGAATTCAAGCAGGGCAAGACCCCCATCATGGTGGCCACTGACGTGGCTTCCCGTGGTATCGGTATGAACAAATTACATCCCCCCATCCTTTTCCCCCTCCCCCTGTTTCTACCCCCTTGGGGCCCTTGAGAAAACTCACCCGTGTTCCAAATTGTGTGATGACAATGGCACGGTGCTCAACGCTCTCGAATTAGTTCGGTGTAAACGCCTTGTCCAGGCATATCTGGTCATCCTAACTGGTTCTTATACCAGGAGGGCCTTGGACTCACAGTGCAGCACAGCAGCAGGCATTTCAGGCCTGACTTTGATTCTCCATCTCTTGTGTGACAGACTTGTAGGAGAGTCGAAGTTTTTTCCACACCTCAACGCTGTTTCTTGAACTGTTGAAGGCTGCATTTCCAAGGTTACTCTAGGACCACGATTATACACCATCTTCCCATGGACTCGCTTCCTTTAGGATATCCCAAGGAGGCCCATGAAGAGAGCAGTGACGCATCAAGTCCTGCACGACTGAGAAAGGGTCCTTTATGGCCATCCTCATCTAAAATCCCACTAATGTTCTGTGTTTGCTAACGAACCCTCTCTCTTAAAAAGATGTGCGCGACATTACTCACGTGCTGAACTATGACTACCCCAACAACTCGGAGGACTACGTTCACCGTATCGGTCGTACTGGTCGTGCCGGTGCCACTGGTACCGCCATCACTTTCTTCACGACTGACAGTAAGTTCACTTGACTTGATGTCTTAGCCTCGGGTTCGATTACTAACTTTTCTCGCAGACTCTAAGCAGGCTCGTGACTTGGTCACCATTCTCACTGAGGCTAAGCAGCAGATTGATCCCCGTCTCGCTGAGATGGTCCGCTACGGCGGTGGTGGCGGCGGTGGTCGCTGGGGTGGCCGTGGCCGTGGAGGCTGGGGTGGCCGTGGTCGCGGCGGCGGTGGTGGTGGCTACACTGGCTCCAATGCCGGTAACCTCGGCGGCAACCGTCGCTGGTAGATGCCTCGCTGCTGATGAGCTTGTATTGTCCCGGTAGACTCTTTTTTCTTCGATTCCCTGCGTAATTCGGTTCGGGCGGCGTTTTTCGATGTCATAGACAGTTTTACTTTGTTTTATCGGTTCCAGGCTCGGGAGCCTGGCATAGCTTGGACGTCAGCTTTATCACTAAGGCTTGGGGTACCTTGCGACAAAACATACATGTTGATTAAAAGTTCATTTCACAAAACTTGCAGGAGTTTCTGAATCAGAATTCCGCTGCAATAATGATATTCTTGAATCCTTATCCAAGTTTCCATCGTAACTGTAATATCTTGTCTCATCTGAATCCTAACTCTTCTCCAACCACTCCTCCAACTCCCCAGCCAACACATGATGCGTATGACTAGTCAAATGCCCTGTATTAAACCAAAAGTACTCCTCCAACGGCACAGGACAGCCATACTTCATATACTCGCTCCCAATATCCGGCTGGTCATATCCAGCACAAAACCCCGTCGTATTCACAATTCCATATCTCGCAGGCTCATCAAGCATCCCCGCCAATCTAGAATGAGCATCAAAAACCCTCACTTCGACATTCTCATGCCCGCTTCCAAACGCCCCCGCCTGTTCCTCCAACGCCTCATTATACCACGCAACCTGCGTCGCATTCGGGCTCGGATTGTTCTTTGCTTGGTTGCCCGGCGTTCGGTCTAACGGCGGTAGATTCATAAAGAGGTATTTCCTGTACCCGAGCTCGTAGAGCGACTCGACCGAGGCGAAGAGCGTTGTCATGAGTGTTTGGTAGAATTCCTCGAACGAGGCGACGGTGTATTTGGCGCTGTCGTTGATGTCGTTGATTCCTATCCAGATGGCGACTAGGGTTGTCGCTGGGTTGCGGGTTTGTTTGTTTTTCTGCAGCGCTGCATGGCCGTACTGTGTGAATTGAGTTATTTGGTTTTCGAGAGAGACGGTGTAGTTGTGGTGTAGGGGTGTGCTGTTTGTTAATTGTTAGTGTTTATTTAGGCTTTGGTTGGTAGTTCTCTGTTGCTTGGGGGTTTGTTCTGATATGTAAAGATACTGCACATACTATTTGGTTGAGATGTCGGCTCCTGCAAATGCAAAATCCCAGAGTTGCTTCTTACAGCTTTGGGGGGAGGTTAGGCCTTCTTTGACGCCGCAGTCTGTGAGATATTCGATCCAGTTGGGTCCGCCTTCTGCGGTGCCGGTCTATACATCATGGCTTAGTCTTGTTCGTCGATTGCACATGAATCGGGGTAACATGGCCCATTTACCTGGTTTTGCACTATCTTGTTGGAAAGTAGAGTTTGCGTATCATAGGCCAGGTTGAATTGATCTCCAATAAAACTAAAGTTTTGGCGGCCCTGCGTTCCCTGGACATAGGTGTAGGAATCACCAAATGCAATTCTGCAATTCTGGGTTAGATCTTCGGTTCTCTTGCGAAGCTTTCTCTCGTACTTACACGGCCTTGGTAGATGACCAGTCGAATTTAGATGTCGGTTTTGATAGAGGGCTGGCCTGGGCGAGTGGGATACTCGAGACTGCCGCTAAGGCATATGTAGCTAAATGCAGCATGCTGGTGATCAGGATGGCGGGAATTGAAGGTTAATTAGATGGTCACAGTTGGTGTAGGCGTTTTCTTGCTAGGCATGATATAACTTATAGATCTCTACCTACGTTAACCCCGCAATCACTCGGTTCTCCGGGGTAACTCACCAGGTTTGACGGAGTCAATTTTTCCGTCGGTTATTTGTTTGTCGCGTTCTTTGATTAGTCTAGATGTTGGAGGAGAAAATCTTTGGGAAAAGAGGGTTTCGGATGGGGTTTAGGCCCATGCTGTTTTCGTTGGCTAATTAGTGGAAGATGCCCAGGGCGTCACTTTGAGACTACTTGGTGTCAAGGGTCCCTCAGAAACAGGCATCTGGTATGAGGCTCTAGAATTTGTAGAGCTAAGTGGTAACAAGGTCTGGCATATTACGAGGCAGAGCTTGTACTCACTTGCGCAGCTCTTGGACTACATGTACCCAGTTGCAGAACAGAAAGGCACTTGACTGTACCCGCAGTCCATCATATAAAAGCAGGGGAATGAAGGCAAAGTCAGACTCTTTCTTTCTACTTCAATGTCTCACTGTGGGCCTTGGATGTTCCTGGCAAGCCAACAATAAAAAAAGACCTGGCATGTCTCAACAACGTACTTGCGCCAAGTCACATTGCCAATGTCGAATACCATAACTTGAGTATTATAAATCTTGCTTAACATCCTGTCATGATCGTTGAGGTGCGTTAGTTTTGAGAATACCTCACTATGGATCAAAAACATAGCGGAAGCATGTATTGGAGGTGGGGCGAGATGTTAGGTAGCAATGTTTTACCAGCCTTATAGACCTTACCAGATTGGACCTAAGTGTGATCTATCATCCGATGTCAATGCTCTTCCTTAGTCCCGCGAGCTATCTCCCTAGGGTCCTGATTTGCAACCAGATCGTTGCTCGTGCTTCGCCTAACGTCAAGCTTTGGGCTTACTTGGCCCACTATGAGGCTATCAGTGGGTTTGGATTAGTGTTACAAGGTGTGACAAACTCTAGGAGCCGGTAGAGGCTAATTCTGAGGTTAATTGGAAGTCAGTGAAAGGTTAACCATTAGGGAGTTAGATGGTGTACGCGCTTGGATATATTTCTGCACCTATCTCTCTGCACCTACTATATAGTAACATCAGGTACTTTTTTTTTTCCAACTTCAATCTCTCAAATTGAAAACAGAAATCTCCACGAGCTCTGCATTATCATCCAGCACAATTAAAAAGGGCCACGTGTCTAAATTATCTCCTACGTGATTTGAGGACGACGGAGAGACAGCGTTCTCACCGGGCTATCGGTACCAACCAACCCGCCAAAACTAGTCCCTCCAGGCTACTGTAGAATATCAAATGAAAGTGCATATAAAATGCATGCGTCCGGCCCGATAGCAATCAACAGCACCGTGCAGGTGCATGCATCACGTCCCAAGTACCCCAAGTCGCCTCAGCCCCCAAAAATACGACTAACCCCGAACGACGACAAAACAACCCAAGACAGCGACACGCAGTAAGAGACTGCCAGCACAGGCCTAGCGTCTAATGGCGTCGAGGATTCAATTCCCGTAATCTGCATAAGCGCCCCCGACGCCCTGAAGACGCCATACCCAGACCAATAAAGACGTGACATCCGACGATGCACGTCGGAGCAAAGCAAAGAACGGGACAGGGACGCTATGGCCCAGATCCCCATCGAACCGAAAAAAACTCAATAAACCAGACTCCCCAAAAAGAATAATACACGAGAATTGTTCCGTGCCGCGGCCAACGGGAGGGACACCCGCCATACGCTAAGAGCAGACAACGTTCCCCTAGGAAATGCACGTTTGGGTTCACCTGGGTTCAGGCCCCCTTCCTCTTTCTCGAGAGCCTAGAGCAGACGAAGAAGATGCATGGAAAATGTGACTCTGCTCGGCAAATTGGGCTCGGGGATTTTTTTTTCAGAGTTGGGCTCCTCATCCTCCTATCCGCCGGGTACAGAGGTCATTGATCCCCTATCCATAGGATGCTGCATCGACACTGGGCCACGGAGTCAACCCAGTACATCTTCAATCCCGGAATGGGGGACCCCCCATAACTTACATGTACTGTACAGTAACATGGAAGTGTCAAATTAATATCAGTCCCAAGTCCGAATCGGAGTATTCAAGGGTTTGAGTTGGCAATGCTTAGACCCCTGTTCGACAAAGTTAGATCCCTGCATGATTCAGTCGCCTCCATTGGCGCTCCACCGATACCAATACCCTGTACCGGTATGGATGTAACATCTCTGCTCTAACCGAGATTGCTCGGATTTTCTTATATCCCACACCCGAATAAAACAACGGCCGAGGGATCATCATCTGGGGGATCAAGGTAACGCGATCTGCCGAAGAATTAGCGGGTGAGACTTACTGTGTGCGGCGTAGCCTCCTCCGGTACCGCACTGGCCATAGGTGGAGATGGGAAATGGTGTGAGCACTCGGCAAGTCGTGGGGCCTCAATGCGCTACTGCACCTACCGGGGTTAGCGCTATATGGGAAGAATTGTCTCGAGAGTGCTTGAGTCAGATACCGGGGGGAGAAGGGAAGGGAGGGGGGGGGGGGGGGACTCCATGGTTAGGAGGGCCCCTCCTTCAGTCCAGTAACTGGAGAGATAAGTTCGGTGTTCTAAGAGTGACAGCTGGATTCCGATCGCCAACTAAAAGAGTTACCCGCCAGAGAAACCGGAAGAGAAATCAGAGCTGGAATGGACCGGAGAATAGCCGACTCGGGTTGAAAGGTGGGCAAAGGTGGGCAAAGGTGGAAACCGGCCTTTAGTCACGCGGTTTAGTCGCGATATCTATTGCATGGGCCCACGTGCAACAGGAACGCCTTCACTTTTAATCTCTCACTTTCTCCACCCCGGCCCATATCCTGCCTATATCCTGCCTGCAGTGGACGCCATGAAACAGAAATGAAAACAGAATAACAGAATATAGGTAGGTCCCGGAATAAGAATACGAGAAGTACGAAGCCAAAGGATAGCCAAGCTCACAAAGCTCTAATTCGATCGACACTTGAACATATGACACGCTAAGTGACTGTATATGTACACCTGCACCTGCACCTGCACTCTAGCGGAGCTGACAATGCAACCTGAAAACTGGGGACCGTCCATCTTCCAATGTCGACTCTCAGAAGGGCCAGATACCGAGCGGCTGCCGTATCCAATGATTGGCGCGCAATATGAATTTGATATCCTCGACATCGGATAACCCGTCCTCCGTTGGGCGGAGTCCGCCGCCTCTCCACTGTGATTGTGAAGAGATAACTCGAGTTTAGTACTCCGTACGGTATGTCTGGGTTGCCGACCGTGTTTCCAGTATCTACTGTCGGTGCTTTCGCCTGGATTCGACGGTCCTGCATATTGGACCGGTACTGTACTTGTGACATGGAATCATGTTGACGTTATAGCTATGTCAGATGTCAATTGAGCACAGTACATGTCCGTTGAGGCTAGTTTTCCTCACCGGCAGTGGAGGAACCGGTTCCGCCTGCGGGGTGAAATGGCGGCGCCAATCACGCTAGAGTCCCAGAGACAGTGACAACTCCGAGGAGAGGAGTCTCGCTTTTCCGTGTTCTCCCTATCAGAGGCCATTGTTCACCATTTATTCCCAGTGGTATCTAATACACCGGAGAGCCGCCGAGTCTCCGCTCGCAAGGCGATGTGATCAGGAGATGGGTGACCAATCAATGGGTGAAACTAGTTCCACGGAAATCCCGCTGGGGAGATGCCCCCTATTCTGCCCTTGGCATGGGGGCTATAATTGTATCTCCGATCGAAGGCCCGATGGGCATCAGACTTGACCCGATCGGTGCTTGTGGATGGCCATGACGCCTGGGATTTGATGTTCATCTGGCGTCTGTCTGCTCTTGAGCTCTCTAATAGTTCTCCGTCCGCTCCAGCTCCAGCTACTGTCCATCACCACCTGTACTGTATCCTCTCAACTTGGTCCAAGCTACCGGCTACAACCGCGGCTTTGAACCTCTAACTTTGCCACTAGGCCCAATCAGGTCAGGCCCAACCACCGAGCTTCTCCATTCCCCACTTCATCCACTTTGGATCATTTTCTCGGCTTCCCATTGGTGGCATTTCCACACTAGCCTCCTCCCGAGGTCTTTCCCCCCCCCCGACCTGCGCTACACCCCCTTTTGCCCTAGTCTTCCCTCTTTTTCGCTCCCCCTGGCTCCCCCTCTCTGACATCTTGGTACCCACGTACGCTAGGTTCTCTCGCGGGTAGACTAAGGAAGAGAACCTAGAGGGCATTTGATGTCTATATCAACCACCATGTATATCCTGATGGTGTCACTTTTGACTCTTCAGGAAAGGGGGAAAGAATTCGGGGGCTACAGTTTTTTTTTTCTCCTCCCCTTGGTTCCGCTTTTTTTTTTTTCCCCTCTCAAAGAAAAAACCAAATTCAAATAAAAAAAGGACCCCAAAAAGGTGCCCAGTTGTTATCACACATGGGAAAGCTTAGCCGGTCAGGAGGAGGGGGAAAGGGGGCAGTCTCTGGAAATAGCGAATGGTCCGAGATCGAAACCCAGTTAGGATGTATAATTCTGCATATTTCTGGCTTTTTCTTGCGTTTCTCCTCTCTCTGTCTTTCCCCCCCTAATATCAAGATGTAAAAAAGTAAAAAAAGTAAAAAAAAAGGAATAATAAAAAAAACAGGTAATATTTCACTCGATAACCAAAATTACCTACTCCACCGGGGGTCTCCACCACCTCGGATCCCATTCTCCTAATCGTCTCACCTTTTAGGTCGCTCCCAAGTCGCGACTGAACTTTTTTTTCCTTTCTATATACACTAGTCTGTTTTCCCGGTGCCTCGTGCTTACCGCCACCTGCAAGGCATCCTAAAAGCGAACTAAGATTAAGCATCTTGAACTTCCAACTTTACACTCTTTTTTTCTTTTTTTTTTTAAAGATACAACTTCCCTCTGCGCTACTCTTCCACCCCCCCAGGTACGTTCTCAGCCACGATTTCAAACGTGGCAACCCAGTCTTCCGTCCCTTGCTTGAAACGTGTCTGTCCGACTCGTCAATTTCCCCGAACTCGAACTGATTGTTATGTCGACGCGTCTCCACACAGAACGCGGAACATATCCTTAGATTCAGCCTGTTCGTTGCGCGTGTGAATCTCTTATATGGACACCCGGCCCGCTTCCGAGTACGCACAGCCAGGTTCGCATTCGAGATCAGATAGAGACCGACGAGCACGCACCCTAAGAGAATTGCAGATCAAACTTCGGCTGCTGCCAGTGCTCACTACACCCCGCAGCCCGAGGTCCGCCCAGCCTACACGCCACAACCTGAAGTGCGACCTAACATTTCGTCGTCCAACACCCCTCAGTCGGACTACGGTCTGAACCCTCCACCCACCGCCCGCTCCCCGGCCTACCACCAGGACTACCTCCACCGCCCACCCCAATCCTACGCTCCCAACTCTCAACCCGGTGGCGCGGCAGGTATGGCTCAAGCAACAAGTCCGTTCAACCTGCCTACGGGCCCGCGCAGTCCGATCCATAAATCTGACGCGCCCGTTCCTATAGATCCTTCTCTTCCGGCCAACAGCCCCACCTATCCTCCTCCCTATTCTCCCTACCAACCTCAGGGGCACGAGATGGCTCAGTACCAGGGCCACGCGCCGCCGCCGCACCAGATGTACGCGCGCCCGGACTGGCCGCACAGCTACGGACAGCAACATCACGGATTGCCCGGTCCGTATGCTTCACCCGCTACAACGGTTGGTTCTACATCCCCTGTTGCCGCCACTGCAGGGCCGCGCCCTGGACAGGTATGTTTTTGATGATTCCTGGAGAAGGGGGGATGCTGGTTTTCTCAAGGCTCCGCATTGTGTTCCTTTTCATTGTTGTCTTCGGAGAACCTCTGGACTCGACTCGGGGCAGTTTCTCTTGTGATTGCACGTCGCCATCCCAGGGATCGCCAAAAGCAGCGCTTGTCGCCCCAATCGCGCATCTGGCGATTGGGGTTTGGTTTTGAATCTTTTGCGATTGAACCAAGACTGACTCTGGATTCTCTGTTCTCTAGGTCTACTCTTTCGTCCCAATTCCGGGTGCGCAGCAGCACAAGCGTCCTCGTCGTCGCTACGAGGAAATCGAGCGCATGTACAAGTGCGGATGGCAGGGCTGTGAGAAGGCTTATGGCACTCTGAACCACTTGAATGCACACGTGACGATGCAGTCCCACGGCGCGAAGCGCACTCCTGAAGGTAAGCTCCTGATTTCCTTTGCTGGATGAGTGGTGTGGTCGATGCGATGAAGATCTTCGATCTTTTGTCGCAAATGGCTGGATCGGGTTAGCGCCGGCCGCGTGGGCACTAGTGAGTTACACTAGACGTCGCGGGGCCCGCAGTAGCGTGGCCGACGGCGTGAGGTTAAGCTTGTCTCTATCCCTTTCCGGCGGCCCTAGTACCTGTCATCCACTAGTCCCGATCTTTGTCCAACGCTATGTCTACGTCACGTATCATCTCAACACTGCTGACCATCCTGTCTCTTTTTAGAATTCAAGGAGATCCGCAAGGAATGGAAGGCTCGCAAGAAGGAAGAGGAGGCTCAGCGCAAGGCCGTTGAGGAGCGTGAGCGCGCCGCCGCCCAAGCTGCCCAGGCCAACCAGGTCGAGGCCCCGAACCCTTCGGATCCTTCCCATGGCCAGCCACCTGCCTATGGCAGTGGTGTTCGTCCTCAACTCCCTCCTATCGGCTACCAGCCTGCGGACAGTCAGGTCCCAGGCCAGTACGGCGCTCCCCCTGGTGGGGGCATGGTCTACCAGAACGGACAGATGGGCTACCCTCCCAACTACCCTCACTCTCCCTACCAGAGCGGACCAGTGTACCCGCAACGTGAGTAATGTCGCCATCACCTCCAGGATCGACCCTCTGGACCTGCTTAAGACAAGGTCATCCTCGCTCGACCTTGTCCCGTCCGCTGATCTCAAACCCGGCTACGGCTTCCAGAGACCACATCCGTCAGTTATCCGCAATAATCCTCCAATAATCAAATATCCATCAACCACGCTCTGGACGGACGGAACTGCATTGCCGTTTTCTGTTTTTCTGTTTTTGTTTTCTGTTTTCTTTGCTCCGTGCTCTGTGCTTTTTTTTTCCCTTTCTAATCACGATATCCCCTGTCCTTGACTAATGTCCTCGTCCTGGATTCCGATCCCCTCCAACCTCCGCTCCCAATTTACTGCAATGATACCAACCTCTTGAGGCCTATTATCCGTTAAAGAGTGGCTTTTCCGGCTTTGTTCTGTACCTGTGATTCTACCTGCTCTTTTAGAGTTTGCTTCGCGAGTTGAGAAGATGTGCTCCCTTCTTCCTTTTTTTTTCTCGCTCTGTCTCCTATCTTGTTTTCAGATTCGATGATGAATATCGAAGGGATGTGCGCTTCTTTGTGTCTTTTACTCATATCTCTCTTCAGCTCACTGACCAGGATCGTGCCTTCAAGGAATGGTGGGCGGTGGATTCTTTTGCATCTGTCATACTGATTAGCATTCTCCCAAAATGGGTTTCATGGGGGTTCTTTGTTTTAGTCTCATGTTGTTTCCTTTTTCTCTCTGGTCTCTTTTCCCTATCTGATGTCTTACCTTTGCCCATGCACTGGTTCTCCTCTCCTCTCCTCTCTGTATCTCCGTGTGTGTGCTTTTCCTGTTTACATTCTTTTCCTTTCTCCCCGCTTAACGTACATTATGCTACACGGACTATTTTCAATATCTGGCTTTGATTTTTTTTTTTTGTGTATCATTTAACCCAGACTCCTTTTTCTCTGGTCAATCTTTCTATTTGCTATTTACAGTTTCCTTGATCTGGTCCACGGCTTCACTGTAATGTGCTCGAATATCAGCTGTCATTGCCCTTTTACTGCTTTGTACATAACAGATCCCACTCCCACCAGGACAACACAAGGCACCCACCTCAAAGTGGAAACAGGACTCAAAATTAGTTCCAAATCAATAGAAAACCACAGCAAGAGTGAACGAACCAAGAGATCCAAGCCTTCCTCCCCTCCCACTAAAAACTCGGAACTCGGTCCCTGACCCAAAAAGCCGAGACAAGCCACGCCTAGCCCAAATTAGGATTGAGCCACGCACACACGCACAAACACAAAAACCACGGATCAGATCCTAACTCAAATAAGTTACCTGACTCCACTGCATCGCCGCAGCACGAGCATCCCATCTGCTGTAAGTGGCAGATACGGCCTAGGGAGGACAAGTCCGATAAGTTATAACGTTTAAGTCAACGTTACTGTAGACCAACCAATGTGCACTTACCACGCACCGCTGCACCAGGTCAATGCTTAGCTTTGGTTACATGTACATGCAGGCGTACTGTACATGCACTATGAACGGGTACCTGAGCAGAACTATAACCACGCCTAAGAAACAGCGCTAGACGTCGGTCATCTGTCGTGCAGGATGTACATGTACATGTACATGTGCCTGATCTGTACCTGTGCCTGCGCAGTGTACCCTGTATCGCGCTGCTTACTCTGTACCCGTATCCATACCTACTGTGTACAATTTTAAGTTGGAGCGGGGAGGCGCGAGCTAGTACAGTATAGTCCAGTATTGGGAGTACGGTACACTAAGGAAGTTAACAAGCGTGACTAGGCAAGTGACTAGAGACTAGTTTCAGAGCCAGGAGGAACTGGAATTCGGGACTAGGAGACTCGGGGCTAGTGGCTCGTCACTAGCATCTTACTGTACTATACGGAGTACGTCCGTACATGTACATCCTATCTCCACGTGGCTGAAGGAAGTTAGGGTCCCGTCAGTGTCAGCCACCGATATCATCGTGGCGCTAGTTTTTAGTTGGGGGTTCGGAGTTGGGCTGAGGGGCGTTTTTTTTTCTTTTCTTTTTTCTCTTTTGTGATTTGGTTGCTGCTTACTGTACTGTGTGCTGGCTGCTGGCTGCTGGCTTTGGGATGGGGTGGCTTGTTTGGGTTAGTCGGGGTTTGGCGTGCATGTACTTGTGTGTTACTTGACTTGGTATAGTACTTGAGTGTGGTGCATTTGATATGTTTTTTCTACTTGGCTTTGGTTTCTGTGACTTGGGGTGTGCTTATGGGACTGGGACTAGAGAGGGTGTTCTGCATGGATGTTGGGATGTGTTTTTGATGTAGATGTAGGTGAAGGACTGATGGATCTTTGTATGTCGGGATATAACTTTAGGTCAGAGCCATAAAATCGTCCTCGAGAGAGGCAGCATGGGCTGTATGAGACACCTCTGTCCCAATTCATTAACTGGGCTGCAAGTAGGGATCGTCTGAAACCTATGGCTGAAGGCATACGAGAAATATCATGTCCAAAAATTACGATATGGACGAGACAATCTAGCCAAGGTGGAAAAAAGGCTTGTTTGTATAGTTCGTACGGAAAGGCCCGTCCACGGTTCTGTACGGAGAATGCAGATCTAGATCCGGGAACTAGTAAAGTACTTAACGCAGGGTTTGAGACTCTGGAATTGTGCTCTAGCGTTCCCGTCTAGGCCCGCCGGGAACAAGGGTTTGGAAGGGAACTAAACTAGTTGCAGTTTAGTCGGATCTGGCGCCTGAGGTGTCAAGAAGATCGATCTGGGCTAGGGTGACACCTCAGGCAGCAGGAACTATTAATGCCTGAATATTGAGGGACACTGAGCTAGCCTACTCTGGACTAGCGTCTAGTTACAATCTGCGAAATTGTTTCGAGATTGTATCTCGAACGCGCAATGTGGACATAATATCCTTTTTGTCTCTTTTTGTCTGTCTCTTTCGTTGATCTGATCTGCTGTGATTTCTTCTGCGTTTTATTTCAGCATTCAAACCCGACACTGGCTCAGAAAGCACTGATATCCGGCCATGACATTCCGGTTTCCGGGGTCACTCGTGAACAGAGCTTTGCGCAGCAAACTTCTCACCGCGCAGCAGCACCGTGCTTCTGTGGTAGGGGCTTTGCGACTTCAGCAGACACAGCCATGGCTCGCTTCTAGTTCCCGACTCTACCACTCAGCCACCGAACGCTCCTCCGGTCGAAACGACTCCTATCGCAAAAGCTCGCGCCCAGGCCCAGGCCGTTTCGAGAAGGATGAACCGAAATCGATGAATAACAAAGGGAGGGGAAGCCGGAAGACCTTCAATGATGATTTATCCTCAAAGAGGGATCGGGACTTGTTGATGGCTATTGCATCTGGCAAGGAAACGATCGGTGGCCGACATGAGGCTGATGTTGATGTTGATGGTGACATCGCTGAAAGTGAGGCCCTAGACCAGGCGGCTGCTACACAGTGGTCTTCTGAAGCCGAGAATACTGCCACTGAGGCGTCTGGAAATGATCCCTCGCAAGATCAAGGTCCTCAGGCTGAGGCTGAGGTCGAAGCTAAGGCTGAGGCTGAGATTCCCAAGGGCGATGCCCCCAAAGAGCCTGCCTCTTCGATTATCAAATCACTCAAAGTTCCCAACAAGGTCGTTATGGAGGAGCTGAGATGGTTGTCTGATCCCCGCGACTTTGCGGAGCGAGTGTCCCGTATCCTGCACGCTGGTGATCCCGCCCTGGCGGCGGCGCTGATCCGTACTGGAACCAAGATGGGTATGAGGTGTCAAGTTGCTTGGAATACTCTGCTCCAATATTGTATGGATCAAAATCACCCGCAAGCTGCATTCAAGTTTTACAATGATGTGAGTTTCTTGTTATTTTGCTAGTCTGGAAACTACCTGCTAATGGATATACCTCTCTTAGATGAAGAAACGTGGCAGAAAACCAATTCCATCGACATATACGATCATGTTGAAGGGATTCAGTTCAGCGACAGAATCACCAAGTCTCGTTAAGACTGCTGCCGCTGTCTACCGTTCAATCTCCTCCCCGAACTCTGGCGTCAATCAGAGCATTATTCATACCAACGCCATGCTTACGGTCTGCCAAAGACACAATGATATGGATCGTTTGTGGAAAATTGCCGGTGACCTACCAGAGGAGGGACCAGGTGCCCCAGACGCGACTACCTATACTATTATCTTGGGTGCCGTTCAATTCGCAGCTCGCAAAGATATTCAGAAAATGTCTCCCGAGCAGATTGATAAGATTCTCGAGCGGAAGACCCAGGCTGTGACCGAAGGAAAGCGGATTTGGGCCGATATTGTTTATCGGTGGACGAACCAAGCCTTGGAGCTTGACAATTCTGTCACGAATGCCATGGCTAGCTTGCTGCTGGATGGAGCAAGTGACCTTGACTGTTACAATGTCATGGAGCTATATAAGCAAACCATGGGCATTCCCATCCTGCAAAAGCGCCCTGTCGAGTCTGAGAGTTCATCCCGTCCCAGGATCACTCGCGAAGAAACCCAATCACTTGAAAAATCCCATGCAGTCCGAGAGGAGAGCATGGACGATGTTCCATTTGTGGATGAAAATAACCAAATCATAAGAGAAACAGAGGCGGACGAAGAGCCCCAACCATTCGCCGAAGATCAACCAGAGGAATTAGAGGAAGAAGAACCAGAAGTGGAAGAATCTTTCGAAGGCCTCTTCAAGCCTGTGGTCCCAGACTCACCAGAGCTTTCATTCCTCAAGCCAGACAGCAAGGAACTCACTCTTCTTCTTAATGCCTGCTTCACCATAACCCACGGCACTGACGCTGGTATCAATTATTGGAAACTTTTGACCATTCAAGACCCCAAATATCTTATCGAACCTGATAGCGTGACCTACCTTCAATACTTCCGCCTTCTCCGCATTTCCCGCTCCAGCAAAGTCGGTGTCGCAGCCTTACGGGATCAGATGATTCCTTCTGGTGTGGCAAACGGAAAAGCATTCCACGTCGCCCTCAGTATCTGCCGTCGTGACCGTCGCAACCACGCAGTTTTCTTACACGCAAACGAGCTGATGTCCTTGATGGAAAAAGCGTTGATCCTTCCGGATATCCGAGTCCTCGAGGGTTATCTAGAAATGATCCAGATCCTTTCAAACCAACCCTCCTTCCTCCTGCACCTGCGCGGCCTCAATATGGAAGATGCCTCCAGCAAAAGCAGACTGCAAGATATTGGCCGTAAGATCCAAGCCAAGCTGCGCCTAGTAGCCCTCGCTACCCTGCGACCCCATATCACCCAGCTCCATGAGGCCATGGAGCTCGGTGGTCCCTCGAAAAACAGTCGCTGGAGTGCTATTCAAAACCAAAAAGACCACGTCAGCGGTGCCGCCGCTGTCAAGATCATGTCGCACATTCGTTTGATCATTGACGATACTCTCAAGGACGAGTATAAGGCTTTCGTGTCAAAGGCCGAGCGCAAGACCCTGATGGCAGAGTCGAATATGCTGAAGAAGTATTCTGACAAGGCTGTCATTCAGACCTTCAGAAGCAAGACTGTCTACCCGACACCGGAGCAGAAGAGACTCGGTAGTGAGCGCATCAAGAAATTCCAATTAGATGCCCGGAAGGAATTTTGGAACAAGAATCTTGGTGAAGATTCCTCTCAGCAGGTGGAGGGGAAGGCGAAGCATTCGGACGAATCTGTCCTCCAGAAGGACTAGAGCTGACTTGAGCATTCTTGTCTTTGCCTATTACGGACCTCATGAAGGACCGTTTGTATAATGCCTGTACATCATACTTTTGGGATATAGACGGCGTTGCATATGCATTTGTACATAATACCACCGGTACATTCTCTACTTTATATACAAAAGAAGACTATTTCAACGTTTGAGCCTTTTTATTTTATATTCAATGTTTTGTTAGTTTATAACCGGGCCTAGACACTCACTCCACGGCCGCGCAATCCTAGATGACATGTTTACTCTATCGCAAACGTAGCTTTCACGATAGGTCAAACCCTCCGCAACCCCTCGACTTGGCGATATCTCATCTGCAGCTCCTGTGTCGCAATAGTAGAAAACACGCTAAAGCACGCAATTGCCGTCTTCAGTGACATCTTGCATCTTGGAAGTCAAATGTGTCTCGGCCGATGGCCGAAGCCAAAGATAAAACTAGGACCAGATCGCAATGGCAGTGATAGCTCTCTATCAGATCAGAATCCAGAAAGATGGCCATACCCAAACAACAGCGGAAATGGTATCACATCCGATGGTTTACAGATCAAGACACAAAAGAGGAGAGGAAGCTCATCCTCAAACTAGATCTGTTAATTGTTCCTTATGCCTTTCTGGCGTATTGGACCAAGTATATTGATCAAGCTAATATCAGTAAGAATCTGTTTCAATATGAGCATCATTCGTCGATGGCTGACCGATAGAATGACAGATAATGCCTATGTCTCTGGTCTCAAAGACGACCTGGGTCTGCATGGGAATGAACTCGTGCAGCTGCAGACTATGTATACCATTGGGGCAGTGGTCGGCCAGCTTCCTTTTGCGTTCTTGTTCACCAGGCTTCCTATGTCTTGGATAATTCCGTTCATGGATGTTGCTTGGGGCATCTTTACGTTGGTGCAGTATCGCGCCAACTCTTATGCGGAATTAGCTGCGTATCGGTTTCTGGTGGGATGGTTTGAGGTATGTCTGATGCTTCCGTTGAAGGGGAAGTGCATTGTTTGCTGATCTGCACCAGGCGGGTTTCTTTCCAGGCATGCACTATATCTTCGGTGAGCATATTGTTCGACTGCTCAGAACAGGCCCTTCTGATTAACGTGCTATAGGCTCATGGTATCGAGGCGACGAAATTGCTCGACGAGGAGGCTGTTTCTATGTCGGTCTCACATTTGGTACTTTGACAGCCAGTCTCATTCAAGCTGGTGCTTCAAGCAGCCTGGACGGTGTGAACGGACTAGCAGGATGGAGATGGATGTACATCATCTGCGCCATCATCACCATCCCCGTTGCGATCCTCGGATATTTCATCCTGCCAGGCTCGCCAGACAAGCCGAACAGATTCGTACTGAAAGACGAAGACGTCCAACTCGCCAAAGCCCGCCTCGAACGCGCCTCTCACAAAACCGAAGAAAGCTCTCTCTCTTGGGACACTGTCTTCAAGGTCGGTCGGAACTGGAAATTCTGGGCCATGCTATTGCTGGATATTTTCTTCTGGAATGCATGTATCAACACCAGTGCCGGTGGATATCAACTTTGGCTCAAGAGTCTCGGGAAATACTCGACCAGTCGTCTGAATGAGCTGGCTGCTATATCTCCTGCGCTGGGTATATTCTATACACTCTTCGTGTGTTTCTCGTCCGATCTGTACCTCGGCCCTGCATGGGCCATTACCGTGTCCCATCTCTGGAATATCCTGGGCCTTGTGATTCTTGTGATATGGGATGTCCCAGACTCGGCCCTTTGGTTTGCTTTCTTGACAACTTACTCGGCTGTTGCTATGTCTAGTGTTCTCTATGGATGGATCAATAGCCAGCTGCGGTATTCACCTACTGAGCGCGCTTTGACTCTTATCGTGGTCAATACGGTAGCTCAGTCTACGACCGCCTGGACGCCTTTGCTTGTCTTTAAGACCGTCGAGGGTCCGCGATTCACCAAGGGTTACTCGTTTGTTCTTGCTAATGCGATTTGTTTGATTGGGCTTGCGCATGGCATTCAATACTTCATATCACGGGAAGAGTAAGTCTTTAGCCGACTTGATCTTTGTTCGAGCACTATCTGACCTCGGTATATCTAGGAAAAACAAGTCGAGCCGAGAGAGTATTTCTGACTCTGATGGCGCCGGTACTTCGACTGGCCTCGAGTCTGGTACTCAGCATGAAATTGTACAAGGGAAGGTTGATCAATCCGTGTAAATGATAACTGCAGTTGAGTTTGATTATCATGATACGGGCAAGTAGAACATGAAGGGCAGCGTGGCTTAGACGAGCATGTATATAGTGACTGTAGCGAATGCATACTAGAAAAAGAATAAGTTGTCCAGCTCATGAGAATCCGCACAGTGCATCCCAGGCATGTTTCTTCTGTCTGGCGCAATCATAACCTCGGATGCCTCGTGACTAGACCAAATTTCGCGCGTGTAATATAAGCCTGGCAGGTCTTCAAAGACAAGTTGAAGATTTCGTCGGACAAGTGCTTCAAAGGTTACGACTTTTGGTGACTGGTCCTGGCTGGTCTCTTGCCAACACCCCACACGAGATATTGCCGTCAAAAATACCTGGACCCAGAATGTCTTGTGTGTGATCGAGTTCACCGAGGGTCCTGATATTCCCTCCACCTGATCCAGAGCAATATCTCTTAGCGTTTTCCCTTGAGATTCGAGAAGTAGCTTTCTGTATAAGTACAGTAGCAAATGCGAATGACTCGAAATCCGAGGAGAATCTGCCACTGACGATGCAGCCAATTCATCTGCACCTCGAATAATCCAGGTAGCCCGCAAAGAAAGATATTCAACAGTTGGTAGCTCGGGGCCGTGTCGCAGTAAAGCACTCTCCATCTGCTTGAAAAGAGCAGATTGCTCATGTGATCTAGACGAAGGATTGATGACGCTGGGCAGCGGCTTGAGATCTGGCAAAACAAACTCCATGCGTGCAGCAATACCATTCCAGATCTTTTCGGAGTAGTACTGTCTCCAAAGAGATGAATTTGTGTTGAAAAGGGCGCTGAAACTAGCAGAGCTAAGTCGTGACGCAGGGATGTCGAGTATCGAATTTTCATTCGGTGAGTCTTCAGTCGCTGCCTCGAATGATTGGATAGCAGCGTGGACGACTTGAATCCAGAAGTAGACTTGGGTCTCTGAATATGGTGGAATGGAAGAGTTTGTCCTTCGAAGGCGTATTGTCGTCGCTTGTACCGAATCAAGCGCTTCCTTTACGATGTGACCTCGGCGAGAGGCTGTCTTGAGGGTGTGCTGGACAACTTCAAAAGCGTATCGAAGGAGTCGGTCGGGGTCATTTGACTGCATGGAAAGAGATCCCTGAGTCGGGCTTGACAGTCCAGGCAGAGGCTGCCGATCAGGAAGTACCCATGACTGCCGTGCTGATGTCGAGAACATATGCCCTTTGGTGTAGTATTGCGTCCAGAGGCTGGTGTTCATCAAAGCTGGTGTGTCGAGGAGGACATGCTGAAAATCATCCCAGGAAGGGAATTGACCTTCGTTGGTGTGGACCTTGTATTTCACGATAGCTTGTTGCAATTGCACAAGCCAGAAGATTGTCATCGTCCTTTGAGGTTGTCAGTCGTTTGAATCACCATGGCATCAGTTCTTATTCTTACCGATGTTCTGTGTTTCGAAAACTGTCTGGTTTCATCTCTTTGAGTCGCCTCAGATGTCCAAGAAAAGTCTCCGCCATGTCAAATATGTTATCTCCTTTCTTGAAAGACTCCAAAACGATGATATAGCCAGACTTGAGGTGACTGCGATGGTCCCATTCTAGCAAATCTGCATTCAGAAAAGTTCGCCAGAATTGCTGAGCGTCTATCATGTCTTTGCTCCCTTCTTCTTCGATTTGGGCTTTGAGATCTGTTTCCTTTGGTGCCTGCTGTGATGCTTGTTGCTTTTGAGATATTCCATGGCCGTGCCGGGGATATGGTTCTCGAAGTTTTCTCGTTTCTGTGCCAGTCATAAAAGCAAGCAGATCGTCCATCACCACCGTGATACCTTCCCCGGTTTTGGTACTCAGAGGATGATATATGACTTTGCAGTTGACTGGATCGTTAAAGATGGCCCTCAATTTCTCGGTATATAGTTTCCACAAGTATTCAATATCTTGCCCGGGCCGAGAGTCCTGCTTGTTGAAAAGTACCCAGATACTCCTATAACCAAGATCAAGCATTTCCGTGCCAATACGAGAAAGTAGGTCGATATTAAGCTCTGTCATCTCTTCATTCCAGGTACAGTCATGAAAGAACAACACGCATGTCTCGGGGGTATAAAAGTATTGTAACCAATTCGAGTACCGAAAACATCCCACTGCATAACATATGCTCAGCTCGAGTCTCGACTGGTTTTCCAACCAGGGTGATGGATGAAAAACCTACTCCCAGTATCCCAAATTGAGAATGCGCGTCTTTTATATTTGATAGGCGTAAGATAATGCCCCATGGTGGGGATTGCATACACTGCTTGATTATGTATAAGTTGGGACAGGAAAGTGGTTTTGCCAGAGCCACCTTCCCCAACCAAGAGAACTGGCAACTCCGAATGTCTGTATAGCCATTTGAACATATTTGAACCAACTTAGTGCAGGTCTGAGGCCTGATATGGACAGAGAAGGGCAGATTATTGAGTGCATCTCCGCTAAGAGCTGAGAGCCGCTTGAGTCAATAGTATTGAGGTGCGCTAGTCTATTTTTGGATGACTGCTAGGGCATAGGGTTTGTATGTTTATATCTCGTATTTCATTCTTTTTCTGAGAAACGCTCTTCTGATGTATGGACATTGTGTTATTGAAAACAGGGTGGATTGATAGATGCATGTAACGTAGATTGCTGCGTGAGACCCCTGCATGCTTGAGGCTAGAATATATAGTTTACCATAGTATCATAGCACATCATAACATTTAAAAAAAAAATCCAACAAATCAGCCTATGAATACGTCAGATAACGAATGATATCTCTAGTGGCTGCAATATAAATATACGAGTTTAATGATCCCCGCTCCAAATGTAGTCACGCAATCTGATAGCCGATGAAATGCGTCAACCCGCAATTTTAGACTCATAATAACTATCCGATGCCAGCAAGAGCTTTCGTCCTTGGATACACTAAGATACGCAAGTGGTGGAGATGCATAGTCCACCTGGGCATGACTTGCCCAAATCTCGCAACTCGGACTTTCGCCGTCCGATGGCGTGAGATATCTATCCGATGAACAAATATGCGGGCAATACTTCCGAGCTGGAGTCCGAGAAAGATGCGATGGATTTTATAGACACTCAATGAGTAGTGTAATCTGCTCTGCAAACAGCAACTTGACTATAACTCAGCAGCTATGGGAGACTCCAGCGTATCGACAAGCCAGAATGGCTCGGAAAAGAAGCATATCTTGCTGAATGCGTTTGACATGTCGACCGTGGGACATTTGTCCCCTGGACAGTGGAGGGTGAGTCTTTCAATTGAATGTGAACGCCACCAGGCTAACAGTTCCCAGAACCCCAAGGACAAGTCTGCGACTAAACGAACGCTCGGATACTGGGTAGAGCTCGCGAAGCTTCTGGAGCGCGGAGGAATCAACGCTTTGTTCCTGGCAGATACAACCGGCGGCCATGATACCTACGAGGGCAAACTGGACGAGTGTATTCGCCGAGCTGCCCAATGGCCAGTGACAGATCCGACTATTGTGAGTGTCAACAACCCAATCCGACTGATCAAGATCTGACTTGTTGGGAAAGCCCATCTCCGCAATGGCTGCGGTGACCAAGAACCTCGCATTTGGCATCACGGCCTCAACTTCCTTCGAACAGCCTTTCCTGCTGGCTAAGCGCTTTTCTACGTTGGATCATCTCACCAATGGTCGACTTGGTTGGAATATTGTGACTTCGTACAAGAAGGCAGCCTTTAAAGCCATTGGAGTGGATAGCCCAATTGAGCATGATGAACGATACCGCCAAGCGGACGAGTATCTGAGGGTACTCTACAAGTGAATGACTTGCTTCGTCTTGAATAGAGACACAAGCGCTGACGTGAATTACCTAGACTGTGGGAGAGCTCCTGGGCCTCTGATGCGCTGTCACCGAACCCCGAGGCAGATTCATACATCGACCCCGACAAGGTCCGTCAGATCAACCACAAGGGGAAATACTTCTCGTTAAGCACGCGACACATTGTCGACCCGTCACCTCAGAGGACGCCATTCCTCTTCCAAGCAGGAACCTCGCCTGCAGGATCTGATTTTGCCGCGACTCACGCCGAGGCTATCTTTGTCTCTGCCCATTCGCCAGAGGTGCTGCGACCAAAGATCGCCCACATTCGCAAGCTGGCTGCTGAGCGAGGTCGGGACCCACAGTCCATCAAATTCTTCGGGACCTTCACGCCAATCGTGGGTGAGACTGACGAGGAGGCACAGGCTAAATACGAGGAGCTGAAGAAGTACGCTTCCGTGGTTGGCGGCCTGGTTCTTTTCAGTGGATGGACGGGCATTGATATCTCCAAGATCCCACTGGACCAGGACCTTACGGCTGCAGACTCCTTGGAAGCTGGCAAAGTAACCAGTCTACTGGACTCGTTGCTCAAGACTAGCAAAGATGTCCCACGCTGGACTCCACGTGTCGTTGCCGAGAAGGCTGCAATCGGTGGTCTTGGTCCGGTAGCTATTGGAAGTCCAGCCACTGTTGCTGATGAGATGGAGCGCTGGATCCGAGAATCGGACCTCGACGGGTTCAACGTCGCCTATGTCACTACGCCGGGCACCTTTGAGGATGTGGTGGACTTGCTCATTCCGGAGTTGAGGCGGCGTGGTCTGTATCCTGAGCTTCCAGATCCCTCGGAGCCATCACTTACAGCCCGTGAGAGGGTATTTGGTAAAGGCCAGAAAGAGCTCCGTGCTGATCATATTGGAAGCAAGTATAAGTATGATGTTTATCAAGAAGATGAGCCTTATGTTGAGGGCTCTGAAGACAATTAGTAATATCAGACATTGAGTGGATCTCGGCTCTGTATCTAGATTCATTATATGCCTTATGCAATAACAATCAAAGAAAGCCAATGAATGCATGAGTCAAGCACTGGAGCTGGGAGAGGTGAAACGTGAGTAAACATCCCGTGCCGGGCGGTACGTAATGCCACTCTAGCCTTTCCGGGACAGCTCGACCAACTCGCTTTCATACTCCCGATACACTCCAACTTCTACGTCCATATCTACCCGAAGGTGCTAAGTCATTGATGACAAGTGATACCCTTGCGCTCTCTCGAATCACCAATACACAACATGGCTACTGCACACCAAGGCCACCCCTATGACAACCCCCATGATGATGATTCCCTCCTGGGCGACGACCTGATCGAAGCCGATGACGGTGAGTACAGATCTTGCCTGGGCACTGCTCCCTGCACCTGTACCAAGTTCTAATCCAGTGTGGTTGCAGCCATCGAAGCCGACGACCCTCTGCGCGATACCTCCGACACGGCCCCTCTGCGAGGCAACATCCAATCCGACTCGGGCAACAGAGGCAATGCATCTGGGTACGGAAACTACCTGACCTCTTCAATCGGTGGTGAAGACCGTCGCGCGACACAAAACACTATTGACGAGAGCGTGTGGGAGACACTGTCGCGCGACTTGGTCGCCGTGTGGGAGAAGATGCGCCAGGTGCTTTGGCCGAAGTACCTACTCGGAGGCATCATGCAGCGTGGAGGTGGTGGGATGAGTGATGCCGAGAGAGGCGAGGCATCAGGGTTCGGTCGTAACATTCGAGGACTCGTTGGACGCTGGCCGGATGCCGACGTGGTCCTGCAGGGTGGCATGAGCGATGGACTGCGCGATTGGGATCTCTGGTACGTTCCACATTGAAACTCTGACTCTGGGCGAAGAGAGGCTAACGTCTGCTTCTACCTTATAGGGGGCCACTCATTTTCTGCTTGGTTCTGAGTCTGTTCTTGTCTGTTGCCAAGGGCGATCAGTCTTCATTGGTATTCTCGGGTGTATTCTGCATTGTTTGGATCGGAGAGGCGGCTGTCACCCTCCAGATCAAGCTGCTTGGTGGCAAGATGTACGTGGGATTCGACTTCCCTTCCCTCATTCGAGTGCGATATACTGACATTGCGACTTGCTTTCTAGTTCCTTTTTCCAGTCCATATGTATCATCGGTTACACGCTCTTCCCCCTGGTCATTGCGGCGATGCTCAGTGCAGTCGGACTACCTACTATTGCGCGCATACCAGTGTATCTAGTATTGGTGGCATGGTCATTGGCCGCTGGAGTGAGCATCTTGGGAGGCTCGGGGGTGGTTCGAAACCGTGTCGGTATCGCGGTGTACCCACTATTCGTCTTCTACATCTCGATTGGGTGTCTCTGCTTCATCAGTTAAAGTTTTATTGTCGTGGTATTGCGCCTCGGTAAGGTTGAGGCAATGCGCCATGTCATGCGCGGCGAGCCTCGGCGCATCCAATGGCCTCAATAGCGAGTCATTGTATCTGAATAGCCCGGGGGTACCGGTATATCCTTCAATCGCATTTAGACCAATGAATTGCTATTGTCTATTCATGTTTGATTGCCAATAAAGACTTTAAAACCTTAGGAAATTGGCGGGGTAAATAGCTCCGGGGTACCAGTATATCCTTCAATCGCATTGGACCAATGAAATGCTCTGATTGAATTCACGTTTGATTGTCAATAGGATTTTAAAATTGCTTGGTTAAATTAGCAGCTTAAACTAGCTGGTGAAATTAGCTGGTGAAATTGGCTCAGTGTTTGGCCCCGCACCCGGCGGTCAACCCAGGACATCGGGTACGGAGAAGTTAACCTTCCTTCTCTCTTCCTTCTTCCCTTCTTCTCTTCTTCTCTTCCCCATCTTTCTCTTCTTCTTCTCATCATCTCTCTTACAGTCCCATTTCTTGTTTCTGCTCTGATCTAGCAGCATTTCTGTTCCCCCCTCACTCAGTTTCTGTTAACCACTCACTTATCTGCAATCTCACAACGAGGTTGTCCTCCCCCAAGGACGCTGCGCCATGGCTCCTGCTCCCGTTGAGCAGGACCCCGCGCCTATCGGTAAGTGACAGCCTAGCACTTGAACTCGAGCCTCCCTGCTTTCCCCCCGCAATCTTGAACACTCCTGCTGACAGTCTCCAAGCTCCAGGGACCACAACAGGCAACATGCAACCCAATCGTGAGTAATTGGATAATGGTCTTCGCTTCTGCGATGTTCCTCATTTCCTGCGACTCTAACCTCCTTAACCCCCTACTATCTGCTCGCCAGCCTTCTGAAGTCCATTTGTGTGGACTTCGAACATGTGATCTGACATCTGCATTTCTCTAGTGACCGACGGCAATCCGTCTTCTCCCAGCTACTCTGACCACAACGGAGGCGAACGCCCCGTTCGACAGCAACTCCAAGACACAAACCTCGACGCCTCAATCAATATGAAGGCTAACAACAAGCGCTCGCATGGCGAGTCTGACAATGATGCAGCTTCCGAGGCTGACGCCCCCCCCAAGAAGCGATCCAGAGAGTCGACCCCCGTAACATCCTCGCGATCCCGTGATTCCTACTCACTTAAGAAGCGCTCGCATGACGAGTCTGACAATGACACAACCTCCGAAGCCGATGCCCCCCCCAAAAAGCGATCCCGTGAATGCACCCCCGTGAAATCCTCAGGAGCTCAGCCTTCCACCTCAAACACTTCGTCCGGAGCTGAACAGCCCGAGACCGAGACCGCAACCGCCGGTTCTATTCTGCCTGTGAGTGAATCGCCTCTCCCTGATCACGAGGACGTCCCAAACCCCATGCGTTCTACTGCTTCTACCCCCCCCTCTTCGGGCCCACGAGCCAACTACCATTTCCCCTGGATCCCCCCGTTACACCACCCCTGGTTCAAACGACCCGGATTCTCCTGATATTCTGCGACCTCTGTCCTCGCTCTCCCCTCTTCCTGACTACGAAGATTCCCCAAGTCCCGCACAGCTCGCGCCCCCCGTCTCTGTCCCTCTTCTTGAGGACACCGATCTGGAGCGGGCTGAGCTAGAGACAACTTCCGACGAGTCTGTGAATATTGAGCCTGAGAGTGACAACGGCTATTCCACATTTATCGCGCAACCTGAGTCCGCCATCTTTGCCCCTCTCCCTGAGGAGACCGTTAGGGAGAGCATCGAGCTAGAGACAACTCCCGACGATTCTGTGATCGTCAAGCTTGAGGGCGACGCCGACGTTACTCCAAACCTTGCGCAGTTCCAGCCAACTACCATTTTTCCTGGATCCCCCCGTTACACCACGCCTGGTTCAAACGACCTGGATTCTCCTTCTCTTCCGCGACCTCTGTCCTCGCTCTCTCCTCTTCCTGACTACGAAGATTCATCAAGTCCCGCACAACTCGGCCCCCCCGCCTCTGTCCCTCTTCCTGAGGACACCGACCTGGAGCGGGCTGAGCTAGAGACAACCCCCGATGATTCTGTGATCGTCAAGATTGAGGGCGATATCGACTGTGATCCAAATCTCGCGCAATTCGAGTCCCCCGCCTGTGTCCCTTGTCCTGGGGACACCGATCTGGAGCGGGCTGAGCTAGAGACAACCTCCGACGATAATGTGATCGTCAAGATTGAGGGTGATGTCCACTATTATCCAAACATCGCGCAACTCGAGTCCCCCGTCGGTGCCCCTCTTCCCGAGGCGACCGTTCTGGAGAGGAACGAGCTAGAAGCAACTCCGGATGATAATGTGATCGTCAAGCTTGAAGGCGACGCCGACCTTACTCCAACCCTCGCACAAATCAAGTCCCACAACCATGATCCGCGTCCCACGGAGACCATTGTCGAGAGTATTGAGAAAGACCCCAAGCACTTCAGAGACTGGTCCTCGCATAACAATCCATACAAAGTCTCCAACAAGGCCCCTGTCCCTAGGGCTCCGGAGAAGACCGAGCCCGAGACAATTTTCGATGAAGCTGGACCCTGCAAAATCGAGGATGACACCAATATCTGTCCTGACCCTGTCAGCATGATCAATCTCCACAATCACAACGTGGAGCAAGGACAAGTGGATGGCCCCGACAAGGATGTTCTTACTAAAGTTTGGGTCGAAGAATGTCAACCTACAATCAATGTCAGCATCAGCACCCCGTCTGAAACCTTGAATATTCCTGAGACACCCAATGACCGCTGGGATCTCGTATCTGGCGCCCCAGTCTACCACAAGACAGTACACTGCGAGGCTACTATCACAGTATCGATTGAAGGACACGCACAAATCCCAGTGAAAGTACCATTTGACATCAACTTGTCGTTCGAAAAGCCCGAATGTCCCGGATTGTCTGACCAATCCAATGGCTCAGAGTCGTCGACTTCTCCGTCCATTCTTCGCGGGCGCCTTGTGTCGACCCCGGATTCTCGTATCCACGCAAGATATGGTCATCGCGCGAGATATTCTGCTGCCCCTGCATCTCACATCTCGATGCCTGACGAGGATACCATGAAGGACGATATCCCATCCCACATTTCCACATCTGACGAGGATGCAATGGATACGTCATGCTTCGTTTCCATCGCTGATGAGAATACCATGAAGGACGATATCGCATCCCACATTTCCACCTCTGACGAGGATGCAATGGATACCTCATGCCACATTCCCACATCTGCTATCGAGGATGCAATGAATATTTCATCCCTCACTCCCGTCTCAGACGAAATACCTTCGCATGGACATATTTTGCCCAGTTCCCATCTACCCAGAATCCCGGAGCCCACCACTTACACTGATCATTTCGGTTTTGGACCCATTAATAACCCAATCTTCACCCAGGAAACCGAAAACCTCACTGCTCCCACGGAATCCATCGAGACTAAGACAGTCCCACCGGACGCAAACAATCTGGACGAACGCAAGCCCAAGATGAATCAGGTGACTTTGCTTTCTGGTTTGCTCCGAAATGATCTTTGCTAACAGAGTACCTTTTGATAGACCTTCTCTTCGAGTGCTTTCGGCAATACCTCTACCGATTCGCCTTTCACCTCGGCATTCAAATCCTCGACCACCTCCACCTCTGTATTCGGGTCCTCGATGACATCAGCCTCCGCTGCTTCACCCTTTACAACCTCATCCGCAACTGCAAAGCAATCGGCCATCCCCCCCAACGCTTCCCATAGCATGAAGCCGGCCTCCACTTCTGCATTTGCATCATCTTCTTTGTCTGCTTTCGCCGGCTCCGACGACTCTCCGTTCGGAAACCTCACTGCGGGTACCTCCGTATTTGGAAACCCAACCACCTCGACCGGCTTCTCTGCATTCACCAGCGCCTTTCCGGCTACCGCGAGACCCAGTGCACTGACAAGTTTCGCCTCCCCCAACGTCACCTCTTCCTTCGGCACCAAGGGCATGTCACAGCCACTTGGTGCCGCGCAGTCCGACAATGAGGACAGCGAAAACGAGCAGGACAACGAGGGAAATGGAAATGACGCCTTCGAGGCCGAGAAGACCGACGAGCGGTTCGTCGAGCAGCCTGGTATGTTTTCATCTTTTAAACCTTACTTGAAATCGAGAGTTTGACTAACTTTAATACGCAGTTGAAACCGGCGAGGAGGACGAGGAGACCGTGTTTGCCAACAAGGGCAAACTCTACTGCTTCGAGAACAAGCAGTGGAAGGAGCGTGGCGTCGGGACCTTTAAGGTCAATGTCAAGTCTGGTCCGGACGGAAAGCGGACCGCGCGCATGATTATGCGTGCAGATGGCGCCCTGCGCGTCATGTTGAACAGTGCTGTCTTCAAGGGCATGCACTTCGGTGACCAGCAGGGTGGGGCCCCTGCTGGTCGCCGCATCTTCCTGGCTAGCCAGGAAGATGGGAAGGTAGCCAATGTGCTCCTTCAAGTGAGTCTTCCCCTTCTTACTTTTTGATCACTTTTTCATTGAATCTGAAATGCTAATATCCTTTTAGTTAAACAGCGAGAGCACGGCGAACGAGCTCTTCGCCACCCTGAAGGGCCTCCTGGAGGAGGCCTAAGTGCCCACTACTATTTTTGTATGATTAGCATCCAAAAATTAACCATGTTCGAGTCACTTGTTGAGCAAAGTAGTATCGTAATCATCATGTCGGCGCTACTTGCCAGCTGAAGCAAGAACTAAATCTGTAAGCCAACCCGGCCAGCGCGTAAAGAAAAAAGAAAACTCATGACGAAGCTTGATGGCTGTTATAGGCTGAGCACCACATCAATGCGTAGAAGTGATTGCTGTAGTCAGATCCAATCTTGTTACCGAATCCTCACTTTAGTCTTAGTTAATCATCACCTAAAAGCCGTCTCGACATGATACTTAGATTCCACTTGATATCTACGGCAGTTTGTCGCCCCTAAATAACTATTTCCTGCCGTCAATCGCTGATTAGCACGGCCTTGTAGGGGCTAGCTACTCTATGGGGTTTGCATGTACTATACAGTAGCAGAGACTTCCATTATTGAAAGGACTCTATTCTAGGCAGCATTGCCCAGGCATCTGTGTGAATGCTCCTTATTTATCATCCACATTCAGGTCGATTTTCTCAAATCTTGACTCGGCTCCGATTTTGGGGGTCCAACGCCAAGTCTTCTGCCTACCGTGCCTGGCCCCCAAATGTATAAAAGCCTCAAATCTTCCCCTGTTCAAATTTGGGTATCACAGCAATGCCTTCAGAGCAGCTTCTTTCTCGTCTCCCCGAGTTTACCCTCCCACCGGGCTATAAGGTGAGTCTGCTTGAAAGTCAACAGTGTACTACAGGCTAACTCAGACAGCCCGCATGGGAACATGAAAACCCTCTCTTTCCTACAGCTCTAGATCAAGAGGCCTGGTATGCCAATACCCTATGATTGATGATGCTAAATTGCTCATATGAACATGGTAGGATAATCTATGTCTATCGAGAGATTTTGATGATGCGTCTTATGAATACCATCACGGATAAGCCTGAATGGGACCACAAGGTAAGATTCTCCATCTGTTGTCCCCGCTGAAATATGACTCAGTGTATGCTGTTAGGTGTATAACGAGGAGATTACCAACAAATGGCGACAAGAAGTGTCCCAGGGTGGTCAGGACGTGACCGAAATCATGATGGATTGGGTTATCAAGGAGCTCCAATGGAAAGCCGAGGTCCTCCAAAACGAAGGACTCACTTTTGTTTTCGATATTGGCGTGATAAAATCGGATACTGCGATACCTGAAGATCTGAAACGACTGTTGAAAGACGCCGTGGCTCCATTCGAAGCTGTCCCAGAGGAGCAAAAGGATTATCATCCTGGAACCAACAACAAGGTGGTTGATCTCGTGCATCAGTCACTCTTTCCTGTTGTTTATGGTCACACGCACATCCTACGTGACAAGACAATCGGCCTGGAGGATTGTTTGAGCAATGTGGGTCAGGGCGAACTACTATCTGCTCAGAACGAAAACCCTCCGGCAGGCTACAGTGGCAAGTTCCAATGGCTTCCTTGTGACGTTGCACTACTTGAATATGACGAGTGTCGGATAACTTCATACATCAGCAATGCTCATCCCGTAGAGCATCAAGCATTGTATGAAGTTGTCGAGAAAATTATTGCGCGAGCCATTCCCCTTTGGAATAAAAGCTTGACATCACCATCCTATGACGTTGGTCAAAGAATACCTTATGATACGGTTGAGTATCTTGATGACTGTGAGCACAAGGATCCCAGACCCGTTGAGAAAGACTTCGACAATGAAAATGAATACTGGGAAAAATGCGATGAATGGGACGCTGCACAGCCGATCAAACAGCCGGAGCCATATGGGAGATTCAAGGCTCCGGACTACCAGGAGCCAGGCAATTGGACTGATCTTCGAAGCGAATTTCGAGAAAGTGGACTTCAAGTCATGGTGAAGCTGGCAAATATCGAACTCACCCCCGAGGATCCTGAATACGAAGGAGGAAGCTGGCATATTGAGGGGCAGTTAGTGAGTAATCTTTCAGTTCATATGATGGATAGCACACGCTGATAACTTTGACTAGAACGAACACATCTGTGCAACGGCCATCTACTATTATGACTGCGAAAACATCACCGAAAGCACGCTCTGTTTCCGCGGACGCGGGAGTGAGGAGCCCATGGAGGAAATAAGTTACGAACAAGAACGGCACGAATTCCTCCAACAGGTTTATGGATTCGCAGGCAACGGTACAAATATCAAAGACCTAACGCAAGAGCTTGGAGGGGTTGTGTGCAAGGAAGGCCGTCTCCTTACCTTCCCTAATGTCGTTCAACATCGGGTCTCACCGTTTTCACTGGCAGACAGATCCAGGCCTGGTCACCGGAAGATCCTCGCACTGTTCTTGGTTGACCCTCATATTCGGATCATCTCGTCTGCTAATGTTCCACCGCAACGTGAGGATTGGGGCGTTGAGAGAGAAAAGGTCGTTGATGGGGCGTTGTCTAAGCTTCCAGTGGAGCTTCAGTATATGGTCCGCAAAGACTTGCCCAAGAACTATATGACTATGGACGAGGCAAAACAGTACCGACTTGAACTTATGAAAGAGAGAAGCGTCCAAACTCGGGATCAGAACAATTCGTTTGAAAGTGGTTCGTTCTCACTTTGCGAGCATTGAGTGGAGCCATCATACCTCGATATTTCTTAATTTATTATTCAATTTCTTTCCACCGAAGTCTCCATAGAAAGTAAAGTCTGTAGCCTAGTTCTGCCTTGCACTTCAATCGTATACTTCCAAGGCCCTTTTCGCATCTATATTCCCCTTCGGGTAATATTGCTCCACGTGACCACGCGTGGCCATTTTGCGGCCGGCGACGACGTCACAGTCAACACAAAGCACAATGGAGCCTCGACATGGCAGGATCCACGTCAAACCAAACCCCGGTATCAACACTGAAACGGAAACGAAGCAATGAGTCAAGCAATCAACCAGAGTCTGCCGCATCCTTAACCTCCGACGCGTCACCCTTAGACCCTGCTCTCCTAGATCCTGCTCTCCGAACGCCTACGAGTATTAGCAAGCCAGGGACCAATGCAGAGGAAACCGAATACTCCAAGCAAACAGCTACCAAAAAGCCAACCAAGGGGAAGAAATCGGCTTCCCAGCCTGCATCGAAGTTGTCAAAACGAACCCCATCCAGGCCACTGCCAGATGCCTTCAAGCGAATCTCACATATCCACCGTGCCTTGAATCTCGTATATACATTTTGTTGCACGCGCAAACACTTTGCAACAACTTTCGACAACATAAAGAAGGCAGTACAATCTCAACTCGGCCAAGGACGGGAACTCACAATCGAGGATGTTGCGCGAGTCAAGGTTTTCGTCCCTCAAGCCGTCAGGTTCGAGTACGTGGACGAAACAAAACTCGAAGTAATGACTGCGGGTGATCAGGAAATAGCTCAATATGGTTTACACAAACGATCGAGTTTAGCAACCTCGGCAGACATGGCCGCAGCCGAAGACACCGATGGTGATGTTTACGGGTCGGATGGCACCAGACATGTGCTATTGTTTGAATTCGTCGACGGTGACCTAAAGCGAGAAGTGCGCCATCCGAAGACCGGGGAGCCTACTAAGCCTTCGCGCCGCATGAAAGACGAGGATTTGAAAATGCCCGTCTACAGCCAAAAGCAGATGCTAGGTCTGATTGAGAAGCGCAACGCCAAATTCTCGGATGCGCTTAACAACTTCCTGGTTCAATGTGAGGATGATAACACAGACCCTGTTGAGTCTCTTGAAAGAGAGAAGGATCTGTTTCTGCCCACACCTCCAGACAGCGGCTCAAATACACCTGCGGTTGTAGCTAAAGCACCAGCAACAATTCCAAAAGAGCGCAAATCCATCGAGGAAATCATCGCGGAAATTCGGCAGATGCAATGGTATCACGCACAAATTGTGCCCGAAGGTCATCGAGTGTTCGAAGCCCAGTCTCCTGTCTTTGGAGATTTGACATTTCAGCTCTCGCAAGACATGGTCAATGCCCTCTACAATACAAGAGGCATTACCCAACTGTACTCTCACCAAGCAGAGGCAATAAACCACCTTTACGAAGGCCACAATGTCATTGTATCGACCTCAACAAGCTCGGGCAAATCCCTTATCTATCAGGTTCCCATGCTTCACGAGCTGGAAAAGGACGCTGAAAGCAGAGGAATGTACATATTCCCCACCAAGGCTCTAGCACAAGATCAACGACGCAGCATGATGGATCTCCTACAGTATATGAACGGGTTACAGCATACGATGGTGGAAACATTCGACGGAGATACGCCTATGTCAAGTCGAAACTTGATCCGTGATGAGGCACGAATCATTTTCACTAATCCTGACATGCTACACATCACGATCTTACCACAAGAAAGTGCCTGGCGGACTTTCCTCAAGAATCTCAAGTTTGTCGTTGTCGATGAGCTTCACGTTTACAATGGTTTGTTTGGATCCCATGTCGCGTTTGTTATGCGGCGGCTACGCCGGATTTGCGCTGCTGTAGGTAATCGTCATGTTAAGTTCATATCTTGCTCTGCTACTGTTGCAAATCCCGAAGACCACATGAAATCTATCTTTGGAGTGCAGGATGTGAAATTGATAGACTTTGACGGTTCTCCTTCTGGTCGCAAGGAGTTCATCTGCTGGAACACTCCGTTCAAAGACCCACAAGACCCAACGTCTGGACGCGGTGATACTGTGTCTGAGACGGCAAGGCTCTTTTGTCAACTGATTCTCAGGGGCGTGAGAGTGATTGCATTTTGTCGCATCAGACAGCTTTGCGAAGTCCTTTTAAAGGCCGTGCGAGCAGAATTTGATACCCTCGAACGCACAGAGGTGGGAAAGCTTGTGATGGGCTATCGAGGCGGGTACAGTCCTCAAGATCGACGCCAAATCGAGAAGGAAATGTTCGAGGGAAGACTGATGGGAATTGTGGCAACCAGCGCTCTGGAACTGGGTGTTGATATTGGATCACTGGATGCAGTCATCACCATGGGGTTCCCTTTTTCCATCTCCAATTTACGCCAGCAAAGTGGCCGAGCTGGAAGACGTAACAAGGATTCACTTTCAGTGCTAATCGGAGATCGGTACCCGACTGACCAGCACTATATGCAAAACCCAGACGAGATCTTCACAAAGCCAAATTGCGAACTGCAAATCGACCTGTCCAACGAACTCATTCTGGAAGGCCACGTCCAATGCGCAGCCTTTGAGATGCCCATCCGCCCAGAAGATGACAGTTGCTACTTCGGCCATCAACTCCTCGCCCTCGCCCCAACTCGACTGGTAAAAGACTCAATGGGCTTCTACCACTGCAACGAACGTTTCCGCCCCCAGCCCTCCCGCTGTGTCTCAATCCGCGACACAGAGGACCAACATTTCGCAGTAATAGACACAACCAACAACCGCAACATCGTCCTAGAAGAAGTCGAAGCCTCGCGCGCCTTCTTCACAATCTACGAAGGAGGCATCTTCCTCCACCAAGGCCAAACCTACCTAGTCAAAGAGCTGAACCTAGACAGTCGCTTTGCACGCGTGGTCCGCGTAAACGTCGACTGGAGCACAATGCAGCGAGACTACACAGACATCGACCCAATAGAAACAGAAGCAATGCGCGCCGTTGGCACAGACCCATCATCGTCGCGCGCATTCTTCGGCGCCATCCAAATCCACGCTGTCGTCTATGGCTTCTTCAAAATCGACAAGCGGGGCCGTGTCCTCGATGCCGTGGCTGTCGACAACCCACCCATCGACATCCTCACCAAAGGCATGTGGCTTGACGTTCCAACGCGCGCAATTGATGTCCTCCAATCTCACAGATTGAATGTCGCGGCGGCAATCCACGCCGCGGAACATGCTGTCCTCTCCCTCCTCCCCTCCTTCGTCGTTTCATCGCCGGGCGACGTCCGCACAGAATGCAAAGTCGCAAAGAAAGAACTGGGTAAATCACTCCGTCGCGCGAACGTGCCAGATGAATTTGAAAAGAAATTACAGCCGCCTTCGCGGCAGAGGCCTGCTCGTCTTACCTTTTATGATGCCAAGGGTGGATCGTGTGGATCTGGAATTGCTAGTAAGGCGTTCGAGTTTATTGGGTTGCTTCTTCGGCGGGCGGTTGCGCGGATCGAGGCTTGTTCTTGTCTTTCGCCGCAGGGCTGTGTGGAATGTTGCTGTGATGAGAGGTGTAAAGATATGAATGTCGTTATGAGTAAGGCTGGGGCTGAAGTTGTCTTGAGATGTTTGCTTGGGTGGGAGGTTGATGTTGATGCTTTGCCTTGGGGAGAGGATGTCGATGGGGAGGAGTTTGGGGTTGGGAGGTCTAGGGAGTTGGCTGGTGGGTTGGAAACTGTTGTTAGGGCCGAGGATGTGCCGTGGAAGGTTGGGTGTCGTGTTGAGGAGAAATGAATCGAGGTCTCTTCTTGTATTCTAGCTCCTTTCGCAGACAATTGTGATCATATGTCTGTTCATAATCTGGTCAAGTATGAGACGACGTGTATGTACGAAGTGCGCGAGGAAAATGTCCCCAATTGATATTATCCTTGTGCCTTAACTTGGGCTCTCTTGTTTCGCTTCTTCTTCGCCCATATTGGGTGTGCTTCATTGCCACCTGAATATTTTGGAGATATTGACATGGTAGAAGTTGTGGCATGTTGTATAAACTTGCAATGTAGGCATGAGTTGTTCTGACATGACTCGCTTTTGATGATTCACTAATTCGCTCTACAGCCGAGACCACTGTAAGTGCGGCTGCTCGAGCTAGAAGACGGTCTATAGTAGTATTTCCGTGTATCACTATTCACCCGGGACTTCCTGAAAAGAGACAAAATACAGAAGGTCCCTTGAATACTCCCACAATGTAAGACAGAAAAGGTAGAAAAGGAAATGATGTAATAGAAATGTATCAGTCAATGATTAGAAGAAGTTGGGTATAATAGATGTACATCAAGTCATGACCGAGAAAATTGTTTTCGGGGCGGAGAGAATCGAACAATGATGGCATAGTAGGCAGGGGGTATGTAGAGTGGTGACAAGGGTAGGGTTGTATGATATATTATAAAGGGGACGACGCTGTGGGAAGAAGGGTTTCATCAAGAGAATCGGCGATGAAGGGGAATTGATGACAAGCGCGAAGAGATGGGGGTATTTGGTGTGCTGGGTGTTCATGGCAGAGCTCAAGGTAACGCTTGTGTCAAACAAAAGGTCTCTGGGGGGTCAAATCTGTCGGAAAAGAACCTAAGTCTTCCAAGGTATGGAACTTGATACCGGAAGCAAATTTGCTTGAGCCAGACGAGGCAGTCAACAGCTTCATACGTCACTCATGCATGATTGCTCTTTGAACTGGAAGGGCTTTCATCTTCACGGCCGTCCAAATTCATTCCCCGGAACATATACTTCATGTCACGAACATTTTCACGGAGCTCATCCCTAGGCTGGCTCAAACGTTCGGCAGTCAAAGCACGAATTTCGCGAATGATATCTGTGTATCCTTCCTCGTTTGGAAGCCACCAATGTTCGAGGTCGGGTGCTTGCCAAATGGTAGCGAGAGCGGTTCGGAATCGAGGGGCCATGATGTATCTGTTCAAAGCAGTTCACGGTCAACATTGTTCTAGGCGAGAGATCTTCAGAAACAGTTGTAACGTACCCATTTTGCTCCATCAACGCCATCTTCCGCCGCGACCACATTTGATATTTGTGCTCCTTTGGAAGGAACATGCTGGCAATTCCAATGCTGTTCTTGAACATGATGCAATACCCGTTCTCCTTGTGTGGCCAACGGTCCATCGTCTCGATCAAGCGGCACTGCTCTTCGGCTAATTCTTGGAGATCTGGCAATTGATTTTGGCCCAAGACCAGCATAGCCTGGTATCGGTACATCGTCTCGGTAGAGAGGATGTCAATCCAGGCATAGTTGAAGTCCCACAAGGGGCCCCGGTGCAGACCTCCAGGAACGTATGGATCCGTAACGTCATCTTCGGTCAGGGGAAGCTGGTGCGGGAATTCCTGCACTTTATATCCATAGTCGTCAAATGTATGCAGTATCGCTTTGGCGTGCTCTATCATCAGACCCAGCTGGTCATTTTGTGCAGCGAACTGTTCCATCGAGATCATGCCGCGGGACAGTTTGGCATACAGTGAGGCCATGTCAAGACCGAAGCGTCTGTTGATCGATGCCACAAGGGCAAGTTGTTTTGATGGGTCGTCAGGGTAGATGGCGGCTTGGTCCGAGTCGTATTGCTCCTTTAAGATATACCAATCTCGACTCAGCACTGTTTCAGTGCCGGCCAGGATCCCAACGACCACGTCGAAGCGGGCATACCATAAGAAGATGTTTGTATGTAGCTCATTCATGTTGGCGGACTCCGGTGTCAATAGTTCTAGCATCAATGCATGTGCCGCTCGGTGGTGGTCGATTAAATTCATCCAGTCGCCGATGTACTCCTGTGATAATCAAAAAAAAAAATGGTTAGCAAAACATCTCGGGGACAAAATGAACAAATCAAGTACCTCGAAGGTTGTCAGGACAAGAACAGTGCACAGTGTCGCCTCGCTGTGTTCTTCCCCCGAGCCCAGGGATTTCCGAAGCAGAATCAAGGCTTTATTGTAATATTTCAAAAAGGTATACAGTTTCCCCCGGGGCTCTGCAAGGTATGATGGTAGGCCGAGAAGCCCACCAGGGCATAGAGAAGAGGCTCATACTGCAACGCAAACTCAATCAGATTGTGTTGAATGAAGCGGAAGCAACTCTGCCTCAAGAAAAAATGAGGCGTAGTCAAGAACTCCAAGTGGAAATTTAAATAAAATCGCAGATCGTCTGGAAGGCGCGCATTGCTGATCATTTCAGCTGTGGAATGTCCAATGCTACCTGAGCGCACGCTCATCGACTCAAAGCGCGACGACTCAGTTGACGGTGAACTACTCTGTTCTTTGATGAACGACGGGACATCCGCGTGTTTGATACTGCGCCTTCGGAGGGACTGCGAGCTTTGGCTCTTATGCAAGTCCGGCCTTGTGGTTGCGGGTGGTGACGGTCGCGATTCAGATGCGGCACTGTCGGGCTCCTCCTCTTCGTCGATGATGGGGTCCAGTGGGCTGATAGACTCGATCTCGTATCTTCCAGACGAGTCGCTTCCTTGTGATGGGGGACGACCTGCCCGCGGCTTGCCTGTAGTCCGCACGCTACCCTTGGATGACGAGGATGACGAGGCTGGGGAGGGATAGATACATTCGCGCGAGCCTTTTCGACACCGTTCACAGAGCGGACGGGTCTCGTCGCATTTGATCCGGCGTGCGCGACACGTGAAGCAGCCGCTTCGCGTGCGCTTGTGTTTCTTCTGGTCGAGTGGGCTGAGCAGGGATGCTTTCTGGGAAGTGTACGAAGGGGCCACAGCCATTGTCGGAGCGGAAGGATCGTGCCAAAATGCCACACTCTCAGGATATGAGGTTGGGCCAAACAGGGAATAAGCCGAGGCAGTGTCTTGCTGCATTGAATCGAGGAAACCCGTCAGGGCCTGGGACTGATATGAGTTCGTCATGGTATATATAGATAGAATGCGGCCCGAACTCCCCACAGAGATCCCAAAAGTTCAACGGCACATGTATGTTCGCATCATCACCCAATCAGTGATCAGTGGAAATAGATGAAGGAAGCATGGAAAGAGAGAGAGACGAAATGGTGGGGTGGAAGTAGGGCCCAAACTATTGGATCCCGGGACGTGCGGAGATTAAAAGAAATCGGCAGCTATAAATTCGCTGTCAATCGCTATAAATCGCTATAAATCGCTATAAATCGCTATTAAACGCTGTAAACCCGCTATGAAATCGCCATACAACCATACCCCGAGTCTCTGGGGACTTCCATCAGCATTCTATTTTGGTGCCGGCCCAGCCTCCGGTCAAAATCAGAAGCCTAAGCGTTGTAAGACGATCCTGATCTGCGACCCGACTCCGTATCCAATACGAGTAATACCTGCGAGTCATGCCTGGACTTCCTGGACAAGACTAGGATGTCTATGGGCTGATCCAGGAAAGCTCTTGTCCGGCTAAACTCCATGATTTGTGTACAGGACTTGGGTCCGGCGGAGTCAAGCGGAGTCTGGAGAGAGCTCTCACTCGTCCGTACGGGGGACATACCGATTAGGCGCAGGGAATAAATTATCCTTTCAATATTTCAAGCTAGCTCTGAAATGCCGAAGTACACCAAACGGATCTAGCAAAAGTCCAGAATGACACTATATCCCCCCTATTCGCCAGTCTTGGCGTATGTGCCGGGTTGCCCCTTGACGATCAGCGATTGTGGTATTTTTAGTCAGGACATATATCAAGCAATAACTGGAGATCACCTCGGATCAACCTCGGCACTCGAAGATTACTGTACAGAAAAAAAGAGAAGAGAAAACCAGAAAGAAACCAGAAAAAGGGGGTACAGGGACGATCCCCAAGCCACAGGGATGTGGGAATCCAAGCAATATCCGGAATTAGGGCTTGGCCGGCTCCATGCAGGACGCAATGCTGGAGCGAATCCAGATCATAGCGCATGTCAATGGATCTCTCCCGGTCTCCCCGAGCGCTTTCCTGAATAGTAGATCCATTGGAATAGCTGTATAGCTTCCTATTTAACCTTGGATCCATTTCGTATTCGCGTCTGCTGCTTTTGATGTTTGCTTTTTCTCTTCCCCCCCCCCCTCGTGTCCTGTACTCGATGGATCCGCAAAATCTCAATAACCAGAATGGAGATGTCAGAATTTTCTCTGGAGCTTGGCTTTTTTTTTCACCGTTATTTGTCGACTCCCGGGTGGGCCAAACATGTCGGCGATAATTAATAGCTAAACCCCGACTGATGCGAGCTCGGAGCATGAATAATAGCGTTTGAACGGACTGTCCCGCTAGTATATCTGTTCTCGGCAATTCTGAAACCTCGCAGGGCGCCATCACAGATGAAAAATGCCGAAAACGTTCTTTTGACGGAGATCGGTCTTGAGTGGAGGCGGCTAAGGGTGATTGTGGGAACCTGGCCCTCAAGCCGAGAGAAACGATACTGTACAATAGTCTGCACTGCAGTATGTTACTTACTACAGTGATGATTCATGGCCGCCTGCTTACTGTAGGGTGGAGAGAGGGGTTATTGTTCTCCTCCTCTTTCACTTCTGTACTATCGATGCGCTGGTCTTGAAAAATGACGCAAAAGAGGCAATATTTAGAACCCATTGTGATTCGCGGGGAGAGATATTCGTCCGAGTTTTAGTACCGGCATTGTTCCTGATCGACGATGGGTTGACAGAGGATGGTGGGCCTAATACAGTAGATCAAAAAGAGATGCACTAAAATCCCCCAAGCCTTGGATCGACTCCATTTTCGGCTCAATTACCTTGATATAGTTGTTAGGTCCGGTATCCAAATGGCCATGATCAATCATTCAATCGACATGCAATTTTAGCAGGCAAAAAAAAAATTAATAAAATAACAGGGGGCACACGGGGAGCGGAAATTACACCCACCGTCCTCCAGGCACGAGGTTCAAGGTTTCAAAACTCCGAACACATGTAAAACTGCACAACTATATTTCCTGGGCCGTGCATGTTCTCCATGTGGGAGAGAGATAATCCGGGCTAAGCAGTTGTTAGCGCCTTAACAGACTGTGGGCCCTGTGGCTTGCCTGAGCAAGGTCCTTCTGAGGCTCCCGAGTTGTCTCCTCTGCGCTACTGTACTGTAGGTCTCTTGAGGTCATTTGGTATCGCCACTGGCCTAGACGTTGCAACTAGTTCAGTGGGCCGGGAGGGCAAAAAGGCTCCAGTCGGGGCTGTCTACCAAACCCATTCGAGACCAACAGCCAGTGCGATTCTGCAGGCTGGTGATCATTGAGAGCTCTGATTTGCGAAATGTGTGCATGAAAGGGGTCTCAATGCAAGGATCTGCTGCCCCTCAGTCCTAGTACTGTAGTTCCTTGTTCCTGATATGAAATTCAATATCTATCAATTGGTCTCTTGGATTTGTTTCTGGGTAAAGTGTGGTGTGTACATCTCGGCCCGTGATCCCACGAGCCCTCAATTGGTCAACGGCACGGGTCAAATTGTCCTTATGGGACTACCAGCGTTGAGACTGATTATCCGGTTCCTATAATAGATGTCTTATATCATCTTGGGGCGACTATTGATGCAGTAATAGTACTAAAGCCCTATCTAGTTAGCTTCAAGTATAACCACAACGGTCTGTAACGCCCAACCTTGGTCTCGCAAGATCGTATACAACGAGCTTCAAAGACCGTTTGACATTATTTCAATGGTCCGTACACCATTGTCATATTTTCATAAAACAAGAGCCCACAATGAAGAATCCAAACCCCACGTACGCCGGTAGATCCGACCAGAAGGGGATATGACATCGGCCGATCCCCTTAATGGACCATTTAATTGAGTTAACGCCAGTGAGACCGGGGGCCAAAACAGACCCAAGCAACATACTTATACCCAAAATAGGTATGGTGGGCATGAGTGACCCAAGTATTGGGAAGTCGGGTTTAATCTGTCACCCCGTTGGCGCCACGATCATAGGCCCAACGTCGAGAGCCAGGGTTGCAGCGCTTCTGCTTGCCCACCTTCGTTCATCGGTGTGTTGCACTGCATATGCTGTGTCGTAGTTCCCCCTCCCCCTCCCCTTTTTCTGTTCTCTCTTTTCCCTTTTGGGGTTCCAGCCTCTTGCTGCATCGTATATCTTTCATGCTGGAGATATTACTGGCGCCAGTCTATGCATTTTCAGGCCCTAGACCAGGGGGGGGCGTTACTCGGACACGTTAATGGGTGTCGCGTGGCTCCGAATGATTGCCCGGCATGCGGTAGGACACGCAGTCAGACTGGTTGTTCTCATACTGCAACTATTCAAAGACAGGTTAGTTTGAAGTCACTTACGTAGAGCCATTCGTAGCTCTATCCACACTGGCATGTGAACATGTGATAAGAAAGTGACCGGTGAGGTGGTTGCAATTTCACATCCCTGTAGATTATCCAGCGATCCTAATGAGTTCTGCATGGTGACCCATTTGGTGCCTGATCTTTTGACCCTTTGTCTCATTTCCGCTCTAATTATCCTGAGACCACGCAATTTACTGTTCTGGACCCTCCGGCTGTCTCGGCATGAACAGCGATGTGCTTGCCCGTCCCTCGGCTGTTTGTGGCGATGTACTGTCTGACTTTGCCTCAAAATGGCCCGCATCCCGAGCTCAGCGTGAACTGCAGGTCCATGTGATGTATTGTCAATGGTCTCTTTATCTTTTCTGCAATACATGAGATATATTTAGTCATAAATCGTCAATAATCAGACGGTGAGATTTGCACATTGGGGGTTTTTAGCCCCCCACCAGTAAGTCGATCACGGGTTGGCGGAATGCAGATCGAGAGTCCCTTCGTCCGGTATCCAGCATTGAAGTGTCATAGACACAGGGGTATTCATGCACTAGAACCGTTTTGTTTCTGGGCCAATTGCTTGAGCACCAAGTCCACTCCTTCGAGGACAACCTCCCACTCGGTCTCATGGACTCGAGTCTCAAAGGTCTTCAGGTCCTCATCCTGACCTTTACGGAAAGGAATCTCCCGCACGAGGATTGGCTGGCCCATATCCACCTCAGAGATGACATCGTGGATCATGACGCCAGTCTTGTCAATCTTGCCCTCCAACCACGCAGCATGAGCGCGGTCAATCGCATTCTAAATCAAAGAAAGAAACAATCAGCAAGTGGTCCCGACTGGCAACACACAACCTTCAGGAGGAAAAAAAGAATATCATGACTTACAACACCATTGAAAGCTCCCGGCAGTGCAGGGTGCAAGTTAATGATCCGAGTTTCAGCAGCCTCCAACGGCTCCAAGAACTGCGGTGACAAAATATGCATGAAGCCGAGACATACCACCAGCTCAGGCGAGTCAGCAAGGATCAGCCTCGCCAGCTCAGCATCATATTCTACACGGGCAGCCTGCACGCCCTCCGTCGTTGCAGGGTGCTGCTTCTTGTACTTGACAAGGTTGTGGTATTGCGTAGGAATGTTTGCTTTGCGCGCGCGCTCGAGACCGAATGCGTCCTTGCGGTTGGAGATTACACGGACGATTGTTGCGTTGAGCTGGCCGGCGGCCACTTTGTCGATCACTGCTTGTAGGTTGGATCCGTTTCCGGAGATGAGGACTGTGACGCGGATGGGGGAGGACATGGTGAGTGAGTTTCGAGTTTGTGGTCGATTTTGTGGAAGTAGGAAGCCCCGCGGTTGCTTGGACGGAGTGGAGGTTTGTCGACTATAAAGTTGATCTTTTGCGGCCGCCTTAGGGTCAATTGGGTTTCGCAGCAAGCAATGAGGCCTCAATTTTACCAGAGAATCCAGAGAATATAAGTTATTAAGTCGGGTCGTAGGCGGGGAGCTGTTGAGCTGAAGTTTTTTGGAATGGCTGAGTCAGCCGCGGGGCAGTCCGCGGAGCAGCGGAGCGGGAACTGTAGATATCGACTGTAGATGTGAGGGCTACGAAGACTACAGGAGAGAAGAGGAACTGAAGATGAATATTTGATTTCATACCCTTTGTGAATCAACAAGAACGTCCCCAACGCTTGAAACATATCAAACAATGGACAAAGCCAATCAATGATGCGTCATGGACAGGTGAGCCATGCCAGAATACACTGGACACTCCCCAAGAGACCAAGAAGACAAGCAATGTAAAACAGCGCGGTAAGGCTCGAATTTGAAATTCCAAGTCATCATCCTCGAGGCCCGAAGAAAATAAACCGACATAAGAGGCATAAAAAAGAGACAGATAAAAGAAACACCCACGAACAATGCGCAAAAGAACAGCAAAGGGGATATCCATAAACAAGATCATTAATCTAAACAGACGCTTCATGCTAAAGCTGAAAAGAGAAGAGTTCAAAGCTCAAATTTGAGCAGTCCATACAGCATGTATGGCCATGCCGAAGAGTGGAGAGGATTAGACAGCTGTGCCATCTGGAGTAGGAGCTGGAGCTGGAGTAGGACCGGGAGCTGAGTTTTCATTGCTGGAGCCTTCATTCACACCTTGACCACGGCAAAGGGGACAAGAGTTACGCCCGGTAGTCAACCACTAGAAGCGAAATTAGCTCAACCGTAAAGACCAAAGTAAACGGGGCAGGGTAACAAACCTGGTCGATGCAGTCCTTGTGGAAGACATGCTTGCATTTATTCAGTTCTCGGACCTCTTCCGCTACTTCGTAGTCACTCAGACAGATCAAGCAACGCTCTCCGTCTGATATTTGAATGGCGCCAGCGCCATCCAGGGCTTCTGCAACCAAGGAACCGCCGTACTCAACAAGACGGAATAATCCGCCTGCGGAGTTTACATCGGCCTCAGAGGCAACAGGGGGTTTAGCTGGACCCAACAGTGACGAGAGTAGGATCATGTCCTCGTATGTAGGATTCTGTTCAAAGCCATTAGTCAATGAACTCGCAAGCAATAAAGGGGGGGGGGGGGGTTTACATCAGTGAAAAGGCTTGGAGTGGTCAAAGCCGGATGATTTTCGGCCAGATTGGTTCCAACAACATAGATCAGCCAACTACGACCTCCGCTTGGTGGGGGCTGGTCAGGCTCAACCATGCCATTGCGTCGGACAGCACCAGAACCTAGTGCCCGATGACGAGCAAACTCAGAATCGCTTCGGCGTCGCTGATGAGCATGATTGAATGTCGAGGGCTCTTCCGTGGAGCCTGGTCTTGGCCGTATTGCCTGTCCCTCGTGTAGATGGGGCAGAATATCTGGAGCAATTGCCGAGGCAGAAGACGGTCTGCGACTTGGTGTAGAAGTACCCGAGGACACAGCAGGCAGACCTTGATCAGCTGGAGTAGATGGCGGAGGGTGGGGTCCTGGAGGACTGTCCGAGAACGTAGGAGGGATGAAGGAAGGGAAGGCAGCACGGGGCCCGGTATCAGAGGACCTTCTGGAAATGCTGTGCCCCGCCGGTCGAGATGAGACAGGAGCCCCAGTTGGGGGATGTAGTCCTGCGTGGCCCGGGTGACGGGGAATTGGCAATCTGAACCGTGGTTCTCCCCGTTGCGCCTGATCAACCATGGCATCTTGTGGCCGAGGAATCACATTGGGTGGTAAGAATGGTAGACCAAGCAGAGTTTCCAAACCGGAACCAGGACCTGGAGGTGGAGGGCCTTGATGCTCCGTGTTTCCGTTCCCTGCTGGGACCGATCTAACGCCCACAACAACAAGGGTAACGGTCCGTCCTTCGCCTTCAGCGGGCTCGTCAACGTCCATTCCCTCGGGAGTCTGAGTGCCGCGATCGCCATTGCCGTTCGCGTTTTGTTCAGGGGCAACCGGACCTGCTGGGGAATCTGCATTGGCGAAACGGAAAACACGCAAGAAATTGACGGGAGGCGAGGGTTCTTCATTCGTAGAACCGCCTGGTCCTTCTCCTCCCGCAGTTGGCTGAGCTTGAGCAGATGTCACGTGCTGCAAACTTTGGATAAATGTCTCCAAAGAGCCATCTATGCCATCATTTCCTAGCGCCTGTATGTTGGGCAATGCAGGACCAGCGGTTCCAGACAGCTGAGCAGCGATGGCCGCTGCAGCGAGCTGGAGAACCCTGGACAAAGGAGTTTGCTCCTCCCGTCTCATGTTTCTAGATTGTCTCGCTCGTAGAATAGCAGGTAATCTGCGCATCAATGCAGGATTCTGGAGGCCAGGAGGCGGGCTGGCGGCTAACGGATCCCCTGGATGAATGGCTGCTTCCACGGAGTCAAGTTCATGAGGTGACTCGCCGAAGTCCAACCGAGTATCCATCGCTCTCTCATCGAATGACGGATCCGACATACGACGTGGTGGGTTTGCGTTATCCGGCAAGTTGGAGTGCGGTTGACCAAACATGTGAGAGATGGGGGAGGATATCGAATTTCTGACACGGCCCAATCGAACACTACGACGCCAGGAGGCTCTCGTAGGCTCAGGAACAGAATCGGCGGGATCAAGATATGGCGGGTTCCCGGAGGTATCTGGCGGCCCGGAGGATCCCGCGCGAGATGGAATAAAATAAGGCCCTCGATTGGAGCGACGTCGAGTAATCCCTCTTGAGCTAAGAGACGTGAAAGGACTGAAGCGACCACTTGTATTGGTTGTCTCCGACCTTGGGATGGGTCTAGAAACTAGCCCATGTCGGTGTGCATGGCCCTCGGCTGGGGTTTCTTCTTGACTGTTAAGAAGACCGCGGATGACTGAATTGGGAAGCAACCTAGATCCTAATCTTGACATTGTGGATTGCCTCCGAGCTGCCATTCGAGCAAAAGCCGCAGTGCGTATTTCACGCGATGGTAGTTCGAACTCTGGGTCATCCTCTTCTTCGATACTGCGCATGGGTTGCGAAAAGCCGCCAGAGAATCGTGTAGGTTGGTGCCATGTCTCTTGTCCCTCATTCGTCATATCGTGTGTATCCTGATCACTCCGATCCGTGTCCATCTCAACACGCTGCGAGAAGCCGCCCTCTCCATTGTGTTCATCCGCTTGCCTATGGTTCATGTCTTCATCCCTCGTGTTCAAGCCACGTTCTATCGAGAAAGGTGATGAACGTTCCGTATATCTGGTATCGGGAGGTTCACGTTGTGTAGAAGAGGACTGTCCCATAGTAAACGGGTTGTGAGAGCAGATTCAGGCAGAGGGGGTGTCAAAAGCCGTGCACTGCCATCAGAAAACCATATAGGTAACAAAGGCTGTCGTAAATGCGTTAAGGTGATGTGAAGACGATGAAAGTAATAACACCACAATTTCGGCGATATCAGCGGAATATTTGACGTGTTGTCTGGGTCCGGTGCGGAGACGGATGGTACGCGGGATGGATCGAGTGAGTCTGTATGTATGTGCAGAACGGTTGGGACAAAGGATTGGGAATCTGATAGGCAGTTGACACGAGTTGATTCGCCTGCAACTAGATAATGCGTGAGACAATTTCACTTCCTGATACGCCTGATACGAGCCACTGCGACTATGAGCCTGAAACTGTCTGACAAGCCTAGGTACCGAGAGATATAACCGCCGAGCGTATCTCGGGAGCCACCAGGGGGTAAGAGAGCAGAACACAAGAAAGTAAGAAAGTACGAAGGTAAGAAGGTAAGGAAGAGGGGGCAATGGAAGATAAAAAGGAGGGAGAGTTGAATGGCTTGATAGACGATAAGTAATGTTTGCCTACTTTGTTCGGGTCACTTAGTCACCACTTTCTTCACTTCCGTCGTCTTCCACTGACCAATGCGACATTCCATTTCTGAGTCTCTATAGAAAGTCTTCACGCATGGCTGATGGCGTCTGCGCCTTCGGCTTCGGTCTTTTCTCTACCCTTACCGCCATGGCTCCAGCCATCCGGCTCGCGCGTCTCTCAATATGATCGCCAGAAACGCAGTGCAAAGTGGAGTGAAGATGAGCTTGATGGCGCAGAGTCTGATTTCGCATCGGGTACGGAACTTGAGTCTACAGGACCACCGCTGGTATTGACGCCAAATGAATCCCATCAATACCGAATTGCTGGTTTCCCCTTCCACGCCGAGTTGCCAGGAGGGAATTTCCCACATCAACCGGTTAAGGATGAACCTGTCACAACGGTGAAAGCCTCAGGTCATCTCAGAGCCTTGGCGAATCTATCACCTCCAATTTATCCCCCTCAATCGGCCCAGGAAGGCAATATTCGCTTTCAGCATTTAGGTGTATTGACAACAATCTTACACCGATGTATGCTCCAGGGAGACTATACCCGAGCTGGAAGGGCATGGGGCCTGATTCTTCGCGAAGAATACAGAGGATTTCGAATGGATGTTCGTAACGAAACGAGGTGGGGATTAGGCGCTGAAATCTTGCTGCGACGAGATCAACATGAAGTGCCGCCTAGTCCTGGTGCTAGGAAGACCGATGCCACGGTCGCCACACCCTTGAGGTCTACCACTAATGGCTTTGTGGAGGCCAAAGAATACTATGAAAGGCTCATTCTCAATCATCCATACTTGAAATCATCACCACACTCCATATCTTCTTTACACTTCTACCCTGCGATGTTCGGGCTTTGGGTGTACGTCAGCCAGGAAGAAAGCAAAACTGCAAGAAAAGATTTTTCTATCCGCCAAGACGAATCTGATGCATCTTCAGAGGACGAAGATCAAGACTCTGAACTTCAACATGGTCAGACGCCTAACAACAAGATCGCTGCTGCTATTTCAAAGGTCAGGCTACTAGAGTTGGAGCAGGCTCAGCAGATCGCTGCACGAATGGATCAGATTCTTAGCTCTCCTCCATTCTCCGACTCTCCTGAATTGTTGGAGCTCAGAGGAATGGTATCACTCTGGATTGGTGACTTGTTTGTGTCTGCATTAGCAATACCAGTCGAGGAAGAGAATGAAGATCCCGATCAGATGCTTTTGGACGAGGCTCCGGGTTCTCTTGAAGCGAGACGCGCACACAGGGTTGCAACTGAGAGAAAGGCAGCAGAAGTCCAGAAGTCGATTGAGTTTCTCGAAAAGGCGAAGAGACGGGGAAGAAGTGTTGCTTATAATTTGGAAAGCCTTCATATCGACGATGGGGTTTCTGTTTAAGTGAAGATACGTATGTGATGAGATGGATGCTGTAACGCTGCTTGGAGTTTTGATGTTACACCACTATACCCGAAGAATATCTTGTTTTTTTTTTTTTTGTTTAATCCAAACGGTATCATCTTGGTATCATATATGGCAGTCTGTTAGTGCCATCAGCTCAAAGTCATTCTGCCTCCTGTACTATATGTATACTAGCACGCACGAACTTCCTCGTCTCACAGTTTTGAGGTATATTCCGTATACTTAAATTACAGTAAATGGGGTGATGAGTTTGTATAGTTAAGTCATGTGTTATGACTTAATGATAAATTATTTTTGAACAAGTTGAATATCCTATCTACGAACCCATCAGAAGCCAACATACTGTTTGATACACAATTTCTGCCTTACTTGGGCTCTCTCAAGCCATTCCTCTTTGCAGATATCCTTTCTCACTTTAAGGTACCTAATTTTAGTTTGTTTAATTGTTGAAACATCGGTGGTATACTATGAAAACATGGTAGATAAATTATTGAACGCCGTAGAAGGGCTCTTGATATAGGGGGGGAAAGACATTTAAGCCGATGATCCCAGCAGATCTCCCGTCATAATAACGTGAAATATACATCTAGATCAACACTAGCAGTAAATAGAAACTATCACTCCAGACAAGCCCGACCTCAAGTTGAAATCGAACACGTGACCTCGCGGCAATGTCGCGTTTGCCCAGATGCTCAAAGAAGACACAGTCCGTCACATTTTCAACCTTGGGTTACAAAAGCTCCTCTTCCTGATTAACCCCACGTTCAGTTGATTCTCTTACAAAACATGGGGGTGGGTGACTATGTTCTCTCTAGAGAAGCTGGGCAGCCTCGCGCCCCCGACAAAGTTGCGGCCCAGTCGCGCCAGCGTCCAGAACAGCCCAGAGTCGATGTGCCTCCCACTCTAGTCCATCCAAGCCATGCAATTATCAATGGCAGAAATAATCCTCTGGAATTTCCTGGAGCCTCTCAATTCCCGAACCAGCCCCGCACCGTTCCCGCGCATGCGGTGCAGCGTGATGTCTTTGATACTGATGTCGAGGCGATTGATGATTCAACCATCGCCGGAACCAGTGTTGCTGGATTTGATGAAAACAAATCTCAAGCAGCATCAAGTACAAATGCTGCTTACACCAATCCTGACCCACAGCCTACATACCAGCCCCGGCCTGTTCGACATGCCTACGGGTCTAACTGGTATGACGGTCTGGGCGACCAAGCCATGAAAACGATGGGCTTTGACTCTGATGATCTGGTGGGCTTTGATAGTCCACTGACTTCCGATGCCGGAGATGACGAGAAGATTGATGAAGGAGCAGCCGGCTGGCAACCGCCGCACAAGCCGCGTACCACAGAGCAGCCGCTGAGCAAACGCTTGGAAAATTTCTGGTCTCAAAGCAAAAAGAGAACTTCTTCACGGCAGCATGTCAATGTGGACTCTGACCCCGAGCGGTCGCAGCCTCAGCCCAAACCTCAGGTCAAGCCACGAAAGTTGGGCCAAATGCTCCCTCCTACCGGGGCTAAGAAGGTTGTTCTTCCACCCAACGGATCTGCCACACCCAGGAGCCGATTCAGTCCACCAAAGCCTTCTCTGCTTGAGCAACTGGACCAAAAGCTTGATAGATCACCCACTCGCCAAAACGGTCACCCCCCACCAGAACTTGGTCGGACACTCAGCATAACGGGCTTCCAAACCGACAGTGACATTGACGGTAGCGGCAGTGATGATGGCATGGAGCACACCATTCGTGCCAATGGAAGACGAGAAAGTGACCATTCACACAACGTCTTCGATATGACCAGTCTGACGGACCTTGATGCCGACGAAACAATGCAAGACCCCTTCTATACCAATGCCTCAACCATCAATAGTTCTACACACGAACCCACGCACGAGTCAGCACATGAGTCAACCCACGAACCAACGCGTACTTCTACACGTCCCCGTCGCAACACAGTCATTCATTCCAAAAAGCGAGAACTTGAAGCAGACTACCCTCCAGACCTGCTGTACCAGAAGTCCTTCTCTGAGCTCCAGGCTGAGCCCTTTGAAAGAATCCCAACCCCTCCTCCTCCTCCCCCAGTTCAATCACCTCCTTTGCCCCCCAGATCAACCTATATCCCCGATACCCAATTTCCCAAAAATGCCGTCTCCCACTTGCTCGGCCTGAACGAACAAGAGCGCCAGACATATCTATCCCACATGTCCACTGATGAATGGGAAGACTGTGGCGACCAGATGATAGATCAATTTACCCACCTGCTATCTGAAATGAAGAACCTTCGCCGTGCTCGTCGCCGCACAGCGGCAGTCTTCGAAGCGGAAGTCAAGCGCCGCAATGACGAAGTCGAGGCTCAGACCTCAGACCTGACGAACAAATTGACTGAGATGAGAAGTGGAGGTGCAGAGGTTTTGCGCGGACGCAGCCAATGAGTTATGATTTTCGGTTCTTTCTATCTCCATATGCTTATCATAACTGCGAGAGGAATATGTTCTATCCCCAAATTATCCATCGTGGAACTTGGCCTTGACTTAGTCTCTATTCATGTTTAATACCCCCCTTGATGCCATTCGAATTTTATGTTTCAATGTTTGATGAGCTCTTACAAGAGAAATATCAAAACTTGTAATCTTATATTATTGGGAAAGGTTGATCTCTGCTAAAATGATGTATAATGTATCAAGAATGCATAGCTTACTCGCAAAAAGAAGCAGTCTAAACCTTTATTCGCCCAGCTGACATAGAAACTAAGATGTCTGGAGTAACGCCGTAGGGCGTGATGCAAGAATGTTTCGCGCGAGAGGTTTATCTCAATGAAATCCGTATGAAATGCTAGACGGAAGCCCACAAATGTTGTGATTAAGTTATGGAGGTGTAATCGAGACTAGGCTGGTTTGGATAGAGCAGCTGCTAGTCTTTTATAGTCTTCTAGCAAAACGACCACATCTCCAACTCGAAGATCGCTCGCATCCTGTGTCTCAAGGAAGCGTTGGATCGGAGGATCCACTTTCAGTGACGGAGTGGGGAGAGGGCTGACTGCAACGCTGGTGCTGTCAACCGAGGCAGGTGATGGTTTGAATCGGTCAAGCCCGGATGGTGAAACGGATCGGGCACCAGGAGTCTCAGGTGCGCGGCCAAAATTTTTCATCATGCCTGGAATGTGGTTCAAAGGGTTGAGGGTGTTACCGAAATTCCGCATTGATTCGAGGGGAGTAGGACTGATGGCAGAGTTTGATGCAAGTTCTTCTCGAATTGATGTGGCGATGGACTTCTTGCTGCTCGTTTGGGTCCTGGTGCTGTCTGCACTTCGATCACGAGAGGCAGGACCCCCACTGGAAAGTCCGGTGAGACGTGAACTGCTGCGTGGGGGTGTGCTATCATCTATGGATACGGAGTTGATCGCTGCAATCTCGTCCTGAGTCAAGTCTTGGTTCTCGGCGGAAACAGGCGGCATAGTGACTAGACGGCGAGCTTCAGCCAAGGTTTTTGGTAACTCTGTGCCCGTTCCTTGCGGTCCGGATTGCATTTCCTTGAGACGGCCAAACAGGAAGTTAAAGCTGCTATCCAAAGTGGCGCCAATGTTCTTCAAGCCTTGGTCGGCAGTGGTGCGAACAGCGTCATTCGCGGCACCTAATACCTTGGATGGAGGCTGGAAAAGGTTGCTCAGGCGGCGTTGTTGTGGTGTCGGGGAAGGCCGCGGCTTTGGTAACGTTGAAGAGATCGGTTCCTTGTTTTCTGGCTTTGACAGCTCCGGTGAAGCTGACACGGTCGTGATCGAAGAAGTTGTAACTTCTCTGGGTGGCCGGAAAGGATCAGCATGTTCAGATGATGGCGTCGTTGTCGTACTCGGAGTCTTGACAGGCCCATCCTGAAGCTCATCGGCTCGCAATGTTGAAAGATCAACGTTTTCGAGGAAACTAATTGCTGCCTCGAGATTGGTCAAGCAGTAAGCAGTTTCTCCATCAATTTTACTCGAAGATCTGAACCTCTGAATGAAGACAAGGTTGCTGACTATGTTAATTCCTTCTGGTGGGCAAGTGACGAGTGAATAAATGAGCGTCGGTAGGATCTCATCTGCAGAAGAGGAAGATGGCAAAAGTTTAGTAAGGGCATCGACGATGGCCTTATGAGCTGCGGCAAGCTGCTGAAGCTTTCCAAGAGGATACTTGTAGTCGTTCATCTTTGCAAGACAATCTCTAGCCTGGGCAAGGAACTCATTTGCCTCATCCTGCTTCTGCTCATCGATTAAATCAAAATCCAGGTCGATTCCGAGATCTTTCAAGTTAATGCCGACCAGCAGCAGAGCTGCGGTCTTAGATCGCAGCTTTTCGTCTCGAACATCATCCAATGTACTCTTATGTCTCCAGAGCTTGTCATATACGATCTCGCAAACTCTTCGTTCGGCAGCTTCTTCCAAGGCGCCTCGTTTGTTTTCCAGAACCCTACGAGCCTTTCGCTTTTCAGCTACTTCTGATGCAGTCATCATTTGGCGACCTGACGCTGCCGGTCTGACATCATCCTGGGAGCGTTTGCTGCTCAGTTTTGACAGCGCACTTCCCCGCGGGGGTTTTGTGGGGACCTGAGGTGACAGGTCTCGGTTGATGCGAGATATGAGGGCGGAAATATGAGTGGCTATGTGAGACTCCGCACGACTGTAGAATACCTGAAAAAGTTCGGAAATCTTATCGATCGTAGGAGGCGAATTGTGGACTTTGGCACTCAAGGAGTTGACGAACCTAGCCCAAAAAAGCTTGTCAGATACAACGCTGAAGCTTGAGAACTCAACTGACCAAACTTACCGATCTGCCAAGCTGATCAATTCAATCGGCAGCTCCTCTTGAGGATCTTGCAAGCTCCGTGAAAGCACAAACCCTTCGTCTGCTTGCCCATCACCGGCAGTGCTCGAGTCCGCAGAGCCCCGTCGATCGAACACATCAGGACCTTTCTCTTGCTCCTTATTATTAGTCGATAGAGAAGTTCTTGGGTCCTCTTGCTCCGTCAAAGTGGGAGAAGATTTCACTGGGCTCTCCATTCTGGTGAATTGTGAGAGTGAGGGCCCAGAGCCACTATCAGAGGGGCCAGACATTTTGGGTAGGCACTAGTTGCGTGTCTCCGCTCCGTTCAGCTGATTAGGCTTGTGTCGATCACCTGAGCTGCCCCCCCTGTTACATGTACAATCAAGGCTTCTGCCTTGGAAGAGAAGAATCGGATAATTCCACAGAATCTAGAAGATATCTCATTGGAAGTTCCAACCAAGCTGACAATATCACGGGGATCGCGTCACGGTACAAGTCACGTGCTGTCTCCGCACTGCGTCACTTGATAAGGTGACCGATAACCCGATAGTCCCTTGACTCCAAGTCTACAAGTTTCCTTGATCATCCATCATGTCTCGAAAGCGCTCATGGCTTGGGCTGAGTGTCCAGAGCCTTCTGTTTTCAGCTGCAGTACTGTCAACTGCAACCTCTGCCTCGGTTCATCCACCTCTACAAGCTCCTATCATCCCGCCACAGGTACCGTTGGGATCTGGAGGTACACCTGAGACGCATGAGTTTGTGAGTTACGCCACCCCAACAAAAGCCGTGTCATTTGGATTGTACTTACACTCATAGTCTTTGCGACACATCTTTCATCGCGGTACCTATGATCAACCCGATCTCCATGTAAGACTCGATGTCAATGCCGACACTCGGCTTCGGGCTGTATCGGAGGATGGCGATGAAACCGAATACATTGCGTCGGAGTCATCTCTGCTTGCCTCTTCGAGCCCTCTTACAATACAACGACTGGCCGATCGACGACTCTCGGTGATCGAGGAGCATTTGGCCACTGCGCGGTCTTCTGGCTCTGTAGCCGCCTTGTCTGCAGATGAGTGGGTCATGGACACCCTGCAAGGGCCAGATATCACAGACAAGAAGACGGTCTTGACATTCGCTCAGATGACCGCAAATGACTATATTCAGGAACCCGGGACGGGGCAGTGGCACTCTATACACGGGCAATTCAACTACTCGGGGAGCTTTGGTTGGCAAAAAGATGGACTTAGAGGGCATATCTATTCAGATCAAACCAACAGCACTGTCGTTATTTCGCTGAAGGGTACTTCGCCGGCCCTTTTTGATGGCGCGGGTACAACCACCAACGACAAAGTCAACGACAATCTATTTTTCAGCTGCTGCTGCGGGCAAGGAGGCTCTTACCTGTGGAGACAAGCCTGTGATTGTCAAACTGCTACATTCACAGCAAATTTGACTTGCATTGTTGAGTCTATGAACGATGAAAACCGTTACTATAAGGCTGCAATTGAGCTCTACTCCAATGTCACCGAGCTTTACCCGGATTCGAATATTTGGATGACAGGCCATTCCTTGGGCGGAGCAATGACCAGCTTGGTCGGGCTAACGTTTGGATTGCCCGTAGTTACTTTTGAGGCTATCCCAGAAGCTTTGCCGGCAGCCCGGCTTGGTCTCCCAAGTCCGCCTGGGTACGATCCAAGACTCCCGCAAACACGACGACATACCGGTGCCTATCACTTTGGGCACACTGCAGATCCGATATACATGGGCACTTGTAACGGAATCAACTCGATCTGCACATGGGGCGGTTACGCGATGGAGTCGGTTTGCCATAGCGGACAAATATGCACATATGATACCGTTGCAGACAAGGGATGGCGTGTTGGGCTGGGCACTCACAAGATCGAAAATGTGATATCTGATGTTATCCTTAAATATGACACTGTCCCGAAATGTGTCGAAGACGAGGAATGCTTTGATTGCGAACTCTGGAAGTTCTTCCGAAGCAATGGCTCGGAGATCACTACCACTACCACAACCTCAACAACAACTTCCTATACCAGGACCTCGACGTGTAAGACCCCTGGGTGGTGGGGATGCTTAGACGAAAGCACTACTACCACTACTACCACCACCACGACTTCTCCGACAAATACAGCTACAACCACAACGTGCAAAACCCCTGGTTGGTTCGGGTGTAATGATCCTGCAACTACCACAACCGCAACCCCGGCGCCTACCGTTACGACAACGTTACCCACAGTAACCGCAACAACTACTACTTGCAAAACTCCTGGGTGGTTCGGGTGCAATGATCCTACCACCACCCTGCCAACGACCACTACATCCATTTCGGTTCCCACATAGCCGACCTTTTTTATTATAAGACTGATATGGACCACTAGAGTGGCCATCACAACATGCGCACGGAGCGACAATGTCGCTGTCCCCGCCCTCTCACCTCCATGCATGCCTTCATAGTATGTCGTTTGTTCAATTTGCTCCAACTGACCTGATGGACTGAAAATCCGCGGGCGGTTGATATACCCTCCCATATTCTGTGATTTACTTGTTTGCTTTTGCCATCGATTTTGCACTTCCTTCTATATACAAGCCAAGATATACGACCAACATGCGAACGAGCAATCTGTTTTCTGTTTCTTCTTTCTGCTCCTCTCAGCTCCAAGCGGGCACGGTGCTACTGGCGTTACCAGGTGGGGGACCCCTCCGTCTGTTTCCCCTATTCAAGGTCATTACGATTGTTTGCTAGAACATGTTTGGATTTACCAGCTCATGTACGAGAACCCTATCCGAAGAAATTCCAATGGAGGCATTTTGGTTACTGGAGTATTACTGCTATTACTGCTAGATTTGTCAATACATTCCTCGAAGTCAAGACTATAGGAGCCCTGGAGGATTGTCATTCATAATGACAAAGGCCAAATGAATTTCGATGTAATCTCCGATCGGGTCGTCCCGTAACTTACTGGTGGGAACCACACGACATACAAGAGAGAAATGAATTTGTGAGAGGTCAATTGAGACTTTGGCATATTCTGACCTGATTCCTAGTTCTACGAATAAGGTGGGGCTAGAGGTGAAATACGGGAGAAAGGGGAAACCTACCAAACTTATAACTTGCCATTTGGAAAAAATGTGTAGCAAAACATTGACGTAAATAGTCTCCAGGTTGAGGAGCTTCTCTTTATACCGAAAAGGCAAAACAGAGCCTCAGCAGGACTCAGTGGCCGTTTCCGCTGTCGACTTCCTAAATGTGCCCGTCCGAACACGAACAGGAATGGCCTGCCTGAAACGGATATCAAACGCACGATTGAGCTCTTTTCCACTTCGGTCTAGCTTAAATCCACTTCGGAATCCAGGTTCATTCCTCTCCTATTTCTTGAGACCTGGTTTTACAAAATATTCTCGGGTAGCCGACCGATGCATATGGCATGAGTATAGGGTACGTCGGGCCAGATGCCGACTATAGATCAAACTTAGATGCTACCTTATAATGACATGGAGATAAACATAAGCGGTGGTCTCAAAGAACAACCGCTCTGCAGATCCAATCAGCCAATCAGTAGCTGATGATTCCATATCAAAACCGCCAGTGGGTCCAATTGCTTCATTGGTTTTTTTTTCTCGGTGTTTGGCGTTGGCTGAGGACGTATATAAAGCCCCGCAATACCCTCAGAGCTCCCATTTTTTCTTTTTCCATAGATTGCAAGACGAATTGCCAAGATGGGTCAAGATACCGAGCCTAGTAAGTTGGTGTCGCTGCCTCTACCAGCTCGAGCTAACTTGGTGTTCTCATAGAAACCTACCGCTACAATGAGACTCCGGTCTACACAGCCTCAAATGGCTGTCCGGTATGCTTCACACATCTCTCCAACCTGACGCGATCTAAGAATACATATGGGTATAGGTTATGGACCCGCAGGCTGCTCAGCGCATTGGGCCCAATGGCCCTTTGCTGCTTCAGGATTTCCACTTGATTGATCTCCTGGCACACTTTGACCGCGAACGCATCCCCGAGCGCGTGGTTCATGCCAAGGGTGCCGGTGCCTACGGCGAGTTCGAAGTTACCGACGATATCAGTGACATCGTATGTACCGTACCGACTATGATATTGAGGATGGATATTGGGCTAATCCGTTACATAGACCACAATTGATATGCTGAAGGGTGTCGGCAAGAAGACCAAGATGCTGACTCGTTTCTCAACCGTCGGTGGTGAGAAGGGATCCCCCGATAGTGCCCGTGATCCTCGCGGTTTCGCCATCAAGTTCTATACCGAGGAGGGCAACTGGGACTGGGTGTTCAACAATACCCCGGTGTTCTTCCTACGGGATCCTGCCAAGTTCCCAATCTTCATCCATACCCAGAAGCGCAACCCCCAGACCAACCTCAAGGATGCCACTATGTTCTGGGACTACCTGTCCACCCACCACGAGGCCGTCCACCAGGTCATGCACCTGTTTAGTGACCGCGGCACTCCGTACTCATACCGCCACATGAACGGATACTCTGGCCACACCTACAAGTGGATCAAGCCCGACGGAACCTTTAACTATGTTCAGATCCATTGTAAGACTGACCAGGGAAACAAGACCTTCACCAACGACGAGGCCACTCAGCTCTCCGCCGAGAACCCCGACTGGCACACCCAGGATCTCTTCGAGGCAATTCAGCGCGGCGAGAATCCCTCCTGGACCTGTTATGTGCAAGTTCTCAGCCCCGAGCAAGCAGAGAAGTTCCGCTGGAACGTCTTCGACCTGACAAAGGTCTGGCCACACAGCGAAGTGCCTCTGCGCCGCTTTGGTCGCTTCACGCTGAACAAAAACCCAGAGAACTACTTCGCGGAAATTGAACAGGCAGCCTTCTCTCCCTCCCACATGGTCCCCGGCGCCGAACCCTCCGCCGACCCAGTCCTCCAGTCCCGCCTCTTCTCCTACCCGGACACCCACCGCCACCGCTTGGGAGGCAACTACGAGCAGATCCCCGTCAACTGCCCCCTGAAAGCCTTCAACCCAACTCACCGTGACGGTCCCATGAATGTTAATGGTAACTACGGTGCTAACCCTAACTACCCCTCTACCTTCCGCCCGATTGCCTACAAGCCCGTTAAGGCCAGCCAGGAACACGAGAAGTGGACCGGCGCTGTTGTTGCTGAGCAGTACCCCGTGACCTCGGAGGACTACGTCCAGGCCAATGGTCTGTGGCAGGTTCTTGGCCGTACCCCCGGCCAGCAGGAGAACTTTGTTGGTAACATCTCTGGTCACCTGTGTGGTGCTCATGAACGCGTGCGCAAGGCTACCTATGATATGTTCCGTCGCGTCAATGCTGATCTTGGTGCTCGCATTCAGTCTGCTACTGAGGCCCATGTGTCTGGGGCCCCTCCTGCCCGTCTTTAGAAGATGGGGTCGATCTGCGATTTCATCTCTCATTGTGTTCTCATGTGCATCTAGATACCAATATCATGACTTAACGTGGTCGGCAAGCGAGTGGGCCATGTAAGCGAGTGGGCCACCCAACCACTTTTTCGCATCCCGGTCTATCTATCTGTTTTCTATCAACCACCATGCCTCCAATTCGCGTCAGATCGAGCCAAAATTCCGTTCAGCAAGAAGGCCGTATCCTACTTGCTATACAGGCTATCAAGAGTAAAGAGATTAGCACTATTAGGCAGGCCGCAGACCAATTTCAGGTCCCCCGCACTACGCTCACGCGTCGACTACGCGGAACTACAAACCGCGCTGAATCTCGCGCAAATTGTCATAAAATGACACAAATTGAAGAGGAACTACTTCAGCAGCGGATACTATCGCTAGATCTACGTGGAGCAGCCCCTACACAAGCTCACGTACGAGAAATGGCGAATATCCTACTCGCGAAGCGTGGTTCTACCCCCATCCAAACCGTCGGCGAAAAATGGGTATATAACTTCACCCAACGCCATCCAGAGCTTTGTTCTCGCCTTTCACGACGATACGACTACCAGCGGGCACAGCAAGAGGATCCAAAGATTATTCAAGAGTGGTTCAACACTGTGCAAGCCACGATTCAGCAATACGGTATCCTTTCGGACGATATCTATAACTTTGACGAGACTGGCTTCGCAATGGGCCTTTGTGCGAATCAAAAAGTGATTACCCGATCAGAATACTACGGTCGGAGATCAGTTTTACAGCCAGGAAACCGTGAGTGGGTAACTGCAATCGAGTCAGTTAACGCTTCGGGGTGGGCGCTTCCACCGACCCTTATTTTTAAGGGTAAGCAATACAATCAAGCGTGGTTTAAAGACCTTCCACGCGACTGGCGTATCGAAGTTAGTGCGAACGGGTGGACGTCCGATAAGATCGGCCTTCGCTGGCTTCAAAAGCAATTTATTCCGTCGACAAATAGTCGTACGCATGGAAAATATCGACTCTTAGTCCTCGACGGACACGGAAGCCATCTTACGCCAGAATTCGATCAACTTTGCGCGGATCACGATATTATACCAATCTGTATGCCAGCGCATTCATCGCATCTTTTACAGCCTCTTGATATCGGATGTTTCGCGGTTTTGAAGCAATCGTACGGTACCTTAGTCGGTAACAAAATACGGCTCGGGATCAACCATATCGACAAGCTTAACTTCCTCCTAGCATATCCACAAGCTCGTGTCAACGCATTTAAAACAGACACAATCAAGAATAGCTTTCAAGCAGCAGGATTAGTACCATTCGATCCTCAAGAAGTGCTATCAAAGCTCAATATTCAACTTCGGACGCCGACGCCACCTTCCAGCCGTGGCAGTGACACAAGCGCATTTTACCCACATACACCCGCGAACGTTAACGAGCTTCTAAAGCAAGCATCCTCGATCAAAGAGTTCCTTAAGCAACGCTCAAATAGCCCACCCTCGCCTTCACAGGCAGCGCTAAACCAGCTTATTAAAGGCTGCCAAGTCGCAATGCAGAACGGTATACTTCTCGAGGAAGAAAACAAGCAACTACGTGCCGCCAACGCTACACAAAGGCAAAAGCGCGCTCGTGTGAATAGATGGATAGCCCACGATGACGGTTTATCAGTACAAGAAGCATTAGAGCTAGAGGAAGCTCACAATCAGTTCTTTCAGCCAAGAACAGGACCGAGGGTAGCGCTGGCGCAGGCTACGCAAGCACCGGTTATGCGGCGCCCACCTAAATGTGGTAAATGTAGCGAGATAGGGCACAAGAAGAATGCCTGTCTAAGAAGAGATTAATCAATATAATAGCGTTATGGTTGAGATATATCGATAAAAGTGTAGAAAAAGTGGTTGGGTGGCCCACTCGCTTACATGGCCCACTCGCTTGCCGACCACGTTATGAAATGTGGCCTTGTTTTTCAGGCCCCCAGGCAACGAGTTTGGCTTTTGAGTTTTCACAAACCTTCCGAGGCTGCGAATGTTTATTTTATACTTTTATACTGCTGGGATTATGGCATGAATTTGTATATTTTGCTATCGATGCTATACCGTCAATACCATAGACGCTATAGATGACATATCAAAGGCCTTGATCAAGATCTGATATCAAAGTCGGCTGCAAGGGGGAGAACCGGCCACGCGGGGGAAGTGACTGCAGATCGGAACACATCTAGACCAGGGCTTGACCATTAGCAGCTAGCATCTCACCTCGAACCCTCACCAAGAACAGACACAGCCAAAAGTAAAAAGCCGCAGACCAATTGGGCCAATGTCACTGACCCCATTGCCCCATCCGGCGCCAAGCTTCTCATCCCGCGAAAATTTGCTGGACTCTGGACTTTCCCCGCCAATTACTCTTTGGCCTCTCTTTGTCAGTCTGCTAGTCCCTTTTTTCTCTCGTCAATTCCCGGAGTCAAGAGGGAAATTTTGGCCGTGTGCGATGTTTCCTGCGCTGTGGGTACTCTGATTTTTTTCTCCCCTGACCTTCCGAACGATCCACTCGACTTGCAACCCTGCCTCGACACCTTCGCCTCCAAGACTCTCTTTCACCCTCAAGCGTCCATTGCGTTTCTTTGATATATCTTTCTCGGTGCTCCCCCTCCGCCAATTCACCATGGCCGACCCTAAGGCACAGGATGCCATCACCCCCGTGGAAGCGCCCCCAGACTACAAATACCCCAACTCGTCACCACCCTCCAATGCGTCCATGGAGAAAGTGATCGAGAATGCCAAGGCCGCGACAAATAAGGAGCAGTCCATGACTTTGCTGCAGGGTATCAAATTGTACCCGAAGGCTGTGATGTGGAGCGTGCTCATCTCGACTTGCATTGCCATGGAGGGTTACGACATCAGTTTGGTCAATAACTTTTACGCCTTTCCTCAATTCAATCGCAAGTATGGCCAGATGCTGGCCGATGGTACATACCAAGTTTCCGCATCGGTATGTCGATCACTTCCAGACTTCAATTGTGCGGCGGTGGAAGAACGATGAAAACTGACAATTCTCTCGTCATATAGTGGCAAGCAGGTCTGAGCAACGGTGCTTACTGTGGTGAAATCATTGGGCTGTTCATCAATGGCTGGGCGTCCGAGCGATTTGGTTATCGGTACACTATTATGGCCTGTCTCATCCTGGTGAGCGCTTGGACGGCTATTTTCTTCACGGCTCAGAATGTACAGTCCCTGCTTGCAGCGGAGATTCTGTGTGGTATTCCTTGGGGTGTCTTCCAGACTTTGACCATCACATATGCTTCGGAGGTTTGTCCCGTGGCTCTGCGTGGATATTTGACGACATATGTCAATTTCTGCTGGGGTCTTGGCCAGCTTATTGGCATTGGTGTCATCAAGGGCATGTTGAACCGAAATGACGAATGGGCCTACCGGATTCCCTATGGACTTCAGTGGATGTGGCCTCTGCCTCTTTTCATTGGTATTTGGCTTGCGCCCGAGTCCCCGTGGTGGCTGGTTCGCAAAGGGCGGACAGAAGATGCGAAGCGATCGCTCGAGCGATTGACCAGCAAGAGTATAGATACGGATTTCGATCCCGAAGAGACTGTTGCCATGATGGTGCACACGACCGCTCTCGAGGCTAAAATCACCAAGGGTGCCAGTTACCTCGACTGTTTCCGGGGTACCGATCTTCGTCGCACAGAAATCGTCTGCATGGTCTGGGCCATTCAAAACCTCAGTGGCAACTCCTTTTCCAACTACTCGACCTACTTCCTAGAACAGGCCGGCTTGAGCTCCAGCAACTCCTACGCCTTCGCCATGGGACAATACGGCATCAACATGGTCGGCGTCTTCGGCGCCTGGTTCCTCATGACCCTCGGCATCGGCCGTCGAACCCTGTGTCTCTACGGCCTCTGCGGCCTCTGTACAATGCTCCTAGTCATGGGATTCCTTGGCCTAGTCCCCGAAGATCACAAAAACCAAGGCTCCCTAGCAACCGGCTCCATGATGCTAGTCTGGGCCCTATTCTACCAACTCACCGTTGGAACAGTCTGTTACTCCCTCGTCGCAGAACTCTCCACCCGCCGCCTGCAAATCAAAACAGTCGTCCTAGGACGCAACCTATACAACATCGTCGCCATCGTCTGCGGCGTCCTCACACCCTACATGCTCAACCCCAGCGCCTGGGACTGGGGCAACTACGCCGGCTTCTTCTGGGGCGGAATCTGCTTCCTCTGTATTATATACACTTACTTCCGCGTCCCGGAGCCACGCGGCCGCACCTTTGCCGAGCTGGATTTGCTCTTCGAGCGAGGTGTCAGTGCTCGTAAGTTCGCCACTACCCAGGTTGATGTCTTCGATGAGACTATCGAGGGTCACGTCATCGAAAATTACCGCACTGCGAAGAATAATCGCGCGGATCCCAGTTCCTTGGAGAAAAATGGCCCTGCCATATGATGAGATGTGTCTTATGTGATACGAATAATTTTGAGTCTCGCTTGAGGGCTGTAGATTGATGCCTGGGCGCTCTTGCATGTATATAGCCTACACTTCTACGGTAAATAGTTTTAATTTTATATAATTGTCATTTACTATTTTGATCTATCTGTATTGATGTGTCTGTTCATATGAACTGCTCATCCTTTTGATTCTATGATTACTTCCAAGATATCAAATCTCTTCTACTCGAAGCTAGCTCGACTCCATATTCTGACACAACTATATACACCACACCTAGTCCAAAAAAAGTCTTGTTTGCATAACATCAAAGCAGGCAAAAAGAGTTCAATGCGTTCTTCTCTTTTTATTTAATCCCATCAGAGTTCTGGCATCAGAGTCTGAGCTAGAAGAGTCTGTTTCTTCCTTGGCACTAGTACTCTGATTCCCATGACGCTCATCAATTTCATGATCATCATCTCTTGTACCAGATAGGAACAGCAACGAATCTATCCCATCAGAGCGGTGTAAATCACGAGAAGGGCTAGGGACCCATTCCCTGGAAATATTAAACGGATATTCGGGGTTCGATAGCCATGAAAGCACATCCCGACTGACAGCCTCATCGCCAATTATCGCACCTGTTGAAGAAGTGGGAGAAGCGTGATGTATGTCGAGATCTTGTGGAAGTGGCTCGAGGTAATATCGCCCCTCGGAACGATTTTCATCTTCACGGGCAACTAGGAATGATTGTTGTTCAAGTAGGCCTGTATCGATCTCATCCCCTGAGGTTCTAGGCTCGAGAAGATATGGCCTTGTAGGATTATACCGCGATGAAATATCATCAAGAACATCCCATCTGTAAAGGGTCATGTCATCATCCTCTCCCAAGCGCATGGCATTGATTCTTTTGTACATCTCGGTCAAAATTGTAGACCACAAATGTCTTGAACTTCGCTCACACTCCGCAGAAACATCGTCGAAGAAACCCCAGACTTTCATCCACTTGTCACTTTTTGTGGTAGCTCCGATACCCTGGAAAATATTTTTCAAATCCTGGTGCGTAAGGCGACGCTGAGGCAACTCAAAAACCCCCATATCAGTGGGATCAGAACGGAAAAAGGTTCTACAGGTTATAATCAACGCTGCTAAGCCAGTAGCATAAGCTGTTGCAATCGATGGCTCAAAGCTTGCGGAGGGAGTCAATAATGGATGCGTTCCCATGAGCGGGTAATTGTCCCAAGCTCCAGGGAACAGAAAGTCAATGTTATCAAAGCTCTGCATCGGTTGCGGGAAGTTGAAATCTTCGATAGGACCAATATTGAAACACTCTGGATAGTTTGCCGATACAAGGTTAGTACTGCTGTATAACAGCGGGGTTCTAGCAGAGCAAAATATGAAAATGCCCGCTTGTAAAGCTTCATTGAGGGCATCGCTGAGTTCCTTTGCTTCGTTCCTGGACACTGGGCGCTCAATTGCTTCCGGCAAACAGATAATCGCGGGCCCGAGGGATATTATCCATTTCAGTGCCCTTGATACACTTTCTGCTGTGCAGAGAATCATGCCCTTGCTGGGATCATATTTCGAACTCAATCCGGCCATGAGGAAATGTGCATTCGGACATATCAAAGATATTGCTTGGGCAACTTTAATTCTGTTACTAGAGACCTTAGCCTCAAAGCTGGTTTCGAAATTGTGTAGACTGAAATTTTTCTTGTGGGAGATTTTGGCTCCCAAAAAAGAGTCTTCACTTTCCCATTCACAATTATCGCCAAGAATGGCCACGCCGGGGCTCATGTGATTCGATCTGGAAGTTTTGTCGACCAGGATTTCGTGCACGATTGTGGAAAACCTCCTCATGCAATTGATCCACCTTAAAGACGGACTTATGGATGGCGAGGCCATTTCATTAGTACCGTCTTCTGCTGGAGGCAAGAAGTATGCTTGTGTATCATCCTCGCGACTCTCCAACGAAGGAGCAGCACAGTAAGCTAGCATGTTCTGTATTACCGGATCAAAAGCAAAATCGTCTGGTTGAGCAGGATTCAGGATGAATCCCCATTCAAATTGCCAGCGGTGATCATTCGAAATTCCATCGAACTCCGATTCATCAGCGAAAAAGTTGGAATCATTCATTTCCAAGTCCGATGACGAATCTCTTTCTTCGCTGCCCAAGATGAACGTAATGCTCATTCGATCAGAGCTAGCACTTTCACCCTCAGAAGTTGAGATGATTTTCCCATGACTGGGGTCGGAGGTGTCCGAAGGCTGATCGACATCATGCTTCGACTGGTATGAAGGAAGAGATTTCACAGCAAGCAATCTCAAATGACCAACAATATGGGCGACAAGACTGTCATCACTTTCGTCTGATTTCCCACATAGTGGGCATGATTCAAAAACCAGTTTTGTTTTGCGAGCACTTCTATCAGCGAGGATATCAAGTTGTGACTCAGTATATGATCTTGGATGTGTCTCCTTCATGTGGGCAAGATAATAATCTCTCGAGGCAAAACGTTGCAGACCGTGTGACTTGGCGTTGCATTGCCAGCGTAAATTGTGTCCTCTCATGTGTTCAAGCCAATCATTGCTGTTGCTGAAAAGCGCTTCTGGGGCTTCACATTCTTCAAATAGGCAAACATATGGATCGAGGTCTTTTCTTACATGCGAACTAAACAGCGTTATTAGTGCCAATCGATGGGTTGCGGTTCTGGGGATACCTACCGCCATTTTTCAACGGTGGCCATTTCACTTGCAGGAAGAGCTTGGAAACAATATGGACAGATCACTTCCGGCAAAGAGCGCAGAAATTGCTCCCAGTCTGTAGCTATAGTCAGTTCAAGTCTCTCTTTGGCATTCCTTGCTTCTGTTTGGTATGCCGATGAAGTCTCGATAGGCCGTGGTGTCTCCAAATTATGGAGACGTTCGTAGAGTTGCAACAAAAAGCCCTTGTAGGATTCATTGTGTGATGCCTGTATCTCTTTGTATCTTTTGTTCAGATTCCCGATGGGACAAGGTGGAAACACTATCTCTTCGTGCTGTTCCAAAACAACGGTCCTGGTTTCTGAAACAACTGACTGGACTGATATTCTTTTGAATTGACTCGGAGTTAGAGTCGTCGCACTGATCTTTGTCTGAGAAGTCTGAGCGGTCTCGACAATGCTTTGCGCAAGGTCCTTGGGATGGCTTGGGTTGCTACTCTCGATATTCCCTTTGTGAGAGGAAGATACATGTGCTTGGTCACCTTGTGGCGCCTGATGTATTGGCTGTGGTCTGGGTTTGTGAATTTTGACCGGGTTTTGACCGTACCGAGTACGTCGGTATAGAATTCGTTTCCGACGAATCAAAGCTGTAGTAGCAAGGCGATCTACTATACCTTCTGTGGTTCCGGGAAATTTGTCCTGGATGTATTTGGCAAATAATGTTTTGAGGAACGGCTCAACATTGTTACCTTCATCATCTTGAATGATATATAAATCGACAGCTTTCCGATTTGATAACTCCTGGCCAGCTTTTCGAACCGTATTAGACAGCTTATTGAGAAGTTCTATCTCTTTGCCGGCAGCGACAGCATATTTTTCAAGCCTTTCGGAGGTTGGAACAGGGCTATTGACTTTGGAAGCTCCTTGTCGCTCAATCTTATATCCCTCGCAGACGAACCCGCCGGTAGAACAATTCAAGCAGCTGCAAACAAGTCAGTGATGTTGAATAATGATTCTCTATCACCCCGCTAGAAAATCACCTAGGCTTTGTTTCGTCGCAATTCTCCTCGCGGCGACGACAAGTCATACAACCAGAGCTGGAAAGTGGAACTTTCTGAAGATGACCACTTATTAGTGGTAACTTATGCAAGGATTTAATGTTCGCCGCATTTGGTGGGTTGGTTGATGCCGCTTGAATGTTAGATTCGAGAATGTGCCGCTCCTGGTGCAATTCATGTACACCAATGTCTAGTTTATCATCATCCACGTTTTGTCTTGTCAATTCTGTCGAAGATGATCTCTGGAGAAAATGACTGTGGTCATGACCAGCACTGTCTCTAGTCATCAAGGAAGAATCTTGAACCAGGGATTTGAAACAACTTAGGCCTTTGGACCATCAGTATATGTCAACGTGGCAACCAGGGTGTGTACCTTACAACTTTGCAAATGATCATTGAGCGCCTCCAGTAGACCTTTCACAACCTCTGCAACTTCCGGTGCCTCTCTAAGCCGGTGATCAAGTGAAGCACGAATTGGGCCGAAAACAGCGTTGTTTGAAGTCCAGATCGAGAATCTTGCATTTTGGTTCTCCAGGAGCGAAAACTCTCGCGGTGGAATGGACGCTGATAGTTGGTAGCATAGTCGCAAGGTCGAGAAGCATTGTTCTGCGAGCTCCACAATACTCGAGGTTTGCGAGGCCATTATATCAGGGTCGAGACTAGGAGTGGTCTCTCTTCAACCGAACCCAACGCGGGGTTTGGCCCCCAATTTTCCAAAAGACGCCGTCCACCTTGTCCTCTCGATCAAATCCTGTACGGTAAGAAGGACGAGAAGTGTCAAGTGAAACAGACGATGAATGATAAGACATGCAAAGTGGGATAACCCTGGAGCAGACTGGCGCTGACAGTCCAGCCCAACCAATCACGAGCTGCTTCAGCCTCAGCCTTAGCCTCACCCTCTTCTCCTTTTCTGCAGTGGGCATTTGGGATTCTTCTGCATCAAGCCAGTTCACACGTTCGAGTCTCAACGATGACTCTGGCCCCGTCCATTTCCCAGCCGTGGAACGGTAGCATGAGTTTCTCCTTACTGCAGGAAACAGTCGCGATATTGCGAGAAGCCGCCGAGCTCCTGAAACGCTCAGAGGCAGCGCCTCGAGAGCACTGGTACACGCATTTATGGGCCCAGTGTATCCTGATTCGCGAACTTTTATGTCGCATAGAATCTTTTGTGGAAGAACACAACCAGCATGTTGTGGATTTGTTGACGTATCTTGAAATCAGGATCAAGGGTCTCATCATTCCACCTGGAAAGGCTTCAGACCAATCTCCCGCTCGCCGATACGCCCGCCTACTGAAGATAAGCAAGCTATGGCAAGAAATTAAGACTCATGATACCGAGGCAAAACTGGCCTTCATTCACGCATTCTTCGACCTCCAACCACATGCTGAATTTCTTGAGTATCTAGAGCAGTGGTACAACATAATCACTGTCAAATACCCCGAGAGCCCTTCAAATTTGTCCCATAATCGACCTGAGTCTCGGAGGCGAAAGAGAAAGAATCCTTCGGACGATGTGTGGGATGCAGCTCAATCTCTCTTCAACGCTCTTCTGGAGTCAAAGGACTGTGAATGCCGTCCCGTGCATGACTTCGGGATGAGGCTTCACGTTGGTACATATAGAAAACCACCGGGCATAACAATGGATGCCTGCTCAAAACGTGACTTTGAAATGTTCATATCGATGGAAGAAGAGTGGCACGAGGCTCATGTATGGATTGACGAGAAACAAAGAGACAAAATAGTTCAATTTGTCACGGAGACAGAAATCACAGAACCAAAACGACAAAAGCATTCCAGACAAATGAAAGTGACGCAGTTATGTCCACCGATACGCAAGAGCCGGCCATCTGACCGTCGTCTTGAGTTAAAAGTCGATGGTCAGGGCCGACTTCTCAAATTGATATCCAAAAAGTGTTGCTTTGCAGTTGACACACCACCCGTCTCTCTCGAAGAATTCATGCAGTCTCGGTCTCGATCATTTACGGATAAAACAAAGCGAATCCTGGCAGTACTGCTTAGTTATGCCCTCCTTCATCTGCATGGCACTGCGTGGCTTTCTCCCAGCTGGGGCCCTTCAAATGTGTATTTCTTCAGGACAAACACCGCAAGAATTCCTTTGAAACCTTTTATCCAAGCTTCCTTGGATGCTAGGCCTGATGTCTCCTCGTCTTTAGCCGGTGGGCCGGGAGAGTTTAGCACGGATGAAGAAGATCTGGAGGACATAGATCCCGACGATGTTCTCGTTCACCAGTGTCCAGCTCTTGTCTCTTTAGGCGTCATGTTGATGGAGATGTTCCTAGCAACACCTTTTGAAACATTGGCTCAGCAATCGGGGGTATATCCCGCTGATCGTATGAAATTCACAGATGCGGATACAGTGTTTCAGAATTTCAAGGCTGAGATTCCTCAAAATTCTCAATTCTACTATGCAGTAGAGAAATGTCTGGACCCAAGTGTTTGGGAAAATGAGGACGCAATCCGGCTGGACGACGATACTATCCGAAAACTTATATATGAGGAGGTAGTGCAACCACTAGAGGATGAGCTCTTCCAAGGGTTTAGTTATATCTCGCGAGATGACCTCGACCAATTCGCCCAAAATCTGGATTTTGATGGCTGGGGTCAAGTGATTCAAAGCCAGCACAAAGAATCTTCAAATTCGCAACCTGAAAGCATCCAACGGTCGGATTCCTATCCCAATGCCGACAAAAATAGTCTGGAATTCTTCGACGACGACAGCATTGCGGATAGTCACACTACGGAAGCGTGCGTATAAATGAACCTCTTACCACCCCAATCCGGGCTTCTAACATTTGTTTGGAACGCAGATGTCAGAATTACAAAATATGGGAAGTGAAGTACATGGAAGTTTATGAAAAGTTCATCCAAAGCCCTCCCAAAAGCCCCGTCAAAATTGCGATTCTTGATACCGGTATTGACGAGAAACATCCTGATATCGATGCATGCGTCGACCAGATCAAAGATAGATACGACTGGACCGACGAAAGTTCTAATGGAAAAGCCAATGACCGCACTGGACACGGTACATTTATTGCAGCGCTGCTATTAAAATATGCGCCAGATGCTGAGATATACATCGCCAAAATTTGCGATACAAGACCGTCTAGCCCTCAAACGATCGCGAAGGTGAGATCTTACAAAGAGTATGCGTCTAAATTTCCAGGACTCTAATTTAACTTGACACAGGCAATAAATTATGCGGTTAATGAGTGGAAGGTTGATATAATCACCATGTCATTTGGTTTCCCTACTCGGAATATTGTTGGATACAATGAGTTGGAAAATGCGATTGATAGGGCACACTTCGAAAATGTACTACTACTTGCTGCCGCTTCAAACAACGGTGGAAACAACGACCGAGCATACCCTGCAGGCGAAGAAAAGGTTATATGCATTCACTCCACCGATTCCAACGGAAATCGGTCGCCTTTCAGCCCAACTGCCCGTGCAGATGCCATCAATATCGGGACGATTGGTGAGGCAGTCACTTCCGCCTGGCCGGTCCATCTCTGCTCTCCGGTTACGGCCCTGCCAGTCAAGCAAAAGTCTGGTACATCTTTCGCGACAGCTATAGCGGCAGGCATTACTGCATTTTTGATACAGTATGTCAGGTTGTATTTGCCTGAGCATGCACAGAAAGTGAAGCGAAAGGCTAAAATGGAAGCTGTCTTTCGAAGAATCGCGGAGAAGACTGCATCTTCTATACCAAGAGATGACTATCATTATTTCTCTTTGAGCCAACACCCAAGCAATCTTTTTGGGAAGCAACGACACTTCATTGACGAGACTCTGCGTGATATACTTGACCATGCCTAGAAGATACCATATTACGAATTATTTGTTCATCACCAAGGTTACTATGATATCTTTTTACTTTTGTCGACGATTTTAAACATGACTTGCGGAGCCGTATGACTGGCTCTGGTCATATCATTTCAATGAAGCAGTGCATAGACTAAGCAGACATGATAATATATGGCAAGACTTGGCTTCCTTTCTCCGTTTTGGTGCAAATATGTCTGCATCTCGATCAAGTGACATATATGAACGGACTGTTTGTCCCCCCGTCTATAGAGAACTGACCAGAATCCAACCCAGGCGAGCTCAGTCGTCAAAATAACAACACTCAAACGCCAAACTAGAGTAGACCCGCTAGTCCACCATGATCGAGACATAATCCGATCCCAGCTTCTTGCCTTGGAAATAAATTGAAAACTCCGTGGAAGCTCCTGACGGCACCATCTCAATGGTGTAATTAAAGATCTTGCCCCTCTGGCCCGTGGGCCCCTTGAAGTCTTCAAGATCATCGTATTTATAGCCACTGAGATCAAACTGAATAGTGGAATGCTCCGCCACGCTAACATCACTCGATAGAAAAGGTGGCGTTTCAGCTTCACTCGTGTAAACCGTCAGTGTGAAGGCGGGCGGTGGGAATTCCCTCTCATCGATGAAGATTTTAAAGTAGTTTTCTCGGATTGGATGTGATTTTGTCACATCTTTCCCCTAGTGATAATGGTCAGAATGCAAGATTATGAAAGGAAACATCAAACGGAGCATACCTTGGTAATGTACCAGTCCATCACACCCCGTACCTTGTAGACACCCTCGTATTCACACCAGTATTTCTCTCCCTTGTCATGGACTCCTTTTTTGAAAATTGTGCTGAAACTGAGACCGAGGCTTGTTCTCGAAACTCTCGACAATATCGCAGGAGCATTAGGCACATGTGCAGTTATGGGAGCATCCATGAGTCCCTTTAGGATAGCGCCTCGACAGATAGCAGTACGACTTTTGAATGAGATGTTAGATCCCTCCATATCCGTAAATAAATATAACGGCAATGGGGCTTACCTTCTGAGGGCATTAAACTGGCAGACTTCGATTCCTTGGCTGGAATACTTGGCCTCGAGATATCGATATATATGGGGACTCGAGCCAAGACCACCCACAAGAACAATTCCCTTGATAGAGCATAAGCATTCTGAAAATAACAGCACAAAGTCCTACTTACCGTCACATGTAGCCCTTTGCTTTGGGCTTTGGTTAGCTGGCTATCTACCAGACTAGAGAGGCCAGGCACAGCTCTCTTGTGAAACGCATCACGAATATCGGAGCTAGAGTTCTGCTTAGTGAAGTATGATGAGTTCATTGAATGCAGAGACCTACCCAGAAAAGTAGATACAGCCATTCTTAATATGAGGCTTGCGGGAAGTGTCATTCAACTCTGCGGCTGTTAATGGGCCTTGCATAATCGACACTGGATATGTATCCCAGTCATTTGCCTCTCCAAAGTGAGGCTTGATAGAGTATTCCCATTCATTTGTTAAGATGGCTTTTTGATCCGCCGAGCTGAAGCCGGACCACCGTCGGCCAATGCGATTCCTGCATTGTGCTATAAAGTCCTCATCGATGAAAATGCCACCACACACACGGCCTGCACATTGTCAGCATGCCGTTAGCAAACCTATCGTTTTTTGTCAAAACAGAGATGAACTCATTGACTCACCGTCACCCTCGACTGACTCGTGCAATTGCAGTGGCTGCTGGTGTCCAACTGTATATGTTATGACATCCTGATTTTCCGACAAAGGCAGTCAGTTGGAATTATTTTGGAGAACACATTCACCACGGACTCGGGTGTTCACTTACCACGGTGCCACCTCCAGCATCGCAAATCACAAACACATCATCTGGCTTAGTATGTCTCTCACGGTCAATCAGTGCAGCCAATCCGGCTGCCTCGGGCTCGGGAGCAAAAGTTAGAGAGGTTGGACCGGCGGGACGATGATCAAAAATGCCGGCCTTCCTGGCGGCTTCTGTCATGGCACTGCGGGCATAATCTTTCCAAATCGCGGGCACGGTCAGAACCACATGGAACTCGAGAGACTCAATGAGATAGCTGGGACGAGCCTTGAGAATGGTCTTGAGTGTATGTTGCCAAATTGCCCGTAGGTAATCTGCAATGCAATCCTCAGCCGTCTTCTCGCTCTCGCGCAGTAGCATCTTGGCCCGGCCAATATGCACCGAATCTCGAAGCTCATTCCACATGTCATCTTCTCGCAGCAGAAGAAGCTTGAACCACTCAAGCGCTTCTATTTCGTTCGGAATCTCAAAGCCCCATAACGGGGTGTCGGTTTGGGGTCCATACTCGTAGTAAAGCTTCGTGGGCACTTTAGCATGGTCACCGCGCATCCCAGGCCATTGCGTGATGATGTTGATGTTTTCTTGTTTAAAGTCGGCCAATGTTATCCACGAGACACCAGAGAATCTGCTCTCAGCACAGGTTATCAGCATTGGAACTTCCACCTCAAGTTTGGAGAGACCGACGTAGTTCCGAAATCGATCCCAATGATCAAACAATTGTGCAGGTTAGCCTGCTTCGACTTGTCCAGTCTACCAAAGAAAGATGCCAATCGATTTTTGGGAATTTCCGAGGTTTTTCTCAAGTAGCCGTCGGCGTCAACCTTCGGCATCTTGGTCTGCGGTCTTGAAGTATATGGTTCAATTTCAGGTAGAGGTATGACAAGGACATCAAAGGCTGTCGATATTGTTCGCTGATTCGGCAGCACGTCTGAGCTCTGTGAGTTTCTGATCAAGAAGCCCTAGGAGATCGAGAGAGGAAGAAAGAAAGAGTGAAGCTAAGCTACTGGAAACTAACTTCTACCTGCACCTGCGGGGGAAACGCCTGCTCAATTCCCAACCACGACAACCGCTATCCACGCGCTCCGAGCTCATGGCGCATGCAATTTCCATCACATTCATGATGACTGCGATCGCTCAGCGTGCCACGGATTGGGCCAAGCTATACCTTTTGGGGCATTCGGGCGAGGCAACAGCGGTGCGGCGATCTCACACGCCATCTTTTGAAACGAGCTCGGTGCACTGGGCTGAATGCATACGCTGATGTGCTACGATGTGGGATTCCTATCAATCTTACGAGCCACGTCACGCGGCTCAAGTGCGCAGCCTAACCTCTCACCTCACATATTGCCTGACGGTATGAAAATTACTAGCCTTAATCTATACTGTCATGACGTGGTATTTCATCTGGAAAGACGAAAAAGATCAGACAGGGTACAAAGGCAACATCTGGGCAGAAATATCCCTCTTTACAGTGACACTGTCTGGTTCCGTGCATTGTGGTCAACACTCAAGAGTCGAATAACTTCATCATAACGGCTTTATCTTTTCTTGACGCAGAAGTCATACTTAAAATGCAACAGCAACCAACAATCATACACCGGAGTCCTGGAGCCACAAAGGGAACCGATACAGTCCTGTTGGCCACCAATGAAGATATTCAAGATTTCGAAATAAGGAGCAGCATCCGCGGGAGCCCGGATCCATCGTTTGTCTCAACTCTTTCGCAACAGGCTAGGGAATCAAGTTCAGGTCTACCGGAGCATCCAAGTCAGGAGAAAGCACCTCTTTCGGCTCTGAGTAGTAGTGTTCCCAGCGAAATGGACAACCTGAAATCCCAATATCTGCAGCTACAACAAGAACTGACTGCTGAGCGCGCCAAAACAAGCCAACTCTCAGCTACCAACCAGAGGCTGAACGACGAGGCACTTGAATGGGGTAAAAAGTGTTCGCAGGCTGAAAATAAGCTAGACGAAGAAGTCCGGCATCATGGTCAAACGAATCGCACCTTGCAGCTGAAGCAGAGGGACGCGAGTCACTGGCATCGCCTGTTGCAGGACGCCAACCGCGCCATGAATAGCGCAGCGAAGCACCAGCAAATTTACCATCAACTCGAAGACTCTGAAATCACGGCGCGAGCGAAACGCCTCCGCGTGGATATTCGCAACTTTGCCTTGAGATTTGCCGAAACCAAAGAGGGCGTCGTTCAGATTTCCCCCGCCTCATACTCTCTCCTCGAGGAATACCTTCAAGTGCCTATAAGCATTCTAGACCAATATTTGGATTCTGCTTCATCTCGTTCATCCATTATCCGCGCTTTTCTGTGGGCTTTCCTTTATGAGGAGGTTTTCCGAAAATTTAGATGGGCGCCAGGAGACGTGGGACAAGGCATGCGATCACTATGCGACTTGATAGGTATTTTACACACTATTCCAAGACTGAAGCCTCTACCTTCAGAGCTAACACGGCTCAAGAGCCATCGGCCAGGAAGCCATCTGAGTTGAAAGAAGAGGTAGAACGCAAGCGGAATATGTGGAGGGCTCATACCGTCAGCTTGGTTCTTGAGAAAATGGATAGGAGTACGGAAGAGACGCACGACAGTCATCGGGGATTTCTCTCCAAGAAGATAGAGGTTCTTGTTAGCTGCCTCAACCCCATAGTGTCGTGCAGCCCCCGAGAGCTGGCCGGCCCACTGTCGAGACTTCTACAGGAAAGTCTGGCGCTCGACCAAGTGCTCAGCCAGCAAGTGGCACGGTGGACCTGGCGCCTTCCCAGTGATATTCCTTGTGAATTTGACGAAGCCATCATGGACACATCAGGACACAACAGTCAAAAGGGGATTACTCGAGAAGTCCAGCTGTTCTTGGCTCCTGCTCTCATGAAACAAGGCACATCCTCCGGCGATGACTTTCTGATAAATGAAGTTCATGTCAAGATGGAGGTGGAAATTAGTTATAGGCCACAGTCTCAGAGTAGTGGCTCTGCCCTCCGTCAGTATATATCTGAGACCTTCGGGAAAAGGCGTACAAAGTGAACGTTCTAGGACTTTCCAGATGTTCAATTAAATATTACCAGTCACAGATTCATACGCTCTAAAACAACTGCTCACCATTCAATTATTACTTAACACTAATAATACCGTTTTGATCCAAGTACAGATGCGTAGGAATCCCAATAAAGTAATTGCACCGTTTCCGAGGGAAGCGCTCTTATAATGCAAGGGTGTCCATACACTTCCCCTTGAGGTCGGAAACATAGCCGCTTACGAAGTACAACGCACCAATGCCCGGGGACCATTTTCTTATTCGCCATTGGCGACAAGGATGGGTCAGACCTCTTCGGTGACTATAATATTACTGTATGCTATATTCCCTCAATCTTTTTACAACGCCTACGTCCCATACATGAACATCACGTTTAGCGTATCCGTAACCTACGTACCAGTCAAGATCACGATTATCCCAAGTTATTCTTAGGATCAAAACAAGGCTATTTAGATAGATACAAGCTATTATATAGTAGTAATAGTAGAGTATCATAATTCATATCGAAGAGAAAGCCGAGATTGGCCTTCTTAACTCTCTCCGAAACCTAATTCCTACGATCGCGGATTATCTACGCCTACCATAACTTATCATACCTACGCTTCATTACCACCTACGACGGATGAACCCCGATCAAACAAAAACGTGGCGCACTTTCATTTAAGAACCTTGAGCCTTTCGTTGAGATCGTCAAATTTATTAGCTTTTTCACGGAAACACGAAGAATACCTTTAAAAGAGGACCTTGACGGTTTCCGTAGAAGAGCTAATAAAGTAAACAGTCTTGATAAAGTAGGGCTCAAGATTCTTAAATGGAAGTGCGCCACGGTTTTGTTTGATCGGGGTTTATTCGTCGTAGGTGGTAATGAACCGTATGTTATAGTAGGCGTAGATCATCTGCAATCGTAGGAATGAGTACCGCAAAGAGTTAAGGTCAATTTCAGCTTTCTCTTCAATAGAAATCATGATAATCTACTATTAGTACATGATGGCTAGTATTCATCTAAATAGCCTTGTGTTGATCCTAAGATCAACCCGGCGGCAGTCATAATCCTAAGATCAACTCAGGGGTAGTCGTGATCTTGACTGGACATCGTGATCTTGACTGGACATCGTGATCTTGACTGGACATCGTGATCTTGACTGGACATCGTGATCTTGACTGGTACGTACATTACGGGATACGCTAAATGTGATATTCATGCATAGGTCGCAAGTGTTGTAAAATAATTGAGAAGGTACAGTATATTAGAGGCTGCAGTCCACTGATCTGCGATGTTGACACGCCCATAGCCTTCTCCTTAGACTTGGCGCATGGAGGCTTGCTTACCCGGGTAAAAAGATGACCTGTGGGCCAAGACGCACGCCAAGAAAAGGTGCGACATGTGTAAGAGTTATATTACAGATCCAAGTATCGTGCTAGCCCTTCGTATTTGCAAATTCGTGACTGTTTACTGTAATTTACTAGCAGGGGGAATCTATCACACTCGTCTGGCTTTGTAGTGGGCGTCGGGTTGCCCACAGCGACAGCTGCGTGAGTTCATATGTTATTGAAGATTTATTGAAAGCATTAAAAGATACATGACTGTTCCAAGGTTTATGTAGACAATAGACATTTCCAGCCCTGGGAGTCCTACGATAATCTATGTTACGCGGGAAGTAACTATATGGTTCGCAAATTCAAAGCCAAGTCACATTGTGCTCGTAGATTAAACAGCCTCTGGGTCACTCCCTCTGAGGATTGAGTCCTCTAATCATATTCGGCTTTGACGTTGTGGGACGCCTGCTTGCGATGATTGACGTAGAACGTAAAGTCCATAGAGGCGCCAGAAGGGACCATCTCTATGTCGTATTCAAGCACCTTGAGTCTTCGATTTCCATCCGCACTAGTAAAATCCTTTAGACTGGATATTTCAACATCGGGCGTCCACTTCAGGTCACACAAAAGCTTCACGGTATCGTTCATTCGCTGCGGAGGGTCACTGCTGGCGCACTGGTAAAGCCCATCGTTTAAACTCCCCCTATGGTTCCTTTTCACGTAACGAGACCAGGGATGTCGCACAGGGTCGAGTTTGGACATGTTTTCTCCCTATTGCAATGCGGGTGTGAGTTGACTATTGTTTCATCTCCTAGTGCGGATGCTTTCGTACCTTGCGGATATACCAGGTCATTTGATTATTTATCACATAATCGCCTTCATCGGCAGACCATTCGTAGTCTGGATCGGACCGACTGTGTTTGAGGGGATCGAACAACGTGTAGTATACTGTTCCGAGACTGTAGCGAGCAATAGTTGATGTCACCTGAATGGGCGCCGGGATGTAGGGAGTTTTCATCCTCATTGAGCTCTCGTCATCATCGTCACCCTCTGTGCCCATAAGTTGGTCTTCCGCAAAACCTTTGTAGACTGCCCCGCGACATATTGCTGTCCGTCTAGAGAATCTGTCAGAGGCGAACTCGTGATGCATACTATGGTGCATTTTCTGTTCACTTACGGTTTCGTTCCCAAGGATTGGATGATTGTCAGTCCGGCCTTGGTATGTTGATCTTTCAGATGTTGATAAAGATAAGGACTCGACCCTAGGCCACCAACGAGAATGATTCCCTAAACATAATAAGTTTCCATGTCCTGATTATGGCGATTTGCCTCGGCCGGCATACCTTGAGTTTAAGACCCTTCTCTTTGATCTTTCCCATTTGCTCCTTCACCAATTCGTCAATTTTGTTGAATGACTCCGTGAATGCCTTCATTATATCGGATCTGCTCGAAGAATTAGTCACTTAAAGTATTAGAGGCCTGGAGTGAACTTGGTTCGGTGAATCTCACTGTCGGAAGTATATCCGAGCCTTCTTGATATGCGGAAGCTGGGATAAATCGTCTTGCCCGGTATTCACAAAAGCCTCGGCGGGGATGGGGACGACGTATTCCTCCTTTGAGTCTGGTTTTGGGATAAACTGGCGCTTGTACGTTCTCTCCCATTTGTCCTTCATAATCTCTTTTACTCCAATCGCACTGAGAAGTGTCCAGCGTCTACCTAGACGGTTCCTACATAGCCCCTGGAAGGCGTTATCAATTAATACTGCACCACATAGGGCTCCTAGTGTATGTCAGACTTGTTCGGATTCAATATACAAGAGACCCCAAAAGCTCACCTGTCCCCTCAACGGCCTCATCCATCGTGATAGGAGAAGTCGATGCAATTTTGTAGCTGATGAGATCCTGAGAAGGTTATATCAGCTCTAGCATCTTCTGATACAATGCCATGTGCGTCGACACTTACCACCGTTCCACCTCCAGCATCCAATATGAGCCAGACGTTACCAGCTTGGACCAACTCCTTGTGCTCTGGCTCAGCAAGTGTCGCCATTCCAGCCGCTTCAGGTTCCAAGACAAAGCTTAGCCTTGTCTTGCCGATTTCCCGAGGAGCCAAAAGCCCTGCCATTTTCGCTGCCTCTTCCATACTTTGTCTCGCGTATCCTTTCCAGATTGCAGGCACAGAAATCACAATGTGAAACCTGAGGGCGGGCAGGAATTGGTCTCCCCGGGACTTTTCAATCATCTTCATGGTATGCGCCCATAGCAGCCGTAGATAGTCAGCCACTAGATCAAGCGGCTGCAAGCCCTCCATCCTGACCTTTTCCTTGGCAAGAAGGAAGAACTCGGAGGACTTCACATCATCCTGAAGATCCTCGTTTTTCAAAAGAAGAAGCTTGAACCAACGGACCGGGTCTGCATCTGGATGAATGTCATAGCCCCACGAGGTGATCCCATTATCATAATCGATTTCAGTCGGGGCTTTGCCTTCGTCTGCACCGCAGCCTGGCCATTCGCTAATGGTGCTGATGGTTCCTTTGAGAAACTCACTCGCGGTTGCGTATGCGACGCCGGAAAACCTAGAGAGCCCCAGTAGACATGGTCAGTCTTGTGTAGATAGGATCGAGGATAGGGACCTACGTGGTTCCGAAGTCGATCCCTACAACCAACACCTCGTCCTTTTCCGTGAGGTTTAGTCCTTCCATCGATGGATCAAAGTCCGAATCGCTGTCATCGTGGCCCCAGTAGCTATCATGCGCGTCTCTTTTATTCACGTCTTTATCAACTCGCATTTTGCCGTCAAGTTTGATGTATTACTTGAACAGTTCTGAGGGAGAATATTCGAATTTCACCGTTTTGACGGGAGAAGGTTTCTTGACCACGTACAGTCAAAGATATAAACCCTTTTCCAAAGGTCGAGGAGTTTTCCCCGTGACAATCTTACAAGTTGGCGGCAAGTCGTCGTAAATAACCGTTCTGAAACCGCGGTTTCTAACATGTTGGAGTTTTTGCAAAGCTGCGTATCTTACCGTTTCAACCAACCACGACAGTAGTTGTCAGCCTCAGTGATCCCAGATGCACCACCTGCATGTCTGGTTGCCTGTTTCTCAGTTGTGAGTCATGTCCTTGTCGCTACTCTTTTTCCTGGCGTTATTCGAGTCATTGGGATGCTCGGATCCCTAGGAAGTAAGACTATTGGTTGGTTTTCCCATCCATTAGACGGCCATCTGCTTGTGGGGTTACATGCGATGGGCGCGCTTCCTTCCACCTCTAGCCCTAATTCCCAGTGGACAATATTCTTGACTGCGTTATTCAGAGCCAATCTAACAGCAATGGATGCCAAAGATAACCCTCTAATTAACGAGAGGGTGCCGACTCAGGAAGACCCGTCAACGACCGCATCTCAAGGCACAGAGAAACAGGAGGATCCAGTCCAGCTAGCGCTTCTTGCGACAGGCCAGTCTCAGGAGCTTGAAACTCATTGTCAAGATCTCGAGCGGGTCTTGCACAAACGAACGCAGCAACGTGATGTCTACAAGGCTAGATATCAGGCGCTCGCGACGGAATTGACCAAGCTCAAATCTCAAGACCAAGGATTTCCCCAGCTGGATGATAGCTATTTGATACAGGAGGTGGAGGGTCTACGGGTAAAGATCTGGAACTTCAGCCTCCATCACTACGCAGGGGTCGTCTCGGGTGGAAGAATTAAGTTGGATTCCATGCTGAGTAGCTACACGAAATCCAACATACGAAGCGATATGGACCTCGAAAGCTATCTGGAATTTCCTGACTGGCGGCCAGGTATTATGGAAGCATTCCTGTGGAAAATCATGGTGAACGATATCTTCAACGAGTTCTGGTGGGCGGGTAATGTCGGCACGTGCATGAGCAAAGTATACAGACTTATGAAACAAAGTAATCACCCAAGGGGGGCCTATTCCAAGTCAAATGCGGCGCACGCTAACTTTGAGACGACTTCTAGGTTTCCAGTCGACAGCCGATATTCAGAGCTTCCAAAAGTGGTCTGCTACGACGACCAAGTTGATCCGCGAGTCACAGAAGCGCAACGGACCGCCGTCAAGAGCCAACCGTGAGAGGAGATTGGAGACGTTGGTGAGCGAAGTCCATGGCGCAATCAAAACATACCGCACCTCGACACGAGGAGGCTTGATGATTGCTATTCGCGAGATCTTGAATGAAGCAGTCGCACTGGATGAAGAGCTCTGTCAACAGCTCGCCCAGTTCGAGTGGGACTTTCCCGGGCCCGAAGTAGATTTCGATGCCCAAAAGATGCAGCTTGCGGATGGAGAGGCGCCGAATGCTGATGTTCTGCCCATTAGCCTTGTCATTTGTCCAGGACTCAGGAGGAGGGGCCGATCCGGCGACTTTGAGAAAGAGGACTTACTCGTCCCGATCAAGGTCTCTTGTGTCGCTCCAAAGGACCGACCTAAGGAACCTGGTCTTCTCCAAAACTTCTCTTCCAGAATACAAAGGATACTATGAGATCATATCGAACTCTTGTCAGAGACTTCACGAATAGCGTTGGGTCTATTTTGAGCATGTGAAACGCACTACTGCGCACATTTGTTTGGTGCACATAGCTTTTTATGTGAACCACTTATCCCACTGGTTCTTTCCATGCAAATCGACTAGTTCAAAAGCTGTAGCCGCGGAGACCGAAGTCTACAGTAGAGGAGTATTGCAGGCCTGATGCTAGTAGCATCCATAAATATCCCAAATTGAGGCACCTGCAGACACACCCGGCCCGCTACCTCCCTAAATATGATAAGAATCAGTATTTATATGACTGGATAAACTCTCCTCTGCTCTAAATATTATTAGACTAGTCTGACCTCCCCTGATTGATAGGCTATATATCTATCACAACGTATAACGCTTAACCCCCGGCAGACATTATCTTGTGTCTATAGGCATAAATGGCAGTACCCAAAGCTATGCCGTACTCTTCTGAACCGAGTATGAATAGTCTTAGTCTCCATTCCTCCATGTACGTGTTCAAAAGGCTTGGATTACAGGTGGGGTATCTGTGGCTGTGTCAAAATAGCCCCTCTTATAAGCAACATCTCGAACGTTGCTCAATTGTCCAAGTTCAAGTCTCCGATGGCAAACCGCAAGCAATACTTTTTCTACACCCCGAGCTGGGATTACCCGCCACCGCCCGATGGCCCTATCAGACTAGGAAATGTCATCACATCCCTAACAAGCCCCGAGAGATCTCTACATACCGCCGCCCCAGATGAATCAGAAGTGTTCTCGGTGACCAAATCAAGCTTCGAAACTTCTTCCACGATTGATCGACATGGAAAGGTTGCCATTGTGACGAAGTTCCTGTCCATTCTGGGACTTGGGGTCGATACTGGTATTAATCTTGAATCAAGGTATTGTCCATCTTGATTCCCATGGGCTTCTCTGCAAGTACATGTCTCCCTCTCTTGGGAATACATATTGCCAGGCAACGCAGGATGACTGAGCTGATCTTTTTCTGTGTCCTAATCAAGTGACCATCAAGGCTTTACTTTTGATTCTCTGGAAACAACACAGTTTGTTCCCAGTTCTTCCTATATACAGGAAGATTGTATAGCTTCTCCAATTACCAAGCGGTGGCTGGAGATGTCGCGATATCGCAAGCCTCTTTATATCATCACTGGACTCAAGATCGTCAGAGGGGCAAAGACTGCCGTGACACGCCGGGAACGTGGAGTCGGTGCTCAGCTTGGTGTTGAGGTGGACGGAACGATTTGGAGCGGAGGGACTGTTCCTTTGGGTGGTGGACCAGAGCTCGATATTGGAAGATCAAAGTCGCAGGAGGTCAGCTGGAAGGAAAGCGGTGATTTCGTTCTCGCCTATCGAGTCAGAAAGATCAAAGTCAATAAGAGGACGAATGGTGTGACAAGAGATGAAGACTATATCAAAGGCGCCATGCTAGGAGTTGATTCCCAGGGGATATCGGGTGATTTGATTGACATTTCGGATGGTGAGCAGTTCGATTTGGAAGAGCAAGACTGGGAGACGACCAGTGTTGTGGAAGGGGATGAAATGCTCAATATAGCCATGCCTAAATTGAAATAATCCTAGTTTGTATACATCTGTTTCGATCGGGGGCTCGTGGTTTGATGATATTGAATGACGCATTAAACACCTTGGGTTCATGAAAAGCTTCGTTATTCAAGATTTTGTTGCATAAATGGAGCATACATATGACTATACCACATAAGTTATGACTATCGGGGGTTATATAAAACAAGCTTATTTGCTTTCTTCTTTTCCTTCCTTTGCAAGCTTCTCCACCTGCTCCTTTCGCTTCTTCAGCACAGTCTGCAGTTCCTCAACGGTCTCTTTCAACACAGTTTCTGCCTCGCTTCCCTTATTTTGCGCGATAGTCTGTAGTGACTGCAACTGAGGAATGACATTGGAACCACCAGGCACCATATTCAACCACTTGTCCAGGTCACCGAAGCCGCTTTCCTTTGCTTGACCAACCTTCTCCTTGATATATTTCTCTGCATCATCTATCTTCCCTGAAGAAGCGCTGTCCTTAACGAGAGCCCATAGATCTTGCGAATTTCCCTTTTTCAAGGTGTCCGCATTTTCTTCAACCAGTTTCTTGAGCTTGGGGCTCTTATCAAGGTATTGCTGGGCTTCTTCAAACCCCTTCTGCCATGTCTCATCCCCTAGCTTTTCAAGCTTTGTCTTCTTCTCTTGGATCAACTTCTTGATCTCTTCGATGGACTCGGTACTTGCGCCGCGCTGCACAATGCTAGAGATTTGTTGCCAGGTCCGATTGACCTCCTCCTTGGCTTGCGGCCCATAAGCATCACCAAGCTCCTTTAGCTGGCCAAAGCTACCCCCGATTTTGTCCTTAATTTGCGGGTGATTGTCGAGGACATTCTCCGCCGCGTCGCCGGCAATATCATACAGCTGCTTCAAGTGCTTCTGCAGCACGCTCATTGCCTTGAATGCCGAGTCCATGTTCAATCCTTCTTTCTTAGAGAGGTCGCTCAACTCGGTATATGCATTTTTCACCACCTCGTCGAATTCCTTCCCGTGGTCGTTTCTGATGGTGTCGAGGTCGTCAAATGCGGTGTCGATGTAGCCGCGCGCGCCAGGGATGAAAACAGCATAGCTTTTGCTCGTATCCCTTAGCCAGTTGAATGCCTCGTTTGGCTCCGGTGTCTTCTGGGCAATGGTCTGCTTGGCCTGGTCGATGTAGGCTTGTGTCTGCTTGCTGGTGTTGACGACTGTCTTGATGCCGGAGAAGTGGTACCAGCTGTAACCCGCAATGAATGCGACACCTCCACCAGCAAGACCGCCGATCAACGCGGAATTGGTACCGCTAGAAGCTGCATTGGAAGTCGTGGATTGAAAGCGAGAGTTGATCAAGCGAGCCTTGCCTCGCAATTGCTGTCTGGCAGACCTTGCTGCAGGCCCTGAAGTTCGTCCGAGCATTTTGAGAATATAAGGGGGAAAATAAGGTGGAGATAAAGTGTCCTATAAATGTCAAGTGTAGAACAGTAATTGAGGTGACTCTTATAGAAGTCGAGCCTCATCGAAATCAGGTAACATACTTGGCCCGCTTGCAACGGTAATAGACGTCATCTACTCCGGTTGGAAGTGCACGCGAACCCCAGATCTCGACTTCGTCAAGCTTTGAGATGACAGTGGAATGATGTCATCTATCTTCAACGCCTTGTTCGGCTTGGTTCTCCGCAACTTGGCATTCTTCCTTGCCTAAATTTTGCGCTATACAGACTGCCTGTCGGTAATCAGGTTTCTGCAGTTAAGAAAGCTGGGATTGGTTACGTTGCCCGAGGAATGCTTGGTAGTCTGAAGGCCGAGAAAGACAACTATGCAAACTGCCATGGTACCAACAATGACTGAATGAGCATGTTGGCGAGATAGTTCCATTTTTAAATGAGATTAACGCTGCCTTCATGGATGCTAATAGTACTTTTGTATCTTAGGGTATGGTCTATCATAATTCCTGTCAGGTTTATTTACCAACAATATTCACGCCAACCCAAATAAATATTTTAATATTTTCATATACATCTCATATTCTCGTCGCATCTTATACTATACACATTCCCAAGACATAAATCACATAAATGTACACAGAATGGAAACAAATGTCCAAAGAAAACAGATCATACAACATCCCCAGAGCCAAATCCAGCCCGAAGACCAAACCCAAGAGCAAACGCCAAGTTGCCAATCAAATCAATCTAATTGACAGGCCGATGACATTGCGAACAAATAAGCTTCTGCTTCCCATCCCGTCCCTTAACACTCCGAAAGCTAGTACAGCGACAGTTCTCACACTGAAGCACATCATCATCCTCGTTTCCTCCCGAAGAAGCATACTCACTACTGAGAACACTCCCAGCAGTACTCAACCTGCGGTCACGAGCAGTTTCGGGACTAAGCAGATCATTCGAATGGCGCGAGCGCATCGCCATTGCATCGTGCGTGATCTTGTTCCAGTACGCGTAGCTGTGATCGCCTTGCAGCCAAAGCGGATTGTCTTTTGCTTTTCCGCTTGCGAGTAGGTCGGCTGATGTGGAGGGGATTCTTTCCAGGGGTGGGGATTTGCCGTTGTCAGTTCCGATGGGGTTTCCGTTCCCATTGGCGGGCCGATTGCCGTTGCTTTGGGCGCGGGTGTGTTTGGTTCGACTTGCGTCTTCGCTTGTGCGTCTGCTGTGTAGCCTGGACCGGCGTGGCGAGGGTGGTGGGGATTGCGTGGCTGCGTGGAGGGATTCGTGCGGGCCTAAGCTTGAAGGTCTGGAGTTTGACAGGCGGAATGTTGCGTTGCGATGTTGTGGGGATGGGCTTCTGGTTCGGAGACCGGAGCGCGATATTTCTGTGCTGGAGCGGCCTTGGCGGGCGACTGAGTTACGCCAGGAAATGATTCGCTCCGAGGGTGTTTTATGGGAGGATTCTTTGCCGACTGAGGAGGCTACGCTGCGGCGGCCGGAGTTCGAGCGGCGAAGGATGCGACGCGAGATGTTGGAATTCGCGTCCCAGTTTTCGAAGCGGCGTTTGTGGTAGGCACAGTCTTGTCGGAGGATCTTGATCTTGCCTGAATAGTCGGCTATGACGATTATATTTCCGTCTGGATGTTTGGAGCGGGCCAGGTAGGAGGGGGATTCTTGGGCCATTTTGCTGACTATTGATAGACGTGGTGCGGATGCTGAGCGTTTGTGACCGAGTCCGTTTTGCTTTGCTTGTTCTGTTGATTCGGGGCCCAGTAGAGCTACTGGCGGTGGGTTGCAGATGTCGTAGATTGGATCTTCAGATAAAGCTAAAGCTTGCTTTGTTTGAACAGGCGCGGAGATGGCGGCTGTCACCATTGCAGAGTGTGTCTCGAAGACCTCTACAGCTCGTTTCTCGGAATCTCCCTCCACTGGACCAATGGGCCATACATATGCACGGCGATCTTCACTTCCACAAATGATATGCTTGCCATCGTCTGTAAAAGTGGCTCGGATCTGACTGCAGGAGTTCTCGTTGCCACGGAATTTGGCTTCCAAAGTTCGGGTGTTGAAATCGTACAATCGAATGCGGGAGTCGTTGCTAGTGACCAGGAGCTTCGTTTCGCCTCGATTATCGCCCTCGGTGACAGTCATCGTATCAATGCCGGTAATTTTACTGCCCTTGGCATTTCTGCCACGAGCCGATCGAACGGGGATTTGAGATGATATCTTCAGACCTTCTGTGCAGTAGATGTTGAGCATACCATTGAGGCATCCTGCGATGGAGTATTTTCCGTCTGGCGTAAATGCCACTGCGGTGATCATATCGGGACCCGCGGTTACAAAGGCGACACTTTTGTCGGGAATACTCCAGAGACGTAGTTTCGTGTCGAGTGACCCAGCAAGGAAGAACCGGTCATCACGGGGGTGAAACTGTATCGAGGTTACAAAATCGCTGTGTTGGAAACAGCAGAGGCATTCCGGTCGAGAGATGTGCCATAATCGCACTGTCTTATCCATGGACGAAGACAGGAGGAAGTTGTTCTGACATATCAATTAGTAGGGTCTTCCCAATCAAATTTTAACGTGCACCATACTTTACTCCAACTCAGATCCAAGATACTCCCATTGTGACCCTCGTACACCTGAATTGGCGTTGGCTGAACCACAGGCGCTTTCAGTTTAGGAGTATCCTGCGCATCGACAGGTGTTTGCTCTTCCTCTCCGTTCGCGTCCTCTCGCTCCTCCGGCGTAGAGATGACGGCCCAGACTCTTACCTTGCGGTCCTGACCCGCAGCAGCCAAATACTTTCCGTCCTTGGAGAAGACCAGCGCCCAGATGGCCCGTCCGGTATGAGCCCCATACTTCGGTAAAGCGGACGATATGGATATCCGCCTTTCTGCGACTTTCGGCGGTGCGCCACCGCCCTCGAGTTCCTGGGCCAAGAAAACACGGTTGAATGTCTTGTCTTTCTTGTGATGTGCGCGCACCTTGATGTACTTTGCAGGACCAGGATGCCGAGCTATATATCCGATTGGATGAGAAGTGTCGACGGACATGCGGCTCGTCTCTGGTTCTGAAATTTCATCTTCTGGCTCGTGGTAATGTTCCTTCTTTTTGTTTCCGATAATTCGGCTGAGGAAAGAGACGCCTTTTCTGTGGGGTGGTAACACGGAATGGGTCAGTTGCTGGTATATTTGTATGACCGCACAGATCCTGGTGGGGGGAAATATTCCAAAGCGGACTTATGCGGGTGATGGCAAAGAATCCTGCATGCGCCGAGAGACACGAAGGCGCCAGAGTGACATGCCGACTGGACAGGTGAAACTCACTTCTTCTCCTTGGGAAGCTTGGTTGGGGATGACTCGCGCGCCGAACTGTCCGGCAGGGTGTATTCGGAACCCACAGCTTCAGCTTCATATGAGGCTTTCCCCAGCAATTTCAAGGGAATGGATTTCTGCGTATTTGTACGTTGGATGATATGCTGAGCACGGCCCTCACGTCAGCTCTGACAAGCACATGACCCCCGTATAGACCTACCTGCGAGAGCGGATCTATAGCACTTGATTCGGTCTTGGTCTCGTGTAAGGCATTCTCTCGACTCGCCGGTGGTCGTTTGCCAGAGCGCGCATCTTGATGGCTGGAGCCCGATGCAACCTCTGATGGGGCCGAGCCTGAACTGGTCAGCATGTTCATTGGTAACTCGTAATTCCTTGTTTTCGCATGCGCTCGTGATAGGCTCCGGGTTGCAATCGCAACGCACCTGGGAATGTCGCGGCTCGGGGCGGCCTGTCCTCTGGACTTATTGGCAGGGCAGGATGATCTGTGTCCATCTGCGCATGGAAAAGATATTTACAAATGCATTGATGGGATGTGAAGGGAAAAAGCGGCAGAGCGGCAAACACCGGATGGATATGACATCAAGCCCCCGGTGGAGTCAGACCCTTTGTGCTTGATAAGATCTAAGAATTGGCCAAGGCTTTCTCTCTCTCCACTGTGATCTGATTTTGATATAAATAGAGTCTATGGTGTGTATAGTAGGTACAGCTCCCTGGCATCACTTAAATGCGCGCCTGCAATTTTCTTGCGCGGTCTTTCGCGATGTCGCACATTCCCTGCCGAGTCAGTATCGAACACCTCGGAACCACTAGAGTCCCCAACTTACCTGAATCGTCTCTTCAATCTCGCGCTCAGCATCACCGCGATCAATGCGCTGACGCATCTCCACCATAATCACGTCCCGGCTTCGGCCGTTGACGAATGTGCTGGATACTATTCAGACCCGACCATACCACACAGCACACGATAAGCAAACTTACACAAAGCGCAACCCAGGGAACCTGTCCTCGTATTCAGCATTGAGCGCAATCAATTTCTCGGCTTGTTCCTCTGCGCCCGTGTTCAATTGGGCCTGTTCTTTCTTGCTGAGCTCACTCAGATGTTCCGGGTTGGCCGGCGCGCGGCCCAGTCGGGGATGCGAGCCCAGAATGCCAAAGAGCACGTTTCGGTCTGTCGGGGAATTCTGCGCCGACAACGCAGACATGCGAGCCCCCACTGCATCGATCAACGCTGGGTAAGTGGTGAAGCTCTGGGCGAGCACGGGGATCATCAGTTGGTGGAGCTCTGGTGAGGGCTCGAACAGAGTGTCCAGAACCCGGAGCTGAGCCTCCTGGGGTAGGCTGGTGATCGTCGATGGTGGGGGAAGGTCGGTCATTTTGATGTGTAGGAAGACATTCCGTCGGGCGTTGGGGAATTGCAATGGTTAAGTAGAAACTCTTGGGATCCCCGCCTTCGGGGGACTCCGTAGGCGGAGTCCAGCGGTTGATCACTGACTTCCATATCGATAAGTGATGCCCGTGATAGAGAATTTGAACTTCACTTCTCTCAGGGTTGAAACAATGGACCCGAGGCTATCGAGAATATGCAGAGTATGCAGATCCCTTCATCGGCCTCTTCTGGTCTCCCCCTACGCGTGTCCAACCTCAGCTATTTAAGTGCCGAAGTATTCCAATCCTCGAGTATCCTGCGTTTTCAGGTTTTGGAGTACCACCAAAATACCTCCCAGGACTGAAGGCTCACATTCCACAGGATGCAATGTGTGCAATGTGTGTAGTAAATGGGGCTATAAAGAGTACGAAAGCCGTGTTTCAGGATGGAGAGTTAAATTGGGATAAACGCCAATGTGGAGCTAAAGCCCACCCCTGAGATCCGAGAGAGGTTCGAGGTTCGACTATCAATGCAGATTCTCTCGACGCTCTCCAACTGCCAGGCTGACCTTGATTGGGCACATCGCGATCTAGAGATCCGATCCGCCCCATTCACACTTCTCCGGCCCAGAACTTCTTCTCCGTTACTTCTCCCTTCGGCTTTGCGCCTATCCTTCTCCATGCGGCCCACGCCATGTCGTTGAATGGGCTTGATACCGCCGCGGTCGTGGAAGCCTACCAAGGCGCCCTGACCGATGCGGGCGGGTGGTGAGTGAACCCCTATAGGAAGTGGAAAGTGTTTCGTGAGACGGTTGTTGACCCCCTGTGTTTCAGGTTTCTGTTGCATTATGTGGCCAGAGACGAGGTGACCCTGCTCGAACGAGGAACAGGCGGGGTGCCTGAGATTCGAAATGCGATCGAGAACTACGAGGAATGCTCGCCGCTCTACGGCTTCCTCCAATATCGACGCAGGAAGGTGATCATCCGCTATATGCCAGAGGGGCTATCGCGCCTGATCCTAGGTACGCACTCAGTCATGTCGCATCTGCATTGGTCTAACGTCTCCTAGCTCGAAGCAATGTCCAATTCACTTCCGTCACCGACAAGTTTACCCCAAACGACACCGTGCTTCCTTTATCCAAAGCCTCCGAACTCACCGAAAGCGCCCTGTCGTCCGCATGTCTCCTCCACACCGCTTCGACCTCAATCACCTCCTCGTCCAGTTCCCTCCGCCGTCGTCGGCTGATGGAAATCACCGAAGATGCAGAGGAATCTGGCAATAAGGATGAGGCCCCGCGGCCGATGCAGACTCCTCAGAGAGCTCCGATGGCGAACCATCAACGATCAGAGAGCATCCAATCTGAAGCCACTATAGTCCCACCTCCTGAAGAAACACCACCGGAACTACAAGCGATGTCACCGGATAGCGATAGAATCGTTGAGGAACCAATTGCCGCACCATCGCGAGCAAGCTCGAGAGCTCCGTCTCAAAGAACCCCCAATGAGACGATGCTCCCGCCATCGCGGGCAAGTTCAAGAGCTCCATCTCACAGAACTCCCAGCGAACCTCACGGAAGCCCAAGCGAATCCTCCTCGGCAGCACAATCCCCCAAGTCAAGCGACCTCGAACGCACTAGTTCTCGATACCGCAACATTCTCGATGAATTTCCCCGTCCGTCAGAGGAGGCACGCATGTCGACTCAATCCGCACGTCCTTCCCTTCGCGACTTGGAACGCGCCGCTGGATTCACCCCAAAGGTCAAATTAGGACCCCGGCCGTCTGTTGACAGCAATGGAAGACCTCGCACAGCAGGCAGCACTAGGAATGCAGACCAGAGGCCTGTCGCATCGTTGCCTACAAATATGCGCTCTTCGTCCGTACGGAAGCCGAACCCTGATGCCCCTCGCCCTCGATCTCAGGGAAGCACATTCGTTATTAAACCTACTAGTCGTGTACCACCAGTCCCGCCTCTGCTTGTTCCGCCTCCGTCAATTCCTATCTCCAGACCTCAGCTATCTCCGGGTGCCAAGTCTCTAGGGGCATTGTCTACTTCGTCGGGATTGACTCCTGAGAAAGAACGGTTGATGAAAGCCTTGCAACAGAGAAAGAAGAACATGGCCAAGCGGGCTGAAGAGATCAAGAAGAAGCAGCAAGATTCTGAGGGAAAGAAGCCCGTGAAAGAGATTCAGCCACTAGAGGAGAACAAGGAGAATCTCGCGGAAGCTCTTCCGCTTGAATTTGAAAGGCCGGGGATCGAAACGGTTCAACAAGATCAACCTGAGACTCTCACGAAAGAAACCCCATTGGTTCCCGAGCCTGTCCCTGAACCGGTTCCTGAATCGACTCCCGAGTCTACCCCTGAGCCGACGACTATTGAGCCAACTATTGAGTCAATTATCGCGCCAACTACTGACCCAGTTGAGGCCGTTCAGGAGACTGTTACCGAGCTTGTCCCTGAAATGACACCCGAATCTACCTCTGGGCCCACGGCTGAGTCTGTTGAGGCTTCTCCCGATTCTGTTCTAGAAGCTGTGGAACCTTCTCCCGAAGCAGCCGCGGAGCCTATATCGGACTCTAATTCCCAGGAGGAGTCTGTCGTCAGTTCTGAAACAGAGCAGTGTCAATCAGAACCGACCGCTGATGTTCCTGTGACCGAGCCTGAGGCTATCTCAGCTTCGCCTGTCGCGTCTGATCCCGATACTATGGCTTCTGAGCCCATTACTACTCTCGTTGAGAGTGTTCAGGCCGCAACACCGCAGACACCCCCTGAAGCTGAAACGCGCCTTGAGGACTCCGCAATCCCTGATCTTGCCCCACCTAGCACTGTCGACGTCCCACTTCAAAATGAATCCTCCGAAGTCCCAGAACCGGAATCTGAGGACCCTCCATCCCATTTCCAATTTTCTATTCCACCCGTGGCAGATTCACTGGACACATCTGAGCCTCCTGTGGAATCTGTTCCTGTTCCTGACACTCCCTCTATCACCCCTCCTGAAGTCGCCAACGAGCTTCCGGTCGCGCCTGTTTCTGTCTCTGTCGAGCCTAGTCCGGTAGACGAAGTTGCCCCTGAGTATCCCCCTGTCCAGAAGACCGAGTTTCTTCCTTTGGACCAGAGGCGGCGGGCCCACTTGGAGCCTATTCAAGTCCCCACCCTAGAATACTCCGACGACGACAACCTCCTTTCTGACGATTCCTTCATGGAAGAGCTAACATCAGCCACTGTTCAGGAGGCTAGACCGGTTTCTGTCAAATCCCCTCACGGTGGTGACCATGGTTGGCGGAGCTCTCGTGCTGTCTCGAGCCCATACTCTGTCGCGTCCCCCTCCGCCATGCACGCGCTGGCAGTAGGAAGATCGGTTTCTAGCTCTTATAGTGAGAATGGCCCTCCTACGCCGGTACTCATGGCCAAGAAGATCAATGTCTCCTCCGGAATCTCGAGTCGTATCAAAGCTCTAGAAAAGTTTTCAAGTCGGGAGGGCACTCCCATGGGCTCGAGTCCGACCGTGTCTGGACCGTCGGCTGCCTCATCTTTTGAGAACCTTCGCAAGCGCGCCTCTATCTCGTTGCCCAGCGGAACCGATGTCCTTTCATCATCAACTATGCACGCCGCTCAGCCACAAGACTTTAGCCGCCCCCCAAGCGTGAGCCGCCACGACTCTCGTCGGATGTCTATTGATGCCATGCGCCGCGCAAACTCAGTCTCCGTGACGGCCCGTATTGTACGTGACTCAGACATATCCCCAGGCTCTTCCGGAGTCGAGCCTTCGGAGTCTGATGTTCTCGGCCTCCACGCCAGTCCACTGACCGTTGAGCACGAGATGGCCGATGAGCCTGTGTCATCTACGGCGTCAATCACTTCGGCCTCTCGTCTTGAGGACCGAAGCATGTCAATGTCATCGACGGGGTCTGGTCGTCCACCTTCGTCTCGCCCCGGAAGCCGACTCTCTTTGTCATCTCGACCGAGGACTAGCGAAGCTGCCCAATCTGCATCCCCTACCTCTGAAGACAAGAAAGCATCTCGCGCTTCGCGCCTCATGCGACGTATGTCCTCCATCACATCCACTTCTCGTCGTAGCATCATTGGTGCCCTAAGCTCACCAGTCAAAGAAGAAGAGTACGTTCCTTCATTTGGAAAAAGTGAGACCCCGAAATCCCCCGCGTCTCCTACTGCCGAGCCCATCGATATCGGCGAAGTCAATGTCCAGTTCCCAGACACTCTCCTTTGGAAGCGACGAGTCATGCGCATTGACGAGAATGGATTCGTCGTTCTCACTCCCGGTACCAACGACGCCGCCACCCGCAATATGACCAAACGCTACCATCTCACCGAGTTCCGGAGACCTTGTCTACCCGACGAAGATATGCAGGAACTGCCCAACAGCATCCTGCTCGACTTCCTGGACGGGAATACGCTCCAGTGTGCTTGTGAATCTCGCCAAGGACAAGCATCTACTTTGCAAAGTAAGTAACCCCATCCCATGTCAACCTTCAACAAGAAATTAACAGACTTCAGCCCTCATCGACGCCCACAGCGCCCACCAGCAATAAACCAACCAACTCTATCGGTAACTGGACAGGAATCCTGACACTGATAATTTTCGCTTCATTTTCCACCACTTCGTTCCGAGCAACCCTGCTCGCTTTTCTACGCCCTTTTCAAACCTCCGCATAAGAAGTCTCGGATCTACATTTGCCGTCTCTCTCTGTCTCTGTCCCTCCTTCAACCATCTGTTTCCTATCTCTTCAATCTCTCTCTCTCTCCCCTGTACCTTTATCTCCTTTTCTTCCTCTGCTTGTCCTCTACGTGGTGTGATGTATGTGGCATGTGTTCTTGGTATACCCCTCCGAGTGAAAAAAACAACTTCTCTTCCTGAACCCCCCGATCTAATTTCCGTCGTGTACAGCCAGACGTGAAATCTTCCTCGATTTTTTTTTAAATCTTCTTTTCTAACTCTGTGGTTGTCTATCGTCCTTGCATACACACTCTCTGTGGTCTGTGGCCTTGACATTTTGAGTGTTGGTGTTGATGTGCTTCTTTTCTTGTCATTATTCTTTTTTACCCTTCCCTTCCCTTCTTCACCCATCTAGACTTTTTATCCTTTAGTCAATGTTCAATTGTGATTTTCACCTGAGCTTTCATGCTGTTCAATCGTCTGGTTCTCTTTCTCTCTGCTTTTGCATATGGACCTCGGACAGGTCGTGTAGTCCATTCATACCTTGAGGTTGTTCATGGATATTCGTAACCCTATCTACCAGAGGGAGTATAAACATAGAAAGAGAGAAAAGAAGTGAAGGGATTGAATTCCCATTCGAAGATGAATTTGCAGAGGTATAGATAGCTAGCAACTAGACTTCTGTAGCAAAGAGCAATACCCAGCATTGCTTTGTGTGAAGCTGGTCCCTGTTCATATCCATTTCAAGCAATATTCATCGTTATTCTGTAGAGCGCCGTTTACCTGATCCATCCCTGTTCTGGATCCTAGCGCCTTTGGTATACCATTCATGTGAAGAGGATATGAGTGTTGGGAGTGTGTGCAAGGTTTGCTTGGGTTAGATCTATGGGGGGCGTTTTGATGATGTTTGTATGTGGTGATTGAGAGGTGGTGCACGTCCGTCAGGATAGGAAGGGTAAGAGAGGAGGGAGGAGTGTGGGTATAGGAGATGCCTTCATTTGTGCGGTGACATTCCCTTCATGTTCGTGAAATCATAATCCCATTTCTCCAATGGGCTTCGTGGCACATATCGATCATAGATTCAGTCAAGAGCAGTGATCAATTCAAGAATTGCCATTCACAAGATCTTCAATCTCCTCGTCTTCCGAATCCTGACTTTCAGGCGTGGAATCTCCATTTTCAGAGAGCGCGTCCAGGGCCCCATCTACTCCGTTCTCGTGGCTATCGTGCTGAGGCGCAGAATACAGCTCAGGGAATGCAGTTCGCATCTGCTCAACATGCTGGTCGACAACATATTGCATGAGATTGCTGACTGGGAAAGCGGAATGCATTCGTTTCTCCGTCTCCATTAGTTCCACCTTCATCTGCATTTCCCATTCGTGGTCGCCAGCATGATCGCCGATGATTTTCTTGCGTTCTTCTCTGTTGCTGTTTGTGATCGCTTTCTCGCATCCGGGCATGCGACACACCCATGTATCAAGTTCCGATTCGTCACCAGATGCATCGAGCAATTGCGAGGGCGCTGGGGTGGGGATTGGGTGTGAGATTGATTCTGAGTTTGGTGTTGACCTCGCGGTGAGTGTTGAAGTAGCTGTGGATGATTTCGGTATGTTGTCTTTAAATAGGCTCTTCATGAGAGAGCTGGAACCGACGCTGCTGGAGGCCGATAGGAATGAACGGGTTCGAGGTCTTGAGGCGGAGAAGGGATCCCTGATCAATTCATGACCACGGGTTTTGCTGGGTGTTTCGACTGTATCTTCATCCATCTCGTCTTCATCATCTTCATCATTGAATTCGATAGGTTCTTGGTTCGTGGAGGCATTGCGGTTCCGCTTGCCAGTAACTTTATTAGAGAATGAGTTGATTTTGGGACGTAGCACGGATTTTTGGGTTCGGCCATAGCCTTCGTCATCGCTGGATTCCTCTACCGAGTTCAGAGGTATCAAGAGTTTTTGTGGTAGAGGGGCGGATTTCGTGGCTGCGTTTGTGAGTTCGCGGTGAATAACATAGCGCGACCACTTGAAGCCAGGCGTATCTTCTTCGTCCATCATTTCCAGGACAGCAGATGCTCTGATGGCAATGATCTTTTCAGCGTCATCGTGACTGAGATCAAATCGTGAAGCCAGGCTTTCTGTCAGAAGGTCGAGATGCAGTCGACGCTTTGCCAAGTGACCTTCTTCTCTAAGCACTTTGAGCAGTCGATAAACGGCATCGGCTTGCGACTTTGAGATTGCAGCGGGGTAGTGTCGTGGAGTTGATACTTCCGGTTCATCCATGGATGTATCCTCTTCGTTGTCAGATGAAGGGAAGAGCTCCTCCATAAGCTGCTTATATTCATCCTTGGCTCATGTCAGTATCTCTGTAAGCTCCTTCTCAAGATTTGCGCTTACATGAAATTGGCGCCGCAGGTGAACAAAGACATTGGTAGTTTGCCAGTCCAGATCCCCGTCGCCTTGGATCATACAGCGCAGCAAGAAGGGGCCGTGTGTTGAGAAAACCTCAGCAGATTGTTGACGATCTTCGCATCCGCCATGTGAGTGGTAGACATACTATCAACAACTTAATATTAGACAGCTGTGCATTCACAAGATCGCCATACTGAGACGCAGGGTGGGCTTACCTGTTCGCAGAGACTTCGAAAGGATGGATTGATCTGTTTCTTTCCTTGCTGATGTTTATCAACCAGAAAATAAAGCATGTCAATGGCCTGGACCATGCGATTGTAGGTAGGCACGTAGCCTCTGGCAGGCAAACTGATGTCGTACCATCCCGCCTTACCAGCAACCCAAAGCTGGATGCTTTTATCTTCGGTTTGGCCGTAGGCATAGTGTGTAACATCGTCGACAATCATGCGTTTCGGAAGCTCGTTGTCCTTGTGCACTAATGAGAAAGTGACTGGTCAGCCATCTGATATATAGTCGCGTATATAACGCCTTGTAACTCAACAATACACACCCAAATGTGTCTGGTTCTTGGGGACCTGCTCCAGGACACCGATCACTTGCACTGGATTTTGCTCAGTGGCATCCAGCAGGTTCGCATAGAGCATCTTCCCCGGTTTCATGACCTTCACATCGGTAAGGCTGAATTCCCACCAATCATTCTCATCGGTGATGGAGGGATCGATGGGAAGTAGGACGGCTTCTTCGCGGGAGGTCATGGTGGAATCGGCATCGCGAGGATCATTCAGGGAGAGGTGGTGTAGAAGAGTTGAATTGAAAGAACCGAGTAAATGGGCTGGAGCAGAGAGACCTTAGAGGGGAATCTCCAGGCTGTCAACAGTCGAGGTCATCGCGGTATTACTCATACACGACTTACCGCGATTAATTACATACCTTTTCTGCCTGGAACCTCAGGCAATGATCACGTGTCAGGGATGATCGAAGGTCGAGTCCAACCTCAAAGCCAAAAAGTTATCACCTTCAACTTTCTCTACAGGTTCGAAACTGGGATGAATGCTACTTGTCGAGAAGCCTTGAGTAGGCATATGTCATACACCCCTTGTTTTCTCTTCTGGACGACTTGACCGGAATCGAAGCTTGCTCTTGTGTCTGCTCTCCGTTACAGCTTAGTTCCCGAGACTTCTAGTGTGGCGTCTGTTGAGGATTGGCTAGAGGATCATTATGTAGCGTATGGTCACTCATGGTCGAGACAGAATCCCTCTGTTGTGTTCAATAACTGTATTTCTGATTGGATACTGGCGTGTATGTCGAATTTGGCGAGACAGAAATCAAGCATTGTAGCTCCCCATATGGCGAGGCTCAAAGAATTGGGTTAACATATGCGCAACTAAGCATATTTCACCCAGCCAACTTGGTCCATCTCCATGTATAAAGATTGGGAGGTGCTCTGATACGCCAAGGCGGGTCCAGATCAACCAAAATATCTTTTCCACCTTGGAACCACAAACCTCCCAGATGCCATTTCCACCAGGTTTCCGACTATTCCGCACCACAATGTCCGGAGAGAAGATTCTCGAAGGCGTCTTTGGTAAGCTCCAATGCCTTAATCTCCCCCTTGAAGAACCCAGAAACATCTAACAGCCTTCAAGCCGTCCATAAGCCACAAGGCGTCACCTCGGCCGACGTGATCCGCACCCTCCAAAAACACTTCAACCCCTCGAAAACATTCCAGCCATGGTTAAAGTCAGAGCGTGAACGCCGCGACCGCGAAAGCCAATTCCAGCGCAAACGCCGCCGCCATCAGCGCCTAGATGTCAAGATCGGCCACGGCGGAACCTTAGACCCGCTCGCGACGGGCGTGCTCATCACCGGCATTGGCAAGGGTACGAAGTCGCTGCAGGACTTCCTGGCTTGTACAAAGAGCTATGAGACAGTGGTTGGGTTCGGAGCTGAGACGGATACCTACGATCGCCTGGGAAAGATTGTTCGTCGCGCTCCTCACGAACATGTCACTCGTGAAGCCGTGGACAAGGCGCTTGCCCAATTCCGTGGCAAGATTATGCAGCAGCCGCCAATTTTCTCGGCGCTGCGGGTTGATGGCAAGAAGCTCTATGAGTATGCGCGTGAGGGTAAGATGCCGCCCATCGAGATTAAGCATCGCCCTGTTGAGGTTTTGGAAATGGAGATTGTGGAGTGGTATGAGCCTGGTACGCATGAGTTCAAGGTCCCTGAGCTGGAGATGACCGGCGACGAGAAGATCGTTGCCGAGAAGCTTCTTGATAAGGATGCTGCGGAACCTACTGCTCCATCGGCCGAGGCCGAGGTTGCTGGCCAAGAGGCTGAAGCTTCATCTTCCACCAAGCGCAAGTCGCCACCTCCTGCGGATGAGGTGAAGGAGGACAGCGCCGAGGCTAGCAAGAAGCAAAAGGTGTCTGAGACCGAGGCGGTGCCCGCTCCGTCCGAGGCCGCTACTGAGCCTGCGGCCACAGAGACTCCTGCAGCTTCTGCAGAGCAGACGAAGACACAGACTCCGGCTGTGAAGATTAAGATGACCGTCACTTCGGGATTCTATGTTCGCTCGCTGGCACACGACCTTGGCAAAGCTGTCGGCAGCTCTGCGTACATGAGCGAGTTGATCCGGAGCCGCCAGGGTGACTATGAGCTTGACTCCGAGAAGGTTCTGGAGTACAAGGACCTCGAGGCTGGTGAGGAAGTCTGGGGCCCCAAGGTCGCCAAATTCTTGGGAGAGTGGGAAGAGAAGAGAGCCACTGCCGCCGAGGCTGAAGCCGCTCAGCAATAGACCGAGGCAGAGCCTAGAAAAGTAATAAAGATCATGTACATATAATTGTTATCTATACTACTATTTTGCAATGACTTGAATTGTCTGTCAAAATTGAAACTTGGTGGTTGTGCTGCCACGCTGCCACGCATGAAGATCGAACACAAGAAGTTCATTTCTTGATATCAACAGAGCAGGAAAAGGCAAACAGTCCTTCCAAAGCTGCTCTTACACGATATGGAGATAATAATTCAAAATTGCCATTTTTTTGGTTATCCAGACCCAGAGAAAAAGAAATAATTACAGGATGCAAGTACAAATGCAGTTAACAAAAGCCTTAGTTGCGACCCTTGGCAGCATGTCTCTTGCTCTTACCAGGGCGCTTAGCACCACCCTTCATCTTCTTAGCAGAGAAGTTGGATAGATCACCGCTGGAAGTAGCGTCACCGCTCTTAGCATGGCGCTTCTTGCCACCGAATCCAAACTTGGAATCCTTCTTCTGGCGCTTCTGGCTGCGAGTGCCGCCCTCGCCATTGCCACGCTTCTCAGTCTTGGCAACCTCGTCAATGGCAACGTCGAACATGTCGTTGGCGTCATCGGTAGGGGCAGAGCTGTCAGCCTTGCGCTCTGTAAGGAAGTAGGTTAGCAAATGGGACTGATGTATAGGTTATGTAAAGGAAAGGACGTACTCTTCTTGAGGGTATTGATCTTGTCCAACATCTCGCGCTTCTCCTTGGCTCTCTGCTGCAGCTTGGCGTTCTGAACCTGCTTGCCGAACTTCTTGAGATCGCGCTGGCGACGAGCCTCGGCAGCGGCCTTCTTGCCGGCAGCCTCCTCGTACAGCTTCTTCTTGATCAAGCCCATGTGCTCGTCGTCCTTGACCATCTCGGCGAAGTAATCGCCAGGCCGTGTGAAGGGAATACCCTCCTTCTTGAGCAGGCCACGGGCGCTGGTAGCGGCAGCCTGGCAGACCTTGTAGAAGGCCAACTCACGGCTCAGATCGTCATTGGGATCTTCGATTTCAATGGGCTCTTGCGACACTAGCGAGTTGTGCTCCGAGAATGGGGTCTGGGCGGAGATGAAGGAGATGCGCTTGAGGGAAGATTTGATGGCGGCGGTGTTGTTGATTGTCAGGCGTTGGTGAGGGACGACGTCTTCACGCTCGTCGTCTTCGAGGTCGGAGAGTGGGATGTCTTCTTCGGCTTCCTCGTCTTCCATTTCCTCATCCTCGTCGGCTTCTTCCTCCTCTTCCTCTTCCTCGGCCGCGGAGCTCTGAGCCTCTTCCTTCTCTTCCTTCTCCTCGGAAACATTGACCTCAGGGGCAGCAGCAGCCTTCTTGCCAGCCTTCCTCTTCTCGGCGGTCTTGATCATTTTCTTCTGCTTCTCGGCCTCGTAGTCCCGACCCTTGTGGGCGTCAAGGGCCTGCATGAGCTTGCTGCGCTTGACCATTTTGACTTCTTGTAAAGAAACAAAAAGAAAATGGTATTTGGGGGATGTGAAAGGAATTGACAAGAGAGGAAAACGACTCGGTATCAAACCCGCATCAGAGTCCACGGGATTTTTTTAAAATCGCGCCAGGCCTATCTAGGTTAGCGCTACCGATAAGACCCGCCTAGTCCATATGTGGTAATATACCGGATATACTATTGATCCGGTGGCTTATCGGATCCGCTCTGTATCGCCCTGTCAACGGCATCATCTCTACTTGCCTCTTAGGCAGTCTATTCTGGTTGTACATATTCTACAATGGCTGAAGATCCCAAGTCCCCCTCCCCAGAGAAGCTGTCACCAGCACCAGAGGGCGAGTCTCTTCTGTCTCAACCGGTACGTAACCTCCGGAATTACATCAAATGTTCGCCTTGCTAAATAAGTGATCATGCAGAACTCCGATGCACAAGGCCAGCTTACAGCGGCCGTTGATGAATTGCTAGATCAGCTGCAAAGCAAGTTTGAGAATGTCTCCACAGAAATGTTTGGAAAGCGTACGTCTCTACTATTCACACCGTTCACACCCTCCTTCATACCTCCATTTGCGACAACAACTAACCAGAGACGATCTACAGTGGACGACATGACGAAACGTCTGGACGAACTTGAGGCATCTTTGACCGCGTCTTCCGATTCTGCCACCGCAACTCCAACCAAATAAGCATACTCGATACTTGCTCATACTCCAGCCCGTTTTGTCTGCTTCCTATGGCGTTAGATAGCGGCAAAGCGACGAGCACTGCGCATACTTTTTACCAGGTTCCAATTTGGAAACCGTATCACATTCATAGCATACTGCTTTCTGTTTTTGATTCTTGGTTTCGACGTGAGCATGGCTATTATCCGGCTTTTTCTTATGCTTTACGATTCAATTTCATAGATACCCTACAATTGAACAAGGACGGTTTCGTACAGAAGAAAACTATCTATTTCGTTAATTAATAGATAGGTATTCCATTCACATGGCTTATAGAAATGTGTATAATATAGAAGCACTCATAAACGAACGGCCTCGAGTTAATGTTTGATTTCTCATTTCATACAGTATACAGCAACAAGTCAATATTTTCTTAGGCTAAATCCATCATGACGGGCATTCAGGCTTTACAATGAATTTTCCAGCCAAGAAATCCCAAATCGAACAAAACATCGAATCGTTCAAAGCTCATCGTGGTTATCCTCGCCAATAAAGCGACGGAGAATGTTGCTGCGGGAAAGGATATCATCAAGCTTCTCGGGGGCGGAACCACCCTTAGCCAGGATCTTCTGGAGACGAGTAAGCTCCTTGGCGGCGTACTCCTCGTTCTTGCTCAGCTTCTCGGCAGCCTTGACATAGTACTCGGCGTACTTGTCCTGCAGGCCCTTGGCAGCCTTCTTGACATCAGCGGCGATCTTGTCGAGCTTGCCGGCGGCGACATCTTCGGCGATAATCTTGTCCAAGACGGCGATGGTGCCGGCCAGAGCATCCAGACCACCTCCGACGGCGCGGTGAGTGCCGGCCTTCTCGTTCAAGAACTTGACGAGGGCTTGCTCGGAGCGGGCGCCGGAGTAGGCCTCGGGCTCGGTGGAGCCCTTGGGGAAGAACTTGATGGTTGGGTATCCGGTCACGCCTTGCTCCTTAGCCAGAGCGCGAGCATTCTCAGCTTCGGCATCGACCTTTGCGACGACGACGTTGGACTCGAGGGCGAAATCGTTGGCGAGGGTCTCCCAGGTGGGTGCAAGGGTCTTGCAGTCTATAGGGATCGAGACGGTTAGCGAATGAACAATAGAATCAAATCAGACCGAACTAGATCTGAAAATGGACAGATGAATGGATAACTCACGTCCACACCACGGCGCAGTGAAGGCAACCAGGACATCCTTATCTCCGCCGATAGTAGTCTTGAAAGTAGCGTCATTGAGCATCTCAACCTTGCTAGGCTCCTTCTGGGCGCCACGAGGCTTAATGCCAGTCTTCTCGGTGATGAAAGCGGACAGAGACTCAAGGTCACGGCCACCCTTGTACTCCTCGGGCTTGTCGCTCTTTCCATCGAACCACTTCAGGGTGGGGAAGCCCTGGACACCGAAGCGCTTGCCCAGAGAGCGCTCGGCATCGGCGTCGACCTTGGCGACGGTGACCTTGTCCTGGACGGAAGCGAAGGTCTGGGCAAGCTCTTCGTAGACTGGGGCGAGGGTCTTGCAGTGGCCACACCAGGGAGCGAAGAACTCCACGAGAGCGGGCTTTCCGGACTTCAGAACGACATCATCGAAGTTGCTGGGGATGAGGTCTTTGACGGCAGAGCTGGCATTGGCGAAGCCGCTGAGGGCTGTGAGGGCACCGACGAGCAGGAAGCTCAGGCGTGCCATTTTGTATGTAATTGGGGGGGGGGGGGGGGGTTGTGGAGGAGTTACTTAAGAATTGGAGGAATCCTTGAAGTTGACGTTTGGCTGACAAAACAATACCGAAGAGGCCACTTGGTGTCTCCACCCGCAGATCATCGTACTTTGCGTTCATACTTCGACTTCATACTTCGAGTCGATGACTTTGGGTCTACAAACAATACCACCTCGGCCAATATAAATGTCTGGGTAGTATCGGATTTCTCATATTTTCTTGGTTTTTTTTAGTCTGTTACTGGATAGTAATACACTGGAGAATTGCCGATACCGCGTCCCAGAGAGCTCAAGCGAATTACTGACGTGACTCCCAGCTGCGAGCCGTGCCCGGGATCACCGTAGGTAGTTGTTGTAGCTGTTTGGTCTTGTTCGGATCATCGTCTCTCTGAGAGCCACTGGTTGGCGTCGTCCCAGAACTTCACATCCGCGAAATCCTTGCCTGCGTTGTGTGCTCCCTTGTAGACCTGTATCAAAGATCAGTAGGTGGCCGACAGTGAACCTCCGATCAGTACTTACCGCATCCCATAGCTTGAAAGCCAGGTCCAAGTTTCCAGTGAAGCTCTCGCTGTGTTGGAACCACTCCTTGCCCTTCGCCTTCACATCGGCACGAGCCTCGGACGAGGTTGGGTTTGCTTGCAACGGAAGATCGTCCAGGTAAGTTCGGACTGCAATTCCAAGTCCACAGTCGTTATCATCAATGAAGGGAAGTCTGAACAGGTATGTTAGAATAAAATCCAGGATTGGAAGTTGGAGGTACATACTTGATAGCCATCTCGTTCCAGTCGTTACGATCCCGATTAGCATCGCCACCGAGTAGCATGCCAGTCAAAACCACCTCGACCAGATTTCTAAGGGCAGCGCGCACCTCTGAAATCAAAGAGCGGTAGCAAAGAAGTTGACGGCTTAGAGGTCCAGAGTATCCAATGCTCTTGTGCTGCAGCTTTCCAACACATGCAACACGGGAGACCAGCATGTTGAACGTCTTATCCTCTTCTGATCCCCGCATGGGACCGCCAGAGACTTGTGAGAACCAGGGCTTTGTGTTGAGAAGATCCAGGCGGAGCATCTCGAAAACGATGAAGATTGCCTCCTCAAGGTTGTCTGCAGGATCCACGGCAGACAATGCCTGCTCCAGACTCTTACCCCACGTAGTGAGATTGTGCTTCTCATCAATATATCCGCGTAGCTGCAAGAAACGCCACATAACATTAGATAAGATATCCTCCTGCGAGGAAAGGCTCTTTGGTCTTGATTAGCAATTGATCGGTGTCAAACTTTTAGATAACATACTGGTGACTCTTTAGTAGCAAAAGACTTTGACACAAACTCAGGTTCCTTCAAGCTTTGAACAGCAAATTTGAAAGACCCGCGAGGACCCTGAAGCTTTTTGACACTCTCAGGGGCTGTCGCACCCTGGATCTTCCAAGACTGAATGGTATCCTTGACCGACGGAATGCCCTTGAGGTTGATCTTTCGATCCGAGTTCTCGTCGAACCATGGATGGATTGCAATCACTTTAGTTTGATAGAACCGGTGAAGTGAATTCGCTAGCAGACAGATATACTGGGTCCGGATGGGTGTCAGAATATCACCCACGAGCGAGCGGTAGATCTCGGTGTCTTCCGTGCCTAGCGGAAGCGAGGCCCGCACCTCACCAGATGTGAGGAAATTTGGCACATCGGCGCTAATAATGCCCTTGGATAGATAGAAGTACAGCTCTTCGGGAAGTCGCTGTCCGATGAGTTCATGCATGTCGGAAGAAATGTTCTCTGGTTCCATGGGTCCGACTCGACCATCCACATCCATGTAAACATGATGCTTCACAATCATGTATGCACGCTTGTAGCGATCGCCATATTGGGTTTCGGGAGTGCTACGTTCATCGTCGAACTGGGCGCATAGTGCCAAGGCACTCCGGCCGGCTTGGTTGAACATTGGCAAAGCATCGCGAACGTTGGGGCTCTTGCCGGGATAGGCGGGATTTTCGAAAAGCGGGAAATGACGCAGGAAGGGAGATCCCAGTAGTAAGCAAAAGTCTAGGAACTGTTCATTTGTGAGGCGACCCAGCTCTTCTTGGCAGGTTTGTTTCGTGATCCAGAAGAATTGCGCAGGCTCGGTATCAATGCGGGTGACTAGCTTGTCAAGGTCAAATAGAAGAGCTTCAGATGGAGCGTACACTGCATCAACAACGGGGTTGGGACCGCGAGCAAGGTAAGATAGCTGTTCGGATACATTGGTCAGTTCTCATCCCGGCCATGACACAACGTCTTCTCACCTGAGCCGCCGCGCTGTAGGGTGCGACCATGAATTCGACACCATTTTGGGTCAAGATCCGTTGCAGGAACTTGAAGAGGGTCTCCGGGGGTGGGGTTCCTGATGGTTGCTCTGGGTCAGCAGCTGTTGGGATGCTTCGTCGGGTCCAGTGGAGGGGAAAGAACGCAAGGCTGTCGATGGAACACGGGAACGAATAAAGGGATATCATACCAGCACTGCTGAAGGCATCGACGACCTGGTCGGCTTGCTGTTGGTCATACAGATCCCAAGCTTGTTCGAAAGACCGCGACGATGTGGGCTGGGGGCGCTGTTCCTTCTTGCCAAATTCAAGGCCATTGAACACAAAGATGCAGGCGACGCCGAGGTTCTTGAAATTCTGTAACTCCTTCTCGATATTGGTTCTCAGGGCGAAAGGGAAGCCGCCGAGGGCGCCCAGGAGGGCTTCGCGGGTGGACTGGTTGATAAGGTGTTGGTTGATGTAGTGTGACGCATCGATTCCAACAACAGCGCCCTTCAAAGCTGACAGGGGGAGGGACTGCGCGCGGGACACAGCCCATTCATCAAAGGGACGGACTAGTTAAGATTCGAGGTTAGTTGATGCGATTGCAGTGGAGCTCATGGTTGGGTACTCGGCATGTTTGGAGCTGTCACGCGCTAAAAGAAGGGCCGCCGGGCAGCAGAGCCTGAGGGGAAAGACAGGCGATGTGTAGCGATATATTTGACAGGGTCTAGAGCGCAGATCAAAAGCTCGAAAATGCGACAAAAGCTGTGGTGGTTGAGGTTGGAGGAAAGGTATGGGGAGGAGGGGGGAAGAAGGCGGAGTTGGCCTGTTTTTTTGCCTGTATCACATTCCCTTCTACCACAGTAGTATAAGTTAGAGGGAAACTTCCCAGGTTTTAACATCTTCTTTAGCTGGATTCTGAGTGAAATGAGCTAGATTTTTGTATCCTATGTGAGCGCATAACCATGAAGTCATCCTAGAGCCGCTACTTGTATGATTACTATAACCTACTGGCATTATCCAACCTTGGAGAACGTCTTTCACAACGCAATTACGTGAAGATCATAACATCTAGGTTTATCAATTAGTCAGATCTCGCCTTTAGAAAATAGAAACTAATACAGCCGAGCCAGTGAAGAGACTATCAATATTAAGCACTTGGACCCTAAATTAAGGGCTTTTAACCCAAACTCTACAAAGATAATAAAAGAATACGAATATGAATAAGAATAAACACATAAAAATAACTTATAAAAGGAAAACTGATAACTAAACAAAGTTGCAAGTACAAGTACATCTTGGTATAACTTAAGGACTGGAAACCAAGTTTGAATAGAAAAATAATATATGCAAACACTATATAGAAGAATTCTATACAGACTATAACCTAAGCAAATATGCAAAAAGAAACATCTTCGAAGAAAATACATACCGTTGCAAATATCTCCCTACACTACCACTTTCGCCAGCTTAAAGGCCAATTTCCGACTCCTCCTGTCTCAGCAATTTTATATAGAAAGATATAATTCTTAAATGGCTTACTTAATTTTTGGCCAATTACGCCAGAGTTCTTGATTTTTAAAGTACATCTATTCATCTAAAATTGTTGAGATAATTGGTGCTGAAAACCGGCCTTTAAGCTGGCGAAAAGTGGTATTGTAAAGAGACTTTTGCAACGGTATGTATGTGTGAACTAATAATTCTAAAGAGAAGTTAAGAATAGTAAGAAATCATAGAAGACTTTGAAAAACGTCTGTCGTGCCTAAGAAAATAATTTGACGGATATATATAAATGTAACGGAATACTCCGAGTGTATTGATAAGAAGAGAAATGAATAAATGACTTGAAATAGCAGGATTCTCTAGCTAAAAAGATCATCAATTGAAACTACAATTCTCTGATTCTAAGTTTATTCTCCTTATCTCTCGTAGATTCTCAATTACTTTCCTTCTTGACTATTATTTTCAATGATCTCTACCCTAATAACCTAAAATCCGTTATATTTATAGTAACCCGTATTTGTAAGAATCTATATTCAAGAAGATCCTCAATTGTATATCCTTCGTTGTCATTATTTCCCTTCTGACATTGTGACTTTGAACAGGATGTTCATGGTCCTGGTCATGTACAAACACCCGAAGCCGTTTCCAAGGTTCCGCCTTGAGATGAAAACACATACTGGTACGTACATCCATGGATGGATCCATGAATCATTTTGTCATCTCCACTATCACTATACCCCGACGTCCAAAGAACCACCACACTTTACTAAAGAATCCTACTATTCGAGCTATATTGAATTTACGTGATCGAAAGATGGAACCACTACCCCAGAAAGAGACACCAACACTACAACCTCATGCGCCTACTGTGAGGGTTGCTGCGAAAGCTCTAGCCGATCAGAATATCCCGGCGGTGGAGTACGGGCAGCAGATACAGTGGCGTTTTGGAGACCCTGTGGTTCTTCTCGTAAGCAGCAAACGGCTTTTCTGGTACTCGGCTCTCTAGTTTTTGGGAACTACTAACTTCTAACTCCTAGCTTGTTGAATGGGCAGTCCCCGATGCACTGCTCTCACTTTCATCGCAAATTCTATCAGACCATGGATTTCTCTGTGTTACCCCATCCACAAGGGTCACTGACAGATTCGGACAATGGGAGCGAGCTGGCATCATTCACAAGCTAGATGAGAGCAGTCCAGTATACCTCTATCCACTGTCATTGGTCGGTCTTACGCTCCAAGACACTGTCGAAGTCACATCTACCTTTGATTGCATACCAAGGATCTTGACGCCTAAGCCTCAAATATATATGGTATCGTTGATCCGTCACCTCCTAAATCACCGGATTGGAGATAGCATCAGGCTTCGAGTAAAGGATGATCTACTCTCTTTTATATCCTTTTATATTTTGCGCGACAAGCCGCTAAACACCAAAGAGGTGGAATACAACGATAACGAGAGCGAAGAATATTTTCAGAAAAGAGTGGGAGATGCAGTGAAGGAGATGAAACTTGGGATTGGGGCGCTGATGGAAAAGATTACCTGCGTATTGCTGAATCTGTCGTTCGCGACTGTCAATGTATTGAGCAGCTATACAGTTGTTGATGAGCGCAAAATACTCCGCTTCTAACGTGGTCTCAAGCAAAGGGCGAATTGTAGTGTGCATTTAATATAACTTGCGAACCCCGGAGAGCAGATCCTGCCTCAGTTTTTCCGTGCAACCTTCAAAATCAAAATGAAGATTGTTTCGAGCCAGCCAATCCAAGAGAACCTCAATGTCCTGAACATCATTTTCGGCCTTTCTGACGCTCTGCGGACGGGTGGATTCGGCCAAGAACGACCATCTTAATGGAAGCATTGTTAAGGTAGTGATCAAAAAGCCCCCTAAGTCCGCCAAATTCTACGGAGTACAACAAATTAGGGTTAGAAAGGCTATTATATAATAATGTAGTTAGTAGCTATCTTCGAGAAGGAAATAAGCTATTGACGCGCTAAAAGCGCGAAAAAGAAGCCAAAAAAGGTAAATATATAAGGCAAATAGCTTCTTATTAAAGTATTATTATTCTAGAAACCTCTACCTTAATATGATAGCGGGGGCATAACTTTAGTGCTAGGATCTAATAACGTAAACTAGGATTGAGCATCTTTACAGCCATGTACGACGGTATTGTAGAGATATGTAGATTGTGGAATTTAGGGTCACAATATAACGTCATGTCCTACTGGATCTTGTATCTAGTTTAGTTAACTTGGTAGCGTTTTGGTTGAGAAAAATTCATTTTACATGATTAAGTTGGGTGTGCGCGCAGCTTCAGTGTGAATCACGTTATACCCTGGGACGACATATCGATTAAGTAAAAAAAGAAATAACTCCCAAGAGGGGAGGAAATAGTATTTATATTATACTAACACTCATTCTCAATAGGAACAGGAGGGATCCTGGGGAAACCCTTAGTATATCTATAACCTCTTATTAGGCGTTCTCCGCAATGTCGGTGTAAGCCGACATTGCGGTGAAGTGTGGCAGTATTCTCTATCTACTATCTATCACAATTAACGTTAGTCATATTCAATTGTTTGGGGTGGCTTTGCAACAGGGTATATATATTCACACCAGACGCCATACTGCACTTGGTTCTCTAGCACCCATCAAAATGGCCGAATCAATCCCAATCGAGCTCCCTGTCATTGACATCTCCAATCCCCATGACCCTGCCGTGGGGAAGGCCATGCTGGATGCCGCTGCCAAGTATGGCTTCTTGTATGTCAACAGCAAGGGCACTGACTTTACTGCCGAGGATGTGGATCATGGGTTTGGATTGGTCGGTTCATCGATGAGCAGGGATATATGGTCTCTAACTGTCTATATAGTCAAAGAAGTTCTTTGCCTCTCCCGCATCGGAGAAGGAAACATGTCGGATTGAGCAAAATGTGTGATATAGCATCGCATACAACATGCATGTATATGGCATTCAGACAAAGGCTAACATCCATGAATTACTAGAACCGCGGTTGGTCAGGCATGCATACCGAAACACTGGATCCTGAGCATCAACGGGTAAGTGATCTCTGGCCGACTCCATAGAGTATATCTGCACGATGCTGATTGAGACAACAGACAGGCGACTTCAAAGAGTAGGTAGAAAGCAACAGAAACCTTACATCTACTAACCACAAACTCGATGAATTAGAGCCATGAACTTCGGCGACTTCAAAGACGGCAAGGCCCAGCAACCACTCCCACCTGTACTGAAACCACACGAAAGCGAGATCAACGCCTTCGCCGGGTTATGCAACAAGACCTGCACTCGGATATTGACTCTACTTGCCTTGGGATTGGAAGTATGCAGCCCCAACCTCTATAGACAAGCGCAGACTAACCCAACCCTCAGATAACGCCCGACTTCTTCACAACCCGCCACGACCCAACCACAGGCTCAACAGGAAGCATCCTCCGCTACCTGATGTACCCAAGCCTTAAAAGCGAGTCTACCAAGACTTACAGCCACGAAAAGGACGTGCGAGCAGGCGCACACTCCGATTACGGCAGTATAACGCTTCTCTTCCAACGACCCGGCCAACCAGGACTAGAAATCCTTACTCCGGAAAAGACTTGGGCACCTGTTCCCATTATCCCGGGTAATGGGCGAACCAAAGACGGAGAGGAGTATCCGTTCCCGCCGATCTTGGTTAATATTGGTGATTTGTTGAGTTATTGGACGGATGGGTTGCTCAAATCGACTGTGCATCGTGTCGTGTTCCCGCTATCTGAGCAGCAGGGTGATAACGCGAGGGATCGGTATACTTTGGTTTACTTTTGTCATCCTGTTGATTCCACCGAGTTGGTTCCTGTCCCTGGGGAGGTGGTCTCTTTGCATCGGGAGAGGAGTGGAGGCATTGGGGAGGGCGTTGTTGGGTTTGGGGGTGGTGCTGGGAGTCTCGAGGACGGAAAGAGACCTTTGACTGCTCATGAGCACCTGATGTCGAGGTTGGAGGCTACCTATGGGTTCAAAAAGGACGAATGAGATACTATATGATGAGATTGTCGTGTGGAAATGGTTAGTAGGGGGTATATGTCATGCTTTGCAGATACTAGTCACTACTTCTTGAATGTCAAGTAGACTGCAGGTGAATGATTGAAATTGAGATGGATTATGGAACGCCGGTGCCGTTGTGGCAAAGTGCAAATACACAAACAGAAGTAACTTCCAGACATAAATCAGAATCATAGATGAGATGCGCACCAGATTGAAATGCTTCCAAAGGCCGGGATGCGGCTGAAGGGGTCGGAATGCTGCCCATCTACTGACAGATAAGAAACTCGTGACAGCACACAATTAGTTATGAGCGAAAACGTGATAGCCCCCGAGAGGACAAAAAGCAGAGGGAAGAATCCCCAGCGCAAAAATGAGATGTACAGTCATGATGATTTGAAAGAAAATGGTATAGGCAATGAAAAGGATGGCTCGCAGATGAGGACCTCACGTCAATGAAACCATGATGCAAGGCAAGCTGTGCGAGAATGGGAATAAGAAAGAAAATAATGCCAGACAACATGTAAAGAGGTATCTTCGGGTCGAATCGGAAACGCCGCCAGATTTTGAAATGCCATGCGCAGGGGAGACGTGAGACTTGGAAACAAAATAAGGGAGGCGTGTGATGAATATGACGCTATGCGAGCCAGTATGTATGGAAATCAGAATGAAACTCCTTCGAGTCATTGGGTCGTATCAGGGGGTTGTGTGGCACCAGTGCCGGTGGTAAAACCATGCTGATTTCTGGCAGTCTTTGCTGCAGTACTTGGTGCGACGGCAGCGGCGGCACTTGGCAAACTGACGCTGGAATACCTCCCACTTGCCACACTTATAGTAGGCGCACTGCCGAATGCCTCCTCTCGCTTCGTCCTTGCGGCAGAGATTTCTCATGACTACACACGCCCAGTACTGCATGTCCTTGGAGTGATGTCGAACAGTGTACTTCTCCACCAGGGGGAAGATGTTGAGGTCATCGGGGAGCAAGTACTCCTCTTCCTCCTCATCAACCTCGATCGGTTCAGCAAGATCGGAATTCTCATCCAGAAGATGAAGTTCACGATCAATCTTCAACTTCGGCACCAGATGCGAAGACTGGAAATAGTCACGGAGGTTGCAGTACTTGGAAACGTAGGCCAAAAGCTGCAAGGACATCAGGACGTCCTCGTCACGAGGCATACTTGTCAGCACTCCTTGGGTTGCGGGAGCACTTCGGTCACGGAGGTATAGGGCGTAAGGGCTTGGTGTGAGAGTAGGAGAATTAGGGTTGTTTGTGGCTTGCGCAGGAGAAAGACCCAATCCACCATTAGCCTGGGTGGTTTCGTTATTAATGATGCTGCCGTCCACAGAACGATGTGCGATGTTAAATGTCTCCACTTCCTGGCCACCTTCCTCGGAGGGGTCGGTCACTGTCAAGTCGTGGGTAGTGGACATATCATCAATCATGGTTGTCTCAGTCTCATCGGCATCGTCAAGTTCCATCCGATTGGGAAGTCCGACGATGGGCTCAGCAGTTTGTCCCATGGTGCTATCTTCTCCCATGGTAGTATCCTCGCCATTGGCGTCATCCGATTCACCGGATGCCGACATCTGTTGACGGATTGAAGGGCGTTGTCTGGCGGCAGCTATTTGCAGGTTGCGGGGTTGTGCGTGAAGGGGGCCACTGGGTGTGGTTGGGGAGTCGGGTTGTGAAACGATTCCAGTCTGGAGACCAGGGAGCATACTTGGAAGACGTTCAGCGTCCCGTACTGGGCGCAGCCCAAATCCATCCGTGGTATCCATAGTGGGAACGGCGGTGGCAAGAGGTTGCATCGACCGTAGGCTATGACCAGCCCGCGGGAACCGTCCGGGGTTGTGGGCTTCCTGGCCAAAGGTACTGCGTTCGGGGGGCGAGGTCATGGGCGCGCGTGGAGGAGAAGCCGTGACATCCATGGCATCGGAGTCGGTAGGCTGGCTATCCTGATAGAACGGCTGGGGAATCTCGATACTCGGAGGAGGGGCTTGTCGGCGGGGGTGATATGGCACCGCCTGGGAATGTGACTCGATCTGTGTATCCGCGGAGGCTGGCGTGGAACGACTGGAACGGGTTGACCGAGAAGAGGTCTCTGTGTGGACTCTGGCTTTTGCATCTTTGGACGACTCCTCGCTTTGCTTATCCTCGGTATCGGCAGATGGCACATTGCGGGATCGAACCTTGTCCACCACTTTGATGTAATTGCTGAGAATAGTGGCGATGACCGGAACCATATCGGCTTCCACGACTCGGGTCCGGACACCCTCGGAGCCACGCACGCCAATGTTAACGACACACTGGAAAGCGAGACTCCATTTCCACATCTCCATCAAATCTTTACTCCGGCCCTCCTTCAGGATGCACACGAGTCGCTCGATGCCGCCATCGACAGTGAGGATATCTCGAATCCGAGCGGAAGAGGTTGTGAGGTAGGCAAGGTGGTTGAGAGAGTTGATAAGTGGTAGAGTTGATGTGCAATCAAGGGCACGTCGGTCGTAGAGGGTTGTGGTAATGTTGACCGAGGCCTTGTTCACATTGGGAATGCTGAAGTTGACTTCCCGCATGATGAATGACGGGCGAAAGAAACGCTGCGAAAATCTAAGGTGCTATATGAAGTGAAGCCGACGGTTGCGTGATAGCGTCCAGGGGCGAAGAGATGCAAAAGGGCGAGGACCTTGACGGGTGTCCGAAGTGGGATTGGTTTTCTTTCAGCCCCCTAACCAAATGGGATGATACCCACAGACTGTTGTAGGGATTCCTCGCTGATTGAATCAAAGGTTAAACCAAAGACATCAGGCACTCCAAAGGCAACGGTATATTCGATCACCGACGGGGTTCGCTGGCGATAAAATTCGGTGACTCCCAGAAGGGGGATTTCGAGGACAGGGCCAGACCCAAGGGGTCTTAATGAAAGACAAATGAAAACAAGGACAGAATGCAGATGAAGAACTGAATCGACCAGGGGTTTGCGATAAAGATGGGGATGGTGATGGGGGGAGGGGAATGGGAAGAAGAGGTTTCAAGAAGGCGAAAGCGGAGAGCGTCAGGTGCCTCCTTAATATTACGATATACCCGCCACTGACCTACGCTACTTTGCTCTTTGCTCTGTGACTATTTGGCTAGTTGGTTATGCTATTTTGGTCTTGTTTGCTTGCTCTCTCGCATTTATAATGTCTGACTCTTATTGACTACTGTTGGCTTCTATTCTCTTCTCTTGACTCTGTACTCTTTCTGAAATGATTTGAGTACCCGGTTGCCACCCTATGAAAATTACACATCCCTTAACATACCAGCTGGCATAATTGTTCCCTTGTCACAGGATGTTTTATCCTTGGTTTTCACCAAATACTTTCTGACTTAGCGATCATCGAATATGAGGCCGCCTGATTCATTATGACGGGCCCCATTCGGCACGAGCGGAGGCCACTGTAGATCTACAGCAGTGACCAGCACCTATCCACCAATGACTCGTGTGAACTATTCCAATAGCTTCGGCCATTTCTCCTGACCGGACGTTCCCCCACACTCGAAAGCCGGTCAAGCCTCATCTTTCAAGGGATCGTCAAGAGAAATGAGTTGTGTGACATCTAAATTTTATCCTCCAAACATCGAAAATGCCCCGGAGCACGAGATCAAGGGATCGGAGGTACAGTATCTGCATGTATGCTGCATGCTACAATCTTCGCATATCAGTTCCCAAAGTATGAGATATGACTACATATCGAGAATAGGAGTGTAGCAGAAGATGTCTTTGTCCAATAGTGAACAGCCTAGGCACAAGAGACACAACTGTGGAATAGCTTGGACCTTCCTTCCCCCTGGCAATATCCCGTGGAGTGACCAGTGTGCCAAACATACTCTGATACTCCCTTGACACTGTTTTATCAGCCTTGCAGGGATGTTTATTTTGAGGGAATTAAACTTAGCAACACAGAGAGGCGTCAGATCAGCCCGAGATCCCCGCAGACCAAATAACATTGGCCCAAGGGCCTCTATCACATCTCCGACAGGGTTCATACGCGCTTGCAAAGACGCACAGACGGGCTAAGATTAGAACACCTGCGAACTGCCGGGCCATTTCCGCCTTTTGCAGTGTTTGTTTGAGACTCTGGAGTATAGGGTTGGTGAGAAAGGACATAGCAGTGGTGGTGCAAGTGGTCATTCTGGTGGTGCTGGACAAGGCCCCTTTTCTAGAAGATCAGCAGTTCTAGTCCAACGCTGATTTCCCCTAGCTTGCTTCTACATTAACGGTCCCCATCTTATCTTGTGCTGAGCTCCGTTCTCAGCCTTCAGGATCGGTAACGGCTAGTTCTCGGCTTGTTATTGAATTTGGACTTCGATCGCGACAATGGGCTTTGTGTGAACTGTGCGGCGAGGTCCACTTATGTATATCATAATTCCCTTTGGAAAAGGGGCCCCCCTCGGCATATTTTCGGTATATCGTAATCTGCTGTAACTTCAGTGTAAAAATGGATCAAGCTATAAGCAATAATTTGCTATAGCAGGGGCAGCAATCATGTATGCCAAAACAAAAATTTTAGTGCAATATAATTTCTGCGGGATCAACCATTATTCGTTGACCTGAATCTATTGGATTGACTTTTTGCTATCACCTGGACATGTTGCCAAGGGAGCTTAAGTGGCGTATTTTCTAGCCTTTCAATATCGTATATCCCGTACAAGAGGTTACTACTCCACACATGCATCGACAATTGTGTTGGCCACGCCACAGGAGATCCGTATAATAGCTCAATGCGTACATTAATTTTGTGTACAGAACTCTGTACCTCGCTGCTGGGACATGCTCTTTAAAACATGTCTATTCGTCCTACATCAAGACCTGATCGCGAGCCACCCGAGTAACCAAGGATGCCTCGAACCTTAGAGAAGATCGACTGCAAGCACGGGCTTATGCAAGATGTATGAGATTGGTGCATGATCCAAAGCACATCAGGCGAGAGGCTCGAAGACATGATTCAGACGTGCAACAGACTCCAGTGTGGTCATCGTCAGCCAAGAACAGTAGCCCGGCCGACTGTGACACTGCGAGAATATCCACAAGGTCCTACTGGAATCGGGGTATTCAGTCAGAAAATTCAGCCTGGGACTCGAGGTCATATCACACAAACTATAACTAATCCTGGCACACAGGGGCTGGATCCCCTGAGACCGACAGCGTGGATATAGTATCGCAGATAGAAAGGCAATCTCTTGTCTTCCGATATCGTGGTTTTTTCTTTTTACTTTTCTTACTTCTACAGCAAGGACCAGGATCTGACACTTGCAATGCCATTGGTGGTAATATCCCTCTTGACGTCCGAGATTACCAAGGGCTTCGATTCTCCGGGGTTGGAGAAAACCATTGATCTTGCGATGATCGTAGTCTGACAGCTGCCTTGCAGCCCCGGACTGAACGGGCTGCACTTCTCTGGACCGAGGGTTTGGATCATGACTGTACTTACCGCCAGATCCATGTTGGACCGGCCGGTCAGCGGTATTCTGGTCCAATGGGTTCTAGCAAGTGAGATTATCTCCGAGTTCAAGATACTGAAGTGCATTCATGACTCCGACGTCTCCTATACTGTCTCTCTTCTGTGTGTCTGCAAATGAGGATTTGCATGAGAGGGGGGGGGGTCCATGTAGATCCAGAATCCAGAGCGGGGATCTTGGCGGCAGTCGTATGAAGCGGAGACCTGTACCGAGCAGTTCTTCTTTTTCAATTGTGTGTATGAGATACGAAATATTGGATATTGTAAGGTGTGTGGTGGATATATAGAGGAAGTGTACACAGTCTCGTTCAGGAGCAATTCAAGCCGAGATTCGGCGTGGTGGAGACTGCAAAAACCCAAATTCGATGAAATGCGCTTACGATACGCCCGTATTTATCTTCTGCATAAGAATCCTCAGCCTATTCAGACTTGTCACTGGTTTACTAGTCCCACTCACTTAGTATATGCACTAACTTATACTGTCCTCCCGGACTTAGCCCAATCTCCGCTTGAAAAAAGAATGAAAAGTTCAACCGTCAATGTAAGGGAGAAGAGAGAAAAAAAGAAGTGATAGCCGCGAGAGAGAGAGCCGCGGCGGTTAAGTACATGAAAAAGGCTTACAATGTCTGAGTCGTCGGAACTAGTGACCTTAGCACCAAAGTCGATCCCACAATTTCCTGTTCAGAAGTATCAGTCTCATTGGTTTGTGGTTTTTTCCGGAGTGGCGTCCACCCCTGAGCCCCTAATACAATGCAGTATCTCCGTACATTAACGTCCCTTAGGCCCATACCCTGGTAATTGTCAGCATGGAGTGATATAAAGAAACGCCCTGGGTTTGGTGTAAGTTAAAATTACTGGATGTTACGACTTTGACTTTGGCGTACGCCGTATTGGCAGTGTACGGTATTGGTCCAAGGTGCCACTTGCAACAAAGAACAGCATTCGAAGACCAGGTAAAATAGAATAGTCGAATAGAGAGATCAATGTCAATAACTGAAGGCACTTATTTAATTCCATTTTGGCAGTAAAAAGTAGGCTTATAAATGGTACCGATGTCATCGATTACCACTAGCCGGTAATACGCCTCCTCTCCCTCTCACCCCCTGTTCCTCTCCCATTCTTCCCCCCCCCCCGTATTATGATCCAAGCCTGAGGCTCTTCTCTCTCTTTCTCTTTTTCTTTCCCCCTCCTCTCGGCTTCACTTCTAATTGTACTCCCTGGGCGAACCGATAAAATGGCCGATATGAGCGGCGAACAAATGCAGGCCAAGATCACCGCGGCCAGGCGCGAAGCCGAGGGCTTGAAGGACAAGATCAAGCGCAGAAAGGATGAGTTGGCCGACAGCTCCCGTATGTCCCCCTATATACTGTCGAATACAAGATGAGACAGGGAGTCGGAACGTCGCAAGATTGATTTATCATGACTGACCTTCTTACCCCCCCGTTGCAGTCCGCCAAGTCGCGCAGGACCAGACCGATGCCCTACCACGAATTGGCATGAAGCCCCGACGGACATTGAAGGGCCATCTCGCTAAGATTTACGCCATGCACTGGTCTACCGACCGCCGTCACCTCGTCTCCGCCTCGCAGGATGGAAAGCTCATCATCTGGGACGCCTACACCACAAACAAGGTCCATGCGATTCCCCTCCGCTCCTCCTGGGTCATGACCTGTGCCTATGCCCCGAGCGGCAACTACGTGGCCTGCGGTGGTCTCGACAATATCTGTTCTATTTACAACCTGTCCTCACGCGAAGGCCCAACCCGTGTCGCGCGCGAGCTGTCCGGACACTCGGGATACCTCTCCTGCTGTCGCTTCATCAACGACCGCCGCATCATAACTTCATCGGGAGACATGACCTGTATGCTGTGGGATATTGAGACCGGATCCAAGGTGACTGAGTTTGCCGACCACCTCGGTGATGTGATGTCCATCAGTATCAACCCGACGAACCAGAACATCTTTGTTTCCGGTGCTTGTGATGCTTTCGCTAAACTGTGGGATATCCGTACCGGCAAGGCTGTTCAGACTTTCGCTGGTCACGAGTCCGACATCAACGCTATTCAGTTCTTCCCCGACGGTAATGCCTTTGGTACCGGTTCTGATGACACTTCTTGCCGCCTGTTCGATATCCGTGCCGACCGCGAGCTTAACATCTACCAGGTAAGAATTTGGTGATACGAATTGGATTCAATTGGATGACAACTAATTTGTTGGGGGTTTTTTTACAGAGCGATCAAGTCCTGTGCGGTATCACCTCTGTTGCCTTCTCCGTCTCTGGTCGATTACTCTTCGCAGGATACGACGACTTCGAGTGCAAGGTATGTTGTGCTCAAAAATATTCACCGGATCTCGTTAATCATGATATAGGTATGGGATGTTCTGCGAGGTGACAAGGTTGGTTCCCTGAGTGGCCACGACAACCGCGTGAGCTGCCTCGGCGTCAGCAACGACGGCATCAGTCTTTGCACCGGATCTTGGGATTCTCTCGTAAGTTCCATTTTGCCATTTTATAGGGATATCTACTAACGACTCTTCTCTCTACAGCTCAAGGTTTGGGCCTGGTAAACCAAAAACAAAACGCAAGATACCCCGTGTCGATCATTCTGCAATGCTATTCTTCGACTTTTTACTTGATTCGATGGCTCGAATCTCGCCATATGATAATAATCAACCGGGGAATCACTCGGAACACCCACACACTCGGCGCAGACATCGGTTGCGATACGGAAGAGGTGGAGGCGCCTTGGGAAAAGCTGTCCCGGGCGAACAAACGATAGCGATGATACAATATTTGTTTGGATATGACGAGAGCGCGAGCTGGGTTGCCGGTTGTACAGTGAGATGGTGTCTGATGCTTCCGTGGCCTGTTCCATTTCTCGACCTCGCGATGCCATTTTCCCCTTCTTTTCTTGAATTTCTTTTATCCCCCCTTCAGTTCACCTTTTTATTCTCTTCTTGTTCTGGGTTTGCCTCATCGGTCTCGGCATGTATTCTCTTGGCGAAGGCAAAGGAGGACCTGGTTGCTGGATTTTGGCCATTTCTCGCGGATTTACCTGTGTCGATTCCCTTCCCTTCTCCTTTCCCATTTCTCTATTAACCTTATTCATTTCCCCCCCTTTTTAACCTCTGTTTTGTCTCCTAAAGAACGAGTTCTGCTGTACTTACTGTCTCTTGCGTTGGAATCTCTTGTCTCTGGGATTCGTCGGTGTCGGATATTTTTTATGGTTCAAGCAGCTCCAATCTCCATTAGTTCACTTTTTTTTCTGCTTCTTTCCTGCTCCGACGGGACATGGTGGCATGCAGCATGGTTTTGCCTGACTTTGGGTTGCGAGCGTGGCGTGAGCATCAGAGATAGGGCATGCATACACGGTCTTGACTTTGGTTCGGTACAGTCGTAGAGATGACCAGCGAAAGAGTGGTCTGTGTATGTGTTTCTGTCTTGGATGTCAGCTATGTGAGGCCCAGTCTCTCTGCGAGGTATCACTGTCCACGTCGACACACTTCACATGTACACGGTCAGGGGCAGTTAGAAGTAGAGGCGTCCACCATGAACAATGCCAAACCTGCCAGCAGACCGGCAACAGTTGAAACCCACCGCTCCGTCTCATAAATAGAGAAACCACAGTGACCATGGATCACCCCCAGGAGACAATCCAACGTGAGCTCGCAACCGCAGCCTCCTAGTGTGAGAGACATACCACCTTTCCCTGCCAACCTCCAATCCCTCCCCTATCGAGGACAAATGACCTTTAAATGGTACGCTGACTCGGACTGGAACATGAAACAAGACACGTCAGAGTCTCCATGACCACGTCGAGGCAAGGAGACCATGATATCCCGAATCCTGAAAGACCCGTCCGAGACCGCCATATGAGCATTAATCTTAGTATTAATAGAAGTGGAAACCGAGACAAACCAGGAATCGAAGCAGTCCACGCGACAATTGACCCTGTCGAGCCTGCAACGAACCCCCTCGTAAGCGAAGTATACGAACGCCCCGTCCGACACTCTCGAACGACCACCTAACCCTAACCACCTAGCAACGTTCTATCCACTCATCTGCACCAAATCACCCTCCAATCCGCAATGCCATAAAGGGCCAGCCGAATAACCAAGCAGCCCCACCTACGATCAGCATCGATAGTCCGAAATGGGGGCCGAAACGGCGTCTCCTCGAAACAGCATCACCGCCGGCGCATACGGTTGTCGGTCGCCCATTAGCCTCGGACACTTGCCGTGCCGTACCCATCTACCCTATTCTAGAAGGGGACGTGGACGTGGAGAATATCGATCTGCGTCATGCGTTTGCACTGCTATTTCGGACATGTGCCGTGCCGGCACGCGAGGTCCTCTGCCTGAGATATGCGACCGTTTGCTGCATTGGGGTTGATTGGCGCTTGTACGTTGAGTACGAGATGTGATCGACGTATAGGTTCGGCTTGTTGCCGCTGGGGGTGTAGTGATGAAACGTGAGGCTTGCAGGTATGATTGGGGGATGAAGACCGTAGGGATCGACTACTGTACTGTATACTACTCCTGTGTATATTGAGGGAGCATGAAGACGAGTCACTTGGAGGACTAGACCAGAGTAGCCGTGTATCTCCCACGAAAGGCCTTCTAAATATACACCGTCACCATATCATCTCCCATCGAGACGTTCGGCTGTTCGGGAAGTCTGAAACGGAAAAAGGGGCTGCCCGTTTCATGACGATCTCTGCCTACCACAGCCCCAACTCCGTTTCAGGGGAACCTTCACACTTGCATTGCTCCAGAACAGACCTCAGACCTCAGACCGCAGACCACAGACTACAGACTGCAGACCGCAGAGTTAGCTTTAAATCCCCCATACCCCGCCACCATGTCGGCCCAGGACGAATTCAACCAGCTGGTGAACAGCAACCATTCCCGTTTCGCCACACACCCTGAAGACCACCATTCCGTCTCCGACTCAGACGAAGGCCACTACTCTGATCAAGGCACAAGCACGCGCAAGAACCTCCGCAGCCGCACCACCCACGACTCCTCCGACGAGGAAGATTTTTCCGACGACAACATGGTCTCGTCCCGGGCCAACTACCAAGTCCCGAATACAGTCTACGACGCCAACACCGGGCCCAAGGGTGTCATTGCCGATGCGCAGGCCTTTGAGCGGGCGCGGAAGAAGTCCTTCCGTCGCACGCTGCTGAATGCGGCCGGCTTTGATGGCCATGGGCCTTCATTCGGGGCCAAGACACGCGAGGACTCGCCGCATGCCGAGTCGGGCTCGGCTAGTGAGGATGATGATGAGGCTCGGTTTTTAAGGAAGTGGAGGCAGTCGCGGATGCAGGAGCTGCAGGGCCGCGGTCATCGTCGGCTGAGTCCTCGGGGGCGGCGGTACGGGTCGGTTGAGAATGTCGATGCCGTGGGGTATTTGGATGCCATTGAGAAGGTGACTTCGGAGACGGTGGTTGTGGTGTGCATTTATGATCATCAGGTATGTGGATGAACTGTTTTTCTCTTCAAGTTTATGATTGGGGGATCTGTCACGTTTGGACGTCGACTGGGCCTGCACTATGGATGCTAACTGGGTTTGTTTAGTCTGACGACAGCGCCATCGTCGAAGAATGTCTGGTCACTATTGCCCGCAGACAACCCACCACCCGCTTCGTCAAGTTGCACCAGGATATCGCTGAGATGGATCACATCAAGGCCCCTGCCATCCTGGCCTACCGCGGTGGCGACGTCTTCGCTACCATTGTCGATGTCCTGCGCAGCATCCCGCGTGGTCGGAGCTGCAGTGCTGATAGCCTCGAAGATCTCCTCAAGCTGTATGTTCCTCTTCGTCTTTCATGTTCATTGTTCTCATACTGACCTGTCCTAGCAACCGCGTCCTTTGATCTCTCTTTCTTCTCGTTATTTCAGCCACCACGGTTTGACTGGGTGGTAGCAAGGCGTCATGGCTGTCCGGGGGTCTTCTTTGCATGGCCTGTCTTTCTTTTTTTTTTTCTTCTTCATCATCTCATCTCCTTTTACTCGCTCTCTTTTTCACCCCTTCCTCTCCTTCTCCCTTTTCTTTCCTCTCCCCTTATCCTCTCTCTCTCTCTCTCTCTCTCTCTCTCTCTCTCTCAATTCGTGATGGACACTATCTGCACTAGCTGCAGATAAAAACAACCAAGAAACGTGGGTCTTGATGTCGGCGTTGATCAATAGAAGGGGTGGACTCGGTTGGCCGATGGTCTGGATACTATTTTGTCGCATTGGACATGGGACGTGGCTGCATCTGCTTTCTCTTCTTTCCTTGTCTGATACTTTTATGTTTACTGTTATTTTGTTATTGCTCGGGGCTGGACTCGACCGATTGTTTCTTTTAGATATCCCTGCTTGTCATTCTGAAACGAAGCTCTTTTTTGATCCTGTTATCCTGGTCTTTCGGCGACTTGTTCTGTAAAATTCATACGACTCGCTCTACATGGACTACTCGCCAGCTAGCATGGCCAGAGAATCAAGGATACAGAGGTCATTACTTACTTTCATATTGCCTATCGATTCTAAAGGAGCAAATTACTGTATATTCCCGCCTTCCCCCCAATTCTACAGACATACAAAAAGCCGTAAACTTCCTACAAAACAACCCAGCGAAAATCAAGTGTTATCAAGATTGGTATCAGATCCATCCTATCCAGCAAGCAGCAGAATGCCCAAGCAGAGGCAAGAAGCAGAAAGAAAAAAGAAAAAAGAGAGCCATCCAATTTCCTTCGACGGTCCGCTAACTCCCCGGGGTGTGTCATAAGACAAGAAAACGAAAGGAAAAAGAAGAACAGGAAAGGATAGTAAGAGAAGCATGCGAACTAATAAAAGGCAGGACGGGACATATCGTGTCGTGCAGACACAGCAGAGAAAGTGAGACAGAGAAAGAAGGGTGTCGGTAGAAGAAACAGGAGAAGCGAATATTTCATTCGTCACTCCTGCTCTACGTGCCGTTCTTCTGTTTCTCTTGTCTCTGCGTTAACCCCTTAGAGGGCACCGCGCTCCGCTGTGAAATCCCAGAGCATTTTGATCAGTGCGTCTGGCAGTGTATAGAGGTCGACATGGAATTCTCCGACTGCGAAAGAGAAAAGAAGTTGTGAGTGATGGGTCATTTAGAAAGTAGACGGATAAGAGGCGACTATTCGTCTCAACTTCACGGGAATTCACTTACGCTCCACGTCGTTCTTTGTGTATGAGTCCGCAGCCTTGTGGTCATGCACCATTTGCACAACCTGCAGAAGATCATCCTCGTTAAGCTTCTGGAGACCTTCGGCAAGCTTGTCCATATCGACCTGGTGAACCAAGTTAGTCTCACAGCCAACTGCAGTCCACCCTCCAATCAAAGTAAACTTACATTCTTTTCCGTGCGGCTGCGCTTCTTCTTGGCGCTTTCTTCGCCAGCAAGAGGACGCTTCGACTTGACTCCGTTCTCGTCGCCGGGGACAGGTCCCGACTCACGGAGAGCGGCCATCAAAGGCGGCTTGGGGTTCTTGAAGGTCTATATCCAAAACAGTCACCGGTCAGATTGCAATAATTCCAATGGTATACCCCCCATCTAATATGAAACTCACAATGACGTGCTTGGATTCGTAGCGGTTCTGGGCGAAGTTCAAGTCATGTCCAATGGTATAAGACTTGTCAGCGGTGAGCTCGATGGACATATCGAATTCACCCCATCCCTCCTCAGCAATACGGAAAGGAGGGTTTCTGAAAGCTATTGAAATCAAAAGTGACCTTGTCAGTACATGATCCTGTAGGCGCATGTCGAGAGACTGCTGCGCCGGTGGGTATCGTAGATAAAGAACAGCCCACGGCGAAGCTAGTCGGGTGGAATTCAAACGTACTCTGCGTTGCGCGCTCGCCGAAACTTGGGTGCAGGTGGAAGGTCACCTTGTCGAAGACATTGGCCGGAACCAGCTCGCCTTTGTCGTTGACGAGCCAGACCTCAATGTGCCACGAACGCTGCGGGAAACCTTCGACTTCCGATGGCTTGTCACTATTGCGAGGGGAGGTCCATGTTAGCTTGTGCTTCAGCTAGATGCTTTGTGTATGTTGGTGCCCGGGAGGTGGAGGCTGTGGCGAAGGAAGACGGGTGACGGGTAACGGGCAGGAAGACTGTAGTGCTCGCCAATGCGCGCATTGCTTTCTTGTTACTCCCGTGCTCAGAGGCCCATGGGCAGATTCTCAAAAAGCTCAGAGTGTGCGAAGTGAGGGTAGGCGCGCGTGGTCGGGACAGGAAGGGAGGGGACCCTCTGGGAGGGCACGTACATGATGTGTTGCTCAGTGATGAGACGGACGGTGCGCTTGACCTAAGGCGTCGATACATGAATTAGCTAGAGCTTGATTGAGCCAGACTGGGGAGTTCTCAGAGGCAACGGTGTTGAGTCCGCGGGCAGAGCTCGTGATGATGATCCCACAGTCGTCTTGAAGTCACTTCGCAGAGGGAAGGAGAGGATGACTTACGTCAGGCATTTTGAAAAGTCAAATTGAAAGCGACTGAGCTTTCAGATTCTAGTCTAGATCTTCAGGTGAAAGATGTCAAAAAGGACGTAACCGTCGGAGAACAGTTTGCGCGGGTTAAGTCGCCACGCGCAAATGCCGGAGCAAATATTGTGGGTGTGCAAAGTAAGGCAGAAGGAACGTCTCAGAGTCAAGTAGGCGGTGGCTCTAGTATATGGACGCCAATGGGTTTGTGGTGGTTGTTGCAGGTTGGAGGGGAAATGCGTAGGTGAAGTCGGCGAGGGTCGATGTTTGTCTCCCCATTTCGATGGACTCGACCTTATTCACTCCAGTGGACGATTACAGTATGTTCGCTCCATCTCGATTGTAGGATATATGATTTATGAATATCGAAATATACAGTATTATCGTCATTCTTGATCTGATTTATCCGAACATGGATCTTTTCATTCCTTGCGGGACGCAGCAGTAGACGTTTATATCCGGTAGAAGGCTATATGGTGCTCTGAAGTGTGCTATATCACCATCTGTTATGCCATCGGCTGCATTCTGATCTATGGGATAGTATCCAGTCCATGAATGAGAGAGGGAAGCTGGTGATCCAGATCTCAACCTCATTGGCAAAGCTGGATCGGGACTCAGACTAGAGCAGTTCGATTCTGCCACAAGGTATAGGGATCCTGCACTCTCCTACACGTGTACAAGGGACTGCTTGCACATTCATGGAACTATATTTGATCATGGCGCAAGGGCAAACTGGAAGTAAATTACTTATATCAGGGTATGGTGATGTGCAGGGTGTATATTCGATGGGGAGATGTCTATCTACTGCCAAACTGCGAACCACCAACGTCAGAGAACTGCCCTCCATTTCGTAGACTGCATGGCTCACGATAGCATGCGAGGCGCATCTTCATAACTGCTGCCTCGCCTCGTCGCGTCGTTGGGGATAAGGGTTTATTGGAATGGAATTGAAAGGGGTAGGGGGATTGGGGGTGGAACAGGTTTGAAAGGGGGACGATAATGGGGAGGTTGTTTTTTTCGAGAGCAAGCTCCTGGACGTTGCATACAGACAAAGGTCATGAATGCCTAGTGCAGAATGATTGTGTATCGCTACACTTTCTCGAGAAATCAGTAATGAGAAAGGGAGCTATTTACTCCTGGGCGGCAAAGAGCTTCTCGTTCTCCTGCTGGGCCTTCTCGAAGGCCTCCTTGAAGGCGTTGGCGTCTACAACGGAGTTAGAATGGTTCATCTTAAATTCGAGGCGGTTAACTCACTCTCGCTGTTGGCGAAACGGATGGCGAGGGTCTGGGCCTCGGGCTCACCCTCGGAGACATCGGCGGCGGCGTTCCAGACCCAGCTGCGGTCACTGCCGACGTTGGCGCTGAGCTTCATGTCGGGGACGACTAATACATGTGTTAGCTGCAACCCTAAAATGTCCATTTCCAGATAAACTCACTGTAGTGGTTGGCGCAGACCTTCAAGGTCTTATCACGGCGCATGACGAGACGGGTCTTCTGGTTCTCCTTGTGCTTGAGCAGACGGACGTCACCGGTACCACGCTCCTTCCACTCCTTGGACTCGCTGTCGAACTTGAAGAGCTTGGCGCGCATCTTGAAGGCCTGCTCCTCAAGCTCCTCGTTGGTCTTGGTCTCGACCTTCTCGGTCAGGTGGATCACGGGCTCGAAGTGGACGTCAGGGGACTCCTCGACGGTCTCCTCCTGCAAAAAGAAACATCCATATTAGCATAAGCGCGGCAAGAAAATAAGCACCACTGGTTGAATATAGAGTGGCTGCGGCGACCCCACTATCTGGGGAAAGGGGCATAGAAACCCCGCTCCCATCGTGTACGCGTTGAGCAATAACGCAGCCATATCACCAGTATCTCAGATATATCCCACTCACCTCGTCATCGGCCTTCTTGGCCTTGGAAGAGCCGGAGGGCTCATTGGCATCGTCGGTCTCCTCCTTCTTCTCCTTCTTGGGGCCGCCACCGAACATGGAGAAGACGCTGTCAGAAGTCTTCACAGCGGCATCCTTGGCAGTTTCGACAGCCTCCTTGGCGGTCTCAGTAGCAGACTCGGTAACAGACTTCTCACCCTCGCCGGTAGTGGTCTCGGGCTTCTGGTCCTCAGGAGCGGCGGTGGTGGGGTCGGGCTTGGTCTCAGCAACGTCAGACATGATGCCGGATAGGTTCCAGAAATTCGATTAAAGAGATGAAAGAGGAACGGGACGAATGAGTTCCACGGAGGTAAATGTGGAATTTCGGAAAAGCTTGGGAGTGTTTGTTGATCAGAGCGGCGATGAGGGGGGAAAAATTAATAGTTTGGGTGTCAGGCAGAACGGCCACCGCCTTTGCCCATGGTTTGGTATAGGGCAATGCGGATCAAAGCATGAATGAGACATGTATTTCTATGATAGATTTCAGTGAGACTACGTAAATAAAGCATAAAGCATAGTATTGCGCTTGGAAGTCTCGCGTGATCCGATTCCCAGTCCTGTTACCCCACCAAACCTGATCGCCGTAACAAACCCATCCGCCATAGCCTAATAAAGCAAATACAAAACAAAAACAAATATCGTTCATCATTTCTAGCGAGAGAGGATCCATCCCCTTAGTTGCCTGGGTCAAGGCCCAGAACATGTCGTGCACGCGACTGGGCCCGATCCAGCGTTTCGCATTTGCGAGCATTGCGCACCCGATCCATCATGCTGCGGAGGTCGACTTTGGCAGCTGACTCTCCAATGCGACTCCATGCATCATGAACAATCTGTTTAGCCTCCCTGTTGACATGACTGGAGCGAAGTTGTAGCACAGAGGAAGCAGTTCGGAATCGCTGAAGGGCGTTGCGGGTGAAGACCTCTGAAATCTGCTTTGACCTTGACAGGACGTTATTGCGTAGACTGAGGCTATCCCGGCTTGAATTCTCAGCGTCACGGCGTAAGATATGTGTTCGCTTCACAACGTCACCCACGACCACCTGCAAATCAGTGGAGAATCGACCGTATACCTCAGTCAGACCAGTCTGAGCCAGCTGCAGGTCCTTTGTAAACTGTGCAGAAATTGCTTGTGCCGCGCGCCTCCAGCTTGCAATCTTCAACCATGGTGTTCCAAAGTCAACAGCCACGGTCTGGTTATTTGGGGATTTGGACTGGGCTGTAATCGTCACGTCGATTAACCCGTAGGCATCCTCTCGGTCCAGCTTAAGCATGTAGACCCCCTCAAACAATTGAGATATCTCATATGGCAGATATTTGCTTTGTCTTTGGACACTCACATTAAAGCGAGGCTGTTTCTTGGCAGTTGCAAGTCTGGAAGGTGGTTTGATAATGATGTGGCAGTCTCCCACGGCCTGGATCTCGAATTCATCACGATTTGCTAAGCCCAAGGCTGAAAGAGAAGTGAGCTCATTGGAAATTGAGACACCGACAGGAGGAACATGCATCATATGCACAGAAGATGCCGATTGTATCGGGAGTGAGACTTGATCATCTTTACCGAGAGATAGGGCAGATGAAGAGGACGTTTGAGATGCCACGGGAGGGAACGCATTAGAAAGAGCCGATCCAGCAATGCACTGCGCCAAGAAAACAATCATCACTTTCACAACGGCGTATCCGATCGAGAGAGCAATGGCCGAAATGAGAGTCAAAACGACCAAACGTAGTGTTGGGGCCCATTCACGAACCCGGGTGGCATAGGAAGTTGGTAGCCAGCTCTCAATATACTTCTCGTCACCGGCAAAGAATTGGGCCGAGGACGAGTTAAAAGTTTCAGCAGTGGATTTATGTGCCTTCTTCGGGTAAAGGCTAACCAGGGATGCCAGGTTTCGGTTGAGTTGCCCGGGTGTGATACTTTCGAAAGTCTTCAAATCGATTGGATATCGTCGAAGGACTGCCGTTTCTCCTGAATCAGGGTGACGAGATTCCAAGCAAGTGTGAAGACTGTTGTGATTAAGAGGGATCGTTTCTCCAGCCATGTTCCACAATGGCTCTTCTGAAATCATCATTGCCGGGATTCCATGGCGTTCCAGGAAGGCGTGAGCAAGATACTGGGTATTGATAGCCTTTGAATCATCGCGACCTGAGACAAAGATAATTGCTACATCTGGGAGAGTCCAATCTGACACAGACGATACCCGGTAATCCGAGCCATTCCATGTTGAAGTGCACACCGGGCGGTTCTTGAACTTCAGGCTCAGGGAATTAGGTCGGTCCGCACTAGGATCGGCGGTGGCTTCCACACACTCATCGACCACGAGCTGAACGTGGATCGGAAGGAGCTCGGCAAAGTTTGGAACCGCCCCTGCACCAAACGAAGTTGGCACAACGTGATATCGGGACGACTCAGCAGAGCTGGTCTCCGAGCCGGAACATGAGCTTGATACTAGAACGTCGCCGATCTTATCAAGAATGATGTGTCGGAACTCGGGCTGCCCGATGTAGAGCACGCGGAAGGGCTTGTCCAGGTCGAGGCCTTGCTTGGTCATCGTCTGCTGGACAGTGGCCATGAGGATGGAATCGGTGGAGTTAAATGGCAACCGGCTCTTCAACTCCTCGGCTGCAGCTCCATCAAAAATGCGGATGGTATGCTTGAGCTCCACTCTCTCGATCTCGGGCCACTTCTCAGGCTCCACGAACTCGATCGAGTCACTGGGATTTGCAAAGGTGGGCTTGGTGGTTGTGGTGCTGTCATCAATCGTGCTCCTTCTGAAGGGAAAAAGAGTTGGTAACTGCTGGGAAACCGAGGCACTGCACGGAATCTCATCTCCCATTATCCCATCATCTTCCTGGTTGTCTTCATCCTGCACCTCGGCCTCGCTGCTACTGTAGCGTTCATCAAGACTTGCGACATCGTCGGGGGTGGTCTGGTCAATGAGGGAGCATACATCGGTCTGCTCGGAGTGGCTGCCATCCTCCGAGTGTATATCAGACACACTCAGAGTAGCCCAACTATCACTCAAGGAAATTGGCGGATGATCGGAAGCTTGATCTGACGTCATGTTGGTCGGTCGTGAGCGAATCACCCACTCCTCCACCGAGGCAGTCAACGGGGGGAAGGTCGGATATTGCAGGTGAGAAGCAATCTGGGCACTGGTGAGGCGTCGTCGAGGTGACGACTCTGGAGTGTCAGTCATATCTGCGTAGTAGGCAACTTCATAGAGCGGGCAAGCGGGCAAGTGGGCGAGAACAGGAGCTTAGGGAAGGGGCCTCTCTCAAGTTGGAGAGATCAAAGACGAGGTCAAGAATAGCAGAGTTAGAAGGTAGAGGCACAAAATCACACAGAAGGAAAGGCTGGCAGATACTGAATAGAGTCCCAGAGCCCAATCGAGTGATAAGCAAGTGGGTCTGCGGGGAGTTTCCCGATGGTCAGGTGCGTGTCTGACTCAGGCAGCGACGTGAAGGGGGATTCTCGGATGGTGATATTGAAGTAGGGGTTCCAAAAGAATAGGAAGTCAGGATGGAGCAAAATGAAAGTGAGAGTTGATCAGGGCCGATGAGAGGGGTCGCGATAAGAGTGGATGACCCGGCGAACAGTCATGGCGGGGTTGTACTGGGTACCAGGGTAGTTATGGTGGTTGCGGCTTGAGGGGAAGTACCGGTACCACCCCGTTTGCCTTGTGCACCACATACATCGGGGGTCTTGCTGTGGCTCTTTGTTTGACCCAGCACATATAGCATATCATATACAGTATATAGACCACAGAATATAGCATATACAACATAGATAATGGTAAAGGCACCTCCCACGATTTCCATGCGACAAGATATATTGCGGGTAGACTCCACCAGCCCCACTCTACCTTAAAATGGGAGTATACGTGGAGTGATCAACACATGGCCGATATTGGACTTCCGACGACGCTCAAACACCCGATGGGTATCATTGAGGCAGCGAGCCCCAACTTGATAGCATACGAAACATATGTGGAAATCCCCTCCATGACAGGAATGACATGAGTAGAAAGCCTCGGCTCTAGTCAACAGAACAAGGCAGACATCGCAAGATCTCACGAAGACTGCCTCCGGCTGCCTAATTGACGTTTTGACAAAGGCGGGATCGGCCGAAGTCACCGAAAATTCCTGCAACACTTCCACAACATCATGCCTGTCCTGTAGCATAGCATCGAACATGGCAGAACGGCCAAAATTGTCCTCAACATTGCAGTCGAGACCAGGTACATTCAATAAAACGCGACAGGCTCTGGGATGACCAAGTGTGGCTGCAGCATGTAATGCGGTACGTCCATATCGATCCCGTTGATTTGGGTCAACTCTTGATAAAAACAGTGCCAACATTGTATCGTGTCCTTCGCAAGCTGCCATAAATAAGACTCCTCGCCCAAACGTATCAACAGAATTGAAATTAGCACCATTTTGACTCAAGGCTCGAACAACAGACTCATGACCAGCAGATACTGCAGTCAACAATGGGGTGCGTCCGCGATGATCCCTGTGTTCCAGATTGGATGCCCAACTGAGCAGCATGTTGATGCTATTTTCAAGGCCACGCTGAGATGCATAGATCAATGGCGTCTGTCCTGCATTATCTGGAGTATGGGGGTCTGCTCCATGATCTCGCAACAGCTGAGCTATTTCAGTGTTTCCGGCCTGAAAAGCAATTGACAATGCGGTTAGTCCTGTGTTGTCCTTGGAATTTGGATCCACATGCATATCAAGAAACAGTTGGACGACGGCCTTGCGACCAAATCTAGTAGCTTCTATCAGGGGAGTCCGGTCATAGCAAGTCTTGGACTCTATATCGGCTCCTTTTTCCACTAAGAAGCGGACTGTCGTGTCAAGCCCGCGAGACAATGCAAAGTGAAGTGGCGTTTCGCCGGTTATGCAATGGTGGGAGTTGATCTCACTGCCACGGCTGAGAAGTAGCTCCGCGATGTGTACTTGGTTGTATATAGCTGCTGATGAAAGCAGAGATACTTGATTTTCGCCGGTAGTGCCCTTGGGATCGTCTCCACGATCGAGCAGGAGTAGTGTTAAGTCGGAAAATCCCTGGCTGACTGCGTAGAACAATGGGGTTTGTTGAAAACAGTCGACGGTATCAACGGGGCAGCCCTGTTCTATCAGGCCCTGGGCAATAAGAGTCAATCCAAACCATGCTGCGAGACACAGGGGCGGGATTTGAACATGGTGCACGATGTCTCCATGAAGCAAGTCCGAAAAGAAATCAATCTCTTTTGCGACAAGAATGCGAACACAAGCATCCAGTCTTGATTGATTTTCGAGTAAGGCGAAGATCAGTCGCTCGTTGACGTCCCCAGTATTGGCTGGTGAGCTTTCTCGTATATGGTGGCCCCAATAGGTGCCTGCGTAACCGCAGAATGAATCTTTATCAACAGTCCTTTCAAGATCATGGACACTTGAACAGGCGAGTATGTCTTCGGCGTCAAATATCGACAAGTACTTCAGGCAGATGGTTCCAATGTCAAGATGGGCTGTTGGAAACCATGTCGACTGGTGTCGTTCAAAATATTCTTGAGTTGTATAGTGGGCCAACCGAATGATGTCGCTGTTCTCGTCAACCGTAACGAGGCCCGCACATACAGAAACCACATCCATGATATCGGGCATGTTGTCTCTGTCAAACTCGGATTCCTCAATCTCAACAGCAAGTGCAATCCGAAGCTCGGCTGTAGTAAGTTGTCGTTTGGAGCAAGTCACCCACAAGAGCACCTGTAGTGCCAGCTCGGTCTGATCTGGTAGTTGCGCCTTTATCCTCTGCATTGCAGCATCGTATGAAGTGTCATAAGTTTGAGCACCAGATGAGATACCTTTCAGTGAAGCTCGAATTGCCTTAGGCGACCGTTTCCCAACCAAAGATCTAAGAAGAAGCTCGGCGAGAAGGAACCTATGAAGTTGATCAGAAGGGCTGTCACTTAAATCCATGGAAAGTATCTGTCGTGCTTGTTAATAAGAGCTGACTCACATTCCATCTATATTTTTGGCAATTCCAGTTAATATTTCATCTTGTAGACCAGGATCTCGCCTGACAAAGAAGGGAAGAGACGCAAGATTGCTTTTTAGAAACCATATGACATCCTCCTTGGTGGCACGAATTTCGAGGGTGGGATCATTCTTGAAAGTCTCGCTGATTTCAGGAATGAACCGGGACGTGACCAACAGGTTCAGATTGCAGTCGCGAAGGCTGAGGATGCCGTCGAGAAAAGTCGTCCGAGAACCGTCGGAAATCGAACACTCATCCAAAGCGTCGATAACAAGATAAAAGCGGGAAGTCAGGCTAGGCTTGCACACTGAGCGTAATGCTGTCAAGACCTCATCCACTGATGCTCTTGTGCCTTTGAACCGATGTCGAGTATACATAGTCCGTATTTCGGTTGGCAAATCATCACGGCCTTGAGCAACTTGTTTCAAAATGTTGATCAAGAGATTGACAGCGGTCTGTTGTTCTCGGCGCTGAAAGTTACAATAAATGTAGGCTATTGCAATATTGCTGTCCGTTCCGTATCGTTCTAGAAGCTCCTCAATCACAGTGGACGCCAATATGGTCTTTCCGGCTCCAGGTATACCTGGACAGAATAAGATACGCTTTGAACCGGAGATCCAGGATGAGAACTCAGGAGATGCCAATAGCCATTGGCCAGTTCCCAGTTGGCGTCGGGCAATATAGTCGCTCTGCTGAGTGGCATAATTGAGGGGAGAAAGCCAAGCCAAAATTGTTTGGCGGGTCTGGTCATCTTGGTGTTGGACTAAATTCGCCAGATCTTTCTGCGTAGCTCGGATGTTGAATAGGTTCAAAAGGCCAATATTACTGCTGATGCGACTGCGGAGCTCTTGGATCTCACTGGGCTCCCAAGTAAGACGTCCCCATACCCGTTTTGCCGCGCTTCTTTTCGTACCATCGATGGTATCTAGGTGTTTGTAGCGACTGATAATCGTCTCAAGATCGATCAGCACATCATGAGAGCTTTTCACAATCCCTTGCAATTTGGTTTGTTGCGTGCTGGTGAGATCTGTTCTGGACAGATCAATGTCCACATCTTGAAGTAGAATTGATAAATTTCTCACTCTGTTATCATATTAATTCCGAAATCTAGAAGATTCAGGGAGCTGCAGGGCTGTGGCCAAGGATGTCTCTTACTCGTCAGAGATGGCTTGGAATTGAACTGGGGCGTCGATGAGATTCTTTCGAACCTTGCTGGCAAGTTTGATCACTGCAAGGAAGTCTCCCACGCCAAAGCCGAAACTCATCCTCGATGCCAAACATGCATCTACAGAAGTGAAAAAGCAAGTTGGGATGAATAACAGATGAGGGCGGGGGTGGTCTCGAGGCTAAGGCTAACGCAATGCTGACACTCGACATCTTTCTTCCTCTGTCCCTAAATAACAAAGTTGTTGCGCTTGCGTGGAAACATCAACCGAACGTTGATAATACAACCAAAGTGTATCTGGTTGTCCTGGACGCGAGGAGCTGGTCTTCAAGTGGACTCTTCAGGTTTTCTGATGCTAGACTGATGATTGATCTCGAGTAGCTATCTACGGATGCCCAAGGCCTGGGCCGTTTACAAAATCACATAGTCAAAAACCGAAGAAACAAACTGCATTATACTGATATCATTCTTCACGTAATTCACCGGGTGATTATTCCATACTCTATAGACAACCATGCTCGATCTGGTATTTGCGAGGTTTGGGGGGAAGGGAGGAGACAATGCGAGAGAACAATCCGAGGATGAAGGCCACGGAAGACGAAAGGGGAAAAGGTATGTACATTTCATAAATGCATGCTGGAAGACAACCACAGAAACTGCATATGGGATGGGGGAAAGGGGAAGGCTCGAGAGGTGGTTGGTAAAACCAAAGGTTGCTTAAGAGACAGGATGTCGATATAGACGGAAGCTGCTTTCAGTTTCTGCCTCCAAACCAGTTGTCTCTTACCACCGCGATGATGCTGTGTTGGGTAAACCGGATGACAAAATTGTACTAATTCTGAGAAAACAGAAGGAAGACAATTTGCCGGAAGAATAGCAGAAGAACGCCGCAGACCAATGGAGCCAATGGAACCCGAAACAAAATCATGGCAAAACCATGTCTGATATTTGGAGTACCCAAAGACACCAGTCCTCCACGGCGAAAAGTCACATTCTTTCCACGACCCACAGATAAATCACGCAGCTGACCGCGGTGGCCCAGCATGTTAAATGAATATGTCAACAGGGATGATGGATATGCCATGCCATCTTCCGAATGAAAAAGCCGTCAGATCCATTGAACGCCACCCAAAAAAGGAAACCCCATGGCCAGCATAACATGCAGGCTCCAGCATTAAACTCCCGAGGGCGAACCCAAGTGATGCTCATAGCCCACTAAACAGACAGGGAAAGGAGACGTAAAATGCGGTGAGCACTGAGCATCAAAGCATGGGATTCATCTATGGTGAAGCCCAGCCGCCAGCCACATCAACCCATTCATTGAGACAACTGCCCTGCTTGCCTTCGACATCAACAATGTCAGTGTCACAGCGGCATCGGCAGCCGACACCATTCTCCTTGACCTGGTCAGGAGCGGCCCAGTATTCGTCCTCTTCGATGCGTTTCTTTTCATCGTCTGTTGTCTTCTCGAGGTAGGGGATACGGGGCAATTGACGGGCGGGGGCGTTGGCTGGGCAATGCTGGATGGTGGTGTGGCGGTAACCAAAGTCACGGAAATAGTGAATATCACTAGGCGCAAGAAGGGCGCCGGCGGCGAGAGAGTGGATGGGCGCATCACCCCACTGAGATAATTAGTATCGACTTCACCACGTGTTCAAAAAGGAAGAAGAAAAGAAAGACCTACCCGTTCGTTCCAGAATCCACCACTCCTATCCATCATGGTAAAGAAGTCCTCGTATTCCTTGCTGCGGAACCAATCCAGGCGAGCAATCTCAAAGTTACTCCAGAAGTGGCACATGTTGTAGCTCTCGCCTTCCATGGCCTCTGGGTCCACATCCTTCAGATTGTTGTCACCGGGGTCGGTTTGGAGAATCTCATCGGGAAGCTTATCCTGTTGCTTCTCTTCGGGAGGAGTTTCGGGCTGGGGTTCCAAGAACATCTCCCACAGACCCTTGGACTTGAGGTTGTTCTTGCGCTTGTAGGCAGCGGCGTATCGGAAGATGTTCGGGACGGTCTCTCGGAGTTCCTTCACTGCAATAGTGAAACCGTAGGTCTTGTTGGCCTTTGCCATCTCGAGGAAGGGATCACTGATTGTAGGTAAGCAAATGGCAAGAATCACGTCGCGTAGGTATCTTACTAGGTGATGTCACAGAAGTACTTGATCTCGGGCTCCAACCGCCAGTACCACTCATACTTCATCAGGAGAGGGTGCTTGTAGAAGTGTCTGTCATGGTGTTAGCGTCGTCGCTTGAATTTTGGACTCATCAGATACTGACCCCGAGTAGAATCGGCACATGTGGTGATAACTTTCCATGCCACCGTACATGATAGCAGCATCACCTTGCTTCCGAATACCCTCCTTGGCGACCTCGTGGTCCACCCAGTCAGGGAATCCCCACATGCTGTTATCGATCTTACCGAATTCCACGGGTGCGCTGGTATAGTTCTTGACCGTGGCAATGAAATCATCATCAAAGTCACCGTCGTTCAGGAAGACATAGGGGTAGTGCCACCAGCGGTTGAAGTGTCGCTCAATCGACTTGAGGGATTGAATGACACCATCCAACTCCTTATTTCGGGCAAGGACGACAAATGCGGCGTTGGCACGAGGGGCCTTCTCGATTTCAGGAGGGTCGATAGGCATACAGCCCGTCGCGAATACTTTATCGTGTTTTTCGCTGATTTTTCTGCACCACCGGTAAGTTAGCCACCGCCCAAGCGATCATAGACGGAGAGAGACGAACCGAATAGAAGGCGGAGTGCCTGCTGGAATTAAAATCCCCCCGGGAGACGAAGGATGACGGACGAAAAGAAGCAGAATAAGAACAATTACAAGACATGGAAATAGTAAAACAAAGCCCAGGGGTATAGAAATAGAGGAGTTGCCCTTCAGGCGAATCCGCCGCCGGAAGAAAGCGAATCTGGGATGGTGGAGACGGCCTTTCTCATGAGAGGCGTCTTCCAACGGCAGACTCGGCGCGCTCGGCAGCCGTTTCGTGATTCGTTGAATGAAACTCATGGGTGCGATTGTGGGAAGACCCCAGAGAGGTAGAAGGTGAGCTATCAGACCCAAGCGACAGCACGCGGGCCGTTAAGGAGATTGTGGCGAAATCGTGTCGGGGTCAAGAGACAAGGGGTAACGTCTCTTGGAAATCGAGTAGACGGCGAGATCGAAGTCGGGCCGTTTTGGATCACGGGACGATCCGTAGACAGGATCGTGATCTCGACAGAAAATGGAGAAAATGACAGCAAAACGAGTGGCCGGAGGAATGCCTCCTTTCCTCCCCCAACTTTCTCAGTCCCGTAAACAAATGGGGAGAGCGCTGGGAGCAACGCAAACAACTGTGAACAGGGTACACAGAAAAGGGGTTGACATCAACGATGGATGGGGGGGGAAGGGAAAGATGGGAGAGAGTCGGGGAGATGGGGATGGGTTGGAACTTTGCCAAGACCAGGGAGGCGCAAGCGTGGCCGTCACCCTGAGACGGTCTTTTTGCCCCTGGGTAGTGCGTGGTGGCGTTGACTGGAGTATGGTATGGTAATCTATTCCTATTTTTCTTCCCTTGGGGGTTTAGGAGATTTAAGATGAGGATGATGGTGTCAATTTAGCATAAATACTTCCATTTCTCATGCATCGTCACTGTAGTACTGGGTGGCGCTCTATTGTCCAAACCCTAAGTGTCATGGTCACATTATAGGGGAAACCATCACCACCTCTAAAAGTGCGATTTGGATCCCATCCAGAATAAGCTTGTGTTTGTGTACTGCTGTGTGCAACTGTGTCTGAACCCCATGTAGAATCCACTTGATCCACCTCGTCTGCCCTACACGATAAATTCACCGGGGCCAGGAGGACATGGGCAACCGAATACTGACTGTATACTGTCTGTACCCAGCATAGCCTCTCACATTCTATCGAGGATAAGATTTCCCCAGACCATACAGCCTTGGATCACACAGTACACAACTCCTGTATTACACGGAAGTGCACCGTATGTCGATCCGCTTCAAATTTTGGTCGTTGACTTGGCCGAAAAACACAACCGTTGGCCTTTTAGTGAACAGGGACCGTTGTTTTCTTACCAAGTGGCCTCTTGATACCAAGGCTGTAGATCAAGCACAGGTACCTAGAACCTGCATGGGCAATACTGCAAGGGTGTCCGTGCAGGTACTGGGTACTTGCGGTCCTGCTAATTTCACTAGTATTTGGTAATTTTTAATTTCCGACGTTCGAGGCCAGTCTGGACTGCCGAGTGAGCGATCAACGCTTTTCTGATGCACTCTACACTCCATGACAGGGGTCGTGTGCGTGGGAACTCGGAGCCAATTGAAAATTACCGGGGACTCTAGGGAGGTCAACTGTATAAGTAAATGGTGAATCTCGCCAAATAAGTTAATGCAGAAGAAAGGACTTGTAGATCAGACCCTGACCCAAAAGGCTTGGTTCGGGCCAAGACTCCGTCATCCCTCTCTCCGCATGACGCTGTTCATGGAAAAGTATCCCCCCCTTTTCTGACCTGCTGGACTTCTCTTCTCCAACCTACCTTGCACCATGAATACGGTGCTGACGAGGCCCTCAATCCCTGCGGGGAGAACTCCGATCATCAAGGTCCCGGAGTCGGGCCCCTCATCTCACCTTCTCGCGGGGGCTCGCGCCAGGGGAAATTTGGATCCTTTTTCACCAGTCAATGAGAATGGGAGCTTCGAGTTTGATCGGGTCGTGAAGACAGGCAGGGTCCAGCGCCGAGTCAAACACAAACACGTCTTCCGCGCCTCTTGGAAATCAGCATACCTCGTCCTCCGACCGAATCTCCTATCCGTCTACAAAGATGAAGAAACCACCCGCCTTCGAGTCTCAATCCCCCTCTCCGAAGTGACTGCGGTCACTCCCGTCAAGTCAGCGCGCTCAACCCGGAAACACGTCTTTGGAGTCTTCACCCCGGCCACCAACTACCGCTTCGAAGCGCCGACACAACGCGATTCCGAGGACTGGATCCAACGCATTCGCGCCGAGACCCCTGGAAACGAGGATGAGCAAGCGTTTCTAGCCTTGACCAACCGTCACGCCCCTCCGGCCATCCATAAGCAGCTGGTGGACGAGACAACCGACCACTCCGACTTCGATCTCGCCGGCCGCGCCAGCTCCCCTGAGCCACGCTATACCCGGTCATCACGCAGTCATGCTCCGAGCCTCCCTTACATCCAGGATTACTCGGGTAATGAGGGCAACGGCAATGAAGCCTCTTTCTCAGAGTTCTCCGACGGTTCTCCGCCAACGCGCAATAGCCATCTACGATCCATGCCATCGATTCACTCGCTTTCCCTTTCCGCACCAGAGGACAAGCTATCACCTCTTCCTCGCGACACAACCAAACCATCCGATATGAGCATTCTCAGGGATCCCGAGCGCGTCGCCTGTCAGGGGTACCTGCAGGGGCTACGTATCCAAGGGACCGTGCGCCAGTGGAAGCGACTGTGGGTTGTGTTGCGTCCGAAAAGTTTGGCCTTTTACAAGGATGACGCAGAGTATTCTGCGCTGAAGATCATTCCCATGGCACAGGTTTTCGATGCGGCCGAGGTGAACCCTCTGTCAAGATCGAAGACGTTCTGCATGCAGATCATCGCCGAGGAAAAGACCTATCGGCTTTGCGCGCCGGATGAAGAATCCCTCGCGCTCTGGTTAGGTTCTTTGAAGAGTATTCTTGCTGCTCGTCGGAAATTGGATCCGGCCTTGGGAAGCTCCCTGTAATCATTGTAGAGCTTTTTCCATGGTACATTCTCCTGCCTTTCTCTCGCTTCATCCTCTCACATCTCTCAGCGATTTCTCTTCCTTTCTTTCTTTTGCCGTCTTTCTTTTATTATACCCAGGTTGGTGATTGGATCCCGCCTACTCCTCGTCTCAGGTGGAGATAGCGAGGAGCTTTGGAGTCTTCGAGGAGCGGATCGGCGTTTATATTTTGACCACAGTTCGAGTGGCCAAGTTGGAATTTTCATTTCTTCCATGAGGCTGTCCAGCTTCTTATTTTTTACTTCATTCTCTTCTTGAACTTTTCATTATTCTCATTTGTTCCATTTCCTGAGGCCGCACATCTTTGTCCATGTCTCCCATGTCTCCCTGTCAAACCTGGCATGATCTCTTTCTGTCTTTGATTTCTATATCAACATATTTATTTACGTGGAACACTTAGTCTGCTGTACCATGTTGTCTCCAGTATATTGATTAATTTGGAACCACGATTACAATTGATTTGAAAATGAAACAAAATGAAACCATAGTGTCTCGCCTTGACTCAAAATTAGGAACCGGAATTGATCCATTTTACAGCCATTTCAATAATCAAACTAGGAATAGGATGGCGATTAAAGTAACTTGCACAGGACCTGTGATACAGACTTCGTATGGGTTTGATGCAAACCAAGCAACAGGCCTCGAATATTGCACTCAGCCGGACTATACATCAACCCTCTTTTCCAAGGCCGCATCCTGCTGCTCCGCAACAACATCAGCAGGAATACGATCAGGGGTAGTATTCACCAGCATGATCATAGGAACCAAAGCAAAACCAAGTAAAGCAAAAGTCACACAGCTAAAAAAGTCAGCCAAGTCACTTTCTCCCACAATGATATAGAGTGAAAGACATACAATCCAACAAGAGGGTCAGTCGTGGTCTGAGTATTCATCCCATAGGCAATGGCCTGACCAATAGCCTCGATACACCTAAACGCAGCTCCATTCCGGACATTTTCTAATATGAAAACCATCAAATCAGCCTCCAGCAACACAAGACCCGAGCCTCATCCACGGAGAAAACGGGACAGAAAGACTCACCCTGGGCATCAGTCGCAAAGGAAGATATAAGCCAGTACATATAAGACTGCGACAAAGGACCAGTCGTTTGGATGAAGAAGTAAGGCAAGAACGACGAGGCGTACAGCCCGTCCTCCCAATCGATATGGCCGGGGTCATGGCGCTCGAATTTGGTCTGCATAATAATGGACCAGATGTATACGCCGACATTTAGGATAACCACGATGTAGAGGCCTATTTGGGCGCGGCGGCGCTGGCTGAGGCTTTTCATGTCCAGGATGAAGCCTAGGCCGAAGCAGCCGATTCTAGTGGATTTGTGTTAGATATTGTTGCACGATCAATTGGCTCGGGGGATATATGACTTACATGCAGAAGAATGGAGAGATCAGAGATGAGAGGGCGCGCGAGCGTACAGAGAAATAGGTTCCCAGGTAGGTGGACCATGTGCCTCTGTCAGTGATGTTAGTCGGTTTCTTCCCAGTCGCTGGATGCGGATGTTTTGTACGAGTAGAAAAATGACCATAGAGCCCAGAGGGCAGAGAGAAGAATGAGTTTTGAGGTCATTGTCTTCGAAATTCGCTTCAATTCCTGCTTGGTGGAAAGAGTCTCGGCAGTGACGATTCTCGTCCCGTCTGATCGGACGACGCGTTCAAAGGGGGCAATTAACAGTGCAAATGGAAGGCTGAATGATATTAGCATAGCTTTCGTCTTGTTCTCGGTTCAAATCGACATACGCTAATGATTCAATGATCACAAAGGCGAGATATGTATCTGGAGACACTCCGCCATCAACGCCTTTTTCATGATTCTTTGAGAGGCTTGAAGTATCATTGTGAGCCACATCATCATGTCTGGGAGGATAAAAGGACTCACTTGATGGCACCCCCAACCAACTGGCCAAGGTTACGCGAGACAATCCACAGGGCCAGATACTTTCCCCGAGATCGAGATGGCGCCAGAGTCATGATTGCTCCAGCTTCAGCAACATACCAACAGGCAGTTCCAATCCCACTGGTAGCGCCGCTGAAAATGAGATACTGGGAGATATGTTAGGTCAGAAACCGTCGACATTGACCAGGTTGAAGGACGCACCCATTGATTTCCAAATTTGCTATTGCAGTAGTATGAAGATCCCTCAATGGGGAATGACATGGACCCAAGCACAAGGGCCCATTTCACCCCGATCTTGTTGACCAAAGGGCCGCCAAAGAAGCAAACTGAGTGAGTCATGTTAGTACACTGCGCCTTTTCCTGCTAGGTTTTCTACATTGTACCCACCAATTGCAAGCAGACCGTATGTAATGGCGGTTGCAATGTTTGATATATGCGGAGTGGCAAGACCACCACCACCCAGGCCTAGAATGATCAATTAGGGCAGACTCTATGGGACTGAGTTGGTGTCCGGCACCCACCAGTGATTGCATCAGACATAGCAGGCCCACAAAACGCCTGCATGCTCAACAGCATCATCTGCGTCAAACTATGTTGCCATACTCGTTTCCATCGTGGGACGGTCGCTCTATATTGCACCATGTCGACATCTCCGACATCGGTGTCCGAGGGAAGGGACTCATTAGGGATTATAGCCTTGGAATTAGCCATAATAGCTTGATATCACTGCACAACTTGGGCAAGCTACTGTAGATATGGGTCGCATTGGGTTATTTATACCTATTTACAGACGCTTATCTGCTATGATCTCCTCTCTCCTCATTTTCCCTGATTCACTGGTCAGTCGATGGAAGGTCCACGCTAAGCTTATCTCTATCCTGTGTTATTGTCTCTCTACTGTTCTGATAAGTTGACTCTGTCCCCCGCGTTCTCGATTTCGCGGGGCTATGGAAGGTCCAAACGACCGAATACGCTAGCCTCCGCTTCGCAACATCCGGTAAGAATTCGCACCAATTATTGCTCCACTTGCGATGTGAAAGGGATTCTCTGAGTCAAGATATCGGATCGTACGGTTCTACATAGCGTTATCACTTGGCTTTATCACTTGTATTCGTGGTCCCCTTATACCTCACCCGGTAGCTTTCCCCCTTTCATCCCCCCATTCGCCCAAAGTCAAATTACAGCATGAATTCTTCGCGAGCAAACACAAAGATTATTGTCGTCGGGGGTGGTGGCACAATTGGATCGTCAACTGCCCTTCACCTCATACGCTCCGGTTATATCCCTTCGAACATTACCGTGTTGGATGTATATCCAATTCCGTCCCCCCAATCGGCAGGCCATGATCTGAATAAGATCATGGGCATTCGATTGCGCAATAAGCCTGACTTGCAGCTTTCGTTAGAGGCTCTTGACATGTGGACGAACGATGAGTTGTTTAAACCTTTCTTTCACAAGGTTGGAATGGTGAGTCATTTTATTAATTGCTTCTCAATTCCCTTCACTACTGACACGAAGTCAGATTGATTGTTCTTCGTCAAGAGAGGGAATTGAGGGTCTTCAAAAGACTCTCCAGTCTCTCATTGATGTCAATATTGGGCTTGAGAAGACAAATACTTGGCTAAACGAAGATGAAATCATGGAAAAGGCACCATTCTTCACGCCGGAACAAGTCAAGGTACCGTTTTACGAGCTGACACTATATTAATAGTAGCTGACCAATTTTCGGGCAGGGGTGGCAAGGCTTGTTCTGCAGCGATGGAGGCTGGCTTGCTGCAGCCAAGGCCATCAATGCTATAGGTCATTTTCTTAAAGACCAAAGGGTCAATTTCGGATTTGGCGGGTATGAAGCTCAACAGGTTCGAGTGATCAATTGTTACTGATTCATTCTAGTGCTGGAACCTTCAAGCAGCCTTTGTTCGCAGATGAAACGACATGCATTGGCGTTGAAACCATCGACGGAACTAAATACTACGCCGACAAGGTTGTTCTCGCTGCTGGTGCATGGAGCTCGACATTGGTGGATCTAGAAGATCAGTGTGTTTCCAAGGTAAGCTGCAAACCGAGTGCAACAAGCCCAACTTCATACTAAAATTCATCCCAGGCATGGGTCTACGCCCACATCCAGCTCACACCCGAGGAAGCAGCCCAACATAAGAACGCACCTGTAGTATATGATGGGGAATATGGATTCTTCTTCGAGCCCAACGAGTCAGTACCCCAAGCTCGACTCCAATTTAACATACTAAGTTCCCATCAACAGGTATGGAGTGATCAAAGTCTGCGATGAGTTCCCCGGCTTCTCTCGCTTCAAGCAACACCAGCCCTACGGTGCTACTTCTCCCAAGAAGATCTCCGTTCCTCGATCACACGCCAAGCATCCTACAGATACATACCCCGACGCATCTGAGGAGACCATTCGAAAAGCGATCGCCAGGTTCTTGCCCCAGTTCAAGGATAAAGAGCTTTTCAATCGGGCTATGTGCTGGTGCACGGATACTGCCGATGCTAATCTTTTGATTTGTGAACATCCCAAGTGGAAGAACTTTATCTTGGCTACGGGTGACAGTGGGTAAGTAAAGTGGGAGATTGAGAACAATGCCTTGCCACAAGTGAGAATCTTGCTGACTTGTGTAACAGCCATTCCTTCAAGGTATTGCCAAATATTGGGAAGCATGTTGTGGAGTTGATTGAAGGATCTTTATCGGAGGAAATGACTTATGCTTGGAGATGGAGACCCGGTGGTGATGCGCTTAAGTCCATACGTGGTGCACCTGCAAAGGATCTTGCTGATATGCCGGGATGGAAACATGATGCTAGAATCTGATGTAGCTTGGTGTGGGCTAGCATTTGCAATTTTCTACTGTTGTATAATAACCTCACATCATAAGAAGAAGAGCGACGAGGCCAGAAAGATGCAGGCCTCTGGCAACATATCTTAAAAAAACTGAAATATCATTTCTGAACGGTCAAAACTATGGTTCTACTAGCTCTCTGTGTCGGAAGTCTTCTGAATCTTTGAGTTTACTTCAACTCGTTCACTACAATACCATTCAGCGCCTTGAGCCTTTCTATTGCCTCCATAGTGAGGAATCTAGCACACATTAGAGAAGACTTCAAAAAGTAGGCCTGTACTCACGGAGGAACCCAAATCGGAGGAAATGAATCAGTGGAGGTCCAACTCTCAGCTCCAGTATCTTTATTCACGATCCTAATTATTCCCGTTAATCAAAGGGAGCTCCCTGGTGATTTTCAACGCACTCTTTGCATCTGGTGGATTTCATTTCATAATCTTGGTCCTCCTTGATGGTATAAGATATTCTCTTGAGATTGCATTAGTAGAAGGACTAGATTTGATATCAGACAATCATTTATATACACATACCTTTCTTCCATTCATTGTTTCACGGCTTGAGCGTTGAGCTCAAATCAGAAGTTCGGGTTATTGATGGATGTTCTGATAGAAGCGAGTATAATTAGAGGAAATCTGAAAGAGACAAAAGGGAGGCAGAATATGTATTTATATTTGGACCAGTGGTCTGGGCGTGGTTTTTTGTGTTACTCTCATGCACATACTACATCATCGACGTTGACAGGATTCGTCTCTCTATATTCCTAAGGAGATATGATGCTCTCTCCGCCACAGAGAATGATAATCTGAGACTGTTTAGACTGTTTGGATCTGCAATATTCTCTTTTCGTGCTGGACACGTATGCGGCGATTCCTTTTTAGAAACATCCATAGAGAAGAGTGGTGGCATTGAGTGCCTATCTAGCTGCACATTCCCGAATACGTAACAAACCTCCCCTCGGCGCACAACGTACGAAAATACTTTAAAGTGGCTTTTTTCATACACTTGCGTAAATGCCTCTGGTTATTATATTTGATATCTCATATCACTAAGTACAATAGAGCAACACCTGTTAGTGATGACTTGATCAATTCATATTTAGAGGCTCGCTCAAGCCCCAGACTGGAAGGCCCCGGTTTTCTACTAGAAAGGGCAATGGTGTTGGCATTCATTGCTTGAGAGGTTAGATACTCCTTATAGTATATAGGAATGTGAATGAGATGCATTTTCATCATGGGACCCAGTCAATTCTTATAGAAAAGCAGTATCAAAAAAGCCCCGTAACACCATGGTGAAAGAGAGGAAACCGCCCAGATCTAGAAACAGCAGAGATCCAACCTTGGTATCGCGCAAAGTCGGGCTACATTTGAAGCGCGAGAACAACTTCCGTATGACTCGACCGCATAGTCTTGCCATACACCATGACGCGACCAGATCTATTATAGTCATGTCATTTCTTTCTTGATATTAGCAATTGGACGCCCATTATGTATAGTACCAGTGTTGTTCGTCAAAGTAGTCGGTTTGAAATACGATAAACTCATAGTCGTCAAATCCTCCTCTTTATAGTACCTCCACTACTGGATCGTTTTTTCAAAAAGCGGCACCCCGTGGACAGGTGGTAGGCCGCGCTCCGCGCGTACTTTTCTCTATGACACTAATACTATAAAGAGTATTGTGAAATCTATTCCACTCTAGATAGAAAAGCCGAAAAAAGACCCTCAAGGAACCAGATAGCAAGATATGGGAAAACAGAAAGTAATATGGCAAAGCCGTTATAAAAACAGGCAACGAACGAGACAGAAAGACAAATGTTTTACATGCCGCCGTTAACGCATCTCCTCTTCCTCGACAGGGATGCTGTTGTATTCACCGGAAGAGGGCCCGCCTGCTCCAGTGGAATTAGCAAGATCATCCTGCGTCTTGCTCTCATGATTGACAACCAAAAATGACAGGAAAACTATAGCCGCTCCGACCCAGTATAGCGCACCGGCATATTGTCCCTGTAGGACGATCTGTCCAACCAAAGAAAGCGGGATGGTCAGACTGAGACCGACAGTCACGATGAGCGGTGTGGTCAGAAGCATGGCATATGCCCAGAAAATGTCCGAGATGAAAGACGCAAGGGAATTGGACTAAGATTCAAATTAGGTCGGTGGAAGTGAATGACACGGGAGGTTAGAAACATACCAGAATAATCGTCCAGACTCGGCTCGTCTCTGGGAAGGCAAAAGGCTCCATTCCAGTCCAGTGGAAAATGAAGAAACCAGGCCAAAGAAGGACAACGTTGAAGAATCCTACTAGTCCGAAGAATAGTGACATGTCTACCTTGGACTCGTCACCAACTTGCTTCTTCATCACGATGGTGTAAAGGCCATACATGATGGCACTGAAAGCAGCCATGGCGTCACCCAGGGCAATTTCTCCAGATGATTTGTGTGGGAATGAACCCTCACTGCCGTCTGTGGCTGCGCCTGCGTCGTCCTTGGTGAGGTCTACGCGCGAAATCAGGATAATGCCGATCAATGAAGCAATGACACCCAAGAATTTGCGAGCAGTGAATTTCTCAACACCAATCACAGCACCGAAAATCAGAGTCCAAACACCTGGAAGCGTGTAAGTATGATCCATAAGCACGCTGAGAATGTTCAAGATAAATATTCTTACCACTTGTAGAAGTCAAGATAGTTGTGCTGCCTACGGTCGTGAACTGAAGACACGCCATAGCAAAGTAGTTCGCCTATAACCGAAATTCACGGGTTAGCCCAGTCCTGTCCGAACCCAGCTCATACAGCATCAACCAAAACATAGGGTGTGCAACATACAACAAACTATAACAAGTTAGCAACCGGATCACATATTGACATGCAGTGTTCAAAGTCTTACCCAAAGCATACAAAATTGAACGCTCAATTTAGCCGTAGCCTTTAATCCTAACTTGGCATTCGAAGCATCGTGACTAGGACGTCTCAGCTGCGCACCTTCCTCGTCCGAGTCGCCACGCAGTATACTCTCCTCCTCAGCCTTGGGGTCATGCGAGTCCAAGTGTCGCAGCAAGCTCTTGAACGAGGTAATCTGCGAAAGTCTGCCTTGCCGCCAGAGACCCCATGTCCGTCGGATGAGGATTATAAAGAGGGGCAGCATGAACATAGAGGTATTTGTATAAGTCACGAAGAATGGTTTCGGATATGTTCTATCGGCGAAAATCGTCTGAGGTCGGTCAATATCAAGTCAGTCTACTGTTCGCAACATTTTGGTTCGAGATTGGGGTGCGCATACGCTTCCGAGGAAATTCGACGTTGTCCACAGGACAACGACTACCAACAGCAGGATTATTCCCAGTGTCCGCCGCGGTATCCCGAATACCCGTGCACCAGGGCCATCTGAGGTGACAGGCGCCATGTTCGAAGTGGTTCGTTGGGCGGGTGAAGCAGTGAAGATTGTGCTGCGCTGTCACGATGTTTTGGATGTCGGGATGGGTGTCGCCGGTACCGCCGATGTCGCAATTGCTAGGACTGCGTCTTGTGATGTCTATCAGGAGTCAGGCGGCACACGAGCATCGGCGCATCGAGTGATCTGGAGCAGAACGAACGTGACCAGGGACCTGCCGAGAGCGAAGACGGGGGTTGACGCCAAGCCTTTCCGATAAGGGTCCTGGGGCAAAATGCCAGGAACATCCACCGCGTTCTCAGGCATACAGCACAGTACTCTGAAATATCAAACGCGTTATAAAGATCACTTTTCGAGGCTACCACGCGATATTGAATATATGCTTTGGTTTGAATTCTATACTATTTTGATCCATTTCAGGCACTTTGTCGCATGGCTCGGGTTGACTATCTAGACCACAAAGGTCTGAGAAGAACTTGAACACCTAGTGAAATTCAGAAGCCAAGTATTCAATAGACTGAGGAGGCAAGTTTCTTGAAACTCTGGAGCCTTGAAATATCTACAAGCTGGGGAAAGGCAACTTCCAAAAGTAAATCCATAGTTTCCTCTACAGACAGAAAACCGGAGACCAATGTGACGACAGTACAGAAACACAAAAGAAAAGGGTCGCTGGAACATCAAGAGAATGGGAAGGGTATATCAACAGGCACAGCCATCGCGATCGTTGTCCAGGTGAATGTTGATCGGGTCACTGAACTCACCACTGAACTCCTCGGCCTCTTCCTGGGCGAGAGCACTGCGTGCGATGACTTGACATAGTTAGTATGAACTAAATCACTTATGGGCTGGGTTGTCCACTTACCCTCGAACGCCTGTTCCACGTTGACAGCTTCCTTGGCACTAGTCTCGAAGTAAGGGATGTTACCCTTGGACTGGCAGAACGTCATAGCCCGTTTTGAGGAGATCATGCGCTTGTTCTCCTCCACATCGATTTTGTTGCCGATGACCACCTGCACATGATTAGCATAGAACCAGCCATATCATTCTTGCCTCGCAAGGCAGAATGCAAGAATGTCAACTTACAAATGGGAAGCTCTCGGGATCTCTGGGGCTGGCTTGGATCAGGAACTCGTCCCGCCAACTATCCAGTGCCTCGAAACTCTTGGAGTTGTTCACGTCGTAGACAAGGACGCAGCAGTCAGCTCCTCGGTAGAAGGCGACACCCAGTGACTGGAATCGTTCTTGACCTGCAGTGTCCCAAATCTAGTACCCCCCGTCAGTAATAGTCCCCATGTGGCGATCGGGGTGTCTCCAAGCCTCACCTGCATTGTGACGAGCCGGTCATCGACGAGAACTTCCTTGGTCAGAAAATCGGCTCCGATAGTAGCCTTGTAGCTTCCGCTGAACTTCTTGTTGACCTATTCATCCCAGAAAATTGTATGTTAGCACTAATAGGAATTGGCGACCGACTACGGCACAGCTGCCGAGCGTTGGGGGAGGGGGGCGAGGCTGAACGGACATATTGGTTCATCAAACTTGTCTTTCCGACACCGCTGTCTCCGAGGATGATAACCTGTAACACAAAAGCGCCAAGTCAGTAAGATATTTCGATTTCATTGAATTTAAGGACCGGCACATGGGGTAGTTGCGGGAAGCTGTACCTTCAGGAGGACCTTCTTTCGTGATGCCATGGCAAAGGATCGGCCAAGAGACCAGTCAGAGAACAGTCAAAAAGCAGGGGAAAGTTCCAATATCGAGCAAAGACGTATTAATCTCTGCTGGGGGGAAAAGTGAGGAGAGTTGGAGTTGGGTTGCAGCCGAATTCGATGACGGGCGGTCGATCGGGCGGTGGACAATTGATAACGATAGCACCGCATCTCATCACTCCACTCCCATCACATACTCATGGCCCACTGGAGAGATGAGTACTTGGCTGCCCTGACAGTTCGAGATCAGAGAGAGAAAGCTAATGCTTCTCTCTACGATGCCTGTTTGTCTTCCGAGTGGTTTTGACAAGTGATTTCAACTGACATCACCTCTGACTGATCTAGATACTCGGCTTGCAGATCGCACCAGCAACCTGCACGCTGTAGCTGCTGCTACGAGCGCCAGCTCAACCCCTAGACAGAGCGATTCTCAAAGCATTCCAGCTCCACTGCTAGTACCATCTAAAAAATTACAGGCTGCTGAATCAGCCTCCACCCCGACTGATCTTCTCAATACAGCTCGTGCTGAGCTGTCTGAGGCACAGCGATCCCGCTATGACTTACAAGACCGCTTGAACCGAGCGAACACAGAGTTAGAGAAGCTCCAAAAGAAAGCCAAGTTGGATGATAGACGCATCAGCAGTTTAGAAAGCGAGAAGGTGCACATACAGCTTCGTTTGAAAGACAGAGATGCCGAACTGAAAGGGAAAGCCAAGCTTTTAGAGGTGAGTAGTTCTTCCATTATGATCAAAGTCATCTAAGACCTCGAGTGATGCATATACTAATGTGGTCTGCCTCGTCAGGATTTCCAAGATGAGATGGCAACCTTGAATCTTCAACTCAACATGTCTGAGGATCGGTCAACTCGCCTTCAAAAGGAAAATCAGGATCTGGTTGATCGTTGGATGGCGAGAATGGGCCAAGAAGCTGACGCCATGAATAAGGCGTCGAAATTTTCTTAATTGTTTTATGCACTTGGTGAGCGACAGGATAATCGGACGTCCCTCGTGGCGAACTATACATGAAGAACGGTGCTTTTGACTTGGCTGGACCAGGTAGATTGCATAGCGTTTGCTTAAGATGTGGAATCGTGAAATTATCTACGTGACTGAGATGTCAATTGTAATTGAAGTCTATACATTCGAAGGTAAGATATCATACATGAGACCAACAAAAACGAAAAAAAGGTATATCCATAGACATGTACTGTACAGTATGCCAAAAACAATGTACTTGCCAATTCAAAGTGACCGACCATGCCATCGCTATTTATAATGTGCTGTCCATGAAAGACTTGAGTCGAGAACTATCCTTGGTGGCAATGAAATATGTACCGCCAACGTCGGTCCAGCTAACGTTGTTCGACCAATAATTCTTCTGCTGAACCTGAAGGAGATTGATAGGAGAGTTGAGGTTGCGAGATTGGATCTTGTGGCCTGCTGGGACGAATGACTTGAGTGACACGATCTTGCAGCCTTCCTTCATATCCAAAAAGTGGTTAATGAGTTCGTTGTTCAGTTGAGGTGTGAACGCTTGGTTGTTGATAAGCACAACATCAGCTCGCTTCAAGACGCTGATAATGCTCTCTTGCTCTAGAAAATCGCCCCGCACAAGATGTGTCTTGCCTGGCAAAATTCCCCAAAGACGGCATCGCGCTTTGAACTCGGATTGCTGCAACTCTGCCAAATCACAAGCGTTTGACATCATCTCACAGCCCCAGCTCTCGCACCCTATTTCAAGAGCCGCTTGAAGGACGACATTGCCCACACCAGATCCAAGGTCAACAAACACTTGGCCTGACTTGAGCTTAGTTTCCTTGAAAATCGTGCTGATGAAGCGGGGGAGGAGCTCTCCATAGACATTGTCCGTGCCGTTCTCGTATTGTCGAAGCGAGTCAACCCGAGGTGATACCGTACGCGCGTAAATTTGAGTCAAGATTCGCTCCACCCATGATAAAGTGATGCGTTCTGTTGTGTCTAAATGCTTGGCAATACTGCCGTTGACTCTCAGTCGCCGAATCGCCTTGTTGTAATCATCAACGGCCTCCCGGAATTGGGTCTCCGATGTGACAGCGAGGGCCCGGCGTAGTCTTCGCTTGATACCAGTTGTCTCGTCGTTGAACTCGTCCGCCTCTTCAGCTGGAACGTAATTGTCGGAAACGGTCTCGATGACCTGTACTATGTCGTCAATGGGCCGGAATTCGTCATTGTCTCGAGGAACTACCGAATCGAATCTAATACATCAAAGTCAGCATGTCTGTACATTCGAACTGAAGGGCTCGTTGAAGTCACATACCTCTCCTGCTGCGAAGCACTGGGGTATTGCAGAAGAATTTGTTTCGGCTTGCCTTCAGCGCCAAACGCCGGCTTGAACTTTCCGGCCTTTTCGGCCGAGATGTCTGCAGCATGCACCATCTTAAAAGGTCGAGATCCCTCGTCCGAGAATGCCTTCACTGACCGAAGCCGCCGCTCCGGGTCCGGCTCGGCACTGGCGCTCGTCCTTGCACGCTTTCGCACTTCAAAGGATGCATCACTATCACTCGCGTCATCGTCACTCGAGAGCCGTTGTTCCGGTGTAGGTCTCTTGCGAATGCGCGAGGGGGTACTTCGTTTGGATGAGCGTGCATCTGCATCGCTTGAAACGGATCGGGCTTTCAGGGTCTGCGCCTTTCGGCTCCGCTCTGACGAGGAAGGGACTCGGGGCGATCGAGAATCCGGGGTCTGTGTTGCTGGTCGTGTAGGTGCAGGGGCAGCAGGTCGAGTCTGTACAACTTTGCGAATTTGCGCTTTTTTGGGCTGCAGAGAGAAGGCTCCGGCCCCTCCTTTTTGAAGATGATCAAAAAATCCCATGAGGGATATGCAGAATATAAACAAGGTAAAAAAATGCAAGGGAGGGAATGTAAAGGAGTGAGGATAGAGGGGTGGGAGAAGAAAGAAAATGAGAGGCTTATCGATTAAGGCGCCACTCGGGGAAACCACGCGATCCCCGGGTGTCTTGGCGGTCTAGCTCGTACCTTGACACCACTTCACTTCTTATACTTGACTGCACTCGACTTGATCTACACGGTCTTGGATATTGCTGACAGAAAGGAGGGAAAGCGTGCTTAGTGAGAAGCATGAACCCTGGGGTATCACAATGATTTGACTTTTGCTATGTAAACTGAATTCAACTATAGACACACCCTCTATTTCTTCTTCTTTGCCAATCTCTTCTCTGCACGAATATCCTTCTTCATACGGGCATCGACAATCTTGTACTTGCCCTTGACACCCTTGGGACGACCAGAGATACCACGGTTGGCTCCCTTGGCGACAACAAGCTTGACCTCCTGCTTGGGCTTCTTCTTGCCAGCCTTGCTCATAATCTTGGCAATGGCACCGGCCTTGTCACGTTCGCTGAGAGCCTCGTCGTCTGCCAGAATTGCAGACTTCTTGCGCAGCTTCTCCAATCGCTGAGCAGCCTTGTACTTCTTACGGCCCTGAGCTTCCATGACCTTCTTGATGGGACGAGCGTTGATGGCACGCATCTTTTCTCTGATGGCGGCGGCAGCAGCCTTCGTAGTGGGACGGACCATCTTGCTGTGCTGGCCCTCGTCGTCAATGAACCACTCAGGCAGACCGTCAACGTCACGGAAAGAGAATCGGTTGAAACCATCGTCGATGATGTCGGTCGACTTCTTCTCACCGGTAGCCATTGCCTGGGCAAGAGCCATGGCCTCGGCAGTAATAATGTCGATATCTGTAGACAATGTTAGTGGTGAAATCAAATGATTTGCTTATCGATGACAACTTACCCAGCTGGCCTTTAGCGTTCTTCGGATCTCCAAGGTCAACGGGCTCGCTCTCGCCCTGGTCGGACTCATCCTCCCATTCTGAGTCCTTCTTGGCGTTCTTCTTGGAGTCTTTCTTGTTCTTCTGCTTGGACGCAGGAGCCTTCTCTTCCACGTCCGAGTCATCGTCCATTTCGAAAATGTTATCGCTTTCGTCCTCTTCTTGCTTCTCTTCCTGTTCTTCTTCTTGCTCCTCTTCCTCGTCGTCTTCTTCAACCCCTAGGTCTTGGAAAATATCTTGATCAAAGAACAAGGAAGCATTGTTTGAGAGGTTCTCAGGACGGGGTTCTGGCTTCGACTCGACCATCTCTTCGTCTGAGTCTGAGTCTTCCTGTTCCTGTTCCTGCTCCTCTTCCTTGTTCTCGTCAGAGAATCCATCCCACTCGTCCTTCTCGTATTCTTTGCGGTTCTTCTTGGCACGCAATTTTGAGTCCTTGTCCTCCTTGCGCTCTTGGTATTTTTCATACATGGTATCAAGATCACGCTCAAGACGATCACCTTCATCATCGGTGTCCTCATCTTCCTCTTCTTCCTCCTCGCTTTCACTTTCAGGCTGAAGGTCACGAGCATTGAAAACCTTGTCTCTGGCACCCTCGCGGTCGACACGCTTAATAGAGAAAGTTGCGTCTTCACCTCCCATTCCAGGCTGCTCCATACCAATTTCCATAGGCGTGGTCATGTTCATCTGCAAACGAACAATCTCCTTGCGCTTCTTCTCGTTCTCCTTGCGTCTCTGTTTCTTGCCCTTGGTAGTCTCCTGCTCGCGCATACGGATGAGATCCTCTTGAATGGCCAACTCTTCGTCCATGGGGGCGACTTCAGCGACTTCCTCCACCTCTCCCTCCTGAGCCTTCTTCTTGACAACGAGACCGAACTTCTCGCGAACCTTGATACGCCATCTCAGCAAGTTGCGGAATTCCTTCTTACCGAGAACCTTCAGATCCTCGCAGCAAGTCCGAATTTCTTCCGTGGTCTCCTCCAGACGTTCCAAAGTAGACATAGCAAGATCTCCACCGGGAGGTTGTTGGAAACTGAGCTTGTTGTAACCACCCAAAATAGAGATGGGATCCGTTGTGTTGATGAACTCGGTGACAGGGAGCTCCTTGTGCTGGGTGTAGTCACCTTCCTCATAACCTTCACGCTTACGCTTCTTCTTTTCTGGGTTGAAGACCTTTGCCTCGTAGTTGGGAGTAGGGGCAGAAAGTTCAGCAAAGACGTGCTTAGGATCGAGGAACTTGGGATCGATGCGCTTGGGGGCCTTGTATCCGCGGCAGACAACGAAAATTTCGGCAGAGACATTTCGGGATGAAGGAGGCTTGGTGGCCTCGACGGAAGTGAACAGCTGCTTGAAAACCCAGAGCAGGGGGTTGTAATCCTTGGAACGGAAGACCTTGGTGACAAAGCTTCCGCCCTCGGCCAGGAAATCGGTGGCCAGTCTCAGGGACTCCAGAACCAGCTCGGCCTGGGAGAAAGCATCCTGTACCCAGGCAGCACCGACGTTGGGAGCGCCATCGTGAAGAACGATATCTGCCTTCCAGTGTTTAATGTGGGACTTGATCGTTGCGCGACACTTTTCCGTTGTGATATCGCTCTGGAAAGTAATGGCTCGGGGAATTGGCTTGATAGGGAGAGAGATCGACACCGATAATCAGACTCTGGGCGGGCATGTACTCTGCGGCGACTTGACACCAAGACTGCGGATAAGTCAGATATGCAACTTTTCATGGAGGACGATTGATGGCACTTACACCGGGCGCAGCGCAAAGATCGATACAAACTCTGCTCTTCTCAAGGAAACCATACTTCTGGTTCAATTGAATCAACTTGAAAGCAGCACGGGCACGGTAACCCTTCTCTTTGGCAAGCCGATACCACTTATCCAAACGACCTTTTCCATGCTGTAGATAGTCAGTACATGAAGCGAACTGAGTCGAGAAAAATAGGACTGACCTTCTTTTGAATCGCCATTTTGACGGAGAACTGATCTATTCAGACCAGAAAAACGTCGGGGTTGAATGACTAAAGAAAAGAGCGAATGTATACCTTTCCTTCGAGGATCCGAGAAAAAAAAAATGGCAATACTTATCACTGACCGCCTTCGGACCGGTTCCAGATTCACCAGTTTGTGGCCTGAGGCCGAAAAGCGGTGCCAAACATGTGACGTGATATCATTCAGGCACTCTCTCGTGGCGTTAACGTGCTCGCTCACTGATTGCATAGCTCTACTGATGTTTGTACCTCTACCTCCATGACGAAGGGATCTCGCAAGAGAGTCAAGCCCAGCCCCTCCGGCGAGGACTCGCCGACTCCAGCGCCTAGTGATGTTCGAGATCGTTCTGACTCCCAGTCGAGAGGGCATAATGCAGTGCGTATTGAGATTATCTGGCCGAATTTTGATACCCCTCTAATATGGATAATATGATAGAGCTGGTATCCTGGGTCTTGGTCTTCCGTTGCCAGAGTCTCCAAAGCAGCCCCAGTTACCGAGGTTGCCCGTGAGAGCATCTCGGCGGCGAGAAATGTAGCTTCGAGCATCACAGCCTCATCGACCTCCTTCCTCGATACTCCTGCTAAAACTCGACATCCTTCCCTTCAGCTTACAAGAAAAACGGGTGCCTCAGCCAGATCTCTCCCCGCTGATGCTACTACAACTCGCGTCAACATTGCATCCGATGGTTCAGCTTCCACTCTAAATCTCGAGACTACAGGAGAACCCAGTGCTTCAGGAACAGTGACACCTGACAAAGAAGCGTCCGGCGAAAACGATACTAAGCCGCCGGAGGAACCCCCTAAGGAGCGGGAGGCTACCCCTAACCCCGATCCCAGCACATTGCATGCAGGACATGCAGAGGCTCCCGAACAGTATACTGGTAGCTGGCTCTCGTGGATATATGGTCAACCCAGTACATCTCCTGGGGTCGCGATTGCAACAGAGCCGACAGGGCCTACAGAAGCTGCGGCCGAATCTGAGGCAGAAGGGACAGAAGATCAATCTCCTGTGAAGGACACCACAGCTGGAGAGGAACGAACAGATACTGAACCTGAACAGACGGCGGATGTTGTAGAAGTTACACCGGCGGCGCAGAAGCGATCCTGGCTTCAGATGTGGTACGGTTCTAACGCGCCCAGCAAGCAGGAAGAGCCATCAGTTTCAGAATCCACTGTTCCCGCAAAGAATCCTGAAACCACCGAGACTGCCGACATCGATATGACACCAAAGGATCCCCCGACTGAGGCAAGAGAGCTTATTGAAGGAGCACAGAACCCGGTTGGAAGTACGAAATCATCTGGCTGGTCATTCTGGTCCAAAGATCCGACAAAGGACGGACACTCGGATAAACCGCAACAAGGCGAAGCGGTTGAAGCATCGATTGAACCACAAGCCCCGTCCAAGCCAACCTCGCTTGAGCCAGAGCCGGAAACAAATGTGAAGATCACTCAAAAAGGCAGCATCAAAGTCAAGCCCCCTAAAGACAAACGTGCTAAAGATGGATCTGTGTCTGCAATGGAGATCACTTCCATACCCTCACCACCCGTGGAGCCTCGACCAGCCGATACCACTGCTTCAAAGCAATTACAGAAAATCCTTCCTAATCAGGTATTACCACGGTTCGAAGAAACATACTCATTCGAGGAGTCACCTTCCATTTTGCAGAGCCTAGGTCGATTCCTCCATTATGGAAAAGGACCAGAGCTCAAACATGTCAGCAGAGTAAAGGACCCGCTGCATGTCAAACGCGCCCTGGCCATTGGTGTTCATGGATATTTCCCAGCTCCTTTTATTCGGAGTGTACTCGGACAACCGACAGGCACGTCAATTCGTTTCTCCAATATGGCGGCAGATGCCATTCGCAAATACACAGAAAGCCACGGCTATTCCTGCAATATTGAAAAAATCGCCTTGGAAGGAGAAGGTCGCATCACGGATCGGGTAGATCTACTTTGGAAGTTGCTCCTGAACTGGATGGAAGAAATTCGCAAAGCAGATTTCATCATGGTTGCTTGCCACAGTCAGGGAGTTCCTGTGGCGATCATGCTGGTTGCGAAACTGATCCAGTTTGGCTGCCTTGACGCTAAAAGAGTCGGGATTTGCGCCATGGCTGGTGTAAACCTCGGTCCCTTCCCCGATTACAGATCACGCTGGATCAGCGGCTCAGCTGGAGAACTTTTCGAATTTGCACTTCCTTTCAGCAAAGTCTCGAAAGAGTACGAGGCAGCTCTCAAATGTGCTCTCGACTTTGGTGTCCGCATTTCTTACATTGGCAGTATTGACGATCAACTTGTTTCCCTTGAGGTACGTTTATTCCTAGCATCTATAATATACCTTTATTCTGACAGGTTACCAGTCATCTCTCTTCTCACCCCTAGCGCATCCTTATGTTTATCGCGCCGTGTTCGTAGATGGCCGCGTCCATGCCCCAAGTTTGTAAGCAACACTCGCCTCCATCTTTTCAATCCTGACCAAAATGCTAATCATGAATAACAGCCTCTCCCACCTAGTTGGTTTCGCCCTCAAACTCCGAAACTTGGGTATTTCAGACCACGGTTTAATTCGCGAGCTAAGCTCTCCACTAGCGGGCAGTCTCTACACCGGAGAAGGCCATTCACGCCTATACGACGACGAAGCTGTGTATTCGTATGCAACCCACCGACCCCCAAAATAACCTTTGTTTAGTGACTAACGAGATCGTCCAACTAGCATGGCCATCGAATTCGCCCTAGAGACATCCTCTGTCCCAGATTCAACAATAAGCATTAAAAGAGCCAGCGGCTCCATAACCCCAAATCCATACATCCTCCCCTTTGCTATGCGCGGTCTTCTAGAAGAAGAATACGTGCGCCGCGAACTACACGAGGAGACGATGGAATTACTTCGGCAATTTGATGAGTGGAAACCTTCGAGTAAGGTTTTGAAAGACGTCAAGTTCCGACTTGAGGGGATCCGGTCTAAACTGTAGATTTGTGACCGGCCACACTATCGATATCATCCAGTTGATATTTTCTGGTTAGCTTTTTGTTAGAATGGAAATACATGTCTTTTCTTTTTAGTACTCGGGAGACATCCGGTTTAGGAAGTATAAAAATAAGAAAGCAGCAAATTTTGAAAAGAGGAACTAGTAGGTGGTAACGCGGCCGATATAAAATTTAAGCTTTTGATAGCTTATGGTATGCAGAGGTCTATAATTGACGGGCCGTAGAAAGCTGTCGGTACCTCTTTAAGATTTGCTTTCTTTCGATGTTTATATATGATAGGAACTGATTTCGTGTACGTATAGAATAACTATCGATGCAAGTTGCGGACTGGAATAAAAGTGGCCAATATCACAAACGCCGAAGCCTTCCCTGTCCAGATATATAAGAAAAGAATAGTGGAGATATAAGTCGTAAGAGGGAGGGGATCATGAATATGCAAAAAGTAGGCTTGGATATACCCAAAAAAATGAAAATGAAAAAAGGAGAGATGAAAAAGACAAGACGAGATCGAACAGATCATGCAGGGAACGCCGTTTTATATGCACCTTCGATTTCATCTAGGAGAAAATTAGCAAGCCGATACATCAGCAAAAAAGCAGAAGAAATCAGAAGAAATCAGAATAAACTCACCTCTCATCCCATCCATCGCCTCGAAAGCAATCGAATAATTCGAGACGGCAGCAAGAATCCTCTGCAACCCTTGCCTCAACTCCTCAATGAGTTGACCAGTAGAGTCCCCGCCTCGTTCACCATCAGCATCGAATTGCTTCGCCACACGAGCCTTATAGAAGATCATGAACATAGCATAGCTACTCTGCATAAGACAACACGCGAAAGAAGGCATAGTGCGCGGCAGAGACCCCCGCTGCTGACTCTGAATATGATTATCAGAAAGCGGCTGCGGGATAGGCAGACTCTGGAACATGCGCGAGATAACGAGGGACGCCTGTAGGCATATTTTGGCGGATTGTTGCGTGCTGTAGGGGAAGCCGGAGGCGAAGGGATACTGCGAGTATTGGGGTACATAGGGGTTGGACATGCTGGAGAGTTCTGGGGGCATTTCGGAGGATGTTGTTGATGAGTCGGAAGGTGTCATATATTCTGATGAGGCGGCTCGTCGGAATGTGTCTAGACTGCTGCACGAGCAAGTTACGTGGTTTATTCCCGACGCTATGTTGGAGTGAGTTGGTTTGTCCGAGGCCGTTGGTGGGTTTACGACTGCGTTCGCGGCTGTGAGGTCGCAGTGTCTTTTTATGAATATTGGAATGTCGGAGAAGGCTCGGAAGCGATGCGTTTTGATTTGCGCGCTGGAAGTGGTGTTGGTCAGATGTTTCTTTGGGAGGGTGCCGGGGTGAGTATCTACCTGGCTAATTTGATTCGGGCTATTGCGCGAATACTTTGGGCTGTGATGGATTCGTTGTGGTCACCAAAATCTGAGGATTGGGGCATAATTGGGAGTAGCTCTGCTTGGGTAATTACAGAGGTCGTCCATGCGTCTAGCTGTTGCATGCGTTCGAACATATAGTACATGCCTGACTGCGAGGAAACGCACTTGTTGAGGTCTCCGATGAACTGAGTCGCTGATACTAAGACTTGTTGGGCCTGTATCAGAATTGACCAACCCTGAAGGAATAACAGTCAGCAAATCCAAATTGTGGCCAGAGTCAAGTTGTGAAAACGTACCTCGGTATCAGATGAGAACGACGGGTATGGTGTCGTGAACTGGGGATCATTAATGACAATGGCAGGCATCTGTTTTCATGAGCTTCAGATTCACAAGTAATAGACTGAGTGTACTCACCGTCGTGCTCACAATAGATCCTTGCATAACACAGTAATACTACAAAATAAGTCAGATACTATTCAAGACCCAAGAGTCAGGAGAACAAACCGTCAACCACCAAGCTCTCCGTCTAGCCTCTGAGAACTCATCATTCCCCATCTGCGCATGAAGTGACTTATCCAAAGCGATAGCCAAAGCCTGACCAGCTCGATATCTCATCTTGAGCAGATTACCCCGTTGCGCATATTCATAAACAGAAAGAATCAACAAGGCAAGAAGACTCTCAAGATCAACAGGCGTCCTACAATGGAACCGTTCCCGTCCAACGAATGGCCTCGTTGCAGATAATGCTTGACCGGGATCCGTTGCTGATAAGTCGAGATCACACTCGGCCTCGATAGTTGAATTTGCAAGCTGGGCGAAACTGTGCGCGTAGGCTCGGCGTTGAATAACAGATGTTGTGGACGATGGTTCGAGGTCACTCGGATGCGGGATCAATGCCAGAATTGCAGAGATGGCAAGACTTAATGGTGATCGGGGCCGATACATCATCGTCGGTTCAGAGGTAGTAGAGCCTGGAACAGGGATGTTCAAGGGTCGATCTCGACATGGTGGTGATACTCGTGGTGGTAGAATCGGGAAATAGTTGTGAATGAAATCGTAGTAGGCGTTTAATCTGGTGGCATGTATAAGAAAATTTTCGAGTCTGACGTAGAAGAAGGACTAACATCTCCGGCTCACTTCCATAGGTTCTTACAAAGGATTGAGAGCTGGTCATGGATGGCGGCATCGATGGCACTTGCATATGTGATTGCCCGTCGCCGGTGAAAAAACCCTGGAACAGAGATGGCATTTCAGATTGAAAATCAAGGTGTCGCAACCCTGCTCCTGGTAGGGAGAGGTCATCGATTTGATTGAACATCTCTGGTACTGAGCTCTCGTTAGTGACTTGGTAGAGCGTGGATCTCTCCAGAGTTAGCACATACCATCTTCAAACTCCGGAGGCGAAGGCATAGTGACATATTGCGCATCATCCTGCCTAGGCTCTTTTTCGGGGGAGTTGGAAGTCTTTTCCTTCTTTTTTCGTGGACCGCCTCTCTTGCTTGGAAGATATGAGCATGGAAGATTTTTAGTAACACACTAGAAAGCAGATCAACCATTAGTCCAATCCCTAGTAGCAACACCAAACCCAAGACACAAAGCCTAAAAAAGACCCCATGGATCAGACGTACATTCGAACAGGAGGGCATCTGGCCGCCACATCGTGTTCTCGACCCTCGACTAGAAGAGATTAGCGGGGATACCCCATAATAAAAGAGTCCGGGATTTGCGCACCAAGTCAAACAAGCTACCTTCACAGGCGGTTTGGCGAACTTCTTGCGAACCGGCCGCGCCGTGGAGGCGTGCCCATTATACTCGGTGAAGCTGTCGGCCATGGTCCTAACTATGGATCTCCAAAATCTCCGAAATCTTCAAACGGGTCTCCGAAGAATACATCAATTGACATTCAGTTGAGGCGCATTTTGCGGCTCAAATATTAGATTCGAAAATAGAGTCAAAGATGAGTCTGAAGGAGAGTGATATAGAGAGTTTTGCGGTGATCATCACAAATCCCGAGCCGTGGAGGTTTCGGGATTTGCTTTTCTGTACCTAAGCAGAGTCCACCCCGAATTGGAGATTTGTCAACGCATGCATACCGCTCTTGGACATCGATAGCGATGTAGGGAATTTGTGGAATTGTGGAATTGTGGAATTGTGGGAATAATATGTCCTTGTGTTTCTTCGATTCTTCGGAAATTACACGGCGTACAGTGGTCAAGGGATAAGGGAGTGGTAACCCCCGTACCAAGATTACTCATAGTAAAAGCACAACAAAGTACGAGAATGTACGAAAATGTACGAGGCCGTACGAGCTAGGCACACTCCAGCCATGTAATTTTACGGGTCACGTGCGCGCTAGAGTACGATGATGTAGCGATCCAATTTTCTTTTTTGATGGGTGGATGAAGAGAGCTCGAAGGGGATCGAGGCACCAGTCGGCGATGGCTTCCGACCATACGAATTCGGTGTAATGTCGGATATGCGAATATCAAATTCGAGAGTGGATCCCCGTTCCTATTACCCTTGGCGTAATATTCCATACAGAAGGGGTGCATTTTTCAATTCGGAAGTGCATGTACAGATTTCAAGCATGGGCCTTGCCCTTTCCAAGGGGGAGTTTAATGCCCGCGACATGACGCACACTATCCCAAATACTGTCGGGCACCTTCACGGGCAGTTTGTGTCCCTTCAATTGTTGATCGATCAACCACATACCGACCACGAATTCTTCTCGAACGAGTAACCCCATGTGTTGGTGATCCACGAGATCCCACACTTGCTCCAGAAGCCTGTTTGGAAGCCGACTGCGGGACCAGATCTCGCGGACAACGAGGTTGACCACCATATCCGAGGAATTCGGGGGCCAACTGCCGTCCCCACATGGGCCGGGGACCTGATCCTTGATGCTGGGGATGAGGAGCCCTTTATTCGAGGCCCAAACACCTTCATACCGTTTGCGTTCCTTTTCCGTCACTTCACGTCGCCAACGCTTACGATCGCCTTCGTGGTGCTTGTGCGGATGCTTGTTCAGGGGATTTCTGTGTTTTCGATGATCGCCTTCGGAATTTTTCGGCATGCCGCGGAGTGTCTGTGGCATGCCCTTCGGGGGACTCGGGGTCCTGGATAGATCACTCCTAGGCGAGTGTGCGAGATGTAGAATGGACCGTGCCCTCCGTCGCTGGGGAGGCAACGGTGGGGGAACCTTGATTGCCGGAGATGCGCGTGATGATGCGAGGGAGGATGCGACAATGGCATTAGAAAGTGCTTCCTCGCTCATTCCGCTAGATTCGTTTCTTAAACTTGATGTACTAGAATTGTAGGATAACCCTGATGTTGAGATAGCACCTGGGGTGGAAGGTCGCAGGGGCGTGGGGGGAGCTGCATGGCTTCTAACAGACCCTCGTGACGGAGGTAGCCGTGGTGGAAGTCTTGGGTTTGCTTCTTTTGGTGGCACGGAAGAATGTCGCGGCCCAACAGATGGTATAGGGCTTGCGATGCGGATATCAGGACAATCTATGGTTATCCTGGATTGTTGAGATGGAGGGCGTTCGTAGCTTGGCACATCATGTTCGGATTCCAATTCATCCTGCATCATGCGATCCAAAGAGCTGCGTCTCCGAGGGAGCGGACGAAGAGGAGTTGGTGACCGCAACTCCCGCTTTTCTGGCTCTGGGTTGGATGTTTGCATCCTGCTTGCGCTCCGCAACGCGCCCAGCCTGGCAGCTGACATCGGAGATACTGGTGGTGGCGCACTGGGGTTCCGCGCAGGGGACCTTGATGCGGCGAGTCGGGCCGCAACTTGCTCAGGAGCTGGTGAGAGAGATGAGGCTGAAGGTCGGCCTCGCATGCCCGGAGGGGACAGCGGTCGTGCTGTCAATCTCCCGATCTTGTCCTTGACAGAGCCCACTTCGGGGCCGGTGTCTGATCCAGTCGGCTGGCGTACCAGCTCATGATTATCCACTCTGCTTGCAAGGGCCGCAGCGAGCGCGGCTGATGGTTTGTTCTTCATGGGTGATGGATCCCTGGAGTTCCGGAAGGCCAAGGTGGCGCCTTGTCGTGCGGCGTCATTGCGGGACATGTCCCGCTGGTTCACGGAAGAAGCGGAAGCGCCATTCATGGATCTCAAGTCTCCGCAACTGGGCATATACAGTCCTGACTATGCTGATGTTGATATGATGTGGTTAGGTTGTGGAGCCCGTGCGCCACTACACATAATACTCCTTTGTTTCGCGGTCGCGGGTACGCTTAACGCGTGCGTTGGGGATACGCGCTATATCGTATCAATCTCTTTAGTCGGGGAAAAGTTCGTCTTATATTAGTCTCGTGCTCTATTCGCGCTTCGTTCTGTTTCTGGCTTAGCGTCGGAAATTCTTTCTAAGTACTAGATGCGAGGCCTACGTACGGTACGATGTAGGGGCGGGAATGCTTCTTTCGAATGACTCTCACGACCGCTGTAAGAGCAGACATACTGGATAAGCACTAACAACGCAACGCTCTCATAGATGCGCATTTTAAGCACTGTATTTGAGGTTCAAAGTAACGAGCTAAAAAGTGGTTATTCACTCTGGAGGGCAAAATTGACCCTGAATACGTTAAATCCCTATCATGACGTGAGAAAACAAGTCTAGGACGCCTTGCACAATGGTTCAATAACTAAAGTGGTTCGCCGTACGTGGGGACGTAGGCGTAAGGGAATAAGGGCATCCGATAATATTCGCGTCAGTTCTGACACTCCGCGATAAGCGACAAGCGCCGATGTGCTGACTAAGTTCACTGACCCTGAGGATCCACGTGCATGGACCCGCGAGACCACGTACGTACACCACCTGACCGTTACCCCGGGATTTAGGATCATCAATCGCTCTTCTCCACTATCCTATCATAGGGACACTATTCTTTATCGTCAATATCGCTTATTAACATCACGGGAAATAGATTGCACCGCCGGCCCGCGTGCGTTTGTCCGATGAACTGACATTCGTATATCGCTGCGAAAAGTCTCTCAGTACGTGTGCGCCGAAAAGCTTTTCCTTGGGATTTTGACGCCCGTGGACACGTTAAGCCGCACTCGAAGCGTACCCCGGAGAGCCCAGCGCTAATTATCCGTGGTCATGGGCTTTAATATGTCCTTCTTGCTCGTGGTGTCACCCCACTGTGTGGACGTATACCTATATATGCTATAGCAGCACTGCTCGTAGGGCGGTATATGCGAGGGAAAGGTCCACGGGTGTGAAGGGTCTTTCGTCAGATGTTCAGTAGAGAGCGTCTGTTAGTTACCTAGATGGGCGCTAGACAGTACCTACCTACTGTACAGTGTAGTATATCTACCTAGGTACTTAGGCAGGATTTGCCCTTCAAATGCGCGTCCGTTCTGGGACACGATATATGTGGATACAATATGCAAAAGCAATGCATGGATATTTTAAATCAGCAAGTTGGGTGTGAGAACTACACACGTGACGTTGGAGAAGAAGGCAGGTCACGTGTAACACGTGTGTGTGGAGGTTACGTAAGGCCACTCGCTGTTCCAAGGTTCTTACCCAGACAAGCAGTTGTTAGGAATCTCTGGCACTAGGCCGGGGGAATTCTTTTGTCTAGTGATTAGTCTTCTTGCTAGGACTTGATCATAACCACTATATCTTAAGAACCTATTCAGCTTCTTCTTATGTGAATTCTTCACACGTTGTCAACGTCCCATGTCCAACGTCCCCGGTCCATCTCTCCCCTATCACTTATTCTCATGACTATGGCTACGACTTTTTATAAAACAGTCAAATCGAATCAGGATAAATGCTGATCGTTCCTGTACTGTCCATCATTCTCTACCAATAATTTCAGCGATCTCGCTCCACTTCTTCCCCCAGATTAAATTAACCGAGGCCGGGGCATTCGCGATTAAATCGAAGCCAATCGCCAATCACCACTCGTGACCCTCGAGTCAGGGTTCTCCGCATCTGTCAAGACTTTCCCCCTCTCCTGCAACCTGCGAATTGCCTGGGAATGTTATTCTTTTGAAGAATTGGAGCCATGCTCTCCGGTAAAGATACCAGTCCAATTGGACGGGAGATCAGCGTTGAACCGCCAGATGATCAAGATCGAGAGGATCTGGGATCAGGCCACATTCAATGCTCCATCTGTAGCAGCACTTTTCGCCGACCGGAGCATTTGAAACGACACTTGCGCAGTCACACCAAGGAGAAACCGTTTGAGTGTGCCCAGTGCGGCCGGCACTTTTCTAGGACGTATGAGACTTCTATTGATCTGGACTTGAGCCGAACTTACATCTAAGATTATAGCGACACACTTCACCGACACGAACTCAGCCACCATACACCAGGAAGCGAAGGCGGGAAAGATCGCGCTCACAGAATCACCGTCAAAACCTTCCGAGCATGCTTTAGTTGCGCCACCGCACGAGTTCGATGTAGCGGTGGCATGCCTTGTAAAAGGTGTGACACGCGCACACTTGAATGCCAATATCCGACCCAAAGGCGATCCAAAGCGAAAGCCATGAAAGAATCGGATATACAAGACGCTGAGGCAACCAACCACGACAACCCTGGGTCTGCACATCCAAAGTTGAACCCTTCTTCCCACATGAACCAGTTTTCGATCAATCCCCTTCATGAACAGCTTTCATCGAAGCCCTCAATCAACACATTCCCTACTACCGCCACTGACCACCCAAAAGAAATAGCGCCAAACCCCCCAAATACCATCACAGTTGCCTCGGGCTCTCGTTTCTATCTACAAAATGCATCGCAAGAATCATCTACAACACAACATCCGATGGATGCATACCCGAACGGAGATCCAGGTCAGACATATGGAGAACTGTCGAGTTCTGGCATTCCAAAGGGATTCTTGGTCAATCATCCTACCAACTTGAACCCTGAAATGAGAGGCCTGGAAGCAGAAATGACCACCGAGGCAGTTGACATTAATATGGCCATGGCAAATAACCCCGAAGTTTCACTGGAGTTTGACCCTGCGCTTTTCGATCAGTCCATGCTTTCTACCCTCAACTGGTTGCCCAATGAATTGATTCCCGGTCCACCAGACCAGCCACAAACTGCTAGTGTTTCATCACAATACGCTCCATCACTCGGCCAGGGGACCTATTTCTCTGGAGCAGTATGGCAGCCCCCGATGGTCAGCGCTGGACAAATTAGTCCTTTGCGCCCAGGAAATGTGTCTCAGTCCCCTTCTGTGCATGTTTCCATGGGAAGTAACATGGAAAGCCCCAATCAATATTCTCATCCCATGAGTGAGACTTCTCCCCACAACGAGTCGGTAGACTCTGCCAAGCGATCAGCGGACTACTACGTCGATGGCGCCGGAGCTAGACTACCGAAGTATAGAAAGAAGCACACGCCTTGGTCAAGCTCTTCTGTCGAGCCAACCGACAATGGAAGAAAGCTGCTCTTAGAAGACAGCGAACATCGATTCAGTTTCCCAGTCATTGCCGAGATCAGAACAGATCAGGTTTCAGAAGAGGTGGCACATTTTGCCAAGAGGATTGAGCCGTCTACGTATGATGAGATATATCGAAATTTCATCTTACTCTGTCGTAACGAAAATCCGCTGTTTGACACTTTCGAGTCGGATGGATTTCCTACTGTCGACGAATGCAATTGGTTCATTGCATTCTTCTTTGATTCCTTCCAGGCTGTTTATCCGATCTTACATCTTCCGACTTTCAATCCTAACATATGTCACTGGCTTTTGACGTTGTCAATAGTAGCAGTCGGCTGCCATGTTTCACACATCTCTGAGATGGATCAATGTGCAAGCGGTTTCCATGAATTAATCAGACGGGGTATTTATGTCGAGGTAGGCAGAAAAAGACCAATTCATTCTTCGCGTTACTGATCATTTCATGTCACAGAAAGAAAAGAATCGCGACGGGCTGGTTTCACTCGATCTTTTGCAAGCTATGCTTTTCAATTGTATTGGACTTCTCCACAGTCGGAACGAGCGAGACAAATTATCAGCTTTGGGCGCATTTGGTGAACTAGTCACACTCATGAAACGAGATAGGCTTTTGGAACAGAATCCAGTCAACTTCAGCAGTGCATCACAAGAGGTAGCTTGGATGAATTGGGTCCAAGATGAAGTTAGGAGGCGGACTGGATACTGCATATGGGTAAGATCTCACATGAAGGAATTATAGCCTTTCACTGACACAATCTAGCTTGTGGATTGCACACTCGCCTACTATCTTGACGATCGACCCCTCCTGTCTCTAGATGATGGACAAGCCACCTTACCAGCCCAGGAAAAGATATGGCAAGCAATATCCGCGGAAACCTGGAAGCAACTATGGGAACAATCAACCGGTACCTTCAGCCCAGACTCTACAGCCAAGCATAATCTAACATCTCCAGTGAATGAATCTCTCTACGAAGCCGTCCACATCCTCTATATTGAAAAGCGCCTAGTCTCAGGAATTGGAGAATTCAGCCACATCCTCCTTATTCACGCCCTATATCACAGAATGTGGGAGGTAGGCGACTATTTCCGGCGGCCCCTCTCATTCTGGAACCCAACTGCCAAAAAGCAATCCCGCGAAACCGCCATTCCAACTGGCTCAGTCTGGCTACCAGGAATTCCCTCCTACTCCAAATGGCGAAATAGCGCCTGCGACTGTCTCGACATTCTCCACTGGACGGCCAACAGCACAATAGCAAAAGCAGCAGGTCTCGAACACGCAACTGTCCTACACCTCCACTCAGCCCGCCTCTTCCTCCTAGCCCCATTCCGCGAAATGCGCACCTTAGCCATATCCCTTGCTACCGAGAAACTTCGCTACAGCAAACGCCATCAGTCACTCGAGTGGCAGTACATCTGGCGCTGGATGAAACATGATCAGTATAAAGCTCGGTTATCGATCATTCACGCTGGTGTAACACTCTGGCACGTCCGTCGCTATTCGACGAATGCTTTCCACGAGCCGCTCGCGGCCTTCATTGCCGTTTTGACTCTGTGGGCATATGGCTCTTGTCATGCGCAGACATCCCACGAGTCAAGTCCCCATTCGCAGGCCCCGCGCCCTGAGCCGCTTCATGAGCCTAGTTTCATCCATCTGGATCGGCCGTGTGATGATGAACTTGTGCAGTTATTTGTGAGAGAGGGTCATGCTATGCGTGGCAATGTTACAGGTGTTGGGGATATTTGTGGAGTCGAGGGTCCTGAGCGGGTTTTGCGTGTTGGGTGTGAGATTCTTTCCGGGTTGACGGCTTGGAGTGTCTCCAAAAGGTTTGTCGCTATTTTGACGAGGCTTGCTGAATTGAGTTCCTATCATTCTTCTTGGGAGCAGAGTCGTCGACAGGAGGCTGAGCATGTTTAATCTTTTTTTGATGGCTTTTGTCCATGTATATTAGCTGTTTCTTTGTGACTTTCTGCAATATACCCTCATTACACGATACTTGATTGGCTGTCAATGTTCAATTATATTATGAGTAATAGACATCTGCGTACGTCTTTCTGTAGAATAGTCTGTCTGGTGCTCCTGGCGTCCTGTTATACATCCATGGGGCTCTGTGCTTATCTCTTATCGGCTGCAGCCTAAAAACATCCGGGGAACTTCTCCAACTCTCCAATTTCCCAACTTCCCATGTTTCTTTGCTTTCTCTAAATATGGATTCTGATGAGATTATGGGCTCTGATCCCCATCGACCAGATCAAGTAGAAGATCTAGATGAAAAGTGAGTTATCAGATAACAACTTATCTATCTCAGCCCACTAACCCGGTGAATGCGCCAGGTACCCCAATAGACCTCACAATCGAGGCCCAACTCTTCCATTCCATGATCTCTACTTAAATCTCTTCAACCCACTGAGTGAAATAAAGAAGAAACCAACAGGCCCGGCCCCCGCTCGTCGGAAATTTGGCCCACACGGTAAAAGCGCCGCGGGACTGAACCCATACGAGCGCCGGCGCGATGTGATCGAGCGCTTCATTTCACGGTGGCGCAATGACGTCGGCGACGATATTTATCCAGCTCTTCGCCTAATTCTCCCCGACAAGGATCGCGACCGACCAATGTACGGACTTAAAGAAAAGATCATCGGAAAGATGCTCGTCAAAATCATGAAGATCACCAAAGAATCGGAAGATGGCTATAATCTTATGAATTGGAAGCTGCCTGGTCAAGGCGCCACAGCACATATGGCAGGAGACTTTGCCGGGCGTTGTTATGATGTGCTCTCAAAGCGACCTATGCGGACTGATCCGGGTGATATGACTATTGATGAGGTGAATGAGAAGCTGGATAAGCTTTCGGCTGCGTCAAAAGAAGACGAGCAGCTACCTATTATGAAGGAGTTCTACCTTCGCATGAACCCCGAGGAGCTTTTGTGGCTTATTCGAATTATTCTTCGGCAGATGAAGGTTGGTGCTACGGAACGGACTATGTTCAATGTTTGGCATCCCGACGCGGAAAATCTGTACAGTATCTCGAGTAGTCTGCGGCGAGTTTGCTGGGAGCTTCACGATCCTAATATTCGGCTTGAGGGGGAGGAACGTGGCATTGCTGTTATGCAATGCTTCCAGCCTCAGCTGGCACAGTTTCAGATGCATTCCTTTGAGAAGATGATCAGTCGAATGAAGCCTACAGAGGATGATGATGTCTTTTGGATTGAAGAGAAGTTGGATGGAGAACGGATGCAACTCCACATGACGCCCGACGACGCGTTGGAGGGAGGCCGAAGGTTCGGATTTTGGTCTCGCAAAGCCAAAGATTACACGTATCTTTACGGGCATGGTGTCCACGATGACAATAGTGCTTTAACGAGGCATCTTAAGGATGCTTTTGCCGATGGGGTGCAAAGTATCATTCTTGACGGTGAGATGATCACTTGGAATCCCGAACAGGATGCCATCGTCCCGTTCGGCACCCTCAAAACTGCGGCACTGGCAGAACAGCGCAACCCCTTCTCCAACGGCCCACGGCCGGTGTTCCGCATCTTTGATATCCTACATCTCAACGGGCGAGATCTAACGAAATACACCCTTCGCGATCGACGCAATGCATTGCAGAAGACTGTTCGATCTGTCCATCGTCGGTTTGAGATTCATCCCTATCAAGAAGCGACCACAACCGCAGAGATTGAAACAGCGTTGCGAACCGTTGTTGCCGAAGCATCAGAGGGTCTCGTTCTGAAGAACCCTCGCTCTCCCTATCGCCTGAACGAACGCCATGACGACTGGATGAAGGTAAAGCCAGAATACATGACTGAATTTGGCGAGTCACTCGATGTGGTTGTGATTGGCGGATACTACGGTTCAGGTCATCGAGGAGGCGCCCTATCCAGTTTCCTCTGTGGTTTACGAGCTGAGGAAACTGCTCGTGGATCAGAAGCTGAATCTATGAAATGCTGGTCTTTCTGCAAAGTAGGTGGTGGATTCACCGCAGCTGACTATCAAGAAGTTCGACACCACACGGATGGCAAGTGGAAAGAGTGGGATGTGAAGAAGCCTCCGGTCGAGTATATCGAATTGGCCGGTGGAGATGCCCAAATCGAACGCCCAGATATGTGGATCAAGCCTTCTGACTCGGTTGTGCTGTGTGTGAAAGCTGCATCAGTGGCAGTGAGTCCGACATTTCGCATGGGATTAACATTGCGTTTCCCTCGCTTTAAAAGACTGCGCAAGGATAAGGATTGGAAGAGTGCCCTTTCCGTTCAGGGCTTCCTTGATCTGAAGTCTAACGCAGAGCAGGAGCACAAAGAGAAAGAGTTTTCTGTAGATAATTCTCGGAAGAAGCGAGTGAAGAGAACTACTAAGAAACCTATGACGGTTGCGGGATATGATAAGGAAGTTAACTTGCAGGACCTTGGTCCGTCTGGGCATGTATTTGATGGACTCAACATTTGTACGTGCCTTGTTGGCTTTGGTCTAGTTGTATCATGCTAACATGTCATCTAGTCATCATGAGTGAGTCGACCGTTCCAGAAAAGAAGTCGAAGCCCCAACTGGAACACCTGGTGAAAGCCAATGGAGGCAATATTTACCAGGCCAAGATAGCCGCAGAGGATATGATCTGTGTTGCCGAGCGAAGTGAGCCGTCAGCAAATTAGAGCCAGCAAATACCGACTGACATGCCCTTCATAGGAACGGTTAAAGTAGCTTCGCTGCAGAAGAGTGGAGATCAAAACATCATTCGACCATCTTGGCTTCTCGATTGTGTCAAGCAAAACGAAAAGGATGCAGGATTGCCCGACTTCCTTCTGCCATGTGAACCCAGGTATGCATCAAAAGCCCCCTCCCTTGAAACATAAAGTTGCCGAATATTGACAAGCTCAATAGACATATGTTCCATACAATGGACAACGAGGAAGAAATCGCAGCGAACGTGGACAAATACGGGGACAGCTATGCTCGCGATACAACTGTGGATGAACTGAAAGAGGTATTACCTCCCAGAAACTTGTGAGGCTCTTGATTAATGACATTTCATTCATGCAGATCTTCAGCCAGATGAGCAAGAACCAGAACGAAACCAACAGCCCTCTTGACCAAGCCAGCATACGAAGGATCAAATCCCAAATCCAAGACAAAGTGAATGCAGGCTACACAGCACCGTGCGGCTGGCTCTTCCAAGATCTCACCTTTTTATTCTACGCCCACTCGAATGAAACCAACGATGATGGACCTGTAACCAGTGCAAAGCTCCGTCTCCAGCTCGCTCAGAACACGGCCCGATTCGCAGGCGCAAAAAGTGCCCCTTCTTTAGACGACTCGCACATCACACATGTTGTGGTCGATACAAAGACTTCCGTGCCAGCTGACATCCCATCTCTACGGAAATCTCTGTCTGAGAATTTGGACAGAAAACTACCGCATATTGTTAGTGTTGAGTGGGTTGAGGAGTGTTGGAAGAACGGGACTTTGCTGGATGAAGACAGTAAGTTCTGACCGCCACATCCCATTCTTTATCTCTGGGGGTTTACTCAAGGGTCATTTTTCTAACATGGCTGATTGACATAGGATTCCAAGTCTTGTGATAAGATACGTGGCAGAGATATCATGATGATCCATGAGATCTTCGTCCGCGGGTCCACGGGTATTTTGAGGTGATAAGAGGTGATACGTGGTGATAGGAGGATGTCCATCATATCACACTGGCATGAATAAAGCCCGATAAGTGATAACGGACCCGATAAGTAATCTAATCTGATAGATCGCCTGGCAATCACGTACTGTAGAGTCAAAGTAGGCTTTATCCATCAAGAGATAACTGATCGCCGACGGTTTTCGTGTATGGATAAGCTGTTACGCCCACCTGCATACAGGACATGTATACACTGCTGTAACATTATGTGGTGATCACGCAAATCTCCCCCAAAAGATCAAATACTGATATGCCCTGATAACTTGGAACCTTTTCATTACAAATGTTTTATTCACTGAAATTGACTCGTGCTATCTTACATATGTGCGATATCACACTACCCTTATCATGCATTGCGGCCAGAGGGTTATCTCCTATATTTGCCTTGTAAGCCCCAATCTACGAAGGAGATGTCTAAGCATTGACTGCTCATAAGATTCCTTAGTTGGCCATTTGATAAACGGGGTCTCATTCTCCACGCAACTTTGGCTCTCTTTCTGTCAGGCTAAATAAGCATTGAAGATGTCATCCCATAAATAACTATTGGAAGGCTCTCGCTTTGTGTCGGAGCTTCGACAATTTTCAAGAGAGTCCTGAATAAAAGCTTAAAAGACATACGCCGTGTGAGACTTCGGTGGATACAGATTTTGGCACACGTATACGAGCCTACTCATGTATTCAGATGCGCATTTTAAGCACTGCATTCAACTCATGGCCTTTGCCTGATATCTGTAATACGAGCAGATGCTCTAAAGCCAAAACTCGCATAACATTTTCTATCGAGCTTTTGTCGATCCAGGCATCCCGAACAAATGCTTCTACTGGCCTTCATCAACCTTCATTTTTACTATAAAGCAAAGTGTATCTATCATCCTGTCCAGCTAACAGGGTAAACTTCTCGCTATCCTTCAAAGTGATCGTTTCTGTGTCGTGAATACTTGAATTTATATATCATTTTCTTGAAATTGAGGATTCAAATTGAAAGAATAGGATGATGTGAAGCCTCACAGTTTAATGGGTAAGTATGGCATGCTCTAGGCCCTTTCAACCTCTTCTGCTCCTCAACGCCAAAGGTTGCGTCGCATTTCCAAGGCACAAATGCAGGCTATCTTCATTCTAAAGATTTCAGAGAACGATTCTCTATCAGAGCTTCTCTCGGCAGGAGGGGCCTCAAGCCGAAATACACTAATGCGGTAACACTTGGTACACTTGTAATGCGGGAACGTTTCCGTTTACCGAGTGATGTAAGACATGAAAAGTCATACATACGTCGCTGGACTAGCTTACAGGTGAAACTGTAGTTTCCATCTATTCAAGCGCCCACAAATACCAGCCAAGTACCTATAATTAGCCCCTTCCACAGTAAGAATTAAGCCTTGAAACATTAGACAGACTGATAGAAGCCCTCTAATTCACCTGAGAAAGAGAATAGCTCATACAGACGCTGGTTCTGACGCTAAATGTATTCGGGTTCAGATCGCCGCAGCCGAGTTGAATATCAGAGGGGGTTCCGGGGGCTCGGCCTTCTGATACAAGTCCGATGCACACTGCAGGGAACCTGATCAATGACCCGAGAAGTCGCAATATCTGCCAGGTTGTGCTCGAAATAGCTATTAATGTTTTCTCTGTCGGCCTTTTGAGCTTTTCCATATGCGTGGAATTTGAAACACTTCGTGCAGAAATATAACTTCGATAACTTCGTTTGACTTGACTCACTGCGATATCAGCATGGCTTTCAAAGATATCCAGAAAGGCCCTGTCGATATCATGTATCACATCAAAGTGATGGCAGATGCGGACAAGAGCCCTAAATCGGTGGATCTTGGTGTTGGTGTCTACCGCAACCAAAACGGAGAGTATAACGAATTGGAGGTTTTGAAAAAGGTGAGTGGAACAAACGATCTAGAAAGTGATTATTGACTGTTGAAGGCAAAATCGACCCTGAATACCTTGAATCCTGATCATGACGTGAGAAAAAAAATCCAAATCGCCTTGCACAATGGTGGCTAACATCGAAATTGTTAATCAAGTACGAGGTAACCACGGGGAACCTACAGTTCCTCGAGAATGCCGCGCAAGTGATTTTCGGTCAAAGTGCACCAGTACTCGGAGACAAGAAAGTAATCTAGATGTGCAGACCCATGCTTTGGAAGAACTTTTCACCTGACCGAGAAACATAGGTTGCTTCTGTCCAAACCATCTCTGGCACGGGCTCAATCCATATTGCACTTATGTTCCTCAAACACTGCCTTCCAGACAAAAAGCGACATGTCTATATAGGGACCCCAACATGGGGCAACTATGAACCAATGTGCAGACTCGTCGGCCTGGAGAGCATGACTTACAACTATTACAATTCCGCAAGTGGCCAAGTTGATTTCGAGTCTGTCTTGGATGCTATTCGCACATCTGAGCCGGGAAGTGTATTCATTCTTCAAGCTTGTTGCCATAGCCCTACTGCTGCAGACTTCAGCAAAGAGCAGTGGCATATCTTAGCCAAAGAGTTGGTAGAGCATGATATCCTGCCGCTCTTTGATATTGCCTATCAGGGGATGGGTAAGGGTATTGATGAAGACGCATACGGAATTCGCTACTTTGCTGAACAAGGATTCGAAATGTTTGTTTGTCAGTCTTTTTCAAAGAACTTTGGATTGTACGGGGAGAGAACTGGAGCTCTCCATGTCGTATGTGCATCTGAGCATGAAGTTGCTCCGGTGCATGATCAATTGAGGTGTCTGATTCGTTGGGAATTTTCCTCTTCTCCGGCTTATGGCTCTCGACTAGTTAATCTAGTCTTGTCAGATCCTGCACAGGAGCTCTCCTGGTGAGTCACTTGATGCTTATCTTGTTCAACAAATGAAATAAAGGAAACTTATTCGCGGACAGGCGCAATGAATTGGCTAGTATTCGATCAAGGCTGCAGTCTCTTCGGAAAGAATTCCGTCACTTGCTCGTGGATGTTTACAAGGTAAGTCTGAATGTTGATTATCGAGTAAGATACATGCAACTTAACGAGAACTAAGATCCCTGGAAATTGGAGTGTCATTGAAAGCGGAAGCGGTCTTTTTAGGTAGGTTGGATCATATGGTGGTACTTGACGAAGTGTTCCTGTGATAGAGACTGACTTTGATTGTCTAGCTTTCTGCCACTGACTCCGGTGCAGTGTAAGGCTCTACAAGAGCAGCATCATATTTACATGGTGCCAAATGGGCGAATTACCATATCTGGACTGACCGAGACGAACATCGAGTATGTGGTGCAATGTATCGCCAAAGTGGTCATAGGGCAGCAGTGAAATCTCATTTGACTAAGCTCATTTGAAGCTACGCGGACTGGCAATTTAGGAGACGGTCTCAAGAACGGTAGTGGCTGTTCTTGATAACAGTGGGCTAGGCTGTCTAATTTTTCGTTTGCGTCGTTAGATTCATTGTTCGGGTGGACTGGCTCCGTTGTACTGTAGGCAGTAGCATTTGTTGGAAAGGCAAGGAAGTTTGGTTGTGGTATATACGGCATGTTGGTAACACATGCGGCTCAATCATAAGCTTTGTGGAGGAAGCCGCGGGACTATTTTCAGGTTCTTGAGGCTCTGTTTGTTATTTGCTACTGTAGTAGCTAATTTGTTATATTTGTCTACGGTTTTTGGTATTGGATAATGTCAAAGAAGGAATAAAGGTTATAGAGTAGTTTGTTTATAACCAGTTACACCATCCTAAACTAAGTATATTTACGCCTATGTTAATATAACAGAGTTCTTCTCTTCTCTCTTTCACTGCATCGACTCTCTCCGAGTCTAACGACGAGTCGGCTTAGCCACTCACTACCTCCGGAGATAATGCTTCCACCGGGGATAAACTAGCTCTACCGGAAATCCCCGCGACACCCCCGCCATCAGCCTGGGCTCAGGCTGGGCAGCAATACTTCAATACTAGCGCGCGATAGGCCCCTGTATAGACTATGGAGCAGCCTGGGCCCGAGGTGATAGCGTTGGTGTCGCGGGGATTAGCGGGGTGAGCATCCCACAACACAACACATGGATGTACTAGACCCAACAAGCCATTTTCTATGAGCCTGGTTTTAATATCAAATATTTGTCTTTCTCGGGCAGAAAAGGGGGATCATACGATTGCGGAAATTTTCTGAGTACATGTCCGACGTATTCCGGGTCTATCAATATGTATGAACTTACCGTTATTAGCCTCAACATTCAATCTTACATTTTTAAATTAATATGCATATGTATCGGATTTTCCTATTTAGGCTGCCACTTTAATGAGGGCAGCGGCTCTTAGAAAAATATTATTCAGTGATGAGCTCTATGTGCATGATGTCTGATACTAACTTATGTGAAGACCGCCCAAAGCCCTATGATAAAATGCCAATAGAGTAGTCAACTTTGAGCGCTTTTTGAGTTTCATATTTTACATCAAATTTCACCTCTGATTCTACATATAACATGTCATTCTTAGCATTTTAATAGACCAGAATCAGATGTGAACCTTCCTTCGTTCACGGCACAGCTCCAGTTACCGGATAACTATTGCTGCGTGATCACAGGTCGGCTAAACACTGATCAATGGGTGCGACAAGGGGCACCAGCATGCTACTCTAAGATTAAAAAAAGACAAGATATGAGCACTAAAAAGGAAGTGGAACTTGTCGAGTGCCAGGCATTATCCGGTCATATGTAAATATCGACCGCGATCTATAAAGTCCATCATCCCCCACAGCGACAACCCACGGTTCGCAACGCCTAGCCCGTGACCGACCATTGTATTACCAAGGGAGTATGGTAGGTTGATATATCCGGCCGAAAACCTCATGTAATTCTCGGCTGTATTGTATTGAGGCAAAAAGACTGGACAGAGTTTGCCTACTCTGTATGTATAAATCGACTGTTTAGGACTGGTTGCGGAGGGGCATGTCTGTACGAATGCGACCGGTTCATGTGCTCTTTATTCAAGGGCGTGCACTGGACAAAGGGCATGGATATGAGCCCCGTGATCATGGAATGTACTTTAACTTTAAAGATCATAGGCTCATAAAGCCACGCGAGGTGATCTCATGTCTGTACGATGATATCATGACACAGATAGAGTGTCGAATTAGATTTCTGCTAAACCTAGCTTATTCTACGGACGAAAGGCTATACTGGAAGGTATAAATTTGAATGGTTTTAATATTTGTTTTAGATTTTTATGTCAAGGGGATCAGGTGATCAATGGTCAAAGAAAATAGATGGAGGGGGTATGTAACAAAGAGAAAAAGAAATGTGTCGACCAGGACACACTCATCCAGGTCCAACGCCACGCTTGTAGAGAATCATGAAAAGGAAAGAAAAGGGGAGGGATATGTGCGGTGAAGTGGCCCAAAGCGGACTCCTGCGCTCTGCGCTAGGGTCAATGTCCGGTAGGTCTAAGCTGAGACACCCACCCAACGGGAGGGCACAGTCTCATTGTCGTCGCCATCGTCGTATTGACCTGACAGACGATTGTTGGTTTTTCGCGCTGGAAGCCAGACGCGAGCCCGAGTAGGGATGTCATCGCGGAGTTTGCCGCAGCGACGCATGTTCATTTCCAGAACAACCACACGGAGGAAATCACTGTTTTCCCGAGGTTCACGCTGGCGTGACATTGGGGGGACTTCTGGGTCAAAAGTGAAACGTTTATCACGGCTCGCAATGTGGAAATTGTTACGGCGATGGCTGCGGCCGCCGGTTCGGCGGTATGTCTGCATTTGGATGGAGACAGGGCACGCGCCGGCAGCCTCAGGTGTTTGATGAGGGTGATCGTGATAAACATACATCTCAGCCGGAGACATCGGGGTTGGGTTGAGGTATCTTCGCAATGCTGGTGACGGTGTTTCCTGCATGGGAAGTGGGCGGCGGTCATCGGTCAACTCTGGAGTAATACTGAAAAGAGACCGAGTAAGGAAGTCTTCTGGCTGAACCGAGGGTGTGGCAAATGTCGAGACTGAGTGTGCAGCGGATTTAATGGCCCGTAAAGATGCTGTCAAATTGGACTTAAATGTAGAGCCCAGACGTGGGAAAGTCCCGAACGAGGCAGATCGCTTCGTGGGAGTCGAGTCGGGAGTGACGGGCTCATTCTCGTCTTTGAGTTCAATAACTTCACAGTCATCAAGATCTGTTTCAAGGAGAGGATGGTCCAAGCCGCACTCTTCAGAGTGGGAGTAACGAAGCTGGCGCCTTTCCAGTGGGCTTTTCTGGCTGCCCGGGGTGGGTGGCAGATGTATACTGCACGGCGATGCGAGGCCATGTTCTAGAGAGGGCATCGAATCGCTTGATATCGATCTGAGCGACAACGGACTTTCTTGTTCAGACTCGTTGCCCAGAAGTTTGTCCTCTTCATCAGGCGGGCTGAGGAGAATGTCCAGAGGGGAGTTGCTACCTCCATCGAGGAAGTGATCTTTGGATCGGACGTTTTCCCTCAGCATCCGGTTGAAGTCCTCGACATGATTGCTGCGAGGTAGTTTCCTTGGCCTGCGAGTAGACCAGTTTCGTCGTGGTACGGGGATGGCCGTCGCATCTAGCATCGAAGTGAATGACGTAGGTATGTGGCGTTCATTAGATGAGCTGGATGACGATCGACGAGAAACTTCGGATGTTTTCGAAGGAGTTCGAGACCGACTGCTTTGATGTGCTGACATGATCCGTGAGCCTCGTTTTGGCGGAATTACCACCGGGTTGGTGCTTGATTGTCTGTGAGTCTCGGTCTTCGTGGCGGGGCGATGACCGGGGAACTCCGACGAAGGATATGGCCTCATGCCAGATTGAAGGGGCTTCTGCGGCGGTGCCGAGGTGAACATAAAGGCTCTAGGGACCATCATTTTATAGCGATATCACCCGAACTGCACAGTCGTAGTCGAGGCCTTGGCCGGATGAGGCACTCTGGTCGAGTGTCTGGGCGAGATACATGGATGGAGGAAGAAATGATGGGATTGAATAATCTCCCGTCACAGTATCAGACGGGAGACCGGTAGCCAATCCGAAGGTAGGTTGGGTTGGCCCGAGGAGAGTGATGCAAAGCGGATGGGCAGCCGTGAGACAAGGGTATGCAGGGACGCACGCGACCTGATAAGCTGATAGGCAGATAAGAACGAAGGATCAAGCGGAGTGTCAGGCGATAGAAAAGAGTTGCTGAGGGTGAGAAGAAGTAGAGAAGAGGGATGTGGGAAGAGAGTCAAGAAGGGGATTGTCGAGGTAGATATTCAGAGAGGAAGGAAATAGGGCCTGGGGGAGCAGATAAGGGCGGGTAAGGGTGATCCCAGCCAGGCCGTATTGGGCAGGTAAAAATCACGGGGGTGTCGGATGACCGTATTTTACCAAATTACCGCTAAAATGATTGGACAGGACGACAATGCCGTGTTCCGGTACGGTTCACCGTATACAATTCCCATTACTCATGGAACATTCCGCCGGTGGAGTCCGGAACACTGTGGGATTCTCTTGTTTTTTTTCTCTTCCGCGCGGTTTTGTGCTTTGTTGTTCGAGACTGCGCAGTGCCTATTTTTATCAATGTTTCGGACACGTCTCGATCCTTCTTCCCATGGAATCCAATACATAGAAGTAAGCCATTCAGATATGACTCATTACATCTTACATATATCCATGTACACTTGTCCTGCACCTATACACTTAGCCGCGATCGTGTGTTGAACTCGGGTGGGCCCTTTAAGGTTACTGTTAGTGCGGTGCCGGCAGATGCACACCGTTCTCCCCAGGAAATGGGAGAATTTTCTTCGTTGGATTTTAGTTTCAATAGTATACCTCTACCACAGGCCTATTTGCCCTTATCTTTGAAGTATGAGAAAGGTAACGGATACACCTGTCATATTGATAGATCGTCAGGAACACCAACGGACTCCCTTCCCCCGGTGATTTTGATTATAAATGAGATGCGGGTGGCTGCAGATAACCAAAAGAGTAAGTTGAGACGTGGCCAAGTGGGCCTTAGCGAGTGTGCGGTGAACCCCTATCCTCACTATATTTTTCTCACTATAATCTCGTGGCGTTTTGGCTGAAATTGCAGCCTAACTAGGAAGGAAAATAACACACAAGACCATTGGGCTTACTATAAGGCTCCTGGATTGTAAGTCAGTACGGACATTCCTACAATAACCATCAACTATACTGGAAAATAAAGAATAACAAACTATAGATCAGACCCACAAAATTCCGCAAAAAAATACTTGTTTGACAGCCAATCTCACAGATCAAAACAATACTGGACGGTAAAGTAGATCTTCTGGACTGAAAAACAAATGCCAAACGCCCCAAAAAAAAGCAAAGAAAAAAACTCGAGAGGCTGGACCTTTTCAGGTCACCGCCATAAGCGAAGACAATTGCGGTGAACTGACAGATTCAGTTGTGCGGTGGAGTCAGGAGCAAAGTCACGTGAAGTTGCTGTATTTACTGTACGCTTCATTGTAACCCTGTCTCCGCAAGGGTAAATCCGGAAAAGATATCCAATCCATATCTCTTGGTTATATCTCTACCGCTACAATAGTGATGAATTAGTATTCAATTGATTGTGACTATAGACTCCGTACAATATTATATACTATGTTCACCGAAGCTACATATGTAAAGCTGATGGCACGTGAGATGACTAAGGCATCTTATCGAGTGCCCGCATCACAGCTGAACAGCCATCCAGAGGCCCGCGATAGCATCTTGCCTTGTTGCTTGCATCCAATCAATTCCTGTGCATCTCAAACTCCTCACTGCCAAAGCTCTGAATCTGATCATACATCTCACCCCCCTCCCCCCGCCTCCACTGCGGGTCAAGATCGTGGGGTTGATTCAATCCTCATTGCCAACCGGCCTGTGTAGATCATAGGTGCGACCTTCCCCATGCCAAGCACGCTCATCTTGTCGCCTGTCTCTATAGATACATTCTTCATTTCCTAGGGGCCATGGACTAACCTCTTTCCAGGATCATTTCATTGCATCGGGACAATTGTGATGTCTGACTCACGGGCATGAACCTCGGAAAATGGATGTAGCATGCATGTCGAAAAGTGGACTAGTAATTGCCAGACAAGAGGCTAAGCATGCGATGTAATCCCGCGGAGAAATATCCATCTACAATTCAATCCAGACGCGCCTATCAACCTATCTGTCAAGATGAGCGAACGGGCTCAACCGTCGAAAAGACGGTGCGTCAGCACTGCGTGTGTTGCTTGTCGCAGGAGAAAATCCAAGGTAATCCTTTGATTTGGATTCTGGTTCGACGCCACATTTCTAACTATGTCTATGTGCAGTGTGATGGGAACCTGCCCAGTTGTGCAGCTTGTTCCTCGGTCTATCATACGCCTTGTATGTATTTTCCGGACAGGAATCACCGCCGACCCTAACAGTTGATAGGTGTATATGATCCCAACTCAGACCACCGTCGCAAGGGTGTATACAAGAAAGATACTGACACCCTGCGAACTAAAAATACCACTCTTCACACCTTGATCCAGGCACTCCTCAACTATGATGAAGCAGATGCTTTCGATCTGGTCCGCCAGATTCGATCTTGCGATGACCTAGAAGAAGTAGCGAACTCAGTGGTTGCTCAAGAAAAGGGGCTTTTATCTGCACCCCGACCAACAAGAGAGCCAGCAAGTGAGGAGATCGAGAATGGCGCTGAGATCGACCAGTTTGAATCCGAGCTCGCAGGTAAAATGAGCGAGCTGATGCTTGATGGTTCTCGCAAATTCATCGGCGGTACCTCCAACCTCATATTTTTACCCTCCGAGCTGCACGAGTCAATCTCGAATTCTCACCAAGTGAATCAAGTACACACCGTCAGCCGATGGACAGAAGTTACCAACGATGACTCGCTCATCAGTCATTTAATGACGATGTACTTCACATGGCACTACCCATTCTTTACGCTTCTTTCGAAGGATTTGTTCTACCGCGATTATATTCGTGGTGTGTCTAGTCCATACTGTTCTGCATTGCTAGTCAATGCTATGCTGGCCCTCGGTTGTCATTTCAGCTCATGGCAAGGTGCTTTTGACGATCCACAGAACTTGACAACAGCAGGAAACAATTTCTTCAAAGAAGCCAAGAGGCTAGTTTTGGAAAATGATGAGCATGAGAATGCAAAGCTCTGTACCGTCCAAGCCTTTGCACTGATGTCCGTACGAGAAGCAGGATGTGGCCGTGAAGGAAAAGGATGGGTCTATAGTGGCCTCAGTTTCCGCATGGCTTTTGATCTTGGGCTGAACCTCGACTCAAAAAATCTCGGATCACACAACCTGAGTGACGAAGAAATTGATGCTCGTCGTATCACCTTTTGGGGATGCTATCTAATCGACAAGTGGGTTTCTTCCTTCAAAGTCTCAACACAAGCTAATACTCAGAAGATGCTGGTCAAATTACCTTGGTCGTCAACCTCAATTGACTTCTGCCACTACAAATGTGCCCAAATTTGATGTCTTGCCGCGAGAAGAAACAGAACTCTGGTCGCCGTATACTGACTCTGGTGTGAGTCCCGAGCACATGCAGGCATCAAGGACTAGAGCTGTGGCGCTGCAGATATCTAAGCTGTGTGAGATCAGCGGTGATCTATTGGTACTATTCTACCATCCAGCTGAGCTGGAGAAGTTCCAGCCCAAGCAGTCGGAATTGAAGAAATTGAGCGACGTCCATACTCGACTTGAGGCGTGGAAAAAGGAACTACCCAAAGAACTGGAACCAAGAGAAGGACAACTTCCACAGGTCCTTGTCATGCAGTAAGTTTCCATAACAGTCCACGAATAACCCATACCATCTCACTAACCCTTGTTTAGCATGTTCTATCAACTCCTCCTCATTCACCTATACCGTCCCTTCTTGAAGTATACCAAGGCCAACACACCCCTTCCATCCCATGTCTCACCTCGCAAAATATGCACACAAGCCGCTGCAGCCATATCCAAGCTCATGCGCATCTACAAACGCAGCTACGGCCTCAAACAAATCTGCAACATCGCAGTCTATATCGCACACACAGCATGCACAATCCACATCCTCAATCTCCCTGATAAAAACGCCCAGAGAGACGTAATCCACGGCCTAAAGAACCTGGAAGAAATGGCCGCGGGCTGGCTTTGCGCAAGACGCACACTCCGCATCCTCGACATATCTGCCAGCAAATGGCAAGTAACCCTCCCAGCAGAAGCAACCTTGATATTGGAACGGACCCATGCAAAATGGGGCTCCTGGGGCTCCTGGGACCAAGCAACATCACCGTCTGCATCAGACGCCTCCTCCCCAATGGCAACATCAACAACCTTCCAACCCGCCACAAGCCCGAGCAGATTCACACCCGGGCCACCCCAATCTCAACCCCGACATAACTCGGATCTATCGCCTCTCCCTAAAACCACAAACGCAAACACAAACACAAACACAACCCCGGTCAACGTGGTCGGTCCGGCATCTTTGAATCCGCAATACGCCTCAACCCCTTCAGTCCCACTGTCGTTCCCACCAATGGCAGCACATCCCTCTCTAGCACAATCCCAAAGACCAGAATTTGCTCCCCCAGAGCCGACATATCTCCGTCCATCGGTCACATACCAATTTCCCGCCATGACAGTCAACGCCCCATCCCCGTCATCTCCACATCAGACCTGGTACGATGGTGTCGGTACACAGATGCCAACGCAGAACCATACACCCACATCCACTGCATCGCCCGTGTCTGGATATGATGGCACGGAAAATCTAGTGGAAGAGAGTCAGGATTGGTGGTCTAGAAATGCGGCTGTTTATGATGGTATGAATATGGATGGGTGGGGTGGCGCGTGGAATTCGCCTGGTCAGCTTCAGGGCCGACCTCGCGTTCAGGGTCTGGCACAGTCTGGTCAGACGCGTTATCAGAATGGGAATGTTGCCCCGGTAGCTGGTATTATGTCTGAGCAGCAGCAGCCCGGAGTTTCGATTGGCATATCCACTGTTGGGTCTCCGGTTGAGTGTGGGACTCCTCAGTTTGAGGATCGGTGGACGTGATTCTTAGGACTTTCTATTTTCGGTTTCATATTTTGACGTTATTTTTGGTCATTTTGATGTTGTTTTGTGATACCACCAGTTACGAGAGGGTTATTTTATTTTGGCGTCGTTGTACATTTTTGTACATGTATATCGCATGTCTTGATGAATTAGAATTGAAACCTTGAGCACAGATACTTTATGACTTTGAGTATAAACCTCCACAACATTTTATTGAAATTCACATTGAAGTGTTGATATATATCGGCGCAGAGGAAATGTTGAGCCCTCACGTCCTCCAACCACGAGAAAGTCATATCCATATTCAGTAAACACCACCAATCACTCAGTCCTCTTTACAACCTTCGGCAAAAGTAGCCAACTCATAGCCATAACCCCATAAAGGCCGATGCAAATCGGGTGCAGAACCATAGTACCAACATTCTGGGCAAGGATACCGGTAAAGAAAGGCGAAACAGCACCACCACTGCTCCCAAGCGCACTAACAAAGCTCAAACTAGACATATGCATATTCCTCGGAATGAGCTTTGTGAAGACAGAAGTCGCACAAGGATAAACCGCGCCAAGCAACAAACCAAGAACAGCAACGGAGACAGCCTCACCAATAACATTCGGAATCAGCCATGTAAGCAGCTGGAACGCCACAGCTCCAGCTATCATGCCCACAACAGCAATCTTCTCGCCAAGCTTCGAGGCCGGATGTGTCAGTAGGAATCGGCCTGCTGTGATGCCCGCCCAGAATCCCGAACTGACATACCCGACCCGTGTGGGATCGCCGTTTCGGTAGCTGATTAGAAACGAGACAACCCAGCCCGAGACGGAGACTTCAGCGCCTTGATAGGCGAATATGAAAAGCGCGCCCAGGAGGGTTGTACGGTTGCGCAGAGATTTCTTCAGTACCGCTGTTCGGGATAGAGGCTCTGTTTCCGAAGAAGTGATATTACCAGCACGCAGGGCCATCTGCGCTTCGGCCGAGGCGTCATCTTCGAATTTCCAGAATGCCCACATGGCAAATAGCAGATTGACAGCCGCCACAGCCAATGTAATGGCATAGAAGACCGACCACCGAATTCCTGCCGAAACCATCGCAGTAGCAAATAACGGCGCAACAATACCGCCAATACCATAAGAGCCCGTGAAGAAGCCCAGCGCAGTCGTTGCATCAGCCAGGTTGGCACAGTAAACATTGCTCAAGGCGAGGCTCAGTGCCATCCCGAATCCCAGGAAGAAGAAACAAGCCACCACGACGGGGAAGGGCGGTTCGCAGACGATCACGATATAGCCCGCGATTTGCAATGCCAGGGCTAGAGCGTAGCTCTTGGCGCGACCGAATTTGGCTTCAATGGAGTGCGTGAATGGCGCTGCTAGGATGAAGCCGAAGGCGTTTGTTACGAAGATTAGGGAGACAATTGCGTATCCGATTGAGTAGTGTTTTTCGATGTAGGGGATTAGGGCTCCTGGGGCGCTATCGTTCATGCCATTTCCTAGACTCATGAGGCAAACGCTTAGGAGTCGCCATTTGGTTTTCCAGGTGCTTGCTGTCCGGTCTGGGGCCCATTCTGTTGGGTTTGGTTGGATGTTGGGTGCGATGTGTTGTTCCAGTTCGCTTGGAGTAGGTGAGGGGAGACGCGTCCCATTGTCAGTTTGATAGGATGCGGTCTTGACTGGCCGAATGTCTTTCAGCTCGTAGTCGGACTGGGGCGTGGTGCTTTGCTTGTTGCTGCGAACTGCTGGTGGCGGACTGGTGATTCGAGATGTGCTCTCGATCTCAAGAAATGCGTTGAAACTCGAGGTCGCCATTGTGGAGGACATTTATCAGACCAAGAGCAGTAAAGAAAGCAGTGAAGAAGCAATAAAGGAAGAAAATGGTTCGTCCTGCGGAATCCGTAGGGGCTCTCTATTTGGGCTTAGCTCTTGCATGCTCCAGGGTGGACTTCCTAATCAGGCCTCGAGCCTGTGGAAACCATATCCCGTCTTCACATTGAAGTTGGGGAATGAACCTGTCTTTTCAATGTGGTCAGTATTGCCATTCAAAAGCCAGTCCACGCATGGAAAAAGCATGGGAAAAGGACCTTGTAGTCTGTATAGTTGCTGATACCGCCCCTCCCCGCCGATAAGCTCAAAATCCGCCAAATTCCCGAAATTCCTTCCCTCCGCAACACACAAACCATTTGCCTCTAATACTCACAATTGTTTTGGCAAAATGGGTCCTCCACGCAGAAAGATGCTGGCAACAGCTGAGGAAACCCTCACACCTCCCGACTCTCTCTCCGACACCCAACAGATCGTGCGCGCACTCAAAGCCACCGGAAACAACATCTATCTGATCGAACGCACAGACAAGAGCCAGGCACTCGTCGAGTTGCCCGCACGTTTCCGTTCCACGATCTGGATCAAGCGTGGCTCCTATGTCGTTGTCGATACTAAGGGACAGGAGGAACGGGATAACAAAATCCGTGGGGAGATCGTCAATGTGGTTAGGGATGAGAAGGCTTGGAGAAAGGCTCCTTTCTGGTATGTTTTGCAGTAGCCTTTTACAGGGATACGTCAGGACTCAATGTGCTAATTGGTGGACTAGGCCCAAGGAATTCGTGAAACAGCCCGCAGTTGTCGCCGCTGCGGACTCCGACGAGGAAGAATCCCGTGTTGGTCAAATGCCTTCTTCTTCGGATGAGTCAGAATGAGCGACGTGATATCCGTCGCAAGGCGCTGATTGTGTCGAAGGCTCAGCTACAATTGGGGTTTCGGGCTACCAGGACGGGGTCTAAAATATGTACGCCGCGGTTATGAACCGGGGCCGAAACTTTTCTTCATTGGACTTGTGCCTTACTGCGGCCACGCTTGTCACTCTTTACTTCTGCCTCGCCTGACCCATTGAAATATACGCCCAAGACCTGAATTGCAAGCGACAAGACCACCACAGCCGAGCTTGCGTTGGTGCTGGGGAAAACGTTCCACGCCCATTCTTGCAGTGCCCACACGATATATATCAAAATGGGATGCAGACCTGCGCGCCAGAGAAGGAACGGAGTGGCCCAAGCGAGATACGCAAAGAATTGATAATGCAAGGACCTGGCGCAAACCAAACCGATGGCCAGTGAGCTCAACATCACGGTCATAATGAATGGTTTGGACAGGGCAACTGTCTGTTGGCGTCCTCGGAGAGTATCCCTAAGGAAACGGAACATATTCACGCCAGATGGTTTCAGCCATGTTCCGACGAAGATAGCCAGCAAGGATATATGCAGTACGATCAGACCCAATGAGAATTCCCTTGAGAGGAAGGTTTCTTCGCCTATGAAGCGCCAATTGACTGTCCATTTGAACAAGAACTGCCGGGAGAGCTCAAATGCCCGAGAGAGGTAGCTTGTAGCGTTGGTTTGTAGGAAGGGGACGGCGAGGAGGCCCTATAATTCTCCATGTTAGTCAATGTTTCCGTGGCCAATAGATATCGTTAAGGCAGAACCAACCTGAATCAGCACCGCCATAACTCCGAGCGAAATACTGCGCGCCAGCCCCAAGCTGAGAAGAGTAAGAATCGCGATGGCCGGCACAAACAATACAAGTGTCATTTTGATGGCCACGCCGAAAGACCACACCGCAATCCCAGCCGTCCACTTGCGTCGCAGACACAGGGTAAATAGCAACCCACATAGCAAACGTAGCAGCCCCATCATTGAACATGCGCAAGACGAAGATACTATGAAGCCGTTTTGACAGCGCAAGCAGCGGGAAGAGATATGGGGGTGCTCCGGTCTGCCTGTAGCAAGCAACGACGACAATCAAGGTCGCCAAATACAGCACAGCAAACAGCGCTTGGCCGAGCAGAATATCGCGACCTCCATCTGTGAGGTGGAAGAGGAGGGTGTAGATGTATACGTGGGCGGCGGGGTAGACGAGCGGGCCTGTCGAGCCTTTGATTAAGGTGTAATCGCGTTCGCCGGAGATGTATAGTGAGATCTGTTGCATATATGTGGTCCAATCGATCTCAGTATCTGGCGGCAGGGTTGTGGTTAGCCAAATTGTGCTTTGCAATGGACGCGACGGCTGGACGCGGTCTTACATGCGATCTTCCAGATGATGAGGGCGCAGAGGAATGCGTCGCCGAGAACTAGGAGTGGTGCTATCCATCTTGTATGTCTTGGGTTGGTGAGCACGTCGTAGGCGAAGTTTTTGGCTGTTAACGCCATGGCGAGATGTTGACAGGGGAATGTTCAAGGTGGCCGGAGTTGGTCCGCTAGTATACGTACGTACTCCTCTTGGGCATTGTAGTATTATACTGTGGAAAAACACTTTGGTAGTAAGTCACTTGGGATGCATTCCTATCTATTTTCAATGTGGGAATTGTTTTATACGGCTCACTGGAGAGAATACATAGGTAGCAGCTCACTTAGAGTACTTGAGTCTGCTAGTAGTCCCTACGGAAATCATGTACCCCGAGTGTCTAAGTTTCAACCCTCCCTGCTCCTACAAGTATCAATGCGAGTGCTGCATACTAAACGTATGAAAGCAGAGAAGAGGCGCACAAAGCCCTGAAAGAATACACCGAGCAAACACTGAGTGGTTTCCACGCGTTTAAGCACTATATCACGCATGTCGCCAAGTCCAAGAAGAGTATGGGCAAGGAAGACGAGAATTTGGGGCCATCCCTGGGAAATGATACTAGTGCTTGTGATGTGACTCTAAAGCAGTGGAATCGACGACCCATCTACAGTAGCTGTCCCTGGAGCTACGGAAGCAGTCCTGCTGCAGCTCTTCCCCGTTCCCGATTCGCCTTACCCAGTCAAACAGTATTTTTTGATACGTTTAATAAAACATTTTAGAAAATATCTCTGTATGTGTAAAATTGTTGAGACAAATAAGGTCGAAAACCGGCCTTTGAGCTGTCGAGAGGTGGTGTAGGGAGACTTTTGTGACGGCAAGTAGGTCTAGCTCGGGACCTCGAGCATGGTCTTTCCTCCAGCGCCCATCAATCCAATCCAATCCAATCGATGCGTATTGTTACAGTCCATGGTATCATTAAACAAGGTAAGAAACAAGATGCAAAAGTCAGGGAGCGTGCTGAGCAATTATCGATCTCCCTCCGACATGCTGCTGGGCTGAACATTCGCTTGGACATCGCGGAATCCAAGCAATTGACCCAGCACACCCTTCGGCTTGGGCACAGGACATTCCCGATTGATATGTGAGAGGGTCTCGGCCTCTTCTTGCATCTGGAGGAACGTCGAGACCTCCTCGTCCACCGGACCAGCTGGTGTCGGAAGAGCCGGACGACCGGCTTCGGGGTCCATCTCAATCTCCTTCCGCCTTCTCCGTCTGATGCGTGGTACTTGTTGCCCGTCGGCTGTGATAGTCATTTCTGAGTCGGCAAAGGTGCGTCGTGGGGCCGGACAGGGGAAGACGTGCGGCACGCCAACCACCACGAGGGATGCAAGCAGGGTGCCGGCGAACAGGCCCATAGTCGACCGAGATTTGGGATGAAGATGAGGAGGCATTGTGTAGGAGGTAGAAGGGGTGTCTATGACGACTATCGAGGGGAATTGAAGGTGAGGTGGGCGTGGCCGGTTGGAAATTTTTTAGGCCATCGGAGGACCTCAGGATATAGGGACAATCGAGTAGCAAACGAGGTCAATAGGAAGACAATTGGATATCAGAGTGGAATTGCCTCGATTGACCAGCAGACAAGAGAGTCAATGGCGGTGGTGAGACTAGAAGAAGAGAAAGAGACAGCGCGGACATCTAATCTTATCTGGGGCCCGCGTGATTGGATGTTCCGCCTCAAGGCTCTTCTCTGCGCGCGACGATGCATCTTGCAAGCTCCGATTGAGCCCATTTGAACTTCTTGTTTTGCGAGGGGGTTTTGATTCTTGATACCCATTCTACCTCCCCTCCTAAGCTCCGCTCCTCCGCTCCTTCGCCCCTCCACCCTTAAAAAGATGAGCGACCTGGACCGGTACGCCTCTCCCCCGTGTCCCGTCGTTGATCCCACTAATCGTGTCTGACAGGGCGATCGAGCAGCTGCGGGCCTGCCGCCTGATCCCCGAAAGCCAAGTTCGCGAATTGTGCTACAAAGCGCGCGAGCTCCTGATAGAAGAAGGCAATGTCGTTTCTGTCGACGCTCCCGTCACCATCTGCGGCGACATCCACGGCCAGTTCCACGACCTGATGGAACTATTCCGCGTCGGCGGCGACGTCCCCGATACAAACTATCTATTCATGGGCGATTTCGTCGATCGAGGCTTTTATTCCCTTGAATCCTTCCTGTTACTCCTTTGCCTGAAAGTCCGATACCCCGACCGCATGACTCTCATCCGCGGCAACCACGAGTCGCGCCAAATCACAACCGTATACGGCTTCTACGACGAATGCATCCGCAAATACGGCAGCGCCAACGTCTGGCGCTACTGCTGCGAGGTCTTCGATTATCTGGCCCTCGGCGCTATCGTCCTCGGCGCGAGCTCCGAGCTTGAACCCACCTCCTCTAACATCCCACAATCCTCAATGTCCATCGACGACAGCGAGTTAGAAACAGAAGTACTCAACTCTAGAGGCGAAGTGACCGGGAGTACTTACCGCCCTCGTCAGCGTTCCTCCTCAGATGCATCTACAGATTCCCGAAATATCTCCCCGCCACGCGATATTTCTGCCGCCCCGGGTCAGGCTGGCGCGCCATCACGAACCGGTGCACCAGGGACAGGTGCAAGTAGCGATGTAAATGGAAGTGCCACAACCAGTCAGACTGGTGCGGTGCTTTGCGTGCACGGTGGATTATCACCGCTCATCGACTCCGTCGACAAGATTCGACTGATCGACCGCAAGCAAGAGGTGCCGCATGAAGGTGCCATGTGTGATCTTCTCTGGTCTGATCCGGATGAGATCGAGGGGTGGGGTTTGAGTCCTCGTGGTGCTGGTTTCCTCTTTGGTGGTGATATCGTTAAACAATTCAACCACCTCAATGGACTCTCTCTCGTTGCGCGTGCCCACCAACTTGTTATGGAGGGTTATAAAGAGATGTTTGATGGTGGTATTGTCACTGTTTGGTCTGCACCGAACTACTGCTACCGGTGCGGTAACGTTGCTGCTATCCTTGAACTGGGCGAGGACGCTAGTGGTGGCGGGACTGTTGCTCGCAGTAACGGTGAATATGGCCGGAGCAATGGACTGGCTGTGCAGAATACAGTGGTCAGCCCCGGAAGGAGGTACCGTGTGTTTGAAGCTGCGGCCCAGGATACCAGGGGCATGCCTGCAAAGAAACCCGTCGCTGATTATTTCTTGGTAAGTAGCTTCTGTCTTTTCTTTTCTACTGTTTGGCTCCATTTACTGATATTGTCTAGTGATACCACCGAATGCACTCGTTTTTTCGTTTTATAGGGTTCTTTTGGAAGTTGCATTTTGCGTCCTGGTGTTGGTACGTGATGATAATTAATGATCATCTATGAATATTTCTATACTCGCACTTCATCACACTTCATTTTCGGTCTTGTTGCACCTTCAACATAAATATCCAAACGAGCTGAACATATGTACTGCGCGACCCAGAATCATTGGATTAAGAAACCGAAGAGGCTGGGTTATGGAGTATCAGAGAGTCCTCTCTAATCTTCAAGCGCAAGCGCATCTGTGATCCTCCGTAAAGCCTCCATCAAATAATCCCGCGGCTGGGAGAAGACAATCCTAAACCATCCAGGCTGCTCCGATCCGAACAAATCACCGCTGGCCAAAAACACTTTTTCCCTCAACAAGACTTGCATGACTTTGTCACTGATGTCTTCAGTATTCTGCTCGGGGTGCAGCTGGCTGTACTTCTTTCCTAAGTTGACCCATAGAAAGAACGCTGCGTTGCAGCCTTGTGCATATTCAATATCATGCTTTCTGATATACTGAACTGCACACGTGTAAGAATTCGATAGCTTCTCCCGATTCTGATGTAAATATTCATCAACAAATTTCACATCTTCCAGCACAAGTGAGGCCAAGTAGTCAGAGACTCCAGATGCGTAGGAATACAGCGAGATCCCTTTCAACGCTTCATGGAAGACATTATTGGACTGCGATATGATGACCCCAACTCGAAGTCCATTTGCACCGAAGTCCTTGCTCATGCCCCATAGTACGTGAACAAGCCGCGGGTCAATGACCCCGTTTAACTTGATCGACAGAGTCGAATGAAATTCGACGGGTGGATGCTCTTGCTCATCTACGGTATTCTCCCAGACTGAGAGAGCGTATATCTCATCGCTGATGAGATGCATGTTGTGCCGTTGGCAGAGATGCATCATTTTGATGATCACGTTTTGGGAATAACAACGCCCAAGAGGGTTGTGAGGATGGCAAAGCATCAGTGCTTTGACTTTCTGGTTTGTTGTCCGTTGGAAGTCCAACAGAGCTTCCTCGTACCTGTCAACTGCCTCCATGCTGAACGGATCACAGTCTCCAAAGTTGACAGGAATGACCACTGCGCCGGGTCGCAAGGACATATCTGGTATGAACGTTCCATAGAACGGTCTGCCTAGAAGGATTCCTTCGCCGGGGTCTGTGAATGCCCAAGAGACATGTTCGATTGCGGAAGAGACCCCGTTCGTCACTATTATATGTTTGGAATCTAGGGGTATTGCGGGATGTAAATATCGATTGAGGAACTGCGATAGTGCTCGCTTGAGTCTCACTGACCCTGATCCTCCGTCGTTGTATGTGAGGTATTTAGCGGGAAGGTCGAGCTTCTTATTGATGAAACCCAACAGCTGATCGTGCATGAGGGAATTCTCTGCCACTCCAACGTTGACATATCCATCTGGGTTCGTTGATGGACACCATGGATTGCTAAGCACGTCCCACATGAGGTTCTTGGACACAGCTATAGATGCCTCATGTGCCCGACGAGACACGACAGTGTCCATTGAATGTGCCATATTGTTGTTATTGAAAGGGGAATTTAATATAAAAGCCAAAGAGTGGGATTCAGGTAGAATAAGACAAGACAAGACAAGGGGCATGGAGGAGTCATAGACTTTCCGGAGTTACTATGTCATTTCGATTTGCAAGTTATATACCTGTCCCATTCGGCTATTCCCAGCCAAGGTGGAATTCTGGAGATCGATATTCGTGTTGAAAAGAGCTGATCACTCAGTGCTATTACTCGAGAAGCTTTTGGATTATGCTCGGTGATGCGATCCACGGCTGTAGTCTTGTGGAAGTCCTAAACTGGTAAATTACCCGTCAACCAATTATTGGGGCCTTGACATGTTGGCTTCCTCAACTTTCAAGTCATAGCCTGAGATCGCTAGTAGAGACCAGATTCTTGTCTCAATCTGTCAGGCTAATTTCCGACACCATGATTTCTCTATACAATCCGAGCAGGAAGGATGTTCCAAGACCCTCTACGGCTGCATGTGATTGGACCACCGCCTTATCTATACAGTACAGTGTAGAATCTCCAGGCCTCTGCTTCCTGGGTTGAAAGTCTGGATAGGTCTATCTCAAAACGGTCATAGGATGCTTTAAGATGGCACTACTATCTCTTTTCTCTAATATGAGTTCAGCAAATCTGCATTAACAATCCCGATGTTCTGTCCCGAATGTGATGCTATTCTGTCGGTCACCATGAAATAAGAACCACGGAAATTGAATCATATGACTGCTGAGGTACGCATGGCTTGAACAAGGGCACTCCCAATGCCATATCTTATTAAGCGGGAGGCAATACGGTATGAGATTGGGTAGGACAGATGTCAGACTGTAAGCTAGATGGAAACGAAATCCTAAGAGCATGATACTAATCTGGATTAGCGTGAATTCGGTACCAGAGGGACTGCGAGTGTGCAGCTGCTACTTGTTTTACTTGCTCACCACCTTGTTCTTGATATGAGGCTATTCATCGGGAATAATGCAAGGTATGGTGCAAATGATTCAGGAGACAGTGGACTATCTGTGACAAGCAAACACCATGAAACATTCCAAGACCCAAGTATCTTCCACAAGTCACCTCCCAGCCCTATGGAGATCCGTGATCCCTGATCTACAGTCCCACCCGAATTGGGGCTTGCATCCGAGATTCACCTCTGATGGCCAGTCCAATAGTCGTGTGTTGATATCGAATTGACATTGGCACATGGTATTGATCTGGAAATTGGGAAATCTGGACCTCTGGAGTGGGCTCACTCCAGCGCCCTACCTCTTATACCGGGCTCGATACTACTGATGACCGGGGGCTAAATTCAAACTAGTTGGTCTCATCATGAAAGCAGGATCTGACAAAAGACTTTGTGCCCCATTGAAAGGTGAAAAAAGAACTCATCTGAAAATTAACCTGAAAGCTGGCTGTTTGAAGTGCACCCGAGATATGAGACAAGTGACATCAATGAGTCGGTGGTTCCGGCAAAAAGACAGAAGAATGCCCAGCTAAATTCAAGACCTAAACTGATCAGGGAAATGCCCCTCATCATGTATGCGGTAAGGGGGGTTAGATAGGACAATCGTCATTGGATTGATTGATAGTGTGAAGCGGTGACTGATGTATGGGCGATGGCTGATCGGGTGCCCAGTCTGTACAGTAGAACCCGGGCAATAAGTGCAACCACACAAATAAGATCTCTTGTCAGGGACCGTCAGAGACATGAAGCAAGTCAAACCCAGACCGCTGCAGTGAAAGATCAGACAAAAGAGGCCTTCACGTGCCCGGAGCTGTCAACTGTAATACACTTTTCGCCACGGTTGACCGACTGTGGGCTGGACTCCTTGGAAATGGTCTGAAATGGGGGATGCGGATAAACTCTTCTCTGTCACCTTACTTGATCTCTTTTCGAAAGCCCTAGAAACCCTTCCCAACCTGGTGCAGGTGAAGTGGGCGATCATTGCGGGCAGATTGTCTCACATTTTCCGAAGTGGCATTACCCGTGCCCGTTGCGCCCCTTGTCAACAACAGCCCCGCGAATCCCTCTCCCAACCCACAACACCCATTCTCGACCTCGCTCTACATCCTCAGCCATCATGGACGGGGACGAGCTGATCGCCTCGGTCGCCCACAAGATCGAGCGGGAGAAGGCCCTCATCACTGCTGCCAGTAACATGCGGCAGTCGACCGACAACCCCCTCGTACAGCAGAGAGTCGACGCCAACATCCGCGATGGCCGCAAGAATATCGCTTATTTGGAGGAGAAAATGAGAGAGCTGCAGATTCGTCACATGCAGCAGGAGGCTGGCTCACCTGGCCAGCGTCACCCGCATGGGGGTCCGGCGCCCCCACCAAAGGACTCCTCCGGATACGCTGGCGAAGGCGACTATGGTGATGGCCGCAACTATGCTCAGGGTGGCGCTGGGTCGATGCCGTCCGGCGCTCCATTCGCTGACCCCCGACCTTACGCTCCGATCCCAAAGGCCAGGCCAAACTACACGAAGCTAGGTGCGTCAGGTTATGTTCCGAGATATAAACTGGGACCCCTCAAAAATGTTGCGTTAAGCTTAAAATTGATTGGAATGCTGACATGAATAACGATGTCTCAGATCTTATCAAATATGACACTGCATACCTCGGGCCGAAGATTCAACTCATGTTGTCCCAACTGGAGTTCAAGCTGAGTGTCGAGAAACAATACAAGGCCGGTATTGAGAAGATGGTGCGCTTGTACCAGGACGAAGGTGACCGAAAGAGTCGCGCCGATGCCGAGGGCCGTCGCATTGAGAGCAACCAAAAGATCCAGCTATTAAAGCAAGCTTTGAAGCGCTATGAGGATCTTCACGTTGATATTGATCCTACCGCCGATTCGCCCGATGGTATGCAAGACACTACAAGCTTGGAAATGTTGTTGGTTCCGAGGTACTAACTAGTGGCACAGACGAGAGTTTAAGCGTCCCGAACATGCGCAAGCCTCTGACCGGTCTACTGACGATGCGCATCACCGCAGTCAAGGATGTTGATCATGCCGCTAGCTCTCGATTCTCCCGAGGTCCGGAGACATATGTGGTCGTCAAGGTCGAAGACACCGTCAAGGGTAAGACAAAAGCGACACGAAACGATAGATGGCTGGACGAGGCATTCTCCATGGATATCGACAAGGCCAACGAGATTGAATTGACCGTTTACGACAAGTCGGGAGACCGCCCGACCCCCATCGGTATGATTTGGATTCGAATTTCTGATATCGCAGAGGAGATGCGTCGTAAGAAGATTGAGACCGAACTCAACACAGCTGGTTGGGTATCCGCCGATAAGATGGCTGATGGTGGATCACCTCGCAATGACCACCCTGGCTCTCCCCAGGGAGCTTCCCAAGCCCCCGGCTCTGCACGGCCAGGTACCTCTGGTCAAGGTGGCCACCACGGCGGAGAGGTTTCGAATGTGCCTCCAACTGTGACGATCGATGCGTGGTTTGCTCTGGAACCCGTTGGACGGATTCAGCTGCAGATGAGCTTCGGTGAGACGAGTTTTATCCGCCGAGTCTTTTATATACTAATTTTGGACAGCTAAACAATTGAAGGACCGCCGTCCCTTCGACATTGGTCTCAACCGTCAAGGTGCCGTGCGTCAAAAGAAAGAAGAGGTTCACGAAAAGCAAGGTCACAAATTCGTTACGCAGCAATTCTACAACATCATGCGCTGTGCGCTTTGTGGAGAATTCCTCAAGTACGCTGCCGGCATGCAATGTGCAGATTGCAAGTACACCTGTCACAAGAAGTGCTACTCCAAGGTTGTCACCAAGTGTATTAGCAAGGCCAACTACGAGACCGACCCGGACGAAGAGAAAATCAACCACCGCATCCCCCATCGTTTCGAAGGTTTCTCCAACATCTCCGCCAACTGGTGTTGCCACTGTGGTTACTTGCTGCCATTTGGTCGTAAGAATGCAAAGCGATGCTCTGGTAAGCACTCTACGAGGATTCATCATTGGCTTGTTAAATATTAATATTTCTCATATAGAGTGCGACCTTACATGTCACGCTCACTGCACTCACCTTGTACCCGATTTCTGTGGCATGTCGATGGAAGCGGCCAACCAAATTCTCGAGACATTGATTCGCGCCAAGAATCACAACAAGTCTGCCTCTGTCAGTTCCGGTCTAAGCAATCGCACCCTTCGACCAAGCGGTCCGCCGCAGCCCCCTCAAGACAATGCTGCCCTCTCCTACCCCCAAAAACCGATGGAAGGCCCCTACGGGGCTATTCCCAGACAACCCTCCGCCGAAGCGGTAAGCGCAGCCACTAACTCCTTCATGACACCACAGTCACCAACAGCTTCTGCACAGGCCGCACAGCGCCAACAGTTGCCTCCGAAATCCCCTACGGGACCTTCCGCCGCCGCCGCTGCCGCCGCCGCCGCTACTGGCATGCGTAGCCCCCAGCAAACCCCGAGTATGCATTACCTATCTTTTTCGGGGTTGGAACTATGGTACTAATATTTGGATTATAGCTGAAATGAACCGTCCAATGCCACCTCAAGCACCTCAGCAGCCCCAGCATGCCCACTATGATCCATCTGCTTATGCCAACTTCCCGCAGCAGCCCCCGCCTCAGGCTATGCAAAAGGCTCAACCTTATCCGATGGCACCGCCGCCACAGCCCATGCAGCAACAGATGCCCCAACAAGTTGCACCGCCTGCTAAGGATGATGCTGCCCTGACACAGGCCAAGGCTCGTATTGGATTGGATCATTTCAATTTCCTTGCTGTTCTCGGAAAGGGTAACTTCGGAAAGGTCATGCTGGCTGAAACCAAGAGCAGCCGCAAGCTGTACGCCATCAAGGTCCTGAAGAAGGAGTTCATCATTGAAAACGATGAAGTGGAGAGCACTAAGTCCGAGAAACGTGTGTTCCTAATTGCAAACAAGGAACGTCACCCATTCCTCCTCAACTTGCACGCTTGTTTCCAGACTGAAACTCGTGTCTACTTCGTCATGGAGTACATCAGTGGTGGTGATCTTATGCTGCACATTCAACGTGGCCAATTCGGTCTCAAGAGAGCACAGTATGTCATTCCCGGGTATGAGCTTGAAAATTCGAAATTTGCTGACTCAAATATCCCAGATTCTATGCCGCCGAAGTCTGTTTGGCGCTCAAGTACTTCCATGAGAATGGTGTCATTTACCGTGATTTGAAGCTCGACAACATTCTTCTGACCCTTGATGGTCATATTAAGATTGCTGATTATGGTCTCTGCAAGGAGAACATGTGGTACGGTTGCACGACCAGCACCTTCTGTGGTACACCTGAATTCATGGGTCCCGAGGTAAGCATTTTCAAAGTAACTCTCTTTGAGACCCGATTTATTGACGCTTTCTAGATTCTACTGGACAAGAAGTATGGACGGGCTGTCGATTGGTGGGCATTTGGTGTTCTTATCTATCAGATGCTCTTGCAGCAATCTCCTTTCCGTGGTGAAGATGAAGATGAGATCTACGATGCCATTCTCGCTGATGAGCCTCTCTACCCCATCCACATGCCCCGCGACTCCGTATCAATCCTGCAGAAGCTGTTGACTCGCGAGCCCGAGTTGCGTCTCGGTTCTGGTCCCACCGATGCCCAGGAAGTCATGTCCCACGCCTTCTTCCGCAACATCAACTGGGATGATATCTACCACAAGCGGGTCCCTCCGCCTTTCATCCCCACAATTAGCAGCCCCACTGATACCAGCAACTTCGACCAGGAGTTCACCAGTGTGACTCCCGTCTTGACCCCTGTGCAATCTGGTAAGATTTTATCCCCTTTCGTCTACATCTGAGCCCTAGCTGACTGTTTCATTTAGTGCTTTCTCAAGCCATGCAGGAAGAATTCCGCGGCTTCTCCTACACTGCCGACTTCGCCTAATCTGGCCAAGACCACAATGATGAATATTCACTTGGATCCCTGTGAAGATACGTTAAAGGAGGGGTTTAATGCCGAGACGGCCGGTTTCTTCAGGGCGCCGCGGGTCACCCGCCCTTCCCAGCACTTCTTTCTCTTCAAATTGCTCCAACATACCCAATTGCAGTTTCGTATTAAGTGCCGGTGTGAACGCCTGTCCGCTTGATATGCTTTGTTCGGATACCATGGTTAATGAAACCTCTAGGTTGCTTGCTTTGTCAGTTTCCTTTTCATGCCTATCTAAATTGCTTGCTCTATTCTTTCTTTTCTTTGCTGTCGAGTTCTTTTCAGTTCCAATGTGTTTCTTTTCCGACTGGTCGGGTTTATGACTCTATTTTATGTCGGACAGTCAAATGTCCAAAAAGGAGGGGGTTGTGGACTTAAGGGGGAGTTATAGTCCAAGTATGAGAGTATGAGAAATGACGACGTTTGAAGATCTATGAAGATGGCGTAGGACCTGGAGCTACGCTTTATGCGTCTTGTGTTCTAATGGCCGCACCTATGGAGTTGCAAATACGATATCCATTCTAACTGCGATGTGTTTTATGTAGTTAAGTTGCAGTTTTCACCTGCTCCCAGACAGGAAAGTAATTTAGGGTCCTTCCTTTACCCTCCGATCTCTCGTTGGCTTACTGTTTCTCGATGCCTTCCAAGTTCTTCCCCGTCTCCTTCTTCTCCTCTCCGTCTTCTTCTACACCTTCTCATTTCCACTGGACGGCCCTCAATCTTCATTCTTTGTTCCCAAAATAGACTTCTTTTGTCAAAGCCTTCGTGGCATCACGACTCAGGTACCTTCTTTGCTGATGCCCGCGAGCCTCGAGTCCCCTTGATACTGTACCTCCGAGCAACAAAGAAAGTCCACCCTCGGTCAACAAACAAACCCCGTCTTCGAACAACAAAGAACGTTGTGCACGCCCAGACCGAAACAACGATCCCATCGACTTTCCTGACAGCTAGGAATTTGGATCTCCTCCGTGCTGAGTTGATACTTGAACTTACGAGCCTGATATCAGACACTTCTTGTGGGAGATCTCGACTCTTATTGACTGGGTTGATCCTATATTTCGGACCTTTCATGATACGCCTTTTGACGTGCCTGTTCCTATTATTCCGCTTTTTCCTGCTTATTGTCCCTCGTCCTCTCTCTTCTTCTCCTTTCTCTTCCCTTCCTTTTTCTTCATTTTCTTCTTTCCATTTTCTTCCATAGACAAGCTTACCGGAAGTAGCTGCAGTTTCTCATCGCATTCTTTATACATCTCAAACTCATCATCTCATGGGGCAGGAAAGCTCCGCCCCCGTGGCAAACGAGCCATTAATCATTGCTAAGAGTAATGGTGAAGAGAATCTGGTAAGTCTGATAATTACATTCAATCATGGTTCTTTCGCTTCTATTTCTCTTGCCTGTCTTCTTTCTTGTTTCATTTACGCTCAACTTACTCGTTTTTCTATCAGGATACTTCGAGTCAGAACTCGGTCTCGCCAGTCGAAAATACGATACATGAATCACAAACTGAGCAAGTTCAGAAGCAGGACTCGGTTGTCGAAGACGAGGTGAAGCCCGACTCAGCAGCGGTGAAAATCGAGGAATTAAAGTCGCTATCCGACCACGAAGCGAAGCCTGAGTCGCCAGCTGAGTCTATCCAGAAACCAGACCCACCGTCCGACGATGACTTGGAGCCTGAGAAACCAGTCGCACATGTCAAGCAACTCGATTTCTCAGATATCATCAACAAGCGCAAGCGAACTAAAGACCCCGATGTCGAGGCTGGTGGCGATACTGAAGCAGACCTCAGTGATTCGGATATTAGTAACTTCAATCCGAGTGAATCCTCTTCTCCTGCCTCAAGTGAGGAGGATCCGCCGCCATCACCAACCCCCAAGCGTGGGAAGAAGAATCCTCTGGACCCTTCGTTCAAGGATCCCAACCCTCGACGCAAGAATAACAAAAGGAGGAAGAAGGCCTCGGACACAGAATACACCGAACATGATAGTGAGGATGACATTTTCTTTGTTCCAAAGTACGAACGCAATCAACTCTTGGACATACAACCTAGGAGAAGAGGAAAGCGTCAACTTGAGCCGGAAGATCTGCCCATCAATCCTGACTTAGGGCCACAGGAACAAGCGCTTGCCGCTCGGCTTCACGCCTGTTCCAAGAAGGCCTCGATTCCTCGTCATTGGCAAAAGGATTTTATGACCTTACCGGAAAAGTTGTTCTTTGCTGCAGATGATGATGAGGACGCAGAAAACCACAGAAACAAACTCAAAGAAGGCGATTTTGTCCTTGGGGCTCACAAGAGCTCTGAGTTCTATGCAATCCGAGCTTTCCAAGAACTCTTGCAAGTTTGCGGCCACGTGAGAGACTTTTGTAATGTTCTCCGTTCTCCGTCTGAGCCCTTTATCAAGAGAACAATCGAGAAATATCTCCGCTGGGCAGTAATCGACGCGGGGCTTTCAATCGCGCCCGACAATATCCCCATGCACGTAATTTACACCAAAACGGAGAAAGAGGACTCCCAGGAAGCCATCACCAAGTTCTATAAGAGATTGCAGAGCCGAGCAACCGAGTTCAAGAATCATATCCTGCTCTCTCCCGCTACCGACAGCTACTGGCCAGCCCTGGTAGGCTTCTTCGTAACCGGACCTATTGTTTCTGTGGTCACGCTTGACACCACTCCTCAGCCTCCAGATGCCAATCCACCGTCTGCAGATAAAGGAACTAAGCCACCGGGCGACAGCTCCTCTTCGGGAATCAACCTTCTCATGTACATGGATCTTTCAGACATGAATCGCGATGTCTGGGGTGCCATGTTTCTTGCAATTCTCATTAGACACATCAGGGATACCATGGTCAAGCTCGCTGAAAACTACAAATCTGCATGGGTAGCGCATGCTCCTGGTCCCAATGGTGATTCTGGATACTTCTCGGACAACGACCAATAAGTTCTGTGGTTTCAGAGGAACCCCGGGGACTCGACTTCTTGAACTGCATCTGAACATCAAGAAATTGTACTCTTGGTCAATAATTTTTGGAAATTTCGCCATCGAGCGTGTTTAACGGGCGCTTGGATGGCGTGCGCAAGTGTAGATTTTTGCTGTGGATGATAGGTTTACCGGAGCTGCACGGCAGTGGAGCATGCTGCTATGGGGCAGTGGTTTCCACGACCGACTGCAAGGACTGATTTGTTAATTCAGTTCTTTTTCTTATGCAGATGAGAACCTGTTTTTCACTTCTTCGTTCTTTTTCAAGAACTCTCAATGAGCCATCATCTGGGGTCAAAGAGAATATATTGCGTTGAACGGAAAGGAAAGTCCGCACCCTAAAAACTCTTTCATGATGATCTCGGAAAACCAACATGGGACCACCGAATCGTCCCCGTTGTTGCGCGATGTCGACCCTGAAGCAGCCAACAGGACAAAAAAGGCAGGATGGCAACAAGAATTGAAGATTATCTCGCGATACACAGCTCCGTTGATGGTCGCACTCCTGCTTCAACATGCATTGACCGGGTCCAGCATTTTCATGGTGGGCCATCTGGGGAAACGGGAAATCGGGGCCGTGAGCTTGGCTAACATGACCGCCCAAATCACTGGATACTTCGTGTTCCAAGGCCTTGCAACATGCCTCGATACTTTATGCCCGCAGGCATATGGTTCGGGAAATCTGAAAATGGTCGGCCTACATGTTCAACGCTTAACACTCTTCATGCTCGTTCTCATCGTCCCAATCGGGGTCATATGGTACAATGCCGATCGCCTGTTCATGCTGGTTCTCCCAGTTGAATCTCATGAAACTGCTGTTCTCGCGGGATTGTACCTCAAAATCGCTATCTTCGGAGCTCCTGGGTATGCCTGCTTTGAGTCTGGAAAGCGATTCTTCCAGGCGCAGGGTTTATTCGGTGCTAGTTTGGTGGTCCTTTTAGTTTGCTCTACGCTTAACATCTTTATGGGCTGGCTGTTTGTCTGGGTATGTGGTGCGATATATCACTCATCTGCTTCATTTACTGACTGTTCCTCCGCAGAAGTTACAATGGGGCTTCATCGGTGCTCCAATCTCGGTCGCCATTGCTAATAGTCTTCTTCCAGTCTTCCTAGCACTCTACGTCATCTTCATTAGAGGCTCAGAGTGCTGGCACCCTATCTCTGTCGAAGTCTGGCGCGGCTGGGGTCCAATGTTGAACCTCGCCATCCCGAGTTGGTTGATGATCGAAGCCGAGGTTCTCGCTTGGGAGTTCATGACTCTCATCTCGTCTCACCTCGGAGAAACTGAGCTTGCTGCCCAAGCTGCTATCTCTACTCTATCCGACTTCGCATTCCAAGTCTCCTTTTCCATTGCCATCGCTGGTGGAACGCACATCGCGTATCTTGTAGGAGCAGGCCTTATCGACCGTGCAACAAGAGCAGCTACAGTTTTGGTCTTCACTGGTCTTGGTGCTGGCTTAATGAATATGGTCATTGTCCTTGCTCTCCGGGGTGTGATCCCTGGCCTGTTCAGCGACATTGGCGAAGTCTGGCATTTGATCTACTTTTTGCTTCCATTGGGTGCCGTTCTTCAGATTCCTGATGCCGTGGCTACCTCACTCAATAGCTTGCTGCGAGCTGTTGGGCGGCCTGATTTGGGCAGCTACGTGCAGCTCTCAATCTATTACCTCGTGGGGTTGCCATTGGGCATCGTTTTCGCATTTTGGTTGAACTGGAGCATTTTTGGCCTCTGGTGTGGAATCTTGATTGGACAATCTATCATTGTCGCGATCGAGGGCTTTTACTTCTGGAAGATGGCTGACTGGGCCAAGGCATCGAGAGAAGCGGTGGAGCGTATGGAAGATGAATAAATAGTACCGAGCATGGGCGTAAGGTATACAATCATGATGATATAGCACTGAGTCTCCCAATCAAAAGTATCTCGCAACAGAATGTGTAATACAATCAACCATTTCAATTGTCTTGTTTCTCCCTGAGCTGTGCTGTTCGTATACTGTAATGGACCTGTCACATGACCCGGCCCGCCGTTGACGCTATTCCCAACACGCGCTCTTCAAGAACACTGCATCACTCAATCGCCCACGATGGATGCCGCCGAGGATCGAGATGTAAAGCTGCAACGCGCATCCGGCGACTTAGTGGCCGAGTTCTCAGCAAAACTCCCTTCGCTATTGTGGAGATCACAAAATGGCACACCCCTCCGCACCCCACGCAAATGGGCACAGGTAACAAAGACCGAGAAACTTGTCAGCCTCGTAAGATGCCCCAACCACAAAACAACCCTCGATTATTCCCTGGATTGCATATGTTGATACTTCCCACAGCTTGAACCATTCCAAGAATGGCCCCAACTCCTAGATCCACACTTGCAGAAGCTGCTATCCCCTTTAGTGGACGCTTTTCTGGCATATCTGATCAAGCACCGCAGCCAGTATGGTACGGCTTCACCGCGTCAGTCTCAGATTGGAGCTCTTTATCCTCTTCCGAGAGCTATTTGCAGACTCTTGTACACGTTCTGCAAAGTCCGCGGTGTCAAAGTCATCAGCCGGTTTCTAAACAACGAACCTAAGTACCTTGAATCGATGTTGCGAGCCTTCATTCAATGGGATTCTGTGCAAGCGTTAAACATTGAGGATATGGTTGACTCCGAGCGGCTGCGGTTGATGTGGGAAGAGCGCTACGTGATGCTGGTTTGGCTTTCGCATCTGCTGCTTGCTCCGTTTGATCTTTCTTCGTTATCTTCTGACGATATCCCTGTGCCATATGACAATTTACAGGGCTTAAATTGGCTGCCTGTTGAGGCGCCTATGATTGCGAGGTCTCTTCTTTCGTTGTCATTGCATTATATCAGTGCATCTGGTAAAGAAAGAGAAGCTGCCACGGCGCTTTTGGCTCGGTTTGCTTTACGTGGAGATATGCAAGCTCTTGGGGTCCTCATTGGCCTGACGAACTGGGCTTTTGCTGCTATTCGGCCCTCGGAGGAGGCTGAGTCGCCTTCTGTCTATGGTTGCATTGGTGTTCTCACGTTCATTGCCCGTCTGGGTGCATCAGGACATGTGGATGATCTTGCTCCTTTGATCAATTATATTTTCCAGCAGACTCTCAGCGTATCTCAAGGGCAGTCTGCAGTATCTGCAACCATTCAAGCTTCAGCTTCAGCTAGGAAGATTGTGGTTAAGATTCTTCGCAATTTCACGGTCATGGCTTTGTCTTTGAGTGAGCGTGGCGATGGCCGCATCTCGGATGATAACCTGTCTACTATTTTGGAAGATTCGATCGATCATTTTCTGGTCTCGCTGGCTGATAAAGACACTCCCGTGCGATTTGCGGCGAGCAAAGCACTCAGTATTATCACCTTGAAATTGGACGCAGAAATGGGAACTGAAGTCATTGAGGCGGTCGTTGGGTCGCTTGGAGAAAACATCCTATATGAGAAAGATGATGGTTCTCTAATTGTGCCCTCTGAAGCTCGGAAGATTGGGGCACACACCCTCAAGTGCAATCTAAGTGCTGTCGATGCTCAGCGATGGCAAGGACTGATCCTCACACTATCACATTTGCTCTTCCGCCGCGCACCTCCAATCCATCAACTTCCGGAAGTTCTCCAGTCCCTTGTATCCGGATTATGCTTCGAACAGAGATCGTCCACCGGCAGTTCTGTGGGCACGGGAGTACGAGATGCTGCCTGCTTCGGTGTCTGGGCTTTGTCCCGGAAGTATACCACGCCCGAGCTGCTGGCACTTCAGTCCCAAGTAGTGGCATCGCCATCCGGCCAGAAGGAAGTCGATGTTCTGCAGAAATTAGCCGTGGAACTTGTCTGTGCAGCTTGTGTCGATCCATCCGGGAATATACGTCGTGGTTCTTCAGCTGCTTTGCAGGAGTTGATTGGTCGTCATCCTAATACCATCGCCGAAGGCATTCCACTTGTGCAGGTGGTTGATTACCATGCTGTTGCCCGTCGTTCTCGTGCTATGATTGATGTGGCTAAAGCAACGGCATCTCTAGATCAGATTTACTGGAGTCCCCTGCTGGATGCTTTGGTGGGCTGGAGGGGTATTGGCTCACCAGACGCCGAGTCTAGAAGACATGCTGCAAAGTCTATTGGAACACTGAGTACTCAGGAGCTATACAAGACTATGCAGTTAGTTCTAGATCGTTTGCTGCAAAGGTTCGCTGGTACTTCTCGCAGTGACGTGGAATCACGACACGGATGTCTGTTGTCGATCGCGGCTACAGTTGATGCATTCACTGCTCATTGGGAGGGTTCAGTGGAGACAAGAGATACCGAAGAAGCTAGGGAGGTATCCTCTCGAGTGGCCAAGGTCTGGGAGATTTTCGGTTCTTCGTCAGGACCTACAGACGATGACTTGACATTCCAGACTTCACGCCCGGAATTAACAGCAGAGGCATCATCATGCTTGATCTCCTCGCTTTCTCGATCTACAACTACGATCAGTCTGATACGTCCCTCTGAGGCGCTTCTCGATCGCACACTCCAAATTCTGTCCGTGTGTGCATCCCGAAGCGATGATACTTCAATCGAAACGTCTTCAACTGCGTTATCGCAACTTTTCCCTCTTCTATCGACATCGAAGCAAGAAGAAACTGTCCGGATTTGGTTCTCTCATCTTCATAACTCATGGCGACTGCCAACTGGTCGGGGTCAAATTTTGGCTCTCGGTGCGGTCTTCAAGCAGCTAGAAGGACAAACCGATCTCCAAGAAAATATTGTCACTGAAATTCTTCGCTACACCGGGAAAGAGGAACTCATTGAAAAACGAGTGGCTGCTGTTAAATGCCTGGCTACCAGTATTCTGCCATACATGGGTAGGTTATCTCGCTCTGATCTGAACATTTACTGTTAGAGCTAACAATACCTCAGGTACGACTGATACAGTTTCAGCCAGCTTCCTCGGATTCTTAAATGACTACACCACTGACCGAAGAGGTGATATTGGATCTCTTATCCGAGTGGAAGCAATCCAAGCAGCGGCCATACTTTTGAAAAGAGAATCAGGATCCGCATTACGCTCACCCTTAGTCCAAAATCTAGTCGGCAATCTATGCCGTCTTGCATCGGAGAAGTTAGACAAGGTCAGGCTCCATGCGTGGCTTTGTCTCCAAGAATTCTGGGAGTCAGCTGTGGATCTTCCCCCATTGGAAATGTAAAGTTTTGGTCCTATGATGTTTTGAAATTTCCACTAATTGGATACAGGAAATTTGAACACTTCAGTCACGTCTCATCACAGGAGTACTTTGCCCAGCTGCTAACCTTGCAAAGCATTGACTGGATTCGTCTTCCCCTGTTGCAGGGATTTGCTACATCTACTATATCAGGCGCGGAAGGTCTTGTCCGAGCATCTCGGTTAGCATTGTCGCAGTTTCTGGACAATCAGTCAGAAGTACGGCGACTGGAAATTTTGATGACTTTCCTCCATGATATGTCTACAGTGTTGAGTGACAATCTCCAAGATGATCGCTTTGCCATCCCTGCTGTGGAATTTGTCGCTTTCTTGATTGATAGCTATATCCCTGCCATCCCTGAAGGCACAGATCCAAGGTCCGTTCTTCACTTCGTGTTACTTATGCTTAATTATTCTCTAACATGCAACTTCCAACGCAGTTTCCGCAAACTCTTCATCCTTATCCAAAAATCACATCTCAGATCGGCCAATATGGCTCGATTGGAAGCGGCCGTCAAAGTATATGCTACATTAACAAGAATCGATTCTCTGCGAGCTGATGTTCTGAAGAAAATGACGGGGCTGCTCCTGCATCCTTTTCCAAGGGTATTTACACTCCCTCCTTTTTTTCTTTTCTTTTTGATCCTTGATACTAATGTACCGGCTTCTTCAGATTCGGTCCAGTGCTGCGGAGTATCTGTTTGTTGTGACAGACACTGAAATTACCAAGTTCGAGGACTGGTCTGCTCCGCCAAAGGAATTAAAGCCGCAGGTTGAGAGTCTGCGGGCTATTCTTGCTCAATTAAATTAAAATAAAGAAATAAGTAATGCCATTGGATATTGGGTCATAATCTTGTTACAAAGCCAAATACCGTTCCCTTAAGTTCAATTTAAATTGCATAATCATACACGGGGGCTATTGAGTACTTGCCCTTGATCACTGATTAATTTCAGCCGCACAGTCGCCTCAGTCTGGTTAAGGAACGGCCCGCAATGACGAGCCGTGATTTCCGTAACAATAATATTAGAAGGGGTCCAAAGGTATTAAAACCGAAGACTTGACCATTCAATCAAGAAGCAACTCCACTTATTGGGTTCGGACTTATACCTCAACAAGAGAAGTGTATAGTTGCATAGAAAGGACGCTTGATATTAATCAATCAACTATGTGCATTCGCATGGAGATATTACTTATAATTTTATCCGTACGTGAAAAGCATACTCCTAGCTTGAATTCATGACTCTCCTTTGCATCGATATCTCAATACATCTATATTCAGGATATATTCTTGATCCATTATAAACAGCCGTCTTTTGTTCACAAATTATATGTCCTTGCAGTCAATACCGAGAACAACAAGTGCTTACCGACCCCGTCGTGGTGATGAGATAGAACTCACGCATCCAGACGGTAGTCAGCAAAGAAGTCGAAAATGTACTCCGTGGCATTGAAGACATACTTCCCAAGAGGACACTGACTGGCCAGACGCTTATAGTCATCATTAGTAACAGTACTAGGCCAACAATGACCATTCTGACCCTCCCGATAATGCTGCACAATACCCTTCTTGCCACCACAATCCCAAGAAGCATGCTTGACAAGCGGGCTTTCAAACACAGTCTCATTCCTCGCCCATTGGGCCTTCGCACCGCATCCATTTCGACCAGCCCAGCCTTGCAGAATATCAATGACAGGCAACTTGGGAGTCTTCTTTGTATTCCCGTCAATGGGCGCCGTGGTATCTGTCGTGCCATGGAACTCAAGGAAAGGATATCCCTCGGCGCGCTTTGCAGGCGCGCAAGGCCCCACGCCTTCAATATCGTCAGTGTCGTACCATGCACCACTGACAGCGGCAAAAGCGGCGAATCGGCTTCCGACGGTGGCATTGCAAGCGATTACGCCGGTGAACCCACCGCCGTTGGATTTGCCTGCTGAGTAAACTCTGTTTGTGTCGATGCAGAGTTTCTCTTCCATGTGATCTAGGAGATCGTTGGTGAAGTCCAGATCGTTGGGACGTGATGTGTCGGCACTGGGGTTGGAGAGCCAGTATCCATTCTTGCTATCTGGGTAGATGGCAATTCCGTCGGGGTTGAACTCTGGGTTGGAGAATTGCGAGAGCTCTTCCTCTTCCAGCATGTCTCGGCTGGCGCCATGGAAGGAGAAATAGAGCGGCGTTGGGGTGTTTTTGTCATAGCTGGTTGGGATGTATAACCTGTATTGGCGGTCGGAGCCTGGGAGCTTGAGACTCGTGCTCGATCCCGGGGTTGGGAATTTGGAGGGTATATCTTTGCTGCAGCCTGCCGATTGAGCGGTGCTGATGCCTGCAAGGGCTGTAAGGGACAAGAGGAATGCGATCTGCATCGTGATGGTTGGTGTGACAAAACGTGCAGGGGGGGGGGGGGGGGGGGGTGTCGGCTGATTTATATGAACATTTTTAGTTCCAAGTCTCAGAACAGAGCCCCATTATTTTGGGGAACCGATTGGCGAGATCTGCACTTTTTGGACGTGTTGCCCAATCGGGAACATTGGCCCTAACCTGCAAGTCCAAGACATTAGTGGCCCCCTTGATGGGGGCTGGATACACACACCATCCCCTTTAAGTCTCTTGGCATTTGACATGCAGAAGCTCAATGATTCGCTATTTTTGAGTGAAATGTGAGCCGCGCCTTGCTGATCGCCTGCAAAGACTTTACAGTAATGCTGAAGGGGGCTAACTACTGTAGGTGCGACCCACGCGGTGTGCCCCTGTATGCACTGTACGGTATACTACTGTAGTAGTTGAAGTTAATGCCACACACACGCTAAGACACTCGCCATGGCTTATCTCGCGCGGCTTATTTTCTCCCTAATATCTGCGCTCAATGTTCTCTACAGTAGGTAACTTATTTGGTCAACTTTTAAACTACTTGGGGGCACAACCTTAACTAGACTATAATAAATGATACAATGACTTATGCCTACCTCCATGCTCTCAAACATGCTCCTCAACAAACCGGTTTCTGGCAAATGCACGCTTCAAGGATCTACATGTACCACACGGGCCGAGAACGGCCCCCAATGGCCCGGCATGCTGCATTTACGCATGGTTCCATGTGAGAAGCACAGATCCGACATGCTGACGTTGGATAAAGCGGGTGATCTTCGCAAGTCGAAATTGGCATTTTGAATAGCCGGGCGCTTATATCTTCAGTGAATAAAAGATAACCCTCTCTGCTTGGCCGTAAACTTATCATGCAACTACTGTCCCGCCATGCTACTTGACCTTCACCCCCATAGTGTGATAGCTGTGGGTGTACTTCTTCCCACCCTCGCCTCACTTGCTGTAGGATCACGGTTCTATTCAAGGCGCAAGCTTGGCGTCTCTCTCAAGGAGGATGACTGGATGGTTCTAGTTTCGGTGGTGCTGGTATGGGGCTTAGGCATCACCAATATCTCCGGTAAGCCCGAACTGGCCCGGCCTTTGATCCGATAGCGACCGAGTGAATAACAATATCATAGGTGCTGCCCTGGGGGCTTTGGGGGCCCATTCGGAGCCAGCGAGTCCTGATGCGCCTCATCACAATACTATCATGCGAGGACCTCGGGATGAGATTGCTGAACAGGTATGTTTTCAACGCCGAGGCTGTGAGTTGCCAATGGATACTGATCAACTCAAATCAGATTGTTCTCGGCTATAGCATCGTTGAGAAGGTTGCATTTGGCGTCATCAAAATCAGCGTGTTATTGGCATATAGGCGAATCTTCCGTGGTGTGACATTCAATATCGCCTCACTTACTATGATCGCCATATGTGCACTATTAGCGATATCATTTCTTATTACCTCCGCTCTCCAGTGCCATGTTCGAAATTGGAGTCTGCAATATCTTGCCTGGTCGCATCGGCGACACTGTGTCCAAGCTGAGATATCATGGTCTGGCTATGCCATTGCGGACGTGGTCACAGATCTAGTGCTCCTGTTGTTCCCTGTGCCACTGGTTTGGCAGCTGCAACTCACCATTTCCAAGAAGATCAGTGTGCTTTTGGTGTTCTTACTAGGATCGTTGTCGACTGCTATTGGCATCACGCGAATGATTGTGTTGTTATACTTCACCTATGGTTTGTCTCGCATTAGCCCGCAAAAAGAACGGAATAACTGAATCATTATCCAGGGAGCTCAAACGGATACCGCGATTTGCTGGATACTATCTCGACTGCACTGATCTGGAGTCTTACTGAAGCGTCTGTCGCTATAATTGCTTCCTGCCTACCATCCATTCGCCCTCTTATCCATCGTTCTTCTGCGAGTGAAATACAAGCTCAGTCCTCAATGAAGTCACTCCGGCATTCACTCCAGCATTCACTCCAGCATTCACACCGGCATTCTCGATCAAAAAGTGCTGAGGGTGCGATGAAACAACCACCACTTGAAGCGTTTGAGGGCAACGAGGACCACCAATCCTCGCGGTGTAGTTCGGACAGAGTGTAGGATAGAAGGAGATAATGCAAAAGCTTGACAATTAGCGATGCATCAACTGTTCAATTCTTTAGATTGCCAACCAATTAGGAGCATAACAAGATAAAAAGACAAATGAAAGAATGAAAGAAAAAGAAAGATGAGAAAAGAGCAAAAAAGATGTGCATCATCCGTGAATCGAACACGGGCCTCGTCGATGGCAACGACGAATTCTACCACTAGACCAATGATGCTAGTTCATGTATTATGCGGCCCACAAGGGCTTCATAACCCAAAACTTCCCCTCTCCCTCATCTCGCCGCCTTCACTCACGCCGAAGCTCAGTCTCGCTGCCCCCCAGAGCTCCAACTGTCGCAACCATGGCAGCCGTCTCTGCAGCTGGCATTCCTGCCAATTCCACGTGAGTATTTCTTCACCATCTACCGAAGTCTATGCTAACCAATCTCCCAGAGTATACGTGCGCATCCTGTTCCTCCCCTGCTATCAGCATTCCGATCCCGCTTGAGCACTCACTAACGACAGCTGCAAACCCACTAGGTCAAGAATCTCGATGAAACAATCAAACTGGAGCAAATGAAAGTCGCTCTGGAGGAGATTTTCTCAGAATATGGCACCATTCTAGAGATCATCGCAAAGAGGAATCTCAAGGCCAAGGGCCAGGCCTTTGTCGTCTTTGACAACGTCGACTCTGCTACCCGTGCTATTGAGGAAATCAATGGCTTCGATATTTTCGATAAGCCCATGGTCCTGGACTACGCTAAGACAAGAAGTGATGCGACGGTCCAGCGCGAAGGCGGCGCCGACGAGCTAGAGGCTCACAAGCGGAGGCGCATGGCCGAGAAAGGTGCGTCAGCCGGATTTGCCCGACCAGAATGGAATGTCCAGGGAGATGCTAATGACAAATATACACAGAGCGCAAGCAAGCCCAAGAAGCACTCGAAGCGCAGAAGAAACTCAAGCGTCCTGCCGCCCCAGCCGAATCCGCACGCCCAGCCAAGACAACCAAGGGAGCCGGTCTCAAGCCGACTTCTGGTGCTACAACCGCAGTCGTTCCGGACGAGTACCTACCACCCAACAAGATTCTGTTCTTGCGGGAGTTGCCCGACGAGGCGAGCGAGGAGGGCCTATCTGCTATCTTTGGTCGGTTCGAAGGATTCCAGGAAGTCAGAATGGTGCCTGGCCGAAAGGGAATCGCTTTCGTCGAGTACCAGGACGAGACTGGAGCAATTACCGCGAAGGAGGCTACATCTGGTATGCCCATGGGCGAACAGGGCAAGCCGATTCGCGTCACTTACCAGCGCCAGTAGTCGTTGGCGTGTTGCATCCTACAAAATATCCCTGTCTCGTTCTTTTTGGCGTTTGGAAGGTCTCGTCTTCAACATGTGTGGTAGGAATACAGAGAGAATTAGCCTGGCTCTCTTGCTATCGCAATGCATCAAGGTTGTGTATCACATGAAATTGAATACTTCCTAAGTAAAAAAAACGTAGGAAGCCATGGGCTAAGATATAGGCACGAAGTGGTACATGTCACTGCTGAAAGACAAAAAAGCTGACGAGTAAAGAGTATCTGTAAGAAGCACAATGAAACGCAGCCCAGGGCCTAGAAAATGACATCGTTGTCTTCCTGCTCTCCTAGAACGTCTGTCGGCTCTGCCTCATCTACTTGGGTTAGGATGGACTTTTGTTCTGGGTTTTCTGCTTGCTGTGCCGCTGCCTTTTCACGAGCTGCGAGGATCTCGGCATCTGCTGCAGCGACGTCTCTCTGCTTCTTGTTCGACACCTTCTTGAGACGGTAGAATTCCTCACGGTCCAACTCATCGAGCTCAGAGTTAATGTCTTGGGAAGTTAGCCAGTGATATCCAAGCGGAGGAATCGATACAAACATTTGATGGTGTTCTCAGTTCGGGGGATAATAACATGCTCGCTGTGATATATTAGTATCAGGATGATAGTTCATCTTCAATATCAAAAAATCATCTTACATCGCATTTACTATAGGCAAAGGTTAGTTTCTATGAGGCACAATGGTTGCATATAACTTACCTCGTCGGTTGACAACCTTGATAACCTCATCCAGAATCAAGAAAGCAGTCTGTCGTAATCGGTGAGCAATATTCCAATCCGTAGCTTAGTCTAATCCATACCTGCAAACTTGCCAGTTCCACCAATGTCTCCACAGCTCGCGCATAGGTCTCCCGGCAGCGTTGGATCTGCTGTCCACCCTTGCCTAGACCGGTCAGACCAAAATCATTGACACCCTCCTGCGTATAACTCTCAAATTGCGGCAGGAAGACACCAGAGACGTTCTCGTGCTTGGCTCGCACGCGGAATCGGGCCTGCTTGGCGGACTCCTGGATCTGGTATCCGATATCGCCTCCAACGGCGTAGCTCACTTCAGCGAGGGAGAAGGCAGCAATTTGCATGACCCTGCCCATCTTTTGCTTGGCCTCATCGATACGGCGTGTGATTTCTGTCGAGGATTAGCGACTATGTAAGGCGGGGGAACGGGAATGTGTCGGTACAGCATACCTCGGAAACGTCTGTTATAGAGATCGAGAGTCAGCATACAGCCAAATAGACAGGGGAAATGGACAGGCAGTACTTTGTTAAAGCTTCACTCTTTCTCTTCAGCAAACTGTGTCCAATCTCAGCCCCTTTCAGCTTGCTCTTCATCAACCCCAGGGACTGGCGAGTCGGGAATACGGCCTCACGGCCCTAGAAATCTGTCAGATAGGGTGATTGGAGGACACCAGTCTCACATAGACTTACTACGGCACCCGACATGACTGTAACTCTCAACACAAAAGCACAATAGAGACCTTTGTTGTTCAGCTGGCGTAATGCGGCCACCTTGATATGACGCCGATAAAGAGCTCCACCGCCCGCCTGATACAGACACCCACGTGACCAGCATACGACTACATCCGTCAACGGTTTTCTACCCAGACGCGCAAAGCAAACAGCCTCCTCTTTATGTGCCCTACCTCCATGCTGACACGTTGACCGTGTAATTGGATCCCGCTCAACTGAGTGGCGCAATGCCAGGGACTCTCTTGCCCCCGAGATCGCACCGGCAGCACGCAGAAATGGACCGACCGTCTGCGGCCCGACCAGACCTCTATTTGATTGTAATTCTGACCCATTGGACTTTTTAAACTTGAGGCTGACCCACATTTCTTGAGCAGACCGACCAAGATATCGTTTACGAACAAGATTTGCTTCGCGACGCCGGCAGCGTCAAGCCATGGCTCGCCTACATCGAATTCAAGCAGCAAAATGGCACGCTTTATGAGCAAGCATTTGTACGTCACCACTTCCCACGATCATCCTACGATAGTCCATACTAATAAAAATGCTTTCTCAGGTCATGGAGCGTGCTTGCAAGCAATTACCGCGCTCATACAAGCTCTGGAAAATGGTGAGCCCGATATTACTCACACTTTTTGGGCACGAATTATTGACTTTGATAGTATCTGGAGTTCCGCACGAAGCACTTGAAGGGGCGCAACCCTACGGTATACCGAGCCGAATACCAGAAGGTCAATGCCCTCTTCGAAAGAGCTTTGATCCTGCTCAACAAGATGCCGCGCATCTGGGAAATGTACCTCTCATTCCTACTTCAACAACCTCTCGTCACCCAGACTAGGCGAACCTTCGACCGCTCGCTGCGCGCTCTGCCAGTCACCCAGCACAACCGAATTTGGAGGCTCTACAAGGGCTTTGCTCGATCGGCTTCTGGCCAAACTGCAGTCAAAATCTTTGCGCGGTACATGCAAATCCACCCAGAGAATGCCGAAGAATACATTGAACTGCTCGTCGAAATGGGCGAATACACGGAAGCCGTGAAAAAGTTCATGGAGATCCTCGACAACCCGCGATTCCAGTCCAAGAATGGCAAGAGTCCATTCCAGCTATGGACAGAGATGGTCGACTTGCTTGTTTCCAAAGCCAAGAAGATTGAAACTGGCCCGCAGGTCGGAATTGATGTCGATGCCATTCTTCGGAGTGGCGTTGAACGCTTTGCAGACCAGAGAGGCAAGCTTTGGGCCGGTCTTGCCACATATTGGATCACCAAGGGCAATTTCGAAAAGGCACGGGATGTCTTCGAGGAGGGAATCACAACCGTCATGACAGTCCGTGATTTCACTCTTATTTTTGACTCTTACGTGGAATTTGAAGAGTCTATCATCGGCAACTTGATGGAAAGTGCTGCTGTTCGGTCTGAAAAGGGTAAACTCGACGAAGATGCCGACTTTGATCTCGACCTCCGCATGATGCGTTTCGAGCAATTGATGGATCGCAGACCGTTCCTGGTGAATGATGTGCTCTTACGACAGAACCCTCATAACGTCATTGAATGGGAGAAGAGAGTGGCACTTTGGGGCGATAACAAGGAAGAAGCCGTTCAGACCTACACAAATGCTATTGCAGCTATTAGTCCCAAGAAAGCTCATGGAAAGTTCTCTGAGCTTTGGGTTAATTACGCTAAGCTTTATGAGAATGGCGGAGACTTGGAAACCGCAAGAGTTATTTTCGACAAGGCTGTTAAGGTTCCTTTCAAGTCTGTGGCCGAGCTGGCCGAGACTTGGTGCGAATGGGCTGAAATGGAGCTCCGCGCCGAGAACTTCGACAAGGCAGTTAGCATCATGGCAAAGGCGACGCAGGCACCCAAAAAGTCTACAGTGGACTACTTTGACGAGAACTTGTCTCCACAGCAAAGAATCCACAAGAGTTGGAAACTCTGGAGTTTCTATGTCGATCTTGTTGAGAGTGTTTCCTCCTTGGATGAAACCAAAAAGGTCTACGAGCGGATCTTTGAGCTTCGCATCGCGACACCCCAAACAGTCGTCAACTATGCCAACCTTCTGGAGGAAAACAAGTACTTCGAGGACTCCTTCAAGGTATACGAGCGTGGATTGGACCTTTTCATGTATCCAGTTGCCTTTGAGCTGTGGAACATGTACTTGACCAAGGCTGTGGACCGCAACATTGGAATCGAGCGCCTCCGAGATTTATTCGAACAAGCTTTGGAAGACTGCCCACCAAAGTTCGCCAAGTCTCTTTACCTGATGTACGGAAACTTGGAAGAAGAGCGTGGTCTTGCCAGACACGCCATGCGCATCTACGAGCGCGCAACTCGGGCAGTCTCCGACGAGGATCAGTTCGAGATGTTCGAATTCTACATCACAAAGTCGGCCTCAAACTTTGGTCTCACATCCGCACGACCTATCTACGAGCGCGCCATTGCCGCTTTGCCTGACCAGGAGGCAAAGGAAATGTGTCTCAAGTTTGCTGAGATGGAGCGACGACTTGGCGAGATCGACCGTGCCCGCGCTATTTATGGCCATGCATCCCAATTCTGCGACCCCCGGACAAACGCTCCCTTCTGGCAGAAGTGGGAGGCCTTTGAAGTTCAGCACGGAAACGAGGATACTTTCAAGGAGATGCTTCGCATCAAGAGAAGTGTTCAGGCTCAATACAAGTATGTATTCATTCCATATGTACGATTGCATTCTTTGCTAACCACCCCCGCAGTACTGATGTCAACTTTATTGCGTCCCAAGCAATTGCCAGAAGCCAACAGCCGCAAGACGGCGAACAGGGCGAAGAAAGCCAAGATCGCGCAGATGCTATGGCCGAGCTGGAACGCCAAGCTCGTGCCCCTGTCGGCTTCGTTGCCGCCAGCAGCGGTCCGGAGGGTGGTAACCGCCCCCTCCTCCGGCCGACAAAGCACCTGCTGCGGCCACGGCCAACCCCGACGCCATCGATCTCGACATGGACGAGGAATAGAGAAGTAAAAGGCTTTATACAATCCATCTTTCTCACGGGAAAGCAAACTGTTATCACTTCTCTTCATCATATTCATCTTTCGCTCCTTGATCTAACATCTTTTTGTGTTTCATCTGTCGACATGTATACTCCTGCTATCCTACTTCACTTCTAGTACAAGTATCATTTGCGATGGAATGTCTTATTTGTCATTTCGCTTTTCCCTGGTCCAACCAACCCACTGCATTCCAAATCATGATTTTTTTTCCTCCTCTTTCTGTTTATGAACTTGAACGAAAGGCTTTCGCCGCGTTCACATTGCTATTTGCCTGCCTTCTATTTTTCTTGGGATACCTGATTTGATGTGGCGCTCTGTTTTAGCTGTATGTGTACGTGTGTATTAGTTGCTCGATGGATTGATACTTTTTGTATCACCTCTTGTCTGCCATCGGCCAATGTACGAGGAGCTTCTATTCAGCATTACCGATCGCTTGGAGGGATATCCTTTCTGGTTGCGACCTAGTAATCGTGTGTACGTATGTTGGAACTAAGCAGAACCTCGGGTCACGGGTTCAAGTTACCTTCTAGTCTTACTTCGATCAAGTTGAGGGAGGATGCCTACATGGTAGTGAATTCATCAGTGATGTGAGTGATAGGTTGTCTTTTGGAACACAACGCCATGATCAAATTGAAGCTATATTTACATGGGAGATAAGGTAAGGAAATGAGACTAGGTAATGGAAAAGGCACAGTACAGCGTAGAACCCAACGCTATTCTAGATGTAAATGCAAAGACAACCGAGAAGAGAAGACAAACATTATGACCGAAGAAGAGGGCCGTGGAATTCGGCATGAAGACTGAATGGCATGCCGATCATGGAGTATTCCCCTGAATTTCCTCGGAAGCAGCCTGGTCCTCTGCGGGAGCAGTATCCTTTTCTTCTCCCGTTTCTTGAGGGGGTGTATCCTCGGATTTCTTTTCTGTCTCTTTTGGCTGGACTGGAGAAGCGACGACAGAGCCCGGTCGAGACTTTTCAGCTTCCAACGAAGCTTCAGGGAACACCTCAACGAAAAGGTCTGGCAGGAAGCGGCCTAGGCGCTTACGGGTCTCCACCCAGATTTCCTCCTTGCTTGGGTCTTGCGATGGCGAGACTAGGTAGCCTCCATCGGCCATGACAAGGAGGATATTTTTCAAGCTTTCGGGAACTGCTTCTTCCTGTGAAGTTGAATAAAACATGTTAGATCAGCCGTGAAGAAATAAGAGGAACATAGGATACAAGTAGACTTACTAGACTATCGCCTTGACCACTGTTCATCATGCGATCGAGGATGTCCAGAATCTTGAGCCAGAGAGGAAGCATGCCTGTCCTGTTGGGAAGTTGATCAAGGAAGCGTAGGAAGATCTTGCAGACTAGAGTTGCAGCCTGGAATCGGGTCTCACTCATGCCGACGGGATCAGAGTGGTAGACCTCTGGCTTCAGGAGAAGCAACACCAACGGGAACAAAACTTCATCGAAGATACCAGCCCACTCATTGTCATCGCTCGAAATCAGCTCGGCTGATAGAAGAGACCTCTGTAGCGTGGAGATAGCATGGTGACGGATATCGCGACATGGGTTGATACATTGGCTGGTTAGTGACTGGAAAATGGGAGACCAGTAGGCAGCCCAAGCTATTATTTTTTTCATGTTAGTTCATTCCAAGCACGTCCCAGAAGCTCATATTTACCTTCCGTTTCCTCGAGATGGGATTGCTTGATCAGGGCTGGTACCCGGCCGGTCAAGTGGTAGATCAGGCCGATTGCCCTAACACCCCGGGTAACAACTTGGTTTTCACTGCGCAAGTAAGCATAAGAAACGATAGAGCATGAAGCTATGACATACCTTGACTTGGATTTCGTGCCCTTGTTGCGGCGTGCTTGGGCATCTCTGTGTCGCTCCTCGATGGATCCCACACGGCCAGCACTGACAAAGTCGTTTGCCAGGCTGACTACGAACTCGTAGTTGTCAGCAGTGACAATGTCAGGCATTGACTCAATAATGCTTTGGAGAAGATCAAAAACGAGAGGGGCGACCGCCTCATGCTGGTGGAGGCGTTGCAGGATTGACCAGAAGTCGGGGGAGATTGTGATTTCATTTCGGAGGAGACCGGTGTGGCTAATACACCTTGTTAGACCCTTCACGGTTGGAGTCGCAACAGTCTCGAGGATATCCTGGTCGAATCCAGAGATGGCATGAAGCACGACAGGGACTCGCATGAAATGTTGATCCTGGACAATGGTCAGTCAGAAAAAGACCGAGCTGACAATTTCTAGGCAGTACTTACATGGCTCAGTCGCAGAAGGTTGAGAAGATAAGAAACAACGCGGGACACCGTTAGTGGGTGAAGGTTCTTTGCATCGCGCACCAGTGTTTGGAGGGTCGTGGCTAGGTTTTCACCAAGAACCTCCAGAGTCTTGTCATCACGAAGAGCGAGCACGGTGGCTAACTCCAAGGCAAAGATCATCGAGGGGTCATATTTAGGCGAGTTAGGGTCCGCTCTGTTGCTTAACATTCTTGATGTAGGCGATGGGCGTTCCGGCTTCACGACAATAACTGCCGGTGCATTTTCCTCTGGTAGCTGAGATAGCAAAGCCTCCATAAGTACCTCCAATGAAGAAAGAGGGAGAGATCTTCAAGCTCGGTTAGTATAATGAACACATTATTAGTAGCAAAACCGGTTCTACTCACTTGAGATTCGAGAGAATTTCGGGTATCGAGCACGCCGTCACACAATCCACAGTGCACAGCGTGTTGTCAAGTTCTTCGTCTGAAGGCTCTGGAGGGTCATCTGCTGCATAGCTTGAAAGATAAGATGTGAATGCCGAGAGAAGTCCCGAATCGTGGCTGCGTCCATCCCGGTCAACCACCTGTGATGGAGGCTGCAAGGGGATTGGTGAAATGTCAAGTTCGGATGTGAGTTCAGCATCGAAGGGCGGGGTGAGTGAGTTGATAAACAAATTGCTCAAGATGCGAATAACTTGTTCCCATCCTTCTTTGACAGCAACCTCGTTGCCCGACAGGACTCGGAAAAGTACCACTGTTGCCAATTGAGCTCTGAAATCCCTGCCAAACTTGACGGCAAGCTCGCTGACCATCACACTCTTTTGGCCTACCTGGACCTCGGTGTTGAGGGCTGTGCTTGGAGGCTTAGCAGTTGCCAGAGTGCTGATCGATGCGAGTGAGAACACAATGCGGTCGAAGGCCTCAGTGAGACCATATCGAGCAGCGATCTGGGCACACTGATCGAACCCATTGACAACGCGTGAATACACGGCATCGTCCGAGGCAGACATGAACACATATGAAAGAGTCGCAATCACTGGTTTCCACGTAGCTTCGAACATTTCGGCGTCGAACACGTTGGTCTCGCCAGTTATCGTCTCGCCGGTAGATGATGATTTCAGCAACAATTCCTTCCAAGCATAATCAAACGCATGCTTGTTTTCGTGCTCGTCGGGCAGGATAATCTCGTTATTCTTGATGGAATCATAGATCTCCTGTAAGAATTCCTCTGTAAAATCTCCACCGCCGTTAACACCTCGTAGGTTCCTGGCGAAACTGGTGAAGGTCATGCGGTTTTGTGACTTGACATTAGGGTTGTAGAGATCTGTGTTCAGCATGATGATGGCGTAGGTCAAGATGTAAAGTGCATCCTTATCGGCAATACCATCGGGTTTCACTTTTTCCATGTAGTGCTCTGCAAAAATCGTGACGATTCGTTCGATAAGTGGCGACTCGCCGGGAAGACGGAACGAACTGAGAAGCTCCCGAAGTGCCTCTACCGCATTGCGTCCCGCAAAGTCAAGAAGATCCACGAAAGCACCCAAAATCTCCTCGTTGTCACGCTTGGAGATGTACTCTCCGAGGACCTTCTTGGACAACCGTGAGGTTCCCTTCAGGAAGCGCGCGACCAATATTGGGTTCTTGGGGTCCTTGATAACACCATGACTGGCAAGGAAGGCAATTCCCTTCTTGGGTTCTTCATTGAAAATTTGGGCGCCCTTGATAATGACCTTCTTGGTCTGGCGTTGACTCTTCAGGCGCTCTTTCGGTGGGTAGTCCCCTTGGACTGGTTCTTCATCTAATCGGTCGTGAATGAACTGCACATAGCCCAAGAGAGCATCCAGGCACAGCGGAGGTACGTTTGTGGTGCTCCAAGTTGCAGAGTCTGGGAAAGCATTCCGAGAAAGTAATCCGATCATGTCCTCGCACAAATCGGCTCGGTCCACTTCGCAGTCGTAGTTGACAAACAATTCAACCATGAAGCTAGGTATCCGAGACAAAACGCCAATACTTTCTACCATGGCTTCTCGGGCTTCAGGCCTTCTGGAGCCACCTTCCAGTCCCAGCTTTTGTCGGTCCCTGACGGGAACGGGTGTAGATCTGCCACTGTTCGCCTGTGATGCCGGTTGCTTGACGAGTTTTGGTGATTGCGGAATACCTTCATACAGGGAGGGGTCAATCCCAGGTTCGCGAGGGATCTCCACACGAGGGTGAAGACATGCCACAAGGTATGAAATGTAAAGCTCTTGCTGTAGTTTCAATACGGGTCTGCAGGTAGACAGCAATGTACCAGCAACGCGCAAGGAACTTGTGAGAATGGCGATCTGTTCAGACCTGACCAATTGGAAGAGGTATCGACACAGATCATCTCTGGCCAAAACGGCCAGACTGGGGTGCCGAGCAATTGAGGGCCCGGCTACCTCCAAGGCAACATCAATAATTCGAAGCGCCATCACTCTCATTGCATCAGTGTGTTGCCGGTTGTGGGGATCCAACAGATCAATCAGCACACGGAACAGTTCTCTTATTGAAGGCAGGGAGTACGGTTGAACTTCGACTTCGGGATCATCATGCGGGCTTGGTGGTGCAGCCGCAGCCCCGTTGTTGCTTCCCTGCTCTGGCGATCCTTCGCGACTTGTGCTGGGTCTGTCGACTGCCGCTGTGTCTGCGCTGATGGCGGATAGGTGCTGGGATGTGACAGTATCCCCATTGACAGATGGGTCCATCTTGAGGCGAGATAGTGGGTCCGTTTTGGTGTCTTCGCCCGCAAATGGGTCCGGTCCTGCGGGCATACCTTGATCAAGATGCGACAGCCGCATGAAGATCACTTGGCACATTTTCACCATTGCCATTTCAGCAGATCTCCGAAGCACCTCTGACAAACGACCTTGACAGCACATACTCAATCCGGTCTCCATCATCTCACAGACACTTTCGTCGCCCAAAAGCTCGCCCTCAGGTCGGGAAAGCACGCCTTCCATCAACTTGAGGATCCGCAAGAGGACAATCTCGTCCGCTGAGGAGTCGCTCGCTTCAAATCGACAGTGTGTAATCGCGGCGGACAGTAGTTGCATCGCCATGGAGAGTCGAGGGGAGTCTGGATTGATAATGTTGTAGGAGAAGAACTTGGTGATGGCGACCAAGGCGAGGGAGGTAATTGCGGCGGAGGTCGAAGAGGAGCGGACAACTTGTAAGAATGGATGAAGGAGCGCCGGGGTATCAAAGGTTCGGATATCTTTGCATCCTTTCAGATCGCTCCGTAACCGGGTGAATGCTGATATTAACGGGTTATCCTGCATGCTCTTCCCTTTCTTGCCTCGAAGGCCCCACCGATTGGCCAACGCATGATCGTCATCATTGGGGGCCGATTGGGTGCTTCTGCGAGGGCTCGGGGGAGCAGAGGTATCCCGTTCATAGACTCGAGAGGCTCCATTACCGCCCAAGATGGCGGAGACGGAGGAGTGAGCCCAGCGGGCATGCTTGCGCATGGACGAGGTGACGGTGATACATTCAGTGGTCACCAAAGCCACCGGGTCGATGGCAATGGAAAGGTTCGAATCCATGGTGGGATCTTGCATCACAAGAGATGGGGACACCATGTTGGAGGTCGGAACAAAACAGCTGGTCTCTCATCATACTGCTGCTTGCCTGTTCGAGGTTAGCGTCTTCCCCGCCTGCTCACCGCCTACACCAGGGGCAAGTTACCGTACATACTATACTGTATGCATTCTAGCATTTTCATTGGCCAAGCATGGTCCCACTGAGGGTAACCTGGTATTCTCCGGTATTGGCCTGCATCCATGGATGGGATTCACCTTGTTGACACGACACGATAACGGGAGTTCTATAGTTGGGCCGATTGAGCCTCCTTATCTGAGGCTGTGTCTAGTAGACTTTTTGCAAGATGTTCTCTTGTTGTACGGTGCACGATTCAGATCGCCGTGTATCTTCTGCCTCTGGATCGATATATTTTCCGAGTAAACAAAGATCAATTTGAAATCGGAGATTATGTTTCAAATCGCTCTATCCAACCTGTCCAAGGTATAATTGCATTGTGTGTGTATGACCTAGAACATCCTCCTTCTATGGAACGTGCAAGAATTAAGCTCGTGTATCGGAAACGAAAGAAGCAAATAAGAGTGCAAGTGATGAAACCCATGTGCTCGAGATGTGACTGGTCACACTCCTTGCGGCGGTTGGGGATAACACTGCCAGCGTTGGCCGGACAGTAACAACAACAGCAACAATAAAAACAACGATGAAGCCCAAGCCCAAAAGGAAATCTAGAAAATCTCAGCTCCACCACATTCTCTTAGCAGGGCGCTAATACCCGCAATCGGGCTATCGTGATATCAACCCACCGCTTCTCTCCCCGCCAAAACAAACTCCCCTCAATCTCACTATCTCTGTTTGGCCTCCCACCTTCCCTTTTCTTTCCTTGCTTGACCTGTCAGTTCTCATGAATTGACTGGTGACTTCCCTATCCCTCAGCTTCCATGGAGGGGAGCGCGATCACGAGCGCATCAATCATAGGATAATCCTATATCGCGAACTGTCACTCCCTTGGCCCGAAAACAAATCCTCTCGTTAACACCTTGACGCCACTGTACTGCCTTTCTATCGCTACTCGCTACTCGCTACTCGTTATTCGTTACTCGTTACGTCGCGCCTGCTACGCCCATCGGCGCATTCCATTTGTTTATCGCGCATAGCGCCTTCTCAGCTTGCACTTGCACGTTCACACGTGAATCTCTCACCATGGCGACGATCGCACCTCCCTCGAGTCCTACCTTTGCAGATTTGCCTCTCGAACAACTTAGCCTTTATCATGTCGTCGACTCATGTTTATCGTCCATACTCGTGTTATACGGTGCCGTCTCGACCGCCAATGCGACTGTCAGCAGCTCGCGCATTCAAGCCCATATCTTCACCCCAGCCGGCTTTCAGAGTTACCCGAGAATTACAGTCTCCCCTGCTGCTCCCGTATATGCGGCGGTGAAACACCTACCCCGCGACAAACAAGGTGACGAAGTGTGTCGTGGATTGGCTGTCAGCATGTTGAGATACTTTGCCGAGCTGTCGGAGCCCGTCAAAAATCGACTGACCGGAGTGGCTCGTGCGGGACGGACTGTAAGGCCCCCAAAGATGTTTGACGAGATGCACGCCGCAGATTTGGCCAACCGGATGGTCAGAGTGGATGACCCGTTGGAGATCATTCGAGATATTCGCAGCGCATATCAAGAACGTAAAGTTCCATGGATCGATATCGATGTTGTGCTTCCTGCAGATTCTATACAGCCATCCAAGCGACGCGAGAGCGCGGGATCTGATATGGATGCTACCCAGGACCCACAGTACGGACCATACACACCACTCATTGAGGCATTGGGGGATCCGATGTTCTTGCCAACATCTCGATTGAAGCGAGCGCCCTCTCAACCCACCAATGTCAGCAAATCGCGGACCTTTGCCAGAAGTCAGAAAGAAGCTCTACGTCTGACTATGTGTGAACTTGTTGATACCGAGGAACGATACGTTGCCAAGCTGTATTCTCTTGTTCATGAAGTTGCGGATGAATTCCGGCAAAAGGCTCATGAGAGACGCCCATCAAGCACCAGTCCTTCTGAAGAAGCTTTGGCGGAATTGTTCCCACCATGCCTGAACGAAATTTTGAATGTGAACCTTGGCTTCCTTGATGTTATTCGACAAGTACTCGATGAAACAGAGAAAGAAGCCATTACAGATATTGGCCAGGACACGGAGCTTCCTCCAACACGAGGACGATCAAGGGAGACCAGAGATGCCCTTGGAGCTGTGGCATTTGCCAAGGCTCTACTCGAATGGCTTCCCCGATTTTCCGATCCATACAAAGAGTACATGCGCGCGCACACCGGTTTCACTCAGATTTTGAATTCTTTCATGAAGGACAAGAATTCAAGCTTTTCAAGGAGAGTATATGAAACCGGGGAGCAAAGATTGCGTTCTTTACTGATGGAGCCCGTTCAACGACTTCCCCGGTACAGTCTCCTTATCGATACCATGACAGGCAGCTTGCCCTTGGTACATCCTGCTGTGCGAACTCTGTTGAAAGCGCGAGACATCGTGAAGGATATCTGTGCATTGGATAACGACTCTCCTTCCAGCCATGCGCAAGGCCTAGAGCGTCTGAGAGAGCTTTTGAATGGATGGCCGGTCAAAACTTTCCCCGAAGGTCGCTTGATCACGGCAGTCGATTTCAACGAAATAACTCCTCCATACGCCCTGGATAGTCAGGCACCTGGACCTAGTGCAGGGATTATGCTTCTTTATAAGAACTGCCTTGTTCTTCTGGCAAAGCCTGCTGAAAGCAGAGCCACAGCACGTGCCTTGTTGGCTGACATTGACAATGCAGCCTCACCAACCGGTGATAACTCCTTGTCTCTACCCCAATCCGAACTTCAGGTGGTTAAAGTGTTGGAATTTCACAAGTTTCGATGTATGCAATCCACATGCGGTCGTATTTTGTTTGTTTTGCCATTTGCAACCAAGACCAAACCAGCCGATATCAACACACCATCAGACCTACTTGCGCTGGAGTTGACAGCCATGTATGAAGGAAAAGCCAATCGCTTGATAGAAGAGATTTCAAAAGCGAAGATTGAAGGTCGATTTCCGGAAAGCGAACGAGAAGGTGGAAAGTGGTCGCTAAGGAGCCCCACTAGTTTGGCTAGCAATGTCGGGATTCTGGCCTGTGTGTGTGAGGATGGTCAAAGTCCTACGCTCGGCCAGGATTACTCTTCTCAAATACGAGTTGTGTTCGATACAACCAGGGCTGTCTGTGCTCAAATCTTGAAAAGCACTAATCTGGAGGTCGTCATATCGATCTCTCCTCCGAATGGCGACCAGTATAGATTGGACATCGAGACTGTGATTGGCTCTGGATCGACCGATCTGATCACGGTAGATACTTTTGTTCCCACTCTCTCACGTCGCCTTCAATACCTTTTGTCGCCATTACACAGCCCTCGAAATCCGGTATTAACGGAGCCACTGATTCATTCCAATTTCGAAACCCTTCGGTATATTGCCAGCTGCTTGGTCACACAAGTCAAATCTTCTCGAGGATTCCGTCCACCGTCGCCAACCAAGCTCATTTCCAATCTCTTGGGAGGTAGTCGTGATAATGTTCCAACACTGAAAGGACCCAGTTCAGCAACCTTGACTGGCGAATTTCCGAAAATGCTTCCACCAAGAGGCCAATTGTCACGATCAAACACATTACCTTCCTCGATTCCTGGCAAAGAGAAGGACAAGGAGAAAGAGAAGGAAAAAGACGAAAGCACCAATCAAATCTCGGTTGTTGGTTCTTCTGATTCTCGGGGACTAGATGCCCAGTTCAGCTCACTGGAACAAACCTTTGCCGCTTATGTTCTTTCTCTGCAATCTAGAAGTGGAAATATCCTGGGCCGAATGCTTCGTGCTAGAGATAATGCCGACCGGGCACCAGTCAATGAGCTATACAACATTTTGCTGGAAGACCCAAGCAGAATCCAGGCTGCCGCTGAAGTGCCCGTCGATACATTGTTTGTTGCGTTTGAGACTTTCCTGGCAAACGCATGGAAAAGAAGTATGGGCCCTGTTTTGAGCTCCTCGTCTTTGACATGGGTCCAGGACCAATTCGACAGCATGATCCCACGCGACTTTAACGACCAGTTTCACAGATTTCTTTCCGAAATGAGCCCCCAAAATAGACGCGCGCTTGCTGCAATCATTCGTTTGCTTGCTGAGCTACTCGATGCATCAGGTAACGACGGGGATCGTGGGGCTCTGACTATGGCATTTGCCGAGGTAATCACCGAAGACGGAGATCCTATCAACCACGTTTCTCTTTTGGATCGATTGGTCGATGACTTTGACAATCTCTTCGAAGACTTTATCCCCGGTGGGACTTCAGTGGAAGGAACCCTGACGGTCAATCAATCGAAAAATTCGCACGGCAATACTGGGTCCGTTGGCTCTAATTCCTCTTCTTTCCGTAAACGATTTGGCTTCTTGCACAAGGACAGCTCAAAGAGTGAGAAGGGCGAGAAGAGTGAAAAGGTCGAGAAGAATGAAGGAGAAGGCAAGGTTGCTTCGATTCTACGCACATTGAGCAAGAAACAAAGCCCAGCGGGTTCCGAGCCCAATACCCCCAAGGGTTCCTTGATCCGTTCCAAGTCGACCGACGTGGACGCTCGGCTGGGATTCCTTCGTCCTACATCCCGTGATCGCCCCTACGGTTTTGCATCCGAAGAAACTATCTCAAGACCCGGCACTGGCTATGAAAAGCCCCCGTCTTTGTCCTCTGTCCGAGGAATCTCCGATGATGGTGTGCCGAGAGTTCGCAGGAAGCGCCACAGCTCACTTTCAGACCTCAGACCAAATACAGCATCCTCGGAATCATCCAACGTGTCTCCCACTCAGCAACTTCGCCCGGTGACGCCTTCTAGCCGCTCTCGTGGAGAAATTGTTACCCCCACCAGGCAGCCCAGACCACAGAGCAGCTATATTCCAACATCGCCTGCGCGTGGAAAGTCACCGGCAAAAGCTGGGTCACCAGTGCGATTAGGATCGCCCATTCGCAGAATGTCGCCCAATCGACCTACTACACCCAGCCGGAAGGAAAACATTGATCCTAAGTCACCCTACACAGAGCGAACATCCAAGTCCCGAGGTAGTGTTTCGGAATCACCTGCCGACGAAAACAGGCGATCTCGTGCGTCTGGTATACCCCAACGGACGCCGGGCCTTCGAGAGCGACCTTCAACCAACGGCTCGGATAGTAGACGGCCACAGTCTTCATCTTCTTCGCAGAAGCCGAAACCGCGGATGCAGAGTCCACAAAAGGTTCGTTTTTTGGCTTTCGCTATCTAATAATTCCATTCCACTAACACCGGTATAGCTACGCGATCGTGTGCAGCAGGAGAAGAAGGACCAATCATCCTCTCAATCAGGCTTTAAAGATGAGCTCACAGCACTTGGCGACGAGCTCAGATCTTTCTCGTTTGCACCAACAACACAGCTCAACTTGGATTTCAGTATGGAGCGTACAAACAGCTGTGCCTCTATTGATAACCGTGCGGCGCTTGAAGCTCGCATGCGCACCCTGGAATCCCGATTTGATATGCTAAGCGGAGAGTACAATGGTCGCACATCTGCGCTTGAGAGAGATCTGGAGTCGTCATTGATCCTCAGCGAGCGACGCGTGAAGAAACTCGACGAGCTTTACCGCGAAGCCAGCGCCGAGAACGAAGCACTTTACGATCGATTCAATACAGAACTCAGCAAGATTGCCAAAGACGTCCGCTCAGGAAACGGCGAGGACTCCTTGAAATCCCAGCTGGCGAGTGCTCTAGATGAGATCAACCGGGTGAAGAAGGAAAACTTCAGATTGAGACGAGAAGTTGGAGGTCTTCGTGCCCAGCAAGCCGCTACTGCTCTGGTCAAGGCCAGTGATCAATGACCGTGTTCATGACGAAGGTTTTCCATTCCTTTCCCTCATTCCTTTCCACAACACATGCACTTATCAAACCCTATCATATTTATTCTTTCCTTTCACCTTGTATTTTGATACTCCACAAACCTTCCTTTCAGTTCCTTTCCTTACAAAACACCTTCATTTGCATATCATATCCATGATTCTTTCTTATCTGTATTCATTCAAATTCTTGTCACCCCCATACTAGCCTATCCGCACAGATGGCCTTTGATAATACATGCATAGCTCAGGAGATCAAGTTATTACAGGGCTTGCTTTTTGTTTGTCTAACTGTCGTTGTTATGTAAGTGTACACTAAGCGTCTTCGGTGTCTTCAAGGGGCCAGCCCATCAGGCGTAGCGCCTCTGTGTCAATCCTTTTGTACATCCATTGCCATTTCAATTTCCAGTGCTTTCCACAATGCAACAATTCCACTTCCTTGCGAGAGTCATATTCCGCTGCATGGTTCTGCAACCGACGATCTAGGGTAGGTAGGGCCAAAGGCTGGAAATCCATCTGGTCCAACGAATACCCTTTAGATCCACCCTCCACCTTCCCCAAAAGAGGAAGCGTAAAGCGCATCGAAGCCGGTACTTGATTTGCCAGTAATGCACGCGTTTGTTCCCAGAATTTCAATTCCGTCGCATCAACAACGCGTTCGCTCTTCGGCCCCGTCCCTTCAGCGGCTTTACGCATCCGTTGTATATCACTTTGTTGGAATGGTCGCAGACAAATGTCAAGATTTGGCGATTTTCTCAATCCCCGGATGTCTGCCGTTGAATGACTAGGCTCGAGACTAAATCGCAGCCAGTATCGATTATCCCATAAGCTCCATGGTGTGAATTCGCCCCGTGGCGGGACGTAGAGCCGTTTGACTGGATCCCGACCTTTCATGAAGGGTTGGCGGGACAGTAGCCATATATTGTGGTTTTCTTCGTTGGTGAGCGGTTGGAAGAGGACACCGCCCAAGGTAAAGGCTTGTTTCTTGGGTTCGCCATCATTGGGAGTGGAAGTTGTGGCCGTCGCTTGAGGGACTTCTGTGTCAGGGAAAATGCGGGAAACCATTGGTTCGTAGCTTCGCAGTGCGAAATGATTATCTGGGAATGGAGAGACCAGCTCCGTGATGCGGCGCAGGACGAGAGTTTGAATTTGTCTGGTTTGGAATGGTGATAGGGAAGCGATTTGGGGGTCGATGGATTCGAGACTTGGGGTTAGGAATTGGATTACTGCTGATCCGGCCCCGGGGTTGAAATCCAGTAATCGGCATTGGGATAAGAGGAGGGAGTTGGAGAGTTCTTTTGAGTCTTCGAGGAGGTCTTGGCTGGAGCGGATTAGGGAGAGGATAGATTGGGATTGGAGGGCTCGAGGTAGAGAGTTGGATGATACGAGGCTGCGGATGGCGTTGCGGGGGGTGAGAGTTGGATCGAAGTTTGTAGGGTCTGAGACGTATGGAACTCGGTTCTTGCGGCATGTTTCAACCAGACTGGTCTTTGGGAAGGAGAGGAGAGGGCGACAGAGGAATATACCGCCGCTTGCGATGTATGAAGTTGTAGGGCTGATATATGATGCAGTGTTGTTGTACTCTGACTTAGGGCTTTCAGAGTTCGATTTAGGGCTTTTATCGGGGAATGAAATCGTTCCTTGACTTCGCCCAATAAAACGTATCTTGGTTTCAGGGATATCTTCGGGTTTGAAAGGCATTGAAAGAATTGACCCACTCTCAGAAACCCCATAAAGACCATGGCATTCTGGGATTCGAGCCACTTCAGGAATGCCGCCAAGACCCAGTCCTCTTGCACCTGAGGAAAGCCGCCAGATTGTGGTCTCGACGTTATCGTCTTGATGATGACCTAAAAGAAGTGTTCCAATACGGAATCTCTGGCAGGCTGAGCCAAGGGCTTGGAACCGGAGTCGTCGGGCATGAGTCTCAAAAGCAGACGGCATAGGAATAGATGCCTCTGATTTGGAGGCTTTCTGGTTCTTGCCAGTAGTGTACTTAGACCAGTCCAGGCTTAAGATATGGGTTTTGATATCTGAGAGAAGAATCAGCTGGTGTTGCGCAAAGGAAGACATGAAATTGTACCCATATCACGAAGCCAACCAGCCACTTTTTGGGCTTCATCGGTACTTTCTGGGCGAGCACGATGATCAACTACAAATGCGGTCACGGAAATTGCTCCAGATATCTCAGGTGATTGCTCCAGCTGTTTACACAGGTACGCTAGAGCCATGGAATCAGCGCCACCGCTGACAGCGATTCCTATAATTCCACATCAGCAATGTACAACTGAATGAGAGTTTTGCATTCCAGGGGCTCACCAATTCTTCGTGGAAGCTGCAGAACATCTTTGTCATCAACGGCTCCTTTCTTATAGTCGACATTTCCCGGCTTGAGGCGAACCCGTCGCGACCCAGACCATGCTTGCTGAAAGCATCGCTGGAACAGAAACGGCGATATTGATATGTTACCTGATGCCATATCTACTCTCTCCCTGGAAAAGAGCTTTTTTTTTTCAATGGCAATACATGTCTATCAAGCTGTAACTCGTGTCGCGTGTAGGTGAATTATATCGTCGGCCCGGGAAATTGATTTTCCCGCGACCGAGACCGGCCTTGCGCGAGCATAGCCTGGGCAAGTAGCGTCACGACTGATCAATAGTCTGTTAGATAACATGGATTGGTGGCTTATAAAGTCGGCGTAGAAAGAAGAAAAGATGTTTAGAAGAACCCCAGTACAGTGACTTATATTTTCCTGCTATGGCGTCGACGTAGAGAGATATATATAACTCCGGGAAAACCTAGTATGCGAAGCAGCAACTTATTCCAGGATTTTCATTGAAAAATGCAGTGATCTGAAGATTGAGTCAATTATTATATCAGCTAGAGATGTGTTTTATATCCCAGGACAATCCGGAAACGCAGCCAAATAAGCACCCTCAATCTCACGTCCCATACCTCCAACGCCTTCAAAAATCAAAGCCGACTTCATAGATCTTACCAGTATTTCCACACCATGCCGCAACTCCTCAGTCAGCCTTTCAAGATCGGAAATTTCTGACGCAGGACTCGGTCTATTAAGAAGATGATAACACGTCGCAAGCCGATCCGTTGCCATACAGGCGCGAAGCCGGTGCAATAACATAAGAAGAGCATAACAGCCCTGCATAGCTGAGCATGCAAAGAAAGGAATAATCCTTGGATACTTGACAGACCCAAATGATGAATCATGTCCGCCCGTGGCTTGTCTGTCAAGGTTAAGCGGAGACGGAAGAGAGCGGAATATCGAGGCTATCGCAATTGAAGACTTAAGACAAATGCTTGAAGATTCTTGTTCCGTGAAGGGAAAGGGATTTTCACTGTCTGTTGCCCATTTCGGTGTGCACATATTAGGCGAGAAGCCGTGGCTGTTGATTGATGTGAGATCGCAGTATTTGTCTAGAAAGAGTGGGATATCCATGAAGGCTCGGAATCGATGAAGCCGTACACGAGCACTATAAATGTAAGCTGGTGTACATATTTGAAGAAAGAAGGGATCACTCACGTATGGATGAACAGACGGCTGATCATCCACATTGTTTGAGCCACAGATGCTTCGGGTGTCTCGTCAAACGTGGCCAATAGGTGACGGTCTGCCTCGGTCATCAGAGATACAATCTTGGCGTCCAATCGCTGTATTCGACCGCTGAAGTCGGTAATGTCGGTCGTTTCATCCACACGTTCGATATTCTGCATCATTTTGTTGGCTTCGAAGAGAGCTTCTTGTATTTTCATAAATATGGGCCATGGCTTCATGCAATCAGTGAGTGATCAATGGGATACTCTGAAAATAATAAGGACAGTACCTGTAAATAGACATCAAATGTAGGATACGGGGTCGTAATTCGCGGGTCCTGAAAAGAAACGATTGGGGGCTACCACTATGGTCAGTTGAGCTCAGTAGCTTGGAGCACTGAATCGAATTCTTACCGCAAGGTTGATATTTGACGATAGATAAGTTGACCATGACTAAAGAATCATTAGAAGCAGCCCACTCACTTAGGAACAAGATCAACATACGGTAATCCACCAAGTTCGTCTCTGTGCCTCGGAAAATTCCGTTACTGTGTCATCGAGGCTGTGAAGAGATATATCCATGGCCGTCGTGATAGCCTGGTTGACCCGAGCTCGAATTCTGGAAATATTGCCCCGTTGGATATACTCATAGACGCCAAGAACGACAAGAGCCAGAATCGGTTCCAATTGAGCGGGCAGCCGTGGATGTAACGAGCTTCGCACTTGACACGACTGTGTTTCTGGTATGGCACCCAAACCAGGAGATAGATCGTCGATCTCTTTATCTGCGGCAGCTAACGCTGTCTGAGCGAAGAGCTGAGCGTACGACCGCCTCAGTGCGAGACTCATATCGGTTGTTGGTAGTTGATCTTCAGCAACAGGTATGAGAGCCATAAGGGCGGATAATGCTAGGGCGAGGGATGACTCTGGCCAATATGGCATTTGTGACATTTTTGCCTGCGACACCTCCCCCAACAGGTCGGATCACCGTTGATCGGTCTTCATACTGTGATACCACAGCGGGTGGCAGTAATGGAAGATATGAATGAAGATACAGGTAGTAAGCATTTATACTGCGCAGTCAGTCAGTTCTCAGCTCTACTTTGAATGCTGTCTGGTTTCATACATACATGTCTGCTTCGGAATGATAAGCGCGCATCATTGGTAATTCAGCCCCGGATTGAGTGGCTGAGTCTAACAAGCTGTCCGCGTGGGGTGTTAGCTGGCCCCAGATCTGTTGAGCTCCATCTCCGACGGACAGAGCCTCTGGCGATAGATCCAAGTTGTGGATACCGGCAAATGGCGTTACCAGGCCGATCATGTTATCCAAGAAAGGCTCTGGGCAAAGTTAGAGAAAGAACTTCCGGGTTCAGAGGGTCAATTTACCAAACTCTTCAGTTACATCAGAGATTGACGTATTTGATGCGTTCGAGTTGCGCAGTGCCTCTTCATATCGAACACCCCTTCGAGGACCCCCCCGTCGACTGGGCTGATAATAGCAATCTCTTTTTTTGCCTGTGCACTAGCAGTAAATTAAGATTAATGAATGAGGAATTGAAACATGTTTGCTCGTACATACAACAAGACAGGGTTGATGACCATCGCAACGGGTCTTCGAAGATCGACTGACAGCAATATTAGCTTGTGAGGCAACTCATAACTAGCAATTGTTGTATTCCTCACCATGGAAGGCAAGCAGCCTTTACAGGGGGCTTAGCAGCTCGTGGCATACTGATTATTTGATTATTTAGGAGGATATAATCCACAAGTTGAGGTGGGCGCTCTATGCAACGCCACCATGCACGTGACGTGTATATAGCCTGGTGTTATAAGTCCGCTGGACAAGAAGAATGACTCAGTTCCTGAATGTCAATTTCATGGATTGCAAAAGCCCATCTTGTGTTCTAAGTCCAGTATGAGTGGCGTAGTCGAAAGTGGGAATTTCCTATTCGGCGATTGATCGGCATATCAAACGCCGAACTCCCATATCATTGGCAGATATTCGTCGTCGGGGATTGATCTCAGAGTAAACATTTTGCTCTATTCATGGGTGTTGCATACGAGACATAGTCCGATGAGCATCTGAAGATATAGTAATTAAACTTTGCTGTTACTGGAAGATGGCACAGCTTCGAAAAGGGCAACAATTTCAATTTGATACTACAGGACCAAAGTACAGCTTGACAAGTATACCCAGCTAGTTCCAACTGATCACCCTTTCCTTGTAACAACCCTGCACTTCAGACAAAGAAAAAAAAAATTAAGCCAAATCCTCCAACAAACCCAATATCAACCTAAGTCTTCCTTCTCTGCCCTCTCCTCGATAGCAAATCCACCATCTCCCTCAAATATCAGAATCACCAACTAAACCCTAAGTACAACCACTAGCCCGGTTGCTAAGACAGACATCACCCCCTGATCACTGCTGCCATAGCCCTCACAGGAAGCACTAGTCTTCCCCTCAGCCGCAACCTCCTCATTGCAAGTGGTCCAAGTAGTAGAAAAGAATCCAGCACGAACGTTATAGTTCGACCAACTGATGCAGCAGTTAGACCCACCATGCGACTCACAGTGGCTGCGCGGGGCCTTCTGAATATCCTCGCTGAAGGTGCAAGTCTGACCAGAGACACAAGAAAAGAAAGCGCCGCATGCTGTCCAGACAACGGCATGCGCAGCACTGGTCGAGAAGGTAGATCGCTTCTGGATGCTACTGCTGGTGGTGGTGCTGTTACCGGCGATGCGGGCGAGCATGGCCTGTACGTCACTTGCCATGTCGGTGTCATTGTCATCGTAGGGCTTTGCATAGGCTGCTTCGGTGAGCATGCGTGCCTTGTCTTCATCGCTGGAGCCGCTGTGCGGATCCAGGGATGTCAGCCAGGCTTGCGTTGCGGGCGTATAGCCCACGTAGCGGACGTCCACATCGAAGGCGCTGAGGTCGCTCTTCGAGTGCGGGAAGTAGTCTGATGCGACATGGCTGATGGTGAAGTCATTTTGGGTGGCTTCAGCTGCTGGCAGCGCGAAGCTGCTTGGGACTTGGGCTAGGCCCAGAATTAGGCCGGTGAAGATTGTCGAAGTGAACATCTTGGCTGTTGATGGTGCTTGGTTGGCTTTGGCTTTGGCTTTGGCTTTGAGATCTGGATGATTGCTTGAGCTGTTGAATGGTTCTTTTTGCCGTGGGTTTCTCGGGGTATTTATACTTCCTGTCTGTCAATAGGATTGTATTTGTTGAGGATTCTATCTTTACCAAATAGGAAATTCCTACGCGCGAGTATCTTTGTGACGATCTCTTCATCCGAATGGAGTATGCCTGGTGTTACATTCATGCAGGAAGGTTAGACGCGATGCTATTCAGGGCTTAGTATCTTCGGATCTCGGGTCTACGAGTCAGGTTGCCTCGTGGTATTGGACGGTAGAATATTGGCTAGTCAAAATCCGTGTCCATGTTTACGCCCTTTTCGGCGGGCGATGCTCAGCTGAGCGCAATTTGGGGAATGGTATTACCAAAAGAGGATTGTGGTCTTGATACAGCTACAGCTTCAAAAGTGCTTCACCGTAGCATACTACGGGAGGTATACAGATGGCCTACTCAGGAATGCAAGCCAAGAAATGAAGGAGACCAATTACAATCACCATCTATACCAACTTCCTCTTTCTGCTATATACTCACTGGCGTTGAGCAAGCCTATCCCTCACTTACAACAAACACCAGGGGCATAGTTGCATGAGGCATAAAGAGTGTTCTGCAGTCATGCAGCCAGAGTATAAGCATCACGTACTGATTCAGGTACATACATTCTAGAATAAGCTTAGCCTCTATTCGACCCAAGGGAGCTACATTAATCATGCACATAACGACCAATAGAAACACCCGTTAAGCGGTCAAAACAAAACTAGGCTGTGCCCGATGTGAAGCTGACAAGACGAATTCCTGTTTCTTGGCCAAGCCGGTGATCAGCGGGTGATCAGCCGTGCCCTAGTGCCATGTGGCGTTTCCCCCCAATCCCAGTCTCTCGCTCTTCACCTCTCCACGTTGGACCCTTCGGCAATATCGGTGCTTCCGCAGGAGCGGCATTTCAGACGAGGTCTAGCAGTATCGGGTTGAGACGAAGGCCAGTAACGAAGTATGAGGACAAGCACGGCCGGAATCGAGAGCATGTATGTGCAAGCCAGCAGCACGAACGTTTGGAACGGGGCTTCTTGGAAACGATCTTCGATGATTTTGCTGCATCCCTGCATGAACGTCTCGAAATAGGATGCCATGGTGCTGTTGATTGGTAATGGTTCGTTTCAGGACGCGGCGTGTTGCAACGAGTCAAGGGAGATGTGGGGGCCAAGGGATGGATGAAGGAGAAGGATGAATCACCTGGGAGGAGAGTGATATAGTACAGCAGAGCAGAAACCATGAGAAGATCGACGCTGCATTCTTCGGGCGGAGCCGTTTGCCTGCTCGATTGGAAGGCTTAGCTCGTAGGTCTCAGCCTTGGGATCTGCAATGCACGAAACGGATACTCGAATAGGAATATCGTCACCATGTGCAGACTTGTCACATATTTGACTTTTATTTCGACTGTTTCTATCCACCCGCTGCAGGTCCTGGAATTTGGGACAAAGAGGGTCTCGGTAATGTTCATCTTACTATTGGTTTAGGGGTGCACTGGTTGGAGAGACAGCACCGTGCTGTACAGTGGATAGTACGGTCAGCGGGCATATTTGCTTTTTACAGGTTGATTCATTTTTTTGGCCCCTCTGTATACTGATCCGCGGAGTTCTTTGTCTCTCTGTCTTTCTTTGTACAGTACTTTTTCCATGGCTTTTCAGGCAACCATATACTGTGATAGGGAGTGAAGCATCTGTCATTGGCGACTGTCTATTCTAAGCCCCTGGCATAATGAGAATCTCCGTCGGGCTCCTGTTCAAGGTGAAAGTGCCTATGGGAAGATAATGGGGCCATTCCACGGGGGCTGAGTTGCCTCGAGTCATGTAAAGAGAAGATTTAGCAGTGCACGCCAGAGATACCTGAGTAAACGGAGCCCTAATCTGCTCCCTGTAGAATCCTTCCAGCTTTCCCAAGGGATTCTAATCAGCTCATATTCCACGGGCCTCTCTCATCTTACATGGCTCGTACCGCCAGGTCGTATCATTGGAGAAGCCCTCGCTTCTTTGTTTCGACCTTATTTTCTCTAATCTAGACCATCCTTGATTCTCTGGTATGGTGCCATGGTGCGCTGCTCCGACCCGTGTACCGCAGCACCATTCTGGAGGCACGTTGCTGCTAGACAAGAAACACGCGGACTCACAGAACCCTCTACACGTGTGAAACCCTCCCAGCGATGACCGGTAGCAATGCACCAGGGATATTGTATAGAAAGCTGCCCCCATCTCCGTTCACGTTAGTGCCCAAAAAAGTGGGTGCATGGGTGGCATGATCCCGCGGGGAAAATAGGAACTTCAGGGCTTCGTATAACTTCAACTTCTTTGAGGAGAAGAATGGTCTGAATCGTGCCCTATCGCATCTGCAACTTCCCCCTTCAAAATCCACAAATCAGACCTGGTGGCAGAGCAGCTCGATGGGATCCACCGACAATCCTGGCAAGGGTTCGCAGGGCCTCACGATGCAAAAGTACGCATCTTCGCACAAGAGAAAATGGAACGGCGAGCTTCAAGGCCGCCCAAATCCGTTGGGTTCATTCACGGGCGGAAGAGCCTCGTGTGCAACCCCGCTTAATGCCAACTTCACTCTTCATCCCCTTCTCGCCACCTCGCCGCACTATAGGATCAGGATGGCCGCCATGGACGACTACCCCTACAACCTGGGATCGTTCAAAAGGTCCATCACCACCGTCAGCCCGGCGGCCCAGATCTGGTTTGACCGTGGCCTGACTTGGGCATATTCCTTCAATCACAAGGAGTCCGCTGCGTGTTTCAAGCAGGCCCTCGTGCATGACGAGACTTGTATGATGGCCTACTGGGGACTGGCCTACTCCCTGGGCCCCAACTACAATCAACCCTGGGATTTCCTCGGCAATGAGTTGAAATCCGTCGTGGAAAACACATACCGAGCGGCATCCAGGGCAAAACAGCTTGCGGCCAATGCATCCCCGGTGGAGCAGGCTCTGGCCAAAGCCATCGCCGCTCGCTATCAGAGTGACCACCCGGCCAATATGGACCAATTAACAGCCCAGAATGTCGCCTATGCGGATGCCATGCAGGAAGCATATGAACGCTTCCCCGATGATCTGGACGTGGCCACGCTGTACGCCGATGCCATGATCAGCCTTACGCCCTGGAAGCTGTGGGACCTGGTGACCGGCCAACCGAACCCGGGAACACGCACCATGGAGGCAAAAAGGGTGCTCGAAAAGGCCCTCGATCAGAAAGATGCCCTGAAGCACCCGGGCCTGCTACACATGTACATCCATCTCGTGGAGATGTCCCCATTCCCAGAACTCGGCCTGAGACCCGCCGACTACCTCCGTGATCTCGTCCCAGACGCCGGCCACATCCAGCACATGCCCTCTCATCTGGACGTCCTGGTTGGCGACTACCGCAGCGCAGTGCGAGCCAACCAGCGTGCGGCCATCTCCGATGAAAAATGGCTCTCTATCGAAGGCCCCTTCAACTTCTACTCCGTATACCGGCTCCACACGTACCACTCCCTCATCTACGCCGCCATGTTCGCCGGCCAGAAGCAGGCTGCGTTTGACGCCGTGGACCGCATGGAAGCCACCCTCCCGTATAAACTGCTCTCCGCAATGTCCGACTACATTGAAGTGTTCATGTCTGTGCGCGCCCACGTCATGATTCGGTTCGGCATGTGGGAAGAGATCATCCACATGCAAATCCCGACGGATCCGGAAATCTATTGCATGACAATAGCCATCACGCACTATGCCAAGGGCGTGGCATACGCGGCGACTGGCCGAGTCCCAGAGGCAGAGCATCAGCGCGAATTATACCGAGCCGCGCGGGGACGAGTTCCAGACACGCGTCTGGACTGGCCGAACAAATGCATTGAGATTCTGGGGGTGGCGTCGGAAATGCTGGACGGGGAAATTGAATACCGTCGCGGGAACTACGAGGAAGCGTTCGAGGCCCTGCGGCGTTCCATTGAGCTTGATGATGGGTTGGGCTATAGTGAGCCCTGGAGCTGGATGCAGCCTACCCGACATGCTTATGCTGCGCTTTTACTGGAGCAGGGGCATGTGGAGGATGCGGCTGCGGTTTATCGGGCGGATCTGGGTCTGGATAGTACGCTCATCCGGGCGCGAAGGCATCCGAATAATGTGTGGGCTTTGCAGGGGTATCATGAGTGTTTGGTGCGTCTTGGGAAGACGGATGAAGCGAGTGTCATTCAGCCGCAGTTGGCGATTGCGGCTGCTGTTGCTGATGTTCCGGTGACTTCGTCTTGTTTCTGTCGGTTGGATACCTTTGAGACGCCTGTCGGGAAAGGGTGTTGTCAATGAACTTGCGTTGTAAATATTTGGTTCCGGTTAAGCATGTTTTGTCTTCTATTGAACTCAATTATATTAGCGGTGATTTAAATATACTCTTTTGACCTGTTGGCTATTAGCTTTCACTAACGTTAACGTCAAAGATTTAGTCAACAACAACCACCTCCTGGTAGACCTTTGAAAACCATCCAGGTTCAACAGGACTAGTTTCATTACAACTTAAACAACATAACATGGCAAACCACAAATAAAGAAAAGCCAGCACATACATTGAAAAGGTATCTCGAGTTTACATACAAATGCAAGCTGCAAGGCATAAAGCAAAGGCTCAAAGCAAAAGCCAAGCCAGAGGCAGAAGCACTACCAGATGCGCTAACAATACCAACAAGAAGAAAACAAAAAAAAAACAAAACAAACAGAAGTCAAAAGTGCATTCGAAGAGACAAGACACAAAAAGAAAGCAAAGCCGAAGCTAAATTCAAACCAAATCCAAATCCTTAACTGAGCGAAGATCTCCCCCATATGTACCGGAGATATCCATATCCATAATTGACTAGCCTAGACCATAGACCAAATGTACCTTTTAAAACAGACAGACAAAAAGAAATGCCGCGAGAAGAACCACCAGGGGAATCCCAGTGTCCCAGAATTAGCACTCTTTCTCACTAGGTCGCAACGGAGCCGGCGATGGAGCCCGAGTTCGTCACTGAGTGGATGCTGCCCGGGGGTGCGTGGTCGCCGTTTGTGCCGTTGAGCTCGGCTACTGGTGTTGGGTTGTCGTCCAGACCTAATAGAGAGCGGGGTGGGTGGATCTTTTTCTTGCCGTTTGCTTTGTAGTAAAGGATCATGTCTCCTGAGGTGCGCCATAGGCATGTGCGGATTGTCGCTAGGGTCATGTTTGGGGGACAGAGCTGCACTATTGTTAGTATGTAAGCTTGCAATATGAAGAGCAAAAGGACCTACCGTCTTTTGGCAGTAAAGCTCGAGATACTCCTCCGGTGGCATGAGGGACTCCTCGGGGTCATCCGGATTGGCAGGATCGATGCGTTCAGCAACGTAAGCGAGAACCTTCTTGGTGCGGAGCATGCGGTTCGCATTTAATCGGGAGCCGTTGGCGTTGGGATTTAAGTTGCTTGGGGGTGGTGCGCCATTCATGGCAGGCCTGTAAGTGGCGGTGTTAGCTCCATGGGGTGAACTTGATACGAGATAGAGACGGCTCAAAACATACGGCTCTGGCTTGACGACTGGTGGGACGGAATCGTCAAATGGTTTCAACACGAATGCAATCTTGACTTGTTCCTTGAAGGGAATTTGATTCTGCGATTTATCATTAGCAAAGTACCATACGGCTGCATGGCAAATAAACTCACCTTGAGAAGAAGTTCACCAAGCCAATGGGGGATTGATTTCTTGAGTCTTTCGAGATCCTCGCCGATGCGGTCCACGCTGCCACGATAGAGATCTGAAGCAACTGCAGTATCGCCGGTTTCCTCTTGAATGAAGACCGCCACGCGAGGAGGAATATCCAACCGAGGTGTTTCATTCTCGAGACTGGGCGTAATAGCGGTCTCTAAATCGAGGTTCGAATTTGTAGACAGGTGCTCCTCATAATCATGACGGATCCGATCAACCACTCCGCAGAGATTGGGCTCATACACCTTCTCCTCCTTGACAGAGGATATCTCCGACTCTTCGGCCTTCTCTTCAAGAATCTGAGGCTTTGTATCAGTAGAATTGCGAGTCAACTTCTTGGGGAAGTCCATTCGAAATTTCTTCGAAAAGAGAGATCCGCCCTTCTTGCGCTCTTCTTTATCAGGTTCTGCAGGAGACTGAGGTACACCCGTATTGGAGGCGCCGCCCTCCGACTGCAATGGTGACATAACAGAAGTTTCGGTCAGCAGCGTGGGTCTATTTGAGAAGTAATCACTCCGATCCGAGAAGGAGGATGGCCCGCCATCGAGATGTGACTGTGTGGGTGCCATAGGTTCAGGCGTATCTGGTTCAAACATGGGGAATGGAGAATTGCTCTGCATGGAAGTGCTCAAGTAGTTTGACGTTGGTGTGCCAGAATTGATGCCGAACCCGGTACTGGGACTGGCAGGGTAATCTGGGCCAGAGCGCAAGTTCCATGTCGGATGGGGGTTAGAAATGGGGATGCCAGCGCTCCGCGGGATATCATCTGCCGGAACTGACGAGCTTACAGTGTTCTGACGAACAATCTCTTCTGCCTTGGCAATAGCAGCTTGACGATATTCGTTATCTCTGCGTATTTCCTCATCCACCACCGGAGCAAAGAGCCAGCGCAAGATCCATTTACCAAGATTGACTGCAATTGGTCAGTAAACGCAAATTGATGACTGGCAGTAAGAAGAGAAAACACAACATTGAGAACATGACTTACTTCGCTGATCATCTCTAAACTCGGTTATATCTGATGGCGCCAAGTCGGCGCAATCGGCATAGACCTCTGCATCAAAGCAACGATTGGGTTCCAGGATGACCGATAGTCGACCAGTGCGTACATCGATTGCACACCAATGTGCAATACTATCAGTGGTGTTGACTTCTGAGGCAACATCATCAATATGACGTTTGCCGAATTCCTTGATTGGAACACACTATATCATGTAAGTTGATGAATGCGATTGAACAGCTCAACAGCTTTGATTTTACCTTTAACAGATCCCAAAGCACAACTTCTCCAGCAGAATCCTGAGTGAGTGTATGCATGCGGTCGTTCAGCATAAGACACTTGATTAAACCATGCTGGCCCTCGATTGTTTCCTCTGGTAGCGAATGAACCGGGTTTCTTAGATCAACCGCCTCCAAATTTGGCTCTGGGGTACTTCCATTAGGAGTCGAGCTACTTAGAAGTGTTGACGTAGCCGATAGTTGAAGAGCAGCATTGAATGGAATTCTCTTGGGACCATCTTCGGCCTTTTTGGCAGGCTCCGCAGTGGATTCAATAGTAGGGGCAGGATCAGGCGGTGGCTCGATATCAAGTGTCGTATCAACATCTCTCCAGCGATTGATGCTCGATTTGGGAGTTGCAGTCCAGATGTAGTCGCCCGCTGCAACGACCTTGACAACACCTTCATGTTCTTGTAGTGCCGCGACACAGGTGCCTTGCTCGGGATCGGGAGAGCCCCGAGTATCAGTCTTGGCCACCAAGCCGGACCGGTCGCTGGAGTAGAATACTGAGAGATCGGGGTGGTCGGAGTAGAGAGACCATACGCTGTCGTTGTGCATGGTCAGGGTATTCATGCATCGTCCCGCTGTAAGGGACCAAATCTTAATCGTTTGATCCGACGAAGCGGTCATGATCGTATCACCGGATTGATTGACCATAATATCACGGATGTTATCCGTATGTCCAACAAACTTGGTGACCAACTTGCCAGACCTAGGATCCCAGACCCGGACGACATTCTCCGGACCACCACTAGCAAGAACCGACGACACAGCCCCAAGAGCGTAGACAGAGCCCTTCTCGGTAGCATCATCGCCGCCAGCATCAATATTCAGTATTTCTCCGCAGCCATTCAAATCCCATAGATAGAGTTTATGATCCAAGCCACCGGATGCGACCCAAGTGGCATGACCACCAGGGCTCGCCAGGGCCTTAACATAATCAGTATGTTTACCGATGCGCTCGGGGACATCGGTGGATTCAGAGTGCGGGCGCCAGAGTCGTACGGTTGTGTCGGACGAAGCGGAAACGAGCGCGGAGTTATCCTCCGCCAAGACGATATCGTTGATCCAGTGGCTGTGAGCCTGCACCTGCGTCTTGAAGCCCGTCAGGCCGGGCTTCCGGCTCGAGGTCGCAGGGTCCGGCGCAAACGAGGGAGGGCAGGGGAAATCGAGATCCCACGAGCAGATGACGCCGTCGCGGCCCGCGGAGTACCTGAGAAGTGAGACGTCATGTTAGAACCCGTGCAACCCACGTGCTGGTAGGCATCCTGTGGGAACGACTGTGGGATCTCGATCCTGGATCCTGATAGCATGAGAGAGGCACTTACAAGATGGAGTTCTGACGGTCAACGGTCAGGCCATTGACCCCCAGCCGATGCCCGCCTGGGGCATCCGGGAGAGGGAGTACTAGGAAATCACCGTTAGTATGTGATCTGGTGGGATGCTGGCATCGGCATTACCATAGGTGACTCTCTGGTGGCTTAGTTTGCGTGCCATACATGCGGCGTTGCAGGAGTGAAGCCAATTGCGGAGATGAAATTGCGGAGCTTATCTGCCGTCGAGGGTCGATCGTTCTGGCGGGGGAGACGTCGACGTCACAGTCAACGAGAAATGTCAAGAATTAGAAAGCAAAGTCAGCAAAGAAAGCAAAGAAGCAAAGAAAAGCCGAGGCCTGTGAACAACAAAAGACCAAGAACCAGAAGGTGGAAATGAGGGGGAATTTAACCAGAGTTGGAGGCGCCAGGGGCTCTCGGCTGATGTTTATACTCGTATTAAATCCTCGCTCTATGCGAATGGAGTTTCTATTCTTTTGCAAACATCCATGTCCTGTCTATCTCAGGTCCTGACACTTGGCTTACTAGAGACACTCTCTTGGACTTCCCCAGGCGTTCACTGTACCCCATCACCATAACACATAAACAACGCTAGAACAACAACATTAGCAACTGTCTCCCACCAGCTCCTCATGCACTTCCATAGCTCATCTAAATGCCATATGCCATTGCTGATGAATACAGACTCCCAAGTCGGCTATCTACGGAAATAGACCGAGATCCGCGCTAAGCCCCAAGCCACACGCATAAGCATAAGCACGAAATAGACGCAGGCACCTAACCAATGGTTTGACTGGTCTCAGTCTTGGAGACAGACGTTCGCTGGAGTATTGGTGGCCAGATAATAGGGGGACAGGCTGCGTTGGTTCTTCTTGGCTGTTAAGAGCGTAGATCACGGTTTTGTGAATGATAGAAATAACATACAAATCCCCCCAATATGCACCCGATCTAGTCTATCTATACTCTTTGTCCAACCATATATAACACTTAATATACAACAACTACCACCTTAAATCGCCTCCTCCCTCTTCCCCTCTCTCCTGCCCTCAAGTGTATTCCAAGCATATTGATAACTGCCCAAGAAAATAGCACCACCAATACCAATCCAAGTCACACGGGGAGTAATTCCCCGCCAGAAAGCACCAGGTCCCTCATTCGCAATCCCCCGAACAATTTCCTTGACTCGGACCGGCGCACCAGCACCATCTCCTCGCCGCGCAAGCATAACTCGCGTCTTGATCACATCCAACGGAGTCGTCAACGCAGCCGCAATTGCTCCAGCCACACTACCAAACATGGCACTGGTTGAAGCGGGGATTTGCCGTTCGGAGATAGGAGAATCTGAGCTAGCCGGGCGCAGGTAGCGCGTTGCGTAGGCTTCCTTCATTGATTCCCACATGGTGAATTGAAGGACCGTGAAGGGGATTTCGCGCGCAATGGTGATTCCTGCGCCGCGGTAGAGTTCGCGCAGGACTTGGCTGTAGCCACGCTTGGCGGTAGATGCTGGCGCAGGGCTGCTGGAGGCGGAGCCTGGGGCGGAAACTGGGACTGGTGCGGCATGGCGGAGAGAGAGGATATCCTTGAGAGCAGCTAGACTGGAACCGCCGAAGAGACCGGCCTGGGCTCGCTGTTTGATGACCTCTGTCGGCACGCGGACGGCGCAAGCGGCAATCTCGCCCAGAGAGGAAGCGAGCGAGTGTGTGAGGATGATGTGGGATCGGGATTGAGGTTCGGTTGAGCCTGGGGGTGGGAGGAGAGTGCGCTTAACGCCATCGTAGACGATGAAGAAGGAGGCTGCGGAGGGGGCGGAGCCGAAGAGGACGGAGGGGAGACCTGCGTAGATGCCACGGACGGTTTGGCGGAGGGAGAGGCGAGCTGCTGCTGGGGCGAGCGGGTCGCGTGCTTTTTGGAGGCGTGTTTTAATTGTGTCCAGGGGGTAGAGAGAGCAGTCGACTGTTAGGCCTGCGATTGCGCCGGACTTTATTTTGCGACGTTAGTGATTTGGTCGATTTTGGAGGTTAGGATTGAGAGGAAGGTTGCGTACGATGAGGGATCTTGTCCACAGGGAGGAGACCAATGGCTCCCCTTCCAGTTGTTGGGCCATGAACGGAGAGAGAGAAAGAGAGAAAAATGCGTGGAAGAGAAAAGAGAGGGAAAGAGCCGGAGGTGAAGTTATCAATGCGAGACCCCCAAAGCGCAATGCGGAGTAGCTGAGAGCTCCGGCAGTTTAGTTTTGCTCCGCGGTCAGGCCATTCCGATATCGCCGAAGTTCGCTACGTCAGACTAGAATCTACAGAAGATGGGAAAAGATATATACATATATATGTTCGAATTTAAATGTATCTACCCCCTCAGAATATAAGAAAGAAAAAAGAAAGGTATCTAGAGCATCAGTCGAAATAGTGCTCCCACAAATCCTGTCGACACACCGTCCGCATGCCGAAGTAAAGCAGGGACCTATCAGCAGAGACCCAGGCGATAAGAGAGAAAAAGGGAGCGTGATAGAATGACAGGGAATACATTTGAGGGATATTGACTCAGAGAAGAAGCATGGGGAGTGAGCGAAGAAGCAAATATCATCTACAGTATTCAACAGGGAATCAGAACGCGGGGATAAAAAACCAACAAAAAAGGCCATCCCATATTTAAAAAGTCGGGAATTAGGGCCACGGAAGTCGTACAAAGCAAGGGGTATGTATTATTTAGCCTTGGCGCCTTTGCTGGCCACCGCGGGACTCTGCGACGGAGGCTCCAAGACATGAGTATGGCTGGGGTCGTTGTGGATTTCGCCAGATTCGTCCTGATGGCATGTATGGATCTCTCTGACCCAGTCATCACTCATGACCTCGTCTAACGTGGCTCGCTGGTTGGGGTTGGTCTTCAACATGCGGCCAATGATATACCTGCTTTCCCGCGGCAAGATGCGGAGAAGGCGCCATGGTCCTTTGATGACTTCCTGACGTTGACCAGAGGCCTGGGAGGGCGGTTGAACGGGTGGTGCCTCTTTGCTCGTTGTGCGAGTGGGTCGGTTGTTGGTAGTGCTAGTCTGACTGGTCTGCTTTTGAGCAGTATCGGGCGAACGATCACCATCGTTTCCGGAACCGTTTCCGTTTTGCGCTGCGGCGGACTGATCCTTGGGTTTGGCGGTGTCGGAATCACTTGAACGGTCGCCGATACGTTTCTCATGACCCTGCGATGGTAGGTCAGGTGTCGACTTGGGCCGACGGTTAGGGTTCGACTCGGGAACCGGAGTACCTGGAGTCGGACTGGAAACAAACAACTTGTAGGAGTTATCCGTGGTGCGTGGTTGCTTCCAAGGGAAGCGGCGTAGGGTCATGCAACAGAATATGATCGCCAGCGACCAAACATCTGTAGGGCGGGGGTCATATTTCTTCTCATCGTACACCTCGGGAGCAAGGTATGGATCCGAGCCGACAATGCCTAGTTCGGGGGTCAAAAGTGATAATTTGGGGGCGAGGAAAGAATGGATACATACCTGAAGCGGGAACGATGTCGTTCTCGAAGGGATAACGGAAGACAACGGCACTTCCAAAGTCAATAAGCTTCATGATACCGTGGTCATTGACCACGACATTATCCAGCTTCAGATCCCGATGAGCGAGACCCATACCATGCAAGTAAGTCACGCCGCTCAGGATCTGTTTGAAAGAGCAGGCAATCTCCTCTTTGCCCATCTTTCCAGTCATGACAATGGCAAAGAGATCGAATGGAGCAAATTCCATCACCTCATACCAGTGCGTCCCTTCCTGAATAATATCCAGAGTCTCGATTATATTGCCATGATGCAGAGTAGAACCGATACAGAATTCAGCGGTGACCTTCTTGGAGTATTCCTTCAATGTCTCCCAGTTGTGACGGTCTCGGAATTGCTTCACGGCGAAGGTGACGCCATCGCTGTTCCGCTTCAGTAGGCGGACAGAGCCACCAGCACCAGACCCAAGTACCCTACCCATCTTGCCGTATTTGGAGTTCAGTCCATGGTCATCGGCAAAGGGAACATTATCGGGAGCCATTTGATATGGGGTGTTCTTTCCAGATCCCCGGCTCGACTTCTTAGGCATTGATGTTGGAGATTCACTGCGCTTGCTACGGTGGCCCAGCTTGAAGAATCGTTTCAGTTCAGACATAGAGCCATGGTGGTGATGACCACTTTGGTGCTTTTCAATTTGGTCCTTCTTGCCACCAAATATGCTTCGTTTGTCACCGGGCTTGCTGAGGTCACTGGCACTAGCAGATCGAGGAGTCCCCGGGCGGAATGATCGCTTCGCATCCCGACTGCTAAAAATGAATCGAGGATCCAGCGTAGCGAGGTTTTTCGACTGAGGTGGGCGTTTGTGGCGTGCATACGGGTCATTCGGTTCCCCTACTGGGGTCATCGCCCCAGGCGGAGTCAGAGACTCTCTCGGCGTAGCGGGCGGGCTTTCTTCTTGCGAGCTATTTTCATTTCCGATGAAGAACTGTGCACGATGTTTGGGGAGCTGCATGATATGAGAGCTGCGATCAGAGGCCTCGCTGGTTCTGTTGGGCAACTGATCGGTAGAAGAGGGTCTGGAGGATGAGGATCGGGGGATATCGTGCCTATCAGCTGAAGTGACCGGGGGTGATGCATCTGGGGTGAACTCGGTTTGCACATGAGGCCGGCTCTGAGCTTTGAGGGAGGAGCCCTCCGCTCTGCCCTCGCGGGAATGAGTCGCAGCTGGCGTGAGAGGAGGTGATTGTACGGCGGAAACGGGGGGAGATGCATGTGGCGAGGCAAAAGCGCTGGTTCCATGCCCACTGCGATCGCTCGACTCGCGCGAGACGACCTAATGTAGATACCCCGAGTTAGCATGACGACTACTCCACAGTGCAAGGGACACCCCCGAAACAGTTTAGTGGCTGTCCGTCTCACTTTGGAGCATGGGGCAATTGAAGTCCATGGAAGAATCTTCCACGGTGATTCAGAACTAGAGTTTACATACCCTTGAGGATGGAAGAGACATGGGGTCGAACGAGAAGTTCCGTAAGCGAGCCTCCTGAAGCTGCGAGCTCTGCAGGTGGGAGCTCTGCAAACTCATCGCCAGCGACCGTAACGCTTCCTCGTCTGTCTGCTGCTTGGGTGGCTGCGAGTTCTGCGGTTCCGGTTCCGGGGAAAGGGTCTGCGATGGTTCAATCTCCTCGGTGATGGAGGAGAAGCGGACCTGGCTGGGCTGAGCTCTCGACTTGGCATCGGCGTCACCGGGTTCCGGAGCTTGGCCGGACATCTTGGCGGGGCTCTCAGTAGTTTGGAATTCTGTGGCCGAAGGAATGCGATCAGCGAGGAAATTCCACGGAGCATCATTATCAGCCAAGACATACCTGAGTGAGCGTTGGAAGTCATCTCAGACGTCATCGTCTGCACCAACTCAAAACGCGGAACACATGCCCCTCAGGATGGAACGACTGGAATCAATCAGAGTCGCGCAACGACTAGCGATCGTGACCAAGCCGAAAAACCGACGATTGAAGCCGACGTGGACGATGGGGGGGGGGGGGCAGATCGATTACGTGTGAGGCGAGGCAAATCTCTTCCGGTGAAGTCAACTTTTCGCCGAATCCGATAAGAGCCGCAAGAGGAAGACGATGAGAGGAGAAGCACGGAGATGTGAAAAGCCAGCACTTGGAAGGTCAAGGTAGAAAGAGAAGCAGAGCCAGAGCAGAAATAGAAACAGAAGTAGAAGCAGAACTTCCAGAGCAAACAAGAGAGGGGAGAGAGAGTGGGGGGGGAATGGCCCAGGTGCCCTCCAAGTCCGGGAATTGTCAGCCTTGTGTTTGGTAGTGACTGGCTACGAACTGCTGTGGTTTCTGGTGACTGGGATGGGAATCTACGGTTCTGTGTATTTCTGGTCTTCTCATCTTCCTTCTACTCATTCTTCCACAGTCCCTCCTCTTCCCCGGAACAGGGCGGAGACTGGCCCAACTCGATGATGTCGACAGTCCCGTCCGCATCCACGTGCCGACTTCCCGGTGACTCCGCGAACAGGGTTCGATTGGCGCTGCAAGCCATTGCTGCTTCGGTGCATTTGCGATCTGGAATTTTGCCTGAATGGGGCTAGTTTACTTTTGGTGTTTTGGGTGTTTGGGGGATTTTCCAACACGGCCAACTCTGGGGGTTTCATACTGTGAGTGCCTGGGCCTTCATTCTCGCCAAGCCCTGAACTGTATGACCCGGCCAAGATCTCCGCTCCTCCATGGGGAATGTGCCCCTGCGGAGTGGTCAGCCTGGTGTGAGGCCTTGGGTCGCACCGCGTCTCGGGACTACTCTGGACCAGATCATCCATGCCGGGGATTAGCCGCTTGGTCGGACAGATACAGCTGACCTGCAATCTGACTGTCAGTGCCCCACGTAAGTCAGATTAACCCCCAAGATGGTAGCAGACAATAAGGACGGCGGTATGATAGCTGTCTGGTTGCATGGAAAATGCTCCTTGAATTGCTAATCGCTATGACTTGCAACCTGAAAAAACAAATATGAATCGGTATCGTACAGCAGGCGGGTTCATTTCCCCCTGTCCCAAAAATCAAAACGCCCAAAGATATCAGATATCAGATATCAGAGATGGAAATCAAAACAAGTAGGCCCCCGAAAGCGCGACCGCAGACAGGGCAATGGTCGCCGGTAATTATACATTCAAAATTCCCATCCCCCGGGAATCGCTCAGGGAGAAACCTGGATGCCAATAGACTTGGCCTGGGACATGACACTCTTGCACAGTCCCTCCAGCGACAGGCCCGATAACCGGGTCTCGGTCTGCTTGATCTTGGCAATCTCGTAGACATGCTTGAGGGAAATCTTGCCACAGATCTCGTGGCCGGGGTTCATGGCGCCACGAATGCAGTTCTTCCGGGGCTCGACATTGGCGGCGTTGAGCAGGAGATAGGTGGTGGTCGGGGTGCGGAGGTCGAAGGTGAAGGATCGGTCGGGGCGGACGGTGACACGCGCGGGGATGGGGACGCCCGTGTTGATGTGAGCAGTGCGGGCGTTGAATTCCTGCCCTGGTCAGTATGGTTGGGAGATGGCATGAGGAGAGCCGTGATTCACCTTGCAAAAGTCCATGGACTTGACACCCTTACTACCCAGGGCCGGACCGACCGGCGGACTGGGACTGGCCTGACCGGCTCCGACGATGAGCTTGACGAACTGCTCCTTGGCCAATGCGGTGCGAGCCATGATGTGGTGTGGTTTGCTGGTGGTTTGCAAGAGGAAGATTTTCTGGAAGGGGACGGCAGGTGATTGGCCGGGGCGGCAAGCGAGCTGAACCCAACGTCATGATGCTCTCTCTCTGTTTGGAGCTGGACTTTTCTTTTTCGTCGAGTGCTCGAGTTTGGTATTTCTGACTTTTGCATTCTCCCGACTTTTTCTGTCTTGGCTTTTCGTCTTGATCTGGTTGCTTTCGGTCTCAGTCTACAGTATTGCGGATCGGATCTGCTCGTTCCCAGTTCCAAACTAGACTCCCGGGCCCCGCGTCGATCTCTCCTTCACCTCCCTTTTTTCTTTTCCTTTCCTGTGATCTTCTATCAAATCATCGAATCTTTTTTATCATGAACTGGCTCAAGTCGACGTACGTTCCGTTCGACCCTTCTGTGCTGTGGTTACTGACCGGATCCATGCGGGCAGTCTCTCCGCCGTGGTGGGCACCGAGGAGCCTATCTATGGCCCCGAGGCCATCCAGTCGGTTGCGCAGCAGACGGAGACTACTCCCTATACTGAGGTGAACAAGGATCTTTTGCGCTGGCGCGCATACTCCTACACCAATGTCGAGACCCAGACTTTCTACATCATGGCAGACAACGGCACACTCGTCTTCGTCCAGGTGATCTACAGCAACATTGTGTAAGGACCCTCCGAGCTAGTGCTGGATATCGTGTCGATATTCACCGCATGAAAAAGCTAGACTTTGCAGCAGCTGACTGTATAATCGGGATTATAGTGGAATCCACACCACCGCCCAGTTCAACGTGAAGATTTTCGACGTCAGTGGAAAGGGTGACAACAAGTGGTTCTCCGACCCGGTCCACAACTTCATGTTTGACGAGAACATGCTCTCATTCGGTGCTGATAACCTGGCCGTCACCCTGAACGAGGAGGCCAACACCTACCACATCAAGTCCACCGTCAACGAAGGCAGCATCGTGGACATCAAGTTCACCCAGGCTGCACCTGGTTTCGCCGTTGGCAAGGACGGCACTTCATACTTCGGAACTGACCCTAAGAACCCCTGGGGATCGATGCGACATGCCTTCTGGCCTCGCTGTTCCGTCGAGGGTAACATCGCCACCAAGGAGCAGACCTACGACCTGACCGGTCGTGGTGTGTTCATCATGGCTTTGCAGGGCATGAAGCCTCATCACGCAGGTAAGAAGCGTGAAATCTGATCAAGTCCGAGCTATCCGAAGCTCATCCGCTAACAAAAATGCAGCTGCCCGCTGGAACTTCATCAACTTCCAGACCCCCACTTACTCCGCTATCATGATGGAGTACACCACCCCTCCCTCTTACGGCTCCACCAAGGTCAATGTCGGAGGTATCGTGAAGGACGGCAAGGTCGTCTACGCCGGCACCACCAACGCCGCTACTCACACCGAGATCGGCCAGGACGAGGGCAGTGATTGGCCCGCGCCCAAGGCCATCAAGTGGGAGTGGAGCGGCAAGACAACCGATGACAAGGAGTTCACAGCCGAAGTCAACGGCTCTCTCGGTGCTCGCCTTGACCGGATCGACGTCATGGCCGAGGTCCCCGGCTTTATCAAAAGCATTGCTGGCAGTGTTGCCGGTACCCGGCCTTACATCTTCCAGGTATGCATTGCGCCCCTTGTCCCCATAACATTCAGATCTAACATTTTTATGCAGTATTCCCCCCAGGAGAAGCTCTCGTTGAAGCTGAAGCTCGGCGACGAGGAGATCACCGAGGAGGGAACCATGTTCTCCGAGTCGACCTTCATCTCGTAGAGGCCAGGTTTAAATCGCGTACATAGGACATGATCTTCCCGCGAGATCTTGTTGGCGTTCATTGTTGATGATTTCGTGATGCTACATTTATGTCCCGGGATTCGGCTCTGCTGTTTCTCCTTGCGCGGACCAGATAATCCACAGACTGTATACAGGATACCTAATGCTATTGACCATATTCTGAATATTCTGATCGCTGGCCTGTATGTTACAGCATTGGGTCTCTCCAGCCTGTTTGCGACTGTAGAAGGGTGAATAATACATATTGAAAGAAGTGGACGTAAAGTACAGATGGATTGTGCAGATGGACCTCCCGGTCTTCACAAAGAAAGAAAATGTACAAAGAACGACATACATGTAAAAAATACAGGCGATTCAATTCGAATCAAATCAAGAAAACAAAAATAGCTTCTAGCAGCTGTTGACCAGCCAGTAGTACAACACAGCATTCAACAGGAAAAGAAGCACCACCACACACCTCTTTACCCCTAATTATCAACCATCAACTGCTCCCCCTCGTCAAGAAGGGTAGTAACCCTGGAAAGATCAGAGATCATCTTCTGTCCATGGCCAACAAGCAACAACTTCTCCGCATTAGCAGGAAGACCCAGGTAAGTAGGCGGTTCGCGCTCCGGCAAGCCATTAACCCAAGCAATGAAGTCACGCATGCTAGTCGTGCTAGGCAAGGTGAGCAAATCATCATTTTCAACGCCTGAGACAAGCTTATAATCGTCTTCGAAGGCCGCGGGTGTCAGGAAGCTTGTGACTAGGTTCTCGAGTTGCTGGTAGTCGCCTGCGTCGTCGATCTTGCCGCCATACATCTCCGTAATGAGTGTGCGGATCATTTCCCATGGGATCTTTTGCGGTGCTACGTTTGAGCGGCCTTGGGCTACCGTGTCGACCCAGTGGTCGATTATGTAGGCGGAACATTCGTACTATGGGGTTTGTTAGTATTGCTTGCCTGGTTTTCTTTTGTGCGTAGATGCGGGTTTCGGGGTGGTACTTACGTCGCTGTCGTTGAACTCCCAGAAGCCCTTCCAGCCGAGGCTGGGGGCGTAGCGGAGTCTCTCTTGAACCACAGCGTGCAGGAAGCAGAGCAAGAGGTAGACACGGGCCTTTTCAACGGGGGCTTTGCTGGCTCTCACGTTCAAAGAGGAGAGTGAATCCTTCATGTTGGCGCGGACTCCAGCGGGCTGCTCGTACATGAGTACACGTGAGGCACGGATCAAGTTGACTGGGATCTTAGGGCTGGACTCCATAGACAGGAATAGGCGGAATTCCTTGTGAGGCTTCAGAGAGTCCAGTCGCTTCTCGAGACTCTGGAGCCAAGAAGGCGCCAGGTGGACGTTCTTGACTAGAACCCAGTTACCGGCAGCGGCTGCGTTGCTGATGGCCTTGTCAGCACTTTCGAGACCCTCGTTGGATCCCATAGCGATGTTGGCGCAGGTGGCGTGGGTGCGCTCGACTAGAGCGTCGACCTTGTAACTGGCGTCGAAGCCGGGGCTTGAGCTTAGGGCGATTGGTCTGGTTGCGGTGACTTGGTCGACTACGTCCTTGAGGTCACTGCTGCCCTCAAATAGCTCACGGCCGAATACGGTTTCAATGAAACGCTCGGCCGTTGGGACGAATCTGTCCATGCGGCAAAGCTTGACGAGGAGTAGGGAGCGAAGAAGCTGGTCAAGTTGCGAGATGCTCTCGTCCCACAAGACTGGAACGACATTCTCGGCAAGTTCTTCAGCGAAGAATCGATCCCATTGCTCTTGGGTGACATTGGCAAGCTGTTCTTTGAAGAGTGACATGTTGGATAGCTTGGCGAGTACATGGTCCCGGGCGTCAACGGAAGTGGACAGATCCATGCCTTCAACTGTCTCGTCCAGAACACGGTCGAGGATGGTTCTGTCCATTGGGAAGGGAGTAGCTTGAGCAAGGAGAATAGCGAGAGTGATCCGATCCTTCTGAACCAGGCCTAGCGATGTTCTCTGGTAAGCCATGATGAACAGATCCTTGATGATGATCTGAACGCGAGCAGAATGGTCCTTCTCCTGCGCAAGTCGCTTGTTCTGGTAGAGAACGGAGTTGAAGATGTCGACAAAGTATTGCAAAGAAAACTGGTAGAAAGGATTTATGTGGTGAAGCTGCTCGAGAACGGCAAAGACAGCACTGCATGAGCGAGCAATGATGCTGTACTTTTGCGTGACACTATCCACTTCGGACATAACACCTTCAGTTTCGGTCATCTTCTT